ATATCATTTGCGATATTATTCATTTTTTTCCCTCTGAAATTTCAACAGCTTATCCAGATTGCAACATATTAAAGAGGGCAAGGAAGAGCTACCTCAAATATTTGTGGAAAGAAAAGGGGAATCAAGAATTCTACGGCTGAAATTGAAGGTAAGCATACATATCTTTCGCAATGGATACTTGGTTGCTTTGCTCATTGACAAGCCATAGATTTTGTATCAGTGGTAAAGTACAAAACGAAAACCAACTGATAAATTTTAGAGTTGCTTTTTATATCATTATAGATTGGGATGAGTCTTGAACACGAAAACTCTATTGATTTCTCTTTCCCTTCGTTGAACTTGATTTTATATATCGTTGTGGATTATCGTTAAAGAAATGGAAAAAAAAAATCATATATAAAAAACATACAGTAATGATGCTAAAAATGCAAACTTCCCTAGTTTCTACTCGCCATCTTTTTATCTGGAAATCTTGCGGCATTTTAGAATTTTTATTTCTCTTTTGATCCGCTAATCTTATCAAGATTTCCACTCCGGTAAGTAAAAAAAAAATATATATATATAAATGGATTTAGTTTTTTTTCGGAGCGAGATGTTGCAGCTACTTTGATGAGAGGAAGAAAGTGGACACCTATTTAGATCGATGAAATCGGTGGTCCATTGTAGCAATTCTGGACCGCTTGCATTTAAGCAGCAAAAAATGTCCTGAGCTATAGCTGGATTAATATAATTCCCCTACTGGACAAAAAAAGATTTAAATCTCACATAGTACATGTTTACATTTACATTTTCATATATTTTCCATATCTAACTGCGAGGAAGATACGAGATTCAAAGCTATCGCGGAGAAGCTACAAAAATTTTAAAAAGACTTTTCTCTTAGAAAATATCACCGAATAGTTATGGAAAGGAAAGAGGTATGAAATAGAAAATGAATCCATGACCTATCAGAGTTTCCTATAACTTCCATAAGACATTTTTTTAAGTAGTTAAGTATTTTGAATTGCACAAGGCGAAAGTGTATAATTGGTTTCACACTCACTGGGTTATTCCGCTGTTTTTATTTCCGACTTCAGGAAGTGAAGCTTTCGAAAGATGTATCATAAACAAAAAAGCTCCTACAGCTTTGTTTTGACCGATTCGTGAGTCATTCTTCGTAATTGTTGAAGAGCCTTTGAAGCAAATTGTTATTGATGGGCCTTTTATCTAAAATAACTTTTTTCGCCCTTTTACTTAATTATCTTTTGGATCCTTTTTGTTCCTTGTTTTTAATGAAGGTGACTGTACAGTGGGGTGATGTGGATGTCTATTGGTTGTTACTTTTTGCACTCAAAAGATCTATTCAATCGGTGCTGATTTTAGCCTCATTTCCCGCTATTCAAAGAATATCATCTATTTTCTTTAGAAATTCTAGCGAATTTTTTAAGTTTTTTTATTCCCTGGGTAGTTTCCTAATTCAAGACTAAATAGAGGATGTTCTTTTGTGCTAGTGAATATCAAATTATGTTAATCCAGAAAAAATATAACTAGGTTTCTATTTTTCAAAGAAAGGCCGTAAAATTATATCTTTCCCCAAAAATATTTATGAGCTGTCTCAAGGACCAGGAATTTCAGAATCTCTTTCGTACACCCTGTCTTTTTTGCAAGAAAAGCGAAAAAATGATCATGGTATTAAAAAAATAATGATAAACTTTTGTAGTGCGGTGTGATGGCGAAATAGTTCAACTTTACAGGTGAGGTGGGGTCAAGAAAAAATTGCAGGGGAAAGGTAGGGGAAGCAAAGTTCCTTGGGGATGTAAATAAGCTGGTTATTTAAGAATTACTAATGGATTTTCAATATAAAATGACCTTCCTTTGAGCTACTGAGTTGCTTTTTAAGTTATCAAGTGAGACCGAAATACCATAAAATAAATTGTTAGTGCCCTCGAGGAATGAAATTAAACCTTAGAGACACCCATACAAAACGATTATGGTTGCTTGTTGGTTTTGACTTTCTCTAGAATAGTCCATTCATTTGCAATAGCTTTCCCCGATGGAAAACATCACGAAGAAGAATCTTATCAGAGAAGATCTCTTGAATAGTAAAAAATTTCCTATGATAATTGCCAGGCAAGCAAAGATAAGTGAAATGTAAGAATAATTATTCAAAGGTGTTTTACCAGAGGGAATAAAAATTTCGTAATGGACGGAACGTCAGCTATCATCACAGGCGTCCCAAGCTTTCGTCTCGAGAAAAAGCAAACGATTTAAATTCGTGAGAGCGAATAACAGGAGTAACAGTAATAGCAAGGCAAAACGGCAGAGAACGCCAGAAACCACAACTGAGACAAACGATGTGAGTAACTTCTATTAATTTTACGTGTAAAATGTTCATATTTCGAAATTTTTGATGTTGTAAATCGACCATATTTGTTCCCCATATTATTCCTTGTAAAGTGCTCAAATCGGTTCCTCTCGTAACCTAACACAATGTCACACAACGCGTGACGCTTTCATGAATTACTTGAGACGTGAGCTTGGGATGCCTGTGCTATAATGAAGGACATTGTGCCCTTGGCATTCAGCTATATCGAAGTTAGTTCAGTAAACAGTTTTTATTTCGCTGTTTCAAAATATTTTTAAGGAGAGGTGCTGTCGTTTTCGTCTATCCACAATTGTAATTTTCCCAGTTTATCTATGAAAAAAGTCAAACTCAAGTTTCTACGTTCTTTGCATAAAATATTAATTTCGTTATCTAACAGAACTTCCTGACTTTTTTCCAAATTTCGCAAGACAGCCCAGAGGATTTAGTCGATTTCAATATTCAGTATTGACTAGATGAGTTTTTCTTTTTTTTCTTTTAACTATTTGAATTTATATATCTTAACAGAGTGAGCTCCAGAATTCTTTCCCCTTAGAATTCAGGCTGGAGATAATCGTTGTCTCAAAACAATACATTGTAAGATGCTTTTTATTCCTTACAAAAAGCCAGTTGAACGTGGCAATAGCTGAATGAAAGAAAACACTACATTGTAGGTTTGCTAATTCAAACAATACAACTGACACCTTGACACTCTAATAAGTCTCAAGGGTTAGATTTCAAATCATTTATTCATTACCCGTTGACGTACTAGTTTGATTAACATGTAAAAACGGGTGCTAAATTTAATAATAGAAGTCCAATAAGGTGCTAGACGGTGTTCGTAACAGTTTACATTCACTACTGTTTAAGACAAAGGGAGCAAAACGTTTTGATTCCATTTCGCAAGAACTGGGACTTAAAGCGATACGCTAAGAGGTCTAAGAGAGGTTTGTTGGTACCGCAACAAGCAATTTAGTGTGAGTAAGCTGCTGTTAATTTTTGGTAACTCAGATGTTTGTTCGTAATGTGCTGGTCAGAGGGGCAAACTGTATGGCTTCCTAAAGTTCGTTGTATTCTAAATAACGCAAGTGATATATGAGAAAATCAATCTTTACTTGATCTCGATCTCTTCCTTACAACGAGACAGGTTGATTTTCTTTGATTTTTTTCTATTTTTTCAAGCATATCCAAAGCAGCGTCTGAAAATTAAAAAACAACCAAGACTCATTTGCCATAAACTTTTTTTCGTAGACAAACAAGTTTGCAAATGTGTCATGCTTTTTTTTTTAATTTGCATCTCTTATTCTGGTACCACATTCATGACTGCATATCAAAACCATCTTGCTATTTGCCTATAAAAGGCGAGAAAAGACTTCAATGATTAAAAACGCCAATGTGTTATGGTTTGGGACCGAAAACTAATAACCAATGTTTAAAAAATGTCTCAGAGTTACTTAGAAATATTTAAAAAACCAACCTTAGGCAAGTAAAGTCAAATGAGTGCGTGTGGGTGTGCAATTACATTCTTTTTTTCTTCTAAAAATAGCGGAAATTTATCGTTACCGCTACCGTTTCATTTGCTTTTTCTCTTCAGACTCACGTTCGGCACATTATAAAAATGAAAAAAAGGAAAATCTGTCACGCTGCGTCGGCGGGCAAAATTACTTCGTTCAATACCAAGTGGAATTTATAGACGTACATAATCGCCATATTTGCCGAAGCAAAACGTCAAGAGCTAGTGATGGCTTGAAGAACGTTTCTCGAGTCTACTCTGTGCGTGTTCCTGTTTCTTTGGCGTTTTTTATCGTTATGGCCTTAGTATTTCCGCCATTTTTGTCACTTAACCCCTTACATTTGTTTGCAATCAGGGTAAATTTTTGCTATGGCTACTTGCAAGAGTGACCGCTGAATGGTTGTGCGAATGAATATCGAAATCACCATCACAGACCAAGCAATTGCTAACAGATGTGGAATTAAATATAACTAAGTTGATTTTTTTATGACGTGAAAGGAAGCTATTTCTAAAGGGTTATTTATCCTTTTCAATTTTAATAATTTGATGATTAGCTTTTGATGTTCCAAGTCACGTTTAGCTTAGTGAACAAAGGAAAAAGAGAAAGAAAAAGAAAAGCTGTTGTTAAAATTACAAACAACTAAGAAATATTCATAACAAGACTTTTTTTCCTTCGTTTACGGGTGAGTTAAACATTCATCTATCAATTCAAAGTTGATGAACGTCCGAAAAAAAAAAAAAAAATCATAAAAGACTTGCTGTCAGCGAGAGACGTAATGGTCCTGGTTTGAACTGTGCGCATGCGTGCCAGAACGCTTACTCTCAGAGCGACTCTCTCGAACAATGGAATTTGAATGAATACAATCCTGTCCTGAAAAAATATACACTCTAAAACGAAACATTGTTATAACAAAAGTTAGATTGCAAAATAAAGATAGTTAAATATAGATAAGAAAATGTTCGAATTATCTATCTCTCAAAATGATTTAGTCTGACCTCTTGCCTGACATAATCTTTGGGGTTTCTTGAAAGAGACTGGTTTTAATAGCCCCTAAATGATTTAGGAATGGAAGAGACCCTGTCAGTAAGGCGCCAGTTGGCTTGTGACGCTGAGGCTAATTGAAAATCACTTATCTGCTCAATGCAATGCTAAGACGAGCAATTTTTTTTTTCAACAGAAACATGAGTGCAAGCAATTCCTCTAATGATATCACAGCTGACCCCCTCGGACGAAGCGATGTCCAAATCGGGTTTGAAGTCGCCTTCGCTGTGTTGATCTGTCTGATCAGCTTTATTGGAAATTCCTTGGTTGTTTACGCCATTCACCGCGATCGCAGACTTGACACCATAACGAATATGTTGATTGAAAATCTTGCGTTCAGCGATATTCTTATGGCGTTGCTGCATATGCCATTTTGGATCGTAAGTCTTCGATATGGAAAATGGATCTTTGGTCACGTGCTTTGTCAGATGGTTGGGGTCACACAACTCATTTTTGGAATTGTGTCACTGTTGACAATGACAGGAATTGCCATCAATCGTTACTTCAAGGTCGTCAAACGCAAACTGTATATTAAGTTCTTCTCCAACAGGAAAGCAACATACGCGGTTATTGCGTTTTGTTGGTTCGCATCTACTGCTGTAAACACACCGCAATTGTACGGCTGGGGAAAAATTGACTATCACGTCAATTTCTCCGATTGCACCTGCGTCTGGGCTTTGGATGATGTATCATTCATCGTATTTTTGTGCGCTGCTACAATCTTCATTCCAGCCACAATCATATTCAGCTGCTACTTTGTGATTTACAGAACTGTCCGTGAGAGCGCACGTCGTGTACACGGGCACGCAGCCTTACCGAACGCCACCAAAACCGAAGACAAGACCGAAAACAAAGTTTTGAAAACATCGCTAGTGGTGGTTTGTGTCTACATGGTTTGTTGGACCCCTCTGTCAGTAATTGGCTTCATAGAGGTTTTCGGATCAAGAAGTCCACGAATATTTTATTACCTGGCTTACGTCCTCGTCTACTGCAGTAATATGACGAACCCGTTCATTTACGGGATAATGAACCCCCAGTTCAAGAACGCATTTGCTTGTATACTTCAACTACGGGATTCTACCGCTAGTGAAGCCGAAAGAGTGTCGGTATCGCGAAATATAGCTTCTAACGTGGACCTGGCAGAAACGTATATTTCAACTGCACAAGCAGTGCCTGTGTAAGCTAGTCATAATTACGCTTATCGCTTTCATGGAAGGAAAAGTATCTGCAAACATCTATAGTCATAGCAGTTTTGTTTAGGGAAAGATTTCTGAGGCACACTCTAGTAAGCGGACAGTTCTCTGCTCTGGCCGCCCTGGACGCGTCACAACAGTAAGATATGTGGAAATTGTTTTTAGCTAAAATTAGAATATGTTGATAATTTGGCAGGGTATACAGGCATCAAGCAAAGAAGAACAAACAAAACCAGGAGCTGAAGGATATTAAGATATTTTACGCAGGTTATAAGCTCGAAAAGTTAAAGCTAATTTGTTAGGTGTTTGCAAGGTGAAGAGCTCTTCTATTTCAAATTTAGTTCTTCATAGTTTCGTCAAACTACGAAAGAAAACAGCCCGAACGCTTATATGTTTTGTTTTGTTTTTATTATAATTTTTACTATTTTTCTAAGAGCCCGAATGGCAATAGCACGAGTAAGGTGGTGAGCTTTGGAGTGAAGAGATTGTTACAACACATAGTTTAATATCTTTTTCCCCACGCGAAATACCGTGCGTTTCATTCATAGGAATTTAATGACCTTGTCCATTTTGCTTAAGTTATTCATTTAAAAGTCTACAAAGTAGTATCATGATATCTCCATAATTTGCATACCTATTCTTTATGGATTTGCCCAAATGGAATCCCAGACGTGGTGAGAAGCTGATCCGTTAATAACACGAAAAAAGTTGTTTGAGTATGAAGACGCATTCATCATAGGTCTTCATCCCAAATCTCTGTATAATACGAATCCCCCCCCCCCTTCTCCTTTTCCAAAAAGAGGAACTAGAACAAGTCACTAGAAAAAGAACTAGAACTGAGTTAAACAACGGGACAAGTAAAGCATCAATTAGCAAATAAAGCATCAATTAGCTTGTTGAATAAGTGAATAAATAAACAAAATTAACACACCGTATTGTCGATCATAATCCGCTCAAGGCTCAACAAGCCCTTAATGTTAGTAGATAACCAGAATATTGTATCTGAATTGATTGCGTAGTACATTTAGCAATTTTACTTTGAAAATATACGAAGATTGATGTGTTTGATGACATTTCCAAGCAACTTATGCGGCATTGTGATAAGAGTTTATCTAAAGTAGTCTAAGTTTAGTATATAAAAAATATCTAAAACAAAATTAACTAGCAAAAAGAACAGTATAACGATAAATTACGTGTAAGGCCCGGATGACATATTTTAGGTCAGGTCTTTTGGGATTCTGACGATTTGTACATTACTCATTACGATGACAACACTTTCCTAGCTAGGAAATCAGAAGTAAATAGCGTGGTAATGTAAAAAGGTAATAAAAAGGTTGAATAAATTAAAAGCGTAGCGTAAAAATTGCTTTGACCGCGCGTTGTACTCTTTAATAAGTGTGTTATCCATCCATTTCTTCGACAACCTTCAGGTGCATAGGTCTTAAATATTCCCTGACTTTGTAGGACTAACTGCGTGACATAGAAACGGTTATGCCTTATCTAGCTAGGTGTGATCATTTTGTAGGCTACCTGACTGCCGTTCTTTAGGATGTCACGCAACGTTCTTCTTCAAATAAAGGGGGCGAGTCGCGTGTTCCTCAAGGAAAAATTAACATTTTGATGGAAGTCGATAATTCCGCTAAGGCTTTAGCGATAAGATTTGAAATGGTGAAATAAAAACAGAGACTCAAATTATTATGTTTCCAAAGCGTACTATCGGAGCGGATCTCGCGATTGTTCGTATAACATACCGTGTTAACGTTTGATATACCACAAGGAACCCATTAATTAAAGTGTAAATGCTTTTACTCTTAACTTTCTACGGAAAGTGTAGGAATATTGGAAAGTTTCACATCATGGCATTACATTGTAACTAATACTGTGATGAAAAATCAACATAAGAACTAACTCAGATATTTTCTTTACCATGACGTCATAAAACATGGCGTCATTGTGCAATTTTAAAAAACTTAGTCCCTACATTTATGTCTGTTGGAGCCCAGTTCACTTGAATGAGATGAAGCTAAGAGTACTGTAAATGGCGTCATTTGAAATGTGTGACAAGTCCGGCTCAGATCAGGAAAAGAAATTAGCATCCATTGTTGAAAAATGGCTAAAGGAAAAAACATTTTGAGCAGCTTATGACTGAGAAAAACAAATGGATATAATATGTCTTTCTTCTGTACATATATATATATATTTTCTAATAATTCCTTCTCCTTTGAGCATTTTTTTATGAATTTCTCTATACCTCGCTTGTTGTTTCGGAAGGATTCGAGAGGAGTTTGGGCTACAAGAGATTTATGCGAAAGATAATTCTATCCATATGTCAAATATACCGAACGCAACTGAATACAATCACAGAACTCGACGTATATCTATTCCTGATAAAAGCGGATTTATCAAGTATAATATATCTAAACTTGGTAATGGCTAGAAAGGATATCCATTTTTAAACTATTTAACTTTCATACAAACACCATCGGTGCTTCTAGTTCCATGTCTTTTGTTTGATTTGATAATGGTGATAAAGTCCCGGATACTTGACTCTCTCGACTTCCAGCTTCGCGTTGAGAATACGGTCTAGTAGATCCCAGTCTTCTCCACCCCACTTGTACTGATAGAGAGCAGTATTCATTCCTTAAAATGAATAGATAAATAAGACACGAGCATGACTTTGCAATGAGTTATAAACATTGGCAGAAAAGGTAAAAGGGATTTTTTGATAGAAAACTTACATTGAGTGCACATTTCTTTCGGCAAGTCTATTTTCTCTTGGCAAGAGAAACATTTTTTTGGCAAGAGGAGCATTTGTTTAGGAAAACTTTTCTTCGTTAATGCAGCTCGACGAATAGTTGTGTTTACATTCTTTATTGATCAATATTTTTGCGTGTCTTATAGTCATAGAGTTCACTGATGTGGGTGGGTTACATTGTGACGAGGTCGGTATTGAACTGGATGAAGTTTATTTGCGAAGTTGTTGATATAACTTTGGAAAGGCCCTAGCGTGCAAATTTTCATTATTTTTGCTTAAAATACTAAATAAAGCTGCGAACTCACTCATATTTTCATTTCAAGCTGTTGAAAACATACTTTGTTAATTTCGAAAGCGCTATAATCGTCGTTATGTCCCTGCTGTATAACTACTTTGATAACATATACCCACCTCCAAAGCGTTGCCAGTCAGATTTGTATACACTGAGAAAACCATATCCGCTTAGCTCCCAGAAGCCTTTGTGATCGACGTATGTGCTACCACAATCTAAGCGACCAACTACAGGCGCATAAACAAAGCGTCCCTCTATTGTGTTCTGAAAATAAACGAGTATCAGGAAAAGTATTGGACTGACCTTTCTTCGATAAAATTAATTGCGATGCGAAATGTTGTTTGCAGTCATATCTTAGAAATAGATGAGCCCCTATCTCTCATTTAGAGTTGGTCGCACAATATCTCAATATATATCTCACATGTAGAGAGATATATATCTCAGTATATACATATCTCGATATATATCTCTCATTAGAGGGCAAAATAGGTTCCTGACAGTCTGATTCAAGCGACGAACTTAGTTGTCCGGCTGAAACTCGTACATAGCTTTAATTGCGGTTGAGACGTCAAGTTGGCAGCCAAACAAGGAAACGCTTTTCCCAGATGGGAACAGAAATAAACAGCAAGTCAACTCATTTTATAACCAAGTTGCATCCATCGTGATGGACCGATGGTATTGTACTAGCTCTCTGTACTCGATGACTCATGATGCTTTTGACTGTGCTACGTAATAAATGATTAGATAATTTGGTTTAATCAATTGACTTTACATTGTAAGCTAGCCATCGTGAGGAGTTTCCAAGCTGACGTTTAATCCACAGCTACATTTGCTATACTGTAAGGCAGTTGAGAGAAAAGGAAAAATGAAAATATTTGTTAACCCTAGGACGAACATGCAAATACATACCTCACTCAGGTACAAGGGGGATGAGGTTAATGGAGGGGTGGCTGGATCCCCCCCCCCCTCTAGCATTTTCGCTACGACGCAGTATCTTGCAAAGATTTACCTTAAATGGATAGTTTGTTATGTCGTCTACTTTTGTCGTCTATGTTAATATCATGGGAAAATGGAGCTGCTGGGGTCAGTGACGTTATCGAACATGTTTTTTTAGATTTTTCACTTTTTCCACTACAATATTTCCCTTGTCAGAGAACGAAAGCTATCAAACTTAAGAGTAAAATCAAAAATAATATTCAAAAAATAAATAGTAACTTTACTGTACTTCCCTTTTCAACTTAGAAGATTTAGTTCGTTCGTAGTCATATCAACCCTTAAACCACACCTCATTTGTCATTTAATATATTCTATATCTTTGAGTTGATTTCCACCAAATTCACAGCAAATACTCCTCCAAGATAAACAAACAGTTACTGAAGGGGAAAGTTGCTCAGATGAAATCCTCTTCAGACAATTTTAAGAAAACCCGAGAGGAGTCAACTTCCACTCACCCCCCCTCCTCACCCCCCTTCTCATCCCTTCCCCTTTGTACGTCCGAGGGTTAATTTAGTAGACACTATTTGATATGATCAAGCTAGGTCACCAGCAGTTATGAGAATTGATGTTACGTTCTTGGAAGTGAAAGAGCTGATGACATTATCCGAACCGACTCACCTTGCGAACGCTGTCCAACATATCTACTGGTACGTCAGTATGGAGATCAAACAGAAACAGTAAATCTTGCGCACTTGGAACATGTTCAACTGCTGTGTTTAACGCCAAAGTCTTGAAAAATTTACCTTCTAACGAAATAATCGTATGTCTGTTGCGAAGAAGAGAGGTATCAAACGCCTTTGGCAAATCTATATCTTTACTCTCAAAGTCAACGATAATGACATGAAAGTTCGTATCAGCGGTCAAATAGCTAGCAATGGTGAGCTCGTTGATTAAGTGATAAACCCATTTTCCTTGGTCCTTGACAGGGACTATGAAGTACACTTTAGCCTCTTTATTCCAAGCCATACCGTCCTGGAAGCACAAACTGTGATTGACCTTTTCTTGAAAGACGTGTTCTGACAGGCGAAACGACTGTTTAGTACCCTCTAAACCGACCTCCAGCTCAACAGAGTAACGATCTCCGTAAACTGGATCTGTCCTCTGCAGTATTTTGTGGATTCTCTTTAGAAAATAGTTTCTAAATCAGATCAATAGAGAATTAGTCAAAGATACTGAAACTCAATTTTAAGGGGCGTTATTCAATGGGCACTAACCCACATGACAAGACACATGTTTCTAATCTTGCGCGAATACTGTTACTGATTTTGCTCGAGAGATTCAGTATCTTGTTGGGAATTTATGGAACAGAGGTAGAGACGCAAGAACGAAACCAAAGTTTCTTCTTTCGAATAATTCTAAATAAACTTACTAATATAATGAAGAGATAAATATCACATGCAACACATAAACGGGAAATGAAAATAGAGAATTGAACTTATCTATGCTATTCTAAAATCTTCGATACGGAGGTGTTCTCAAGAATCCATTATTTGACGAAATATGGAATTTCATTAGTCAGGAGAAAGACTATCAATAAACATTTTGGCAAAGAAAAATGTAGCCTTTGATGAGGTGAATAGAATGCTGAGGCATGTACCCATTTTTCATCAAGATTTATTTGTTCGTGCCCGATAGGGCTGGTGGAGTAAGCTACAAGATTAGAGAGAAACAGAAAAAAGAATTAAGAATCGGTATTAAATATTGTCTCAACTATTTTTACCATTCGCTGTAGCTTTTTGTTGTTTCAGCCCATATAGTAATAAAGCAAAGACCTTTTATATCCTGATAATGTCGTCTTCAGGAGAGAAGAAAACGTATTCAAGCTGTATTTTGGAAGTGGACAGATAATTGAGTTTAACGTGATGGATCGATGGTATTGTAAAAGCTCTCTGTACACGAAAAATCACGCTACTTTTGACTGCCACATTTAGTAGTAAGATACCTTTGTTATATTAATTGAGTTTATAATGTAAACTGACCATCGTATTGAGCTTCTAAGCTAACGTTTCGAGTTTCAGCTCTTTGTCAGCCCCCTCTCTCAGCGACAAAACATGATATTTTCTTTAGAAACTTACCTTTTGTATATATGATTAACTTACTTGGATGTTCCCAGTCTCAAAGAAGTCATAAGCTTATCCACAACTGCTTGAATTACATCCTTGTTGGCAACCTTATTTGGCCAAGATATTAGGTAGCCTAGGTCACCCATTGCAGTGTCGTCCTCAGGATATACGATCGATTCAGGAACCGCTTTCACCCCTTCGTACGTATGAACTCCTTGCTGCAGCAGATAACTGCTTTTGTATTCGCACGAGGGTAAGTAACTTATTCTGGGAATGAATGGCAGAGAATAGAATGACAAGTATTCCTTTCTAAATTTTTTGGATTTCCTCATTGCTAGTTCGTGTTGGTGCTGTCCTAAAAAAGACATATGAAGGGCACCTTTTTTCTCTGTAGGAACTGGAATTTTGATTGGGTAGGTGGATATGTAATTTGCATTTATCAGTTTGAAATCATCCTCTAGAGCACTCTTCCAATACAACTGTACAAAACCATTCTCGGTACCTTGTTTGTGAAGAATTTCGAAGTAATATTTCTTGCCGTTAAATAGGTTCACTGTTTTCGAAATTTGATCTGGATATTTATCCAATACATTTTCAGTGGTCCAAGCAGAAGCACTCTTTGAAAACACTTTTGCTCTCAATTCCTTTTCACGTGGATCTTCACTAAAACTAAGCCAAAATTCTGATGTATCATCAGAAGCTATGGCAAAACGGTAGGACATACTGCTGGGTGGGTATAAAAAGCCAAAAATGCGTCGACCATAGTGTTCTGTGTTGTCTTGAATTTTAAAGTCGGTGATGAATACTTCAAACTGTTCATCGGGAAAGTAAGGGAAAAATATTGATTCTCTGAGTTGTGAGACGTCAAAGCCACACAAATTCCGCCATGTATGAACGTTCACTGCACCCATGAGAGGCTTTACAGTTGTTATGCCAGTTTCTGGTTGGATGTTTTTTCTTAACCGTTGTTGTGAAGACTTCAAAATGTAACGCCAAATAAAGAACCCTACTAGAGTAAATAAAATGAAAGCTTTCCCAAGTCTTTTCAGCTTGCGAGAAGAAAGAAACCTTCTACGAACTGCCATATGTTGGGATAATTCTGGTCAACTGTGAAAGCGAAGTGCTGATGGCTTCATGACCAACTTCAGAAGTCACCGTTGAAATTTCGTCTTGAATCCTCTTAATTTGACGAACTCAGACCCTGTGGAATCTAATTAAGATAACTGTATAATGAGTTTGTTTATTCTTTCTGGTATATGATTCACATTTCCTTTTTTTTTTTAAATAAGAAATCAAGTGACCTGAAATATCCAAAGTGTATTAAAATAAATTACGTAAAAATATTTGTTTGTTCAAATTAGCAAAAAGAAGAGAACGAGGGGTGGAAATGGACGACTCGAAATCTAATTATACATGTCATTGCCACCGGTTCTAAAATAAATACTACAAACGTAATACATTCAGAACGCAACAAATAATTCAGGGGCGAATCAAGAAATTCTAGAAGGAGGGGGCCGAAGAAAATGCGGCAAGAGCGCATCTCCCTTCCCCCCTCACATGCCCTCCATCCGAACTAGTCTAAGTGCAACCGTACCCTCCCCCAAGGTGAAACCTAAGTGAGGGAATGGGAATGAATAACATAAGAAATACGAGGCGCTCGATCGATGAATGTCGACAGTTACCTGATCATTTGGGAATTCGTCGAAACAGTATTTAGTGATGGATTACTTGTAATCACTTATGAACTAGAGAGAACACTTTCATTTGCGTAACCTGCACGAAAGTCAAACTATTTAAGAATAGCTGCGCGGACTGGGACTAGGCTGGTGAATTGGTTTCTAGAAATGCGTCGTTCCACCCTTCGACATGTAATAATGCTGGCGGTGAACTACTGTATGATGCGCTGTGAGCCTTACTGTTCGTCTTGTCACAAGCGAGGGGCCAAAACAGTCCGAATTTCCTTATGTAACGGGAACAATAACATCGTTATTTAATTTATCACCATCTTCAAAATTTTCTATCTCTGATATTATGCTTACTGTAAAAAGGTTTGTTGATTAGACAATCTGCATTGTGCTGCTACTAATAATATTGTTATCAGTAGTGAGTCAATAATAAATTTGCATATGTAAAAGTGAAACCAAGTGAAGAAAGTGACAGATATAATTTTGACCGGTATTACCAAGGAAACCGCCGTATCTTACAAAAATGTGAATTAATATATCAAACACGAGGAAGAGTGTTTCATCCAATATCTAAACACCGAGAAATGGTTGATATATCCAAACCTCCTTCACTGTTGTAATTTCCTTCGTTTCCTCAGCATGAATTATAAATGAGTTTATGAAGCAACGATCAAATCTCGCAAGGACATGAAATATGGTCCTTAGGCCGAATTTCCTTTCAATTTTTCTTGCAAACACATTTGAATTCCTACAATATATTTACCACAAGCCAATAAGCAAAAGAATACCACGAAAAGAAAACGATTCCTCTTGATTCTTCCAGGAATTTATAAGAAATGGGTTTAAGGGATTTTCCATCTTCAATTTGCTCTTTCACTCGAAAACGATTTCTATTGATTCTTCCTGGAATTTATAAGAAATGGGTTTAAGGAGTTTTCCATCTTCAATTTGCTCTTTCACTCTTAAGCTTCAGAATGCCAGTTCGAGCCGAGATTGAGTAACAGTGTTGTTGAATAGAAAGCGGGCGAACGATTGCTTAAATTCACACAAAAAAATGAGAGAAAAAAAGTACGAAGCATTATAAGTACATGAATAATTGATAAGACGAGTACAAGACAACTCAATATGCACAAATAGCATCCACAAAATATGCACAAACTTAAAAGTTAGTTACACAAAAAGCAGGTTTCTGTCGGATATTTTTCACCTTCTAGTCAGATCCTACCTTGGACGATAGAAATAGATTTCCTGCCAGTTACGTCTTCGTGAGGAAAGAAGCGCTACACATCCAGACAAATCTCCATCGCGTGAATAAATGGTTTAAGAAAGTTGCTATAGACTATATTTACTTCTTAAAATACTAGTCATGTCCTGTCGCTTGAGATTCGGCGGTTATGTCTTTACAGCAAACTCAGAAGGGTGAGTTTAGGTGAAATTCAACAATGTGGTGTTTCACAATAAAAAGTTAATATTCCGCGTCCACGAGGTCCTCGTTCAGATATGACTTCCGGTTTAGAACAATAGGCGTTGTCTCTCGCGTCTGCAAGTTGCTAAGTGAGGGAACTGTTCTATGGAAACATTAGGGATTTTTTTCGTTGAAAAACTCTGCGAAGAGACAAAGTAAATACATTAAAGAATTTATGAAATCTCAGTCAGGGCTAAATGCAACGGATATCACCTACTCATTGAACTCATTGATTCAATAGTTCAAAAAATAAGATGTTTTGGTAAACGAAAAGTTAACTATTAAAAATTGAACTGTAACCAGGATATGACATAGTGAAAAAGGTGAAAAAAAAACGTTCTCTGGTTAAAAAGGTTTTAAAATATGAGCTTTCGGCTGTTATACTATAGCCTTTAACGAATGTAAAAATATAAGCGCGTGAATGGAAATATATACAGGGGAGGGTGTGAAAAAATTAAAAACTAAAAAATACAATAGAAGTGTGAAAAGCTAAAAAATGGACAATAGAAAAAAATCAAATTACAATAAGATAGAATATTGTCTTGGTAACGGTTTAGAGTTATTGTCTGCGCCGACAGTTTTTGCGGTATGCCAAGATGGGAAAACAATCGCGCGATTGACTTTGAGGGCGCTACCGTGATAGACAAAGGCAATCAAAGTCAATCGCGTGATTGTTTTCCCACGCATGGTTGGCAATGTTCGAGCCACTCGAACAATACAATACGTATCGGTTATTTTCGTTCCAGAAGAGACATAAGAAAGGAAGTGGTTGACAACAGTTGGGTGGTTTCTCTCGGAGTAAAACTTTTTTAAGGCGTACTGGAAACTTCTAAACACGCCAGAGGATAAAAACCAAGTCAGTCTAAACTACAGACATTAGTCGTTTTAAAGACTTCTCAAGCCAAAACTATCTGCTAAACCGATCAACTGTTACCATCCTTAGTTCATACCGTGTACTTAAGAGCGTTTGTCAGTAAAAATCAAACATATCGCGGCAAGGGTGGAAAATTCGATTTCTTTCTTATTTTAATGTTAGATAGGCTAGACTATAACTAAAATCACGGGATACTTTTTTTTGGCAAAATATCTTTTTATTTCAGAGAAAAACACAAATAATAAAATTCCGTTGAAATCGTCACTTTTAGCAGCAAATTATTGCACGAGTTTGAGGGCTTCGCGTGCAAAAACGAATCACTATCTCGTCTTTTAAACACTCAAATCTTCTTTTTCGATCTCACAAGACCTCACAAAATGATTTTTGTAAACATTGCGCTCTTCTTTGCGCTTAAAATAATTTAATTTCATGGCTATTCATGGCGGAATGTTCAAATTTTTTGAATTCACGATGAACATAAGGAGGAGTGCAAAAAATCTCTTTAGAAGCTCAGTCTCACGAGGCGCCAAGATAACAACTCTCTTTCATTATCGGAACGAAATTCAACCATACTCCTAATTTTTGTTTCTGTTTGTTTGTTTTTCGAAGAACTTCCTTGGACGCCATTTAGGCCCAACTGATATAAAATTATGACTCGAAACTAAAAAGATCATATAGAAGGAAAATAGTTGTACCTTTTCTATCTTTCGAATTTCGATAAAAAACATTTTTTGCGAGGGTCGCGGGAAAATCTATTTGAGAAAATTTCAAGTGGCAGGTAAAACTATCAGTTTCCACCTAGCTGTCGATTTGGATGGGATTTTAAGTAAAGGCGTCGATAGCCTTGGTCTCTCACAGGATGCCTGAAGATTACGTAGAATGATCCTTGCTCAACAATGTACCAATGAAAATGAAGGGAAAAAATTCAGTTGAATTGCTATTGATGGAGGTTAAATATTCATGAAAAGTTTTCATTATTGTAAGCATATGCAGTCATATGCAGGAATAGATAATGAAATTAATAATAGTCATAAAAAATAGCATTAACTTCGGTCACAAGCCTTTAAAATATTCCACATCCGTTTCTGTCATAAAGTAATGGAGTGTTTTTTATGTCTGACTATGGAGTCTTTTGGATTCTCTTTAAAGAGCACTTTTCATGTATTAATCTTCTTAGTATTAATTACTTTCCTACTTTAACCCTGCACTATCGATATCTTCTGTTTTTTTTTTTTATTTTATTTTATTTTTATCGTACGATTCCTCTTTTTCTCTCATGCAATTTTATTTTTGTGTATATTGATGTATGAAATATAGGTTAATTTAATTAGCAAACAATATTATATCTTTCTCCTTTTTTGAAACGGAGAAGAAAAAAGCTGCAACAACAACAAAAACAATCAATGGAGTCACTTTCGATGCGGCTCACGACGTACGTTCCGCCGGTGTACTGTCCATCTCCTTTGGACTTTAGCAGGATGGGTAAATTGACCTCACTGAGCCTCGCACATTAGTTTGGAAGTTGCGCCATTGAAAGAGGTCTCCTTCTCCTATCTGGCACGTCTTAGACATGCGCATGATTTCATCTTCTCTTATCACGCGACCCCAAATGTTGACACCTGTGAGTTTACCGATAAAACTTTGGCTTGCTTCAAAATTTCCCCCCAGAAAGTCTTGCTCTTGTCCTAAAATAAGGACGCCACCTCCGCGGATCCAGTGACCTATTGTAAAGAAAGTGAGGGCTGACTTAAGCTTTCATACGAGGGAACCCCAACCTCATTATTTTGAACTAATATCAGGCTTTGGAGAGCGAAAAATAGAAGAATCTGATATGTTGCATGAAGCAGCAGGGTTCAATGTAAGAGGTGCCTGAAGAATTATGTTTATTCGGCGGCAATCGGTAAGTTTTATCAAGTGACGTCAGAGGTGTTTACCTTTTGCGAGGCCGTGACCGGAAGCTGCAACTCGACCATCTTTGAACAATTTCCATGATCCAGCGATATTCTCCCACGTTGTGCAAATGTGATGCCAGTCTCCATCATTTGCTGATACAGAGGTACGTCTAAAGAGAGGCAGGGATTGTAAGTAAACAATTTGTGTTAGATGGAATAAATAAACTATCAGCACAAATAAATGCAAAGAAGAGAGAGGCAGGGATGAACAATTATCACTTATAACACTTCTTTCATCATTTTATTTTTAACTTGTTCCTAATTTTGATGCTTTGGTGTGCGAAGTCAAGCTCACATTATCGAAATAACCCGTGTGTGCTGCCAAGTTGCTTATCAGTGAGTCTGAGTGTTTTAATCCTCCATATTTGAACGCAACTTCATGTATCAAATAAGTCAGAATGCTCTTACCTGTTTGAGCCTCCGACCCAGACATTAAAATTCCTATAGTCTTGTAGAAGCAGTTCGTTGTCCTGGCCAGAAACAGCGTAGCTCAGCGGTACTCCTCCGTTACTTGCAGTGGTTTTCATCCATAAACAAACTGTCATGGCATTGAGCCTTGGCATACCTCGAGAGATGACATAGTCGCTCGTTCTTTTTCGCGGGAAATACAGAGCATAGGTACTGCCTGGCGCCACGGAGGTGAATAAAATTTTAAGGTTCTTCATTATCTTCTGAAGAATGGATACATAACTGCATGATAACTCAAAAAACGACTGAGTAAAGAAATTACTGAATTAATTATATAAAACAGCTGTCTGTTGTTTACCAAGAGAATATCTTACCATATGCACAAGTAGGCTGCTCTCCTGTCCATGATCCATTACCCAAGCAGTGACGTTCTGATGATCCTCTAAGTAAGTAACCTTGCTGACAACTGAATGAAATACTTTCCCCTTCCCAGTTTTGCTGTCCGTGAGTGAAGCCATTTTCCAGTTTTTTCAATGGAGGACATACTCTTTGACCTATATCGACCAAAAACCAAAAATTAAATAACCAACTTAACCAAAACAGGGCCCTAAATTATACCATTATTGAGTGGTTTTAGACAGCTTGTAACTAGAATTCTGTAAAATGCAAGATAGTGTACAGAAGCTGCACTTACATGAAGGTTGTATTCCACTCCACTGACTAGATGGAAGACAAAGTCTCATAGACGGCCCAATGAGTCGATATCCTGGCATGCATGTGAAAGACACAGATTCCCCTGTCCAATAGTGTGAGCCATGTTTTTGTCCATTGAGTGGAGAACCAGGATTGCCACAATTGATTAAATCTGAAAAAGACAAAGTAGAATCGTTAACTTAATCTTAAGGCAATGTGAAACCTTATAGAAAGGTGATCCGACTACCAAACTTCGTACACTGGAGAACTGAACCTAAACATGTAAAAACCTTTTTACATGCAAGCCAGCGACAAGAAACGGTATTTTGACTATCAATTGCCATTTATATTGGTGTATATATCATATTTCATGTTCAAATATTTTATATACTTACCTAAAACTGTATTAGCTTCGGCTGTAGCATTCTTATCATTATAGAATAGACATGTGAAGTTTCCAGCATCGTTCGGCTTGAACTGATGAATGACAAGCTCACTCCTTATCAAACCATTGCTGTGGTGTTCTGCTGTTGATTTTACTCGTCGTCCGTCCTTGATCCATTGGATTTTCGGTAAAGGAGTACCACCAGCGGAGCAACTTAAGTTAACAGATTCGCCAATACGCTGCACCTGTATTTTACTTACAGGGCTCGAAACAATGTAAGGATTCACTAGCACAAATAAACGTAGTAAGAACTGGCTGTTGGACTAATATTGAACTAAATGGCAAAATAGGACTTCAGCCTACTCTAGCGAAATTAAATGACTGAAGCAATTGTGAGCTGTTTAATAAATAACAAAGGTAATAATAATAATAATAATGATGATGATGATGATGATGATGATAATGATGACAATGAAGATCAGGATAATAATAATGATAATAATAATAATAATAATAATAATACTACTAATAATAATAATCATCATCATCATAATCATGATAATAATCCTGTTGTTTCCAACTGTGGATACTTTTCATCTGAATATCTTGGAATGCTTAATAGGCTCAGGGATGTGATCTGCTGATCTGACGTAGCCACATGTAAAAGTACTTTTAGAGACAATGATGTTTTGTCCTTCTTTAGGTTATTTACTAACCTGGATCTTTAACCACGACCCATATCACACCTATCACACTTTGTAACGGATTCACCCCTTGGCAAATGTAGTTTCCAAACTCATCGTTTGTCGTGTTGCGAATTGTCAGCTTGTTGCCAGAAATGACATGCCTGCTGACAGGGAGTTCACCGTGCGTTCTTTTCCATGTTACCACGGGGGTAGGGTGGCCAAATATGTCGCATTTTAGAGTAAAGTCCCGTGCTGTGTAAGCTGTCACAGATATCTCTGGTTTAATTACGAATTTTGTTGGTACTAGTGCAGAGAAATTGAACGCAAGAAAGTTAATACATGTAGATATTTTGTAACATCTTACTATTAGAATCACCTAGACAAACAGACAAACAAATAAAATAAAACAAATACCTTAAAAATATACCCCCCAAAAATTCTCCATATTTTGAAATAGAAGTAATTGGGAGACGATTTTCACTCATTTTTTTTACCCACTTTGGTTTTTTTAGTTCTAAGTAATATCTAATATGGAGACTGTTCAATCACTGTTGAGTAACTTGACAAGCAGTGAGACCGAGATGAGGCGAACCAACCCGTATCGAGGACTGACCTCAGTCGGATCATTGGACGTTGAACGAAGACAACGGTAATGTAAGCTAATGAACTGAAATGTAAATTCATTTAACAAACCTTGTACTGTGATATTTGCGGTTATTTTTTCTCTACCCAAAATATTCTCCGCGGTGCAGGTATAGAGACCACGATCTTCAAAAAGGATATTTCTAAATTCCAGGTGTCCTTCTTCAAATTGCTTCCTCTCGTGCTCGATCACTCGTCCGTTTTTATACCACGTTATTATGGGCTTTGGAAACCCAGCTGCCTTACAAGACAATATCACATTTTGATTCTCTCTAACCATCAAAGAGGAAGGTTTCGTAATGAAATGTGGTTTTTCTGAAAATGGGAAATACGATTTTTTATTCCAAGTTCATTCAAAGATCATTCTTTTACGCTATAGAACTTCTCAGAGCTGGCGCAATAATTACTAACACAAAAAAGTTTATAGCATCAAATTTGAAAGTACATTTCCACTTGTGGAAGAATAATGCTTATATTTTATGTTTAACTTCATGTACAGTTTTATGGAGCAGACATCAACACGTTGAAGTGTTTGGTTTTGTCTTCAAGAGACACCAATGCACCAACGACTGGAGAGAGTCATGCCCAATAACAGGAGCTAGTCACAACGATGGGATGTCAACAAACTTCCATTCTAGGAAAATTTAGTAATATCAACTGAGCTGATGACGTAAACTGACCACCGTTAGGAGTTTCAAAGCTGACGTTTCGAGCGTTAGCCCTTCGCCATTTGATCTGATCGAAACTTCAGCTTTGAAATTCTTATGGTGGTCAATTTACGTTATTATCAGGCCAGTTGATACTACTTAATTACCTTTTAATACTCTTCCACCGACGTAGCACCACAGTTTCTTTGGAAACTTACCCCCCTTATTCAACTTCCATTCTAACTAGGCGTGCCCGCCGGCCCTTTCTAATCCCCATTGCACTAAAGTACTCATCATTGCTATGACTGTTATATCAATTTCTTATTTTTCCATATTGTATTTCTAGTGGATTTCATAATGTATTTTTAATGTATTTCAAGCTTACATAGATATGGATGCATATTGTAAGATTACAGAGTACTCAGAAAGCAAGAGTCGCTTCGTCCTATGCTTCCGTTCGTACCAATTCCTAAATAACATCAATCAGTATCACAGCAAACTTAAGACTGAATGACGCTAAAAATACGAAAATCTTACCTAACTGCCGCACATTACTTCCCCTTTTTGAATCTGTCGATTTTCCGGGGGGTCCTGGTAGTCCTTTGATTCCACGCTTCCCTTGGGGACCCGGTGGCCCCTTCGTTCCTTTTCTTCCTTTTCTACCGGGAGGTCCCTGGGGACCTGCTGGTCCACGAGAACCGCGAGGGCCTGGTGGACCTTGAGGTCCAGTGCGACCTGATAAAATCAAAGTATTGTGACGATTGGAGTAATGTGAACGTGTAGATTTGCTACAATTTGTTCAATATGTGTGACAGGCGGTGTAAGCAGCACAGCAGTTTTCTGTTTCAGTGTGCTTATCTTTAGTGTGCTTATCTTTATTACACCACTTTGATTACCTTGCACCGTGTTGCTATGGATTCTTGAGCGAATTTGTGACACGCGCTGACGTTATTCAGCTCTGTACCGTAAGGAGTCATAATCTCGACCGCTTTCTTGCGGCGAGATTCAGGAACGTGTTGACTACGAGCAGGCCGTCACTAGTTCGCGCCACAGTATGAGCGTTTCCTTACCCGAGATAAAGTTTGAGGTCTGGAGAAAAACGATCAGTGCCAGAGCTCGCGTCACAAGCCTCTCGCTGGCTCGCTTTGATTAAGGCCTTATGACGTCTCGATGGCAAAGAAATGCTTAAGTCTCAGGGTTAATAATGAGGGGCTACTCGCAGACTACAGCCACATTATGATTATACCTTCAATGCAAACGATCTTCTCTTGACCTTTATCCAGTGTCTTATTCTGTTGATCATAAAAAATATGGGCTCTTGGCAAAATACAAGGCTGGAAACTTCGGAATCTCGGAATCTGTGTCTAGCTCATGAAAAATCACTACGTAAAAAGCCGTGCTAGTGTAGATGTCATTTTAGCTGGTTTCTTTGAGGTCTGCTGATATCATATGATAATATGATACGATCATATCAACGTGTGATGAGGAAAATAATTAACAGTATGAGGAAAATAATATAACAGTATGAGGAAAATAATTAACCTTAAAGTGACATGTTGTTTGTGCGGTGAGCTTATAAGCTAAAAATAAATGAAAACGTTGTGACCAATAATAGTACTGAACAATAACTCACATTTTGTTGTGTATTCGAGTCGGAACAAACCGTTCTACACTTGCTACAGATAGAAGGACTTGAAATATCTCTTTTGACGATTTGGTCCGTCGTCTTCCATCCTCTTCCAGGCGCGTTCTCAGAGGTAATTTTAATAGTCGCACCATTTGCGTGTTGATATGGAGTACTTTTCAGCATCAAATTTTGCTCAATAGCTGTTAGACGACTGTCCAGTCGGTTCAATGAGTAACACGTAAAACCAAGTGAGCCCAGGGTGAGAATCAAATGGAAAGAAAAACCATAAAGGAGAACGTTCGAATGCTTGACAATTTTGGTCTCCATGTTTGGTAATATCTCTTGTGATCAGTGAAACAGAAACCTTGTTGACTTCCGCTCTGAGTTTCTGATACATAATGCTGACCTGATACATAATGCTGACCTCTTTGCTCTATACCTATTCAAATTACGTATTTGTTTTGATATCCCGCGAAGCTTTCTGTAGTATCTGGGACATTCAGTCTTAGAGACACCGTCCAGATGTTCAAATACAGGAACAATCAGGCACGAAGTTACCATGTTAATATTTCGTAATTACAACGACTGTTTCCCCATTAAAAGATAACTCTAATATCTTAGGCGGTGTAACATTTCTGTAAGATATTTTAGAACAGAAAATGGATATTACGATCAGAGAGTGAACCTTCAACGTCGGCAATTTTTTAGGAGCCATTACTTCGCTCCTGCTCTTATTTGGTAATGGTAATGCAGGGTAAGCTGTACAAAGTCATAAAGGTCGGTCTGGTCAAAACTCTATACCCCCCCCTCCCCCCTTCTCGTGTTAAGATGAAGTTATGTAAACACTGCCGTTGAAAATCCTCTATCGCTAAGATTCATTTAGCCTAGTATACAAAATGTCATTGTGTATTAAATATGTTGGCTTAGCGTTCCTAATAACGCTCTTTTTGCTTTTAATTTTCCTTTTCGCGGGAGCTACCTCTACTTATAGTCTCTGGTAATTGTAAATTTCTATTATTCAAAAAACAAATTAGGGATAAATTATGTGTGCGAACGTATTATCTTTGTTATTCCCATTTTCTTGCGGCTTGAAACTCGTGTAAATTAGTTCTAAAAATCCGATCTGCTCACCCGTAAAATAAGTCACTAATTGAACAAAGCTTCGTTTTAAAATTTGTGCGAATTAGTCTAGACGTTACTAATTTGCACTGTCCAAATTAATAATAAAATGAGCTGCGTTTAGCCAACAAAAATGGATTTATTTTTCAATCAAAACGTGGTGAGCCCAATTGATGGACTCCTTAAATTTCCTAGGATCAGTTTAGAATTCGGAAACTTTAAGCGACGCGCTAATCGATCGGAAATGCAGCCCACGTTATGAACTTATCTGACAGACTAACTTTCCGGAGGAATACCTTTTTAGATTTTATTTCTGAATATTTGATCTTTAAAAGAATCGAGGATTCAGTAGAAATATGATGAAATTATGCTTGAAAGTTTTCACTTTTGCCCAATTTTTCTGCATTTTTTTTAGGTACAAAAAGTAATTTGCTGTGTTGATCTATTAAGAGACATCATTTGGCTTGTTCATCCGCAATTGCCGGATGAAATAAAAAAGCTGAAGGGTTGTCATAAATGAAAATCGTTTTCCTCTATGAGTTAAAATATTGTAGAAACATCTTCCAGTTCACCAGAAAGGTACGTTGTATGAAATAATTGCGAAAACATTCGATCTCAGTGCTGTTCGAAAGTTTTTGACTTAAAATGGCTAAGGCACCCAAGTTTGTGAAATTTCTATGCTAATGATCAACTAGCCATTGCAATGAACTAAAATGTAACATAAATGGCATAAACCGACGAAGGAAACGAAACAGACTGTGAGGAGCCTAGCTAATAATGTTAGAAGGCTCAAAATTACATATAGTGAGGAAGGATTGAGCCAGGTATCACGTAGGTCTAACTTTTTTGTGTTGTCTTAATAAGGCATCTTTTTTCATTTTGAGGTGATTGGGTCAATGCTTAAATTGCTTTGCGAGTAATCATCGATAATAAAGAAACGAATATTTTCGTATTGCTCTTTTGTTGGGTTATAGAAAGTGGACGCAGATAAACACCTCTCGGCATCAGTAAGTGTATCAGTTGCCTGGTACTAAGGTGGAAGAATTACTTTAAACTTGCCAATAACTTGCGATTATCTGAAATTACACCGAAAGTGCAAATTAGTTCTCAGTAAAGCATCTCAGTGTTTCATGTGGCAGTAATTTAGAGCTAAGCAAATCGCTATGTCCAAGCTCCTTAAATGGGATTTGATAGGCATCTCAGAGTTGTAAAACCGTTTGACATCAGTTCATACGTGTCATCGAACGGTGTAAGCCTTCATAGAAGCGAAAAAAACTCTAGAACAACCGATTTTTCTTATCCTTTAGGTCATTTTTTCGTTGAAAATCATTGGGAATTAAATGGCTGCCAACACTACCCACAGAAACCACAATATCACAGGCGAAGACGACGAGATGCCAGTTCCTGCCTCCCACTGTATTCCATGGCTTTTTGTGCACATCACTGAATGTCTGGCCATAGCCATCTTTAATATAATCACCATTATTGTATTTGTGAAACAGCGCAAGCAGCTACAGCGCCGAAGTACATACTTGATCATCCATCTAGCGGTAGTCGATCTCTTGGCCGGGACAGTCTCAGGGCCTCTTCAGATTGAAATGAGAATGGCAGAGTTTTGTCAATTGTGGAATTTTAATCTTGATATTTCTTTACTTCGCTTAAAAGCCGCGTTAGGATTTTTTCCCGTTGCATCGCTCATCAATCTCGCTGTTGTTTCTTTGGAGCGACTGCACGCAACATTTTGTCCATTTAACCATCGTTTTATGGCAAATTGGGTTTATGGAGCAAGTATCATTGTCTTCTGGGTCATTATAGCAAGCATGCAAGCAACTGAACAACTGATCGCTTCAAACGACCTAGGCTACTACATCTTTTATTTTTTATGTTTCTTCATTCCTCTCTTCACCATTTTAATTTCTTATGCCAGTATCTTTTTCAAAGTCCGCTACAGTCGTCATCTTCAACATCTCGGGGCAGCTGTCCAGAGGGATAGAAAACTAACCAGAACCTTATTTCTTGTCACTCTCGGATCATTGTTCACTTGGTTACCACTGATAACATACCAATGTCTACTCATTTTTCATCCTGAGTTACACATAACTTTCGAGTCAGAATTCCATGTTGATATGTTATGGCAGACTATTTTGCTTTCGAATTCGTTGATCAATCCTATAATCTACGCCATGCGGATGCCAGAGTTAAGGGCAAGCATATTGCAATATTTCCGAAGGAACTCAAACCACGTTAACCCGCTTGATTTGCCACTGCATGATATTTAATTCGCCGTTTGATCTTTAATTTCCCTGTTACCATAGAGCAAGCCGCTAAATCTTGTCATCGTTCCACATCCGCTGGAAAAGACTGATTACAATACGTGTGCAACAAAATCAGTTTGAAATGTTTCATATGTAATTTCTCAATGCAGTATAATTTTCCCGCCAACAACATTGTCATTAAAGCAAAGGGTGAAAGGTTTCGTCTGTTTAGTACGAATGGGGAACAACCGTCGTTAAGTAATGCATTCTTTAAACAATTGACGGTTCAGGCAGGCACAAGGCAAAAGGAACGATTGCAATGGACTATTCATAGTGAAGGACTGGATCCGAGGTCGACGAAAACGATTTCATACTACCTAAATCTATAATCAATTAACTTGAAGAATTGGTCCAGCTTCATTTTCTCACTCAAAAAGTTGATCAGGTGAGATACAAAATTTAGGTATTAGACGCAAGTCTCTTTGCTCTACGCATGTAACAGCGGCATAAAATTAAGTTCTTCAGTTGTTTTATAAGCAAAACAAATCCTCACTTACATTAACACATCAATATTTACGTATATTTTTATCCCAGCTTCTTCTATCTTAAAAATACGCGTCGTGTTATGACTAAATAATCGTAAAGCCAATACATACGAAGCTTTGGCTCTATCGGCTCATAATTGTTTTCTTAATACGCATAGAAGTAACAAATTAGAAGTCTATGTAGTTGGTTCAGCCTATTTCGTCTAACGTTTCGACCGACATTAACCAAAAACTTCTAAGTCTTATTTGACAAAGTAGCTCCAAAATTCTCTGATGATACTCTGATCTATGATAGTCTGAGCATATGCCTGTCTATGTAGAGTTATGGATTGCTTTGATTCAAGTATGCTAATGTATTTACAGTATACCAAATCCCCCCCCCCCCTTAAACTACTTTCTACCCGCATGTAAACTTCTGTCATTACGCAATGGATAATACAAATGACGAAAAATCATTTAAATTTTGATTACGCCCCAGTCTTGTCGAACTGAGCACTATTTACGACTGTCTTACAATACCATTATATGTCGATATTCATAATTATTAACATCGTTTCATGATCTGTTTTTTTGTTGTTGTTGTTGTTTCTTTTAATATGACCGAAGTCGAGAGCGCTTCTTGGTAGGCTCGATTTACAACACAAAAGTTGGTGTCCCTGACTGCTCATAAACCCGACCAATAAGAGGATAGCGTGCACGCCACAGATTAACCACTTGACAAAAGACGGTCTACCGTATTGGCAAATTCAATTCTCAGAACGAGGCTCTGCCAGTAGCATGAAATTAACGTTACAACTACCCCGTACAAACGAGCTTAAATATGGAGTCGTTTTGAATCCGGTACTTTGAGCCTCTATCTGTCTTTGGGCCTCTATGTACTGCAATAACAACATAATTTTTCCAATGTAAGTGCCAAACATTACTGGTTATTACTTTCTTGAGAAAAGGGCTTAATAGAAGAACGGATAAGATTAAATGCCGATCCTTCTATAGTCTCATTAGCACACCAGAAAAAAACTAAACAAAAACAACTAAACAACGGCTGCGAGGGAGATTCCTCCTTCTACCATGGAGGTAAAAGACACTCAACTTAAGAATCAAACCGACTCTTCCCCTCTAAAAAGCAATATTGTCAATATTGTCGTGCTTTCTGTGCACTTTATCGAGGTCTTATAATTGTTGGGCATCGTTCCAGAGAAGAAGAAGGGGTTAACGACCGCATTTTAAAATCATTGGAAACCTGAACAAGATTTGAAAAGCGGATATGTTCTCTTTCCACATGAAAGTCCCTCTTCAGAGAAGGAACCACGAGATGGTTGTGCAGAAACTTATTTTGAACTTAAAGCTCTAAAATAATTAAGACAACTGCTCTGTTCTTGTGTGCATATTCTTTTAAGCTTCTTGTAATTTTCTCGGAGTTACACAATAAATTACAAAAGGGCGTGGGGGGGGGCGCGATGACAGGGGCCATCTATTTTTTCTAAGGATCTCAGGGATAATCTCTTACCTGCTTGAGCCTGGTGGGCTTGTCCCAGCCACTGGGGAAAGTGGATACCTCTCAACTCTGCAGCCTAAAGTCACAAACACAAAGCGGAAAGAGAAAGGTAATCATGTTGGCAAATCGTGAGCCTGGTCTTTGAAAATGAGGATTTGAACCTAAGACCTTTCGTTTAGCGGTAGCAGACACGACCAAATGAGCAACGACCAATTGAGCTAGGCTTTGCACTCGCCTCGTACATGACAAGCTCTCTATATACCGCTACAATCCTGGACCAAAGTTGTTTGGAAACCGTTACTGTTATGTCCAAACGTATGCTGTCAAAACTGCTCTCAGAGTTCCAAACTCTCCATGCCTTCTCTCCCTCCCCCCACCCCTTCCTCCCTAATTCAAAAAAAGACGGCAGCTTTCCCAAATGTTGTCAGGACTTTTATGAACATCGCAAAGAGGGAGTAGGGTACTGTTGTTCACATGCTGAGAAAACTTGCTCATTTTTAACATTTTTTCTCGTTATCTTCCAGAATTTTTCAAAGATTGTAGGATCAGTAATGTGGAAGTAAGGATTAAACGTTTCGCTGATTAAATCGTCCATCAAAATGAAAATACATTGATTTAATTAGCTCATCAAACGATGCAACACTTTTTTTCAACTCACCATAAGCAATCGGCGTCAGTTTGAAGACTGTGTGAAAAGGAATGTGAAGATTTGGCAGTTCTCCTAAAGAGAGAATACTAAAGTTATCCCTTTTATCTGTAGAATTCATTCTTTTTGCAATAATCTGCGTAGCTCCAGCAGCACCGATAAAGAAGCTAAATTTGATTGTAACAGTATGTTGAAAAGCCTACCTGAGCTGTGGTCCAGAAAGTATGCCATGAGACACTGCAGGATAGCCTATACGAGGGACAAAGAAAAGAGCGACTGTGTCACCACAACATGATTCATTTTTCTTTGGTTTGTTTGTTTTCTATCATCTCCTCAAGAAAAACAAACAAACAAATAAAGGATGGAGAAGAAAAGCTAATAAATAACTAACAAGCAAACGAAGAGACAATTACTTATTACTTAAGTTTTTTTGGTTTAGTTCGTGTTGTTATAATCATAATGTTCAACTTTTAAAGCATTTTAAAGAAAAACCCAGGAAGTAGGATCAAAATGGCACTTTTCATGTAACTTTCTAGAATTAATAGAGTAGCACAGTTCAATTTTCTTGTGCAGTAATTCATTTTTCACATGAAAGTCCCTCTTCAGAGAAGGAACCATGAGATGGTTGTGCAGAAACTAATAAGGAACTTAAACCTCTAAAATAATTAAGACAACTGCTCTGTTTTTGTGTGCATATTCTATTTGGCTTCTTGTCATTTCTTCGGAGTTCTCGCAATGAATTAAAAAAGATGAGAGCAGAGCAGTCTGTCAAATAAAGCAAACGAATTGGGGAAAAAAAAAACTTACCTCGTGGCAAATGACCAAGACATTGGATTGTCTTTCTAATTCCTGAAGTGAAAGAGAAGACACAGTACAACGAATTAACATCGCTTCAAGGTCGTGGGCAAGTCGTAAATGTTCTTGATTGTCAACTTACCATTATTACTGGTTCGAGTCGAGCGCATACGTCACTATAAGACTAAAAGATAACAAAGAAAATGTCAAGATTTTAGATTTCATTGATTGACTTAGATCATTCGTTTATGTAATTTCAGTGAGAGCCGTGGATTAATCGGTGTTTCTAAAACTGTCGAGTGCTCTCTGATATAAATAAAACCTATCATCAGTGTTCTCCTTTTCAGGCAGTAACCGGTAACATTTACCGCCTGTAGTACCTCTTATTACCATCTAAAATTGCTTGGAATTCTTGAAAATTCAACAAGTAAAAGGATTGCTTTACCGGTTTGAAAATTTATTTTACTTGTCATGCTTAAAATAAGGGAGAACACTGCTATCATTACTGTAAAATCAACGAGGAAGAGAAACTTGAAAAACTTGATTCGACCTGAACAAAGGTAAATATCACATTGTGAGGGGGAGGGAAGGGGGAAGAAATTTGTAACGGAAAGGACGCATTACCTCTCCCCTGGGGTATCGATAATTGAACGGGTGTTCTTCTATAACTTTGTGTTCTTCAGGGTCCATCTTTTTTATCTCATCCAGAGTCATTCCATCATAGATGCCCTGATATCGAATAAAAAAAAAAAGAAACAAGACAAATAGAAAACAAAAAAACAAACAAAATTAGTCAATATATTTTCTTTATCAATAATTTGATTATTTAATCAAATAAACGTCTGAAAAATGAAATGACAGAACAAGTCAAATCAAACAGCAAAATTTGTTACATACATATTTGGAAACAACTACTGAACTGACCAATCAGATTAATGGACTAGATATCGGTTTCACTATCTGACATTTTTTTTCCAAGATTCAGCCTCGGGAACATTACACAATAGCCCTGTTGTGAATGATAAACTCGCATGGCTTACTACGATTTCTTAAGGCAGGAAACCAACGTTAGAAAAGCACACAAAATACAATCATTACAAAACATTTTTTGGCACAACTACAAGGAACGACTTACGTGGTCCATTTCATTAAGTGCCTTCCATCTCTCAGTTGTCACTCCCTTGAGATACTGAGCAGTGTCCACTGCCCTTTTTAACTGACTTGTCCAAACCTAAAGTTAATGCGACCAAGTTAAAAAAAAGGGAAAAAAAGTTATTCCCCCGTTATTGACAACAGTTCTGTTAAGGATTACTCTCGCCGGACGATGAGACTACACGAACAAAGGTTCAACCACTTTACCATTGAATTTGTTCAACGACAGAGGGCAACTAAATAATCTTGTGAGCCGTTTATTTTTGTTCGATAACAAGAAAAAAAACCTAAGAGAGCCAGATAAATTTTTAATTTCCAGATACTCGTTACATAACGTTTCTGCAAACCTTTAAATCTTTGATTTTTTCATCTTCGATAAATTTCGCCAGAGCTGATGAAAACTGTAGGAAATAAAGAGACGAGAATGCTGTTGAGCGTAGTTCATTCATTGGTGTTGCAAAGTCAAGTCAAAGATTTGCTGATAGTCCCGAATTTCATGAAAATTGACCCTTGAAGCTCGAAAACTTCAAGTATCAAGAATCGGGTTTCGACTGGCAATAAGGACGGCTAAGAAACGTACAAAGTTTTAAAACGCACGTGCAAGGCCACTGTTCTGATCTTTTGTTTTGCCACGTCCTCGTTGCCGTCGCCGTCGTGTTCTTGCTTAAGGTCTGTAATACCTCAATTACAAAATCAGTGTTTATGACAGCGACATACCTCCTCTCCTTTGGCTGTCAGATCAGAATCGCCCCCAAGTCTCTTTTGAACATTAAATTCACTCTCACCATGCTACAATGAACCCAAACAATTTTGAGGACTTGCATATCAAAATACTGAGATATAATTATTTTCAAAATAATTAAACAATTGTTTATAATTAGTATTTGTGAGGTTTATGAAATATTCGGTTTTCTTTCTCCTTGCCACAAAAAAGGGGACAAGTTTAAGACCCTCATCTCGTACTTAAAATGTAAATATTAACTTCTTACAAACCGAGCACGAGGGCCGTACAAAAACGACCGAGGGCCAATATTTCTCAGTACTGCTCGGGCAAGTAAGGTTAGTAAGTAACTTATTATATGGCACTAGTTAGTTGGAATTTTCCGGCTTTCAAGAACAAAAATACACAGCCCATAACCGTTTCCGTAGAAATCGTCCATATGGCAAAATCCCTACCAAGTAAAAACCAATGAGATCGCTCGGATTTACCCCAACACTACCTTACCATATAATAAATGGGACGTATTCATATTATGTATTAAATATAAAGTATTCCTCAGGATTTGGCTTGTTTTTACCCCCAAAATTCCTATCAATACTAGGTTAGTTGCTTAGAAAATTTATACAAAATACACATGTCGCCAAAGTAGGTTTACTCCGTCACACCTGTATTTGCACTACGAGTGAATCATTCCTCTCGGTCTCGGCCTGGAGGAAATGGAGAAAAAAACTCACCCTAGCAAGATATATTGACCTCTTCTTGATGTGGGAGTTCATCAAAAAATAGACTGCTCTGCTTTGAAGGTAACCTAACGAACAATATTCAACCAATAAGCATGTAACTGTTTACTCTGCATAACCTTTATTTTTGACATATTACTTACAACGTTTTTATCTTAATGAAGCAAGCCATGCAAACTCTAAAAACTATTCCAAAATTAGCTTTAATCAATTCATATTGAACTTCTGTATTTCATCATATTTCATTGCCGAGACTTACCATCAATGCTGTTTACTATGTACTGTTCTCCTGCATCGATGATCTTGATGAATGAAAGATGCCTTTTAAATAGAAAAATACGAAGAGAAATAAATACATGTATAAATTAATCTATCAGCTATGTCAAAATTGATTCTTAATGTTTTTGTTTGTTTCTTTTGTTTTGCTTTTTTTTTTTTTTTTTTTTTTTTTTTTTTTGGGGGTAATCATAAATTGTACAAGTAGATCGTCACTTACTCGTCAAATGCCGAGAAGCAAGGATAGGTGTGAGGAGGACAAATGGGATGAGAAAGGTGAGAAAAAAAAATAAAATAAGGAGGAAAGCAAGAAGATGCGTTGGGGGAAGATTGGACAAATGAATGGATTATGAATGGGAGGGTACGGAAGAGTATGGGGGAGTGCGGGAGAGTACGGGAGAGTGCGGGAGAGTACGGGAGAGTGCGGGAGAGTGCAGGAGAGTGCGGGAGAGTACGGGGAATGCGGGAGAGTACGGGAGAGTACGGGAGAGTGCAGGAGAGTGCAGGAGGTGCAGGAGAGGTGGGGGAGTGCAGGAGAGTGCAGGAGAGTGCAGGAGAGTGCAGGAGAGTGCAGGAGAGTGCAGGAGAGTGCAGGGGAGCAGGAGAGTGCAGGAGAGTGCAGGAGAGTGCAGGAGAGTGCAGGAGAGTGCAGGAGAGTGCAGGAGAGTGCAGGAGAGTGCAGGAGAGTGCGGGAGAGTGCGGGAGAGTGCGGGAGAGTACGGGAGAGTGCGGGAGAGTGCGGGAGAGTGCGGGAGAGTGCGGGAGAGTGCGGGAGAGTGCGGGAGAGTGCGAGAGAGTACATATTGAAGGGAAACTGATGGATAGTATAATTTATGCAGGAATTGCCAAGAGAGAAGGGAGAAACTGAACTACAGTGAGACGATAAATTGAAAGGACGGTAAGAGGGGAGAAAAGAAAGGTCAGAGCATTAATCAACCCAATTACCCTTGAATCACACATTAAGGCCACGAGATAAAAGGAAATGATCACCAACTGAAGAAGCTCTTGATTTTTAAACAAATTCTTCTTGTAAGCACTTTAGTAAATGTATAGAGAACAGTATGGAGAATATAAATACTGGCATTAGGGACTGAAGGGTTAACAGATTATGTAAAGGGTTTTTCCAGTTTGAACTATTGCTTTTGTTTGTTTGTTTGTTTGTTTGTCTGTTTGTTTGTTTGTTTGTTTTAACCAGAATTAACAGAATTTTTTTAACTCACCCCTCTTTTTCTAATGAAAGTGGTTCATATGCATCCTCGTAGTGCTTGATACGCTTCCTGAAATCTTTAACGGCTGTATCTCGGTCCACAGTCACATAGTCTGGGCTGAAAACTTTAACTTCCTGTGGAGGTAAAGTTGAAGCTGGAGAATCTACCCATACCTCCCATGTTTTAAACTCCTCATTACTGAGAAATTCATGTCCCATCACCTGTAAATAAAAATACAAAAAGCAAATTCAGCATAATCTAGTTTAGGAAGTTTAAAACCGTGATGGAAAAGAAAAATAAAAGGAAAGAAAAGAAATCCTTGAAATGTAAACGGAGTTTGAAGAAATTGCATGTGCCAAGGTCCTTTGTCTTTTATATCTAGAAACAAAGCACTAGCCTGTGATGAAAAATATTCAAGGCACTTGGAATTCAAATTAACATTGTCAAATCTTATATGTACTTTGGGGTCGAGTAAACTATCTGCGCAAATCTTAAAAAGACATACAGAACGGTCAATGCAGTTTACCAATAAATAATGAAAGCAGAAAGAACAGAGAAATCTTAAAGTAAGGAAATGGAATAAAGAAAAAAGGAATGAATGAATGAGAGAACAAACAGATGTAAGGACAAAGATTGCTTCTCTTCATTAATTTTCTGGTCAGTTGGTTTTGTTGTCAGAGGAACAACTACACGAACAAACGCACCAAATGAACACAAGAACAAATTATTAAACGAAAAGTCAAACACAAATATAATGGAGGAATAAAAGCATTTTTTTTAAGTACATTACACAACATGAAGAACCTGTCTCTTTCAAAACATGATAATCTGGTTTATCACTGTAGTTGATAGGGTCAATTGACCACTATAAACAGTTTCAAAGTTGACGTTTCGAGCGTTAGCCCTTCGACGTAGCGGAACATTAATTCTACATGTTTTCTAGTCGTGGTCATACTTGGTAACACATACACTGACAAGCCCTATTGACCACCAGTTTTGACCAAGGTTGACCACGGTCAATTTTGTGCCATTTGTGCCAATGGTTCCACCATTGCCAAGCCATGGTTGACCATAGTTGTTGACCATGGAGCACCATGGAAGGACCATGGTTGACCATGGTCTATCAATGGCTTTGACACCAGGTTATTGCTTAATGATAACTAATTCCTATACCTTGTGACTAAGTGTATCAGGTTTAAATGTTCTTTAGATTTTAATTCTCCTGGCTGGTAAAGTTTGTTGCTTGCAATTAAATGAGACATGCCATAAAAAGATGTTTGACTCAACAAGAAAAAAACAAATATAATTGCTAATAAGACAAAGAGCTTTCAACACTGTGATTTATATGTGAATTACAAGACCAAAAATAAAATTATTGCCTTTACAACATTGACTTTGGTCTGCATTGTTCACGTACATACATGAATTACCCTAGCACTATAATTATGTTTGTTAGGGCAGATTTAATGGAACAAGCCATGTGAAGGGAACAGAGGTGGGAAAAAACTGAGGTACAGGGCTGTGGCTACAGCATGATAGCTTAAAGAAAGTTATATTGAATTTATCTTTTCATTAAAATTACTTAAACTGTATAAAAATAACACAATTTGCCAAAAAAAAAAAACAAACCTTAATATTTGCAGCGACAATATCTGAATCTTCACAAATGGATTCCATGAAAAAAACCTCAAAGATAAATAAAAATATCATTCAGTTGATGAAGCTGACATATAACTCCACCATCATAAAATACTGTGGTGAACCAACAGACAGAGTATAGACAGCTGACTACACAATACTCAGAGCGATAAAATCATGCATACTGCCAATGGTAACATGTACATGTGTATGTTACCAATGGTCACACTAACAAAACCTGTCCTGAGTTATGGAAGCTGTGTAAGCTTCACTACTGTGGTGTAGCTTTAGTGGCATGTTTGTTACCTTGAATCCTCTTTTTGTGCAAAAGTCCATGATTAAGGCCCTTCGCTCAAATGTTGTATTTGTAGCATCAAATATCTGGTTAAAATCAAAAGACAGAATGATGAAATATTGGTATAACATTATCAATAATATTTGAAATATATTCATAGACAAGTTCCATGGTATAAACAATTTGTTCTATGATAAACAGAAGATACTTACTGCAACTTGTCCAGCACGAGTTAAAAACTTGCTGACATCTTCCAAGCAAGCTATAGCACATTGTCTGTAGGAAAACAACAAGTTTTCGAATTGCTTTCAATGGTGGAACTCAGAAAGCAGTGAAAAACGGAAAACTTCTGAGAATGATTGCCTTGCTTAGGTATGCCAATCAAGCAATGTAAATTACCGTGCACAGTGATGCTAAACATTTTCTGTCTTTAAGGTTTACTAACACATCCCAATATCCCATTATCAAGGTGATCACATTCAGTCTCTTGAGTTTGATGGTAAAACATAAAATAATCATTTAAACAATTATTACATCCTCAATCAGTAAGTTTATCTCCTTTCATGTCACCTGTCTGATGGAAAATGCACCATAATTGTAAGAAAAAGTTAAACAGGTTTATGGAGTTATCATGCAAAATTACTTTGTGCCAGTTAATTTGAGCCACTTATTTTGTTACTAATAAATTAATGCTGATTCTTTTGTTCCAGTCTTAGTGCTGGTGTAATGAAAAGCAGTGGAAAAACTTAATATGCTGTTGTACAGTACACTTGTCAGGATCTAACAATTGATGATTGCCCTTTGCCAGTGAATGTATGTGTTCACTAGCCTAGTTGGCCTCCTTTACAAATGTATATTTACTGATTACACCAACGCACACACCTCCTGACTTTTTGTGCTTCGGCATTGTCCACACGGAAAAAGTCATGTAGTTTATCAGACCCCACTGCCCTTCTTCTGTACTCACCAACATTGAACACTAAATAAAGAAAAAGAGCATCTATTTGCAAGTCCTTTTAACAAACTTTCTGTAACTTATTGCCTCAGTATGATATACCAGTGTTCTCCCTTATTTTAAGCATGACAGGTAAAATAAATTTTTACACCCGTAAAGCAATCCTTTTACATGTTGAATTTTCAAGAATTCCAAGCAATGTTAACCAGTAATAAGAGGTACTACAGGCGGTAAATGTTACTGGTTACTGCCTGAAAAGGAGAACACTGTTAACCACAAGTGAATGTCAAAATTTTACTTAAATTTGAATATTACAATCATACTGTCATGCAATGCATATACATGTATTAAACAACTACCACTGGTTAAACATGTAAAGGCCATTCATCATAATATTTATTTACTTTATTAGTATAATTGCTGTGGTGATTATAGAGATGTGTTCACTCTGATTGGTTGAGGATTGTGTCATATCTTGCTATAATCACCTTGTGCAAGGTGATCAATTGTCACAGAACAGTCCACAAAAATAAAGAATTTACAATTAAACTCAAAATCTCCTGAGTAAGCAATTATACTAAATTCAGTAATGCTCAGCAAATATTGTTGAATAATCTCCTTGACTTTGTCTCAAGGATTATTCAACAATGTTCACTTTGCCTTAAGCAAATAATTGTTAAAAAAGTAGGAGAAAAGACAACTAGATAAACAGTGTGCTAGACTACAAGTCAAAGTCCTGGCACATTCATTGCTGAGCAGAGGAGAGAATGTGCTGGGTGAAAAGATGAAGGCCAGAGATTGAACCCAACTTTTTGTTCCTGAGTCAAGTATATTGAACACTTCCAAGAAATGGTCACAATGTAACTCCTTGCTACTCCACATGGGATCTTTTTCGAGTTAAGATATGCAGTTTTTAATGGTAAGGATAAGGATAAGGATATCCCAGAAAAAGCTAAATTTAATGTTTTTTTCTTCTATAAAAAGGGGATATGTATATATATACTGTGTGCTTTTAAATTTAATTTTGGGTCATGTGAATCCCTTTTAGAAACTACAGCTTGCAGAAAGAGAGAGACCTGGGCAAAGCCCTTAAAACACAATATTGGGGGTAGGCATGTGATCCAAAATTGAATGTCTTTTCAGATTGGCTTATACAATCAAATAATTATTATTAATAATTAGTTCACCAACACAGAGACTTTTGGTAGCTAACTTAAGAGGTTTGCTAAAAAGCACACTCAATATCCTCATCTTTCACATAGTTCAATATGTTAATACATGTAAGAGATAGAGAGAGAGAGAGAGAGAGAGAGAGAGAGAGAGAGAGAGAGAGAGAGAGAGTTGAAAAAACAAAAACAGCAGAGAAGACCATACAGGGACTTGATCCCCTTAAACATGCACTAACAAAAAAGTCATGCACTTTTAATTATGTACTCAAGAAACCTTGCCTTTTGTTTTGATGCCTATCCAGTTGAGATAACGACCCAGTTTTTTGGCCATATATGTTTTGCCCCTTGCTGGTAAACCAACCAATGTGATAACAGTTGGTGCATTGACAAAACGTGGATTATATCCAGGATAGCAAGTATCTAAAAATTAAAAAGGAAAATGGTAAAAATGTCAGGTCAAATTAGCACTAAATTTTTAATTTGTCTGGTATTGCTTTTTTAAAAATGGAAATGTACCATACACCTACATTTTACCGTTTGTAAGTTAGACACCATAAAGACTTTCTAAAGCCTACTCTCCTATTCCCTCCAGTGTAGGGCTGACACTCACAAAGTCAGTTTTAGAAACTCTTTAAGGTGACCACTTTATACTATCAGCTCAGGTGTAAAACCAACTTATCTTATATCTGCATTATGCTTACTAAAAGTTACATTTCATCTATATGTAATAACAACTCACAGTTGTCATCACAGTATTGCTTTTATCTATTTTTGCCATTTACTATGAGGGTATTTTGTGACCAAACATCTACAGTGTAGAATACTGGTTTCGTTTGCATTTTCCATTGTGTCAGATAATTACTTTAGATTCTTCAACAAGGAAAAACATAAAACTACATTAGTCAACCTGGATGTAAATCTTTTCAACCTGAATTCTTCTCTAACCTACAGCATATAGCAAAAATGTGAACATAAATGTTGTTTCTCAACTTTTCATCATATGACTGCACAAGGAACTCCTGGGATTTTATTTTCCAAGACAGCTTCTTTCTCTCACTTAGTGGAATAACAAACCAGTTGTTCCACATTCATTTATGGTAATTGTAGACTCTAACCATTCCTGAAGCTAGCATTTGACTTGAATTGATAAAATGCCAACACCAGTTACACAAAAATTAATCCCTACTAGTGAGAACCACTTGATTTTCATGCATTTTATGAAAATGTGCATAAAATAATTGAAATAACCCACAAGTTAGTTAGTTTGTGATGAATATTTCTCAAAAGTTCAAATAGGCATTCTTTGAATATCTAAATGACAATTACAGCCTTAACATGTAGACTAATAACAAAACCTGGATTCTTGTAGACAACATCTTCATTCTGAGTCTCCATTACCAATTCCCGAGTTCTTCAGATGGAAATTTTTACTTGCTCTACAGAAAATATAATTGTGTAGCAGGCTGCCTGATGCAACAAGTTTTAAAGATTACTATTATTATGCAAATCCTAATATTTTGATTCATCAATATTCCTCCTTGTGGTTTTCAATTTGAAGTTTGTTGTTGCATATGCAATCATAAATTCTATCAGTACCCAAAAAATTCCATGGCAACAAAACCCCTAAATCCTTAAGATTAACAAAGTGTTATGAGTTTCACTAAGCACCAAGAAGCAAGTTAAAACTATTTATTATCTGAGAGGCACCTATTGGAAAGAATTATCAGACTGGTTAGTCATGCTCAAATACCTTTGACAATAACCAGGATAATTAACAAAGCCATTCAAGAAACATCCCACAGAAAGGTGATGATGCATGAAGTTGACCAATATTTATCTTCAATAATTAAATATTCCAAGAGATTTCAGAATTTGCATGGATATCATCAGCTGGATTTTGTAAAAAGGACTGAAATGTTACAGTGTTTAAAAGACAGCTCACAACTTACAAAATGTAGAAAGGTCAGCATAGCTGTATTGACATATAAATTAGTTACATATGGTAAGTTGTATTACTCTTTGTAGTACTTTGAATGAAAACTGTATGTTAAAAACATAATGAAGAAGTTTAAATAGACTTGGACAGCCAGAAAATGACACTTAAGTTTGTATAACAGCATTCAAATTCTTTAAACTTGTTACATTAAAATTTCACGAGAGAACCTAAGGTGGCAAGAAGAGAGAATCACAATTCAGATTGTGGAAGTCAACAGTTGAAGCTGTATCAAAGGTATGGTCAAAATAATACAACAAAAAAATTTTCACAAAATATTTTTGGGCATGCACAGAGGTGAAACTGGTTTTAGGGGTTCCAAGAAATATTCATCAATGTCCACAAACAAAGTAAAGCCTTTAAACATTCCACACTATCTTCAATTTAGCTGAACCTTTTATCTAAAATAATAGTTATTATCAAAAGCTATGAAGGATACAGACTCCCTAACACCTACTCCTTGTTTAAAACCGTGGTTTGTGTTAGACCTCTTTCAATAGCCAGCCCTACATTTTCCAACTAACAGTACAAGGGGTTTCTACTTTGACGTATGGGTACAAATCTAAGAATTAATTTGTGAATTTTTATTTGGTTAAAGTTATCCCTTGCCTACTTCCCTTTAATTGTCATCTGACTAACCCAATTTTTTAACTGAAAGGTGTTGACTTAATCAAACATTTTTTTTCATCTCTTATCTGAAAATACCTATGATGGTCTAAAAAATACACAGTCCTGTAATACATAAACAATAACCTCTATTTGGCATGCAAATATACACTAAATTGGTTTGCAGACATTACCTGTTCTATGCTGCATGAAATGTTTTCCTTTGAGTTTTCTTTATGAACAAAAAAATATTTCCCTTCTTCTATAACAACCATTAAACATTCTCTCATCTTGAATTAATAAAAAAAAAAAGTTATTGTAATAGATTAAGGTTTGAAAATTGGGGAATATCACTCAGGTGACATTCTTGAATATCCCCCAGTGTGAACTCTGGAATAATCAATCACATGATGTGTTTAGCCCAATTGCATGCAAGCAAAAATGCTGTTATTTTGCAAGTTGTGTAGTATTTTTCAGGGGAATAAGGAAAAATTCAGCCACGAAACAAAATGTCCACCTGTAGTACATAATAACCCTTAGAACAAGGGATATTTTATTCTACTGCTATTTCATTTTCTAGTATTTTAATTATTAGTTTGATAAATAATTCCGAAAGCATTATCTCAGCATCTTCTAGATTGCAGAGGGGGTGCAAGGAAGATGAAACCAAAACAAAAAAACTAATGATAATAAGTGTTGTTTTTGACCTTAAATGTTGTTTGTGACCTACAAAAAAAATCTGTTGGGCTTAAAGGTAATTGTTTTTAAATAAGTCGAGCCTGAAAAACCAAAGCAAACTATCAAAGTTTGGATCATTCAGCCAGATGACTTTTTGGCCCCTCTTTCTGTTCATATTTTTCCCTGTTCTGCAGTGTAATACTGTGGCATATTTGGCCGGTTTCATAGCCCTAATATTATAATGGTAAAATTAGTAGTATAATTAAGTTAAAAATTGGAGTATCAAATACAGATTAACTAAAAGTATTTCTTATCAATGAAAACAAGTCTCTATCATCACAAGTACCTGAAGTACCCAAAAACTCAGCAAATGACACTATTCATGATTTGGTCCTTATAAAGGAGTGCCAAATAGAAGCAGTTCTCTGATAACTAAAACATTAGTCCTCGCTTCACCTCCTTCCAAAAAAAATGTGATGGAAGTTTCACAACACCATCACAGTCCAAAGATGTGCCACGATCAAAGTTGTAATTTTCTACCTTTTTTAACAAGAATTGGTTTCAACAGTTGACTGCCAAAAAGATGAGTGTTGTTGGGGAAAGATGTTTTTAATCATGCCATGAGCATAGGATAAAGACAAAATTCTGATTCACTAGGAGGAATCGTGCTTCAGACCTTCAGATTCCCCACTTGGAGCTGTACCACAAAGCCACAGACACTCCAGAAACAGTAAGCCAGGCCAATATCAGATTGTTCATCTGACTGGCATCCTGCATACTACTGGGAATTCAGAGAATGTTGCAAGCATCATAATTGCCATTTCTAAAGTGCACGTTTATCTATAACATCTGTCATATATAAATACCATTATCTTTTTCATTCGAAGCTCAAAAATCACCTTCTCTCTATCTATACTAAACTGAAAAAATGTACATGTACTGAATAAAGAAACTGTGGTGCTGCATCAGCGGGGATAATACAAGATGATCTGGTTTTAACGACTCAGTTGATTATGTAACTTGGCCACAATAAAGAGTTTCTATAGGCTGACATTTCGAGTGTTAAAGAGCTAAATGCTAAAATCCCCCTTCAGCCCTGTAACAATATTGGCATGGCATCCCTCCTAAGTACAGCCTCCTACTCCCCCAAATTTCATTCTGATTGACCCATTAAAAGATTATGTAATGCCTCTGACATTAGGCAAAGAAGGAGATTGAAGTGGATGACCGAAAAATAGCAGAAGTTTCCTTAGCTTATGTAAGCAACAACCACAACAAGAACATTACAGGGATGCGAGACCCCAGACAACAATTTATTAGAACTAATTACGCTTGGCTACAAAAAATTAAAAGTTTGCTGTTTGCTCGGCCGGATATTTTTGGTAAGCGCTTAATGTGGCGTGATAAGCTTATTGTAAGCTGTAGTTGTTGCAACATTTTACTGTTTGGAGGTAAAGCTTCCACGCCCGATACACTTCATGTTGAGTGCTCAGATGTATGTAAAAAAAAAAAAGGCTTTCACAGTATAATGGTTGCTTTTAAATCAGACAATCTAAATCTCAATTGCGTTGTCTGAATCGCCAGTCATGCGTTTGTTGAGCAAAAGTACACGTGAATATTGAATTAAAACTCACCAACTCTATATTTGTAGTCAACCGGGTAAATAACACCACTTTTTTCTCTTAAAACGAAAACCCCTTTGTGGTCCTGCCCTTTTTCTTCTTCTTCTTCGGTCCCCAATTCTATCGTATTTTTACCAGAGGAACCAGTATCGTCCATAGAATGAAGTGAAAATGGAGGCGCCATTTCCTCAAGTTCAGCCGCCATCTTTGTCACGCCGGTAAATTTTTTGTTTTGAGCCACGTGATCATGAAAGCCCGCTAAGAGTAACTTTTTTTTATCATTATTGATATTATTATTAGTAGTAGTAGTACTACTACTACTACTACTACTATTAAAACAAAGGTATGACATTTTTTCTAATTAGTTTGTAACTTAATAATTTTCATAAAAAATTATTCATTGTTTTGTAGAATTTTAGACATGAAAGTTATTATCAGTTATTAACAAGACAGTTTTCTATATAACATATTCAAATCATGAGGGAATAAATGCCACTATTATTTTTAAATTTGAACAAAATTTTTACTATTAGTATTTTGATAACAGCAATAATAGTAATAATAGGGGGGATTACATTAAGATTTCATTGTATGAGGTATGTGTGCAATTTTCATTGCATGCGTACCTTATGCACATTGGTTCCCTTTCCAGCCTCTCCAGAATATAACTTCATGCCTCTCTTAAAATAGAGTTCATCAAATACAAGAAGAACGGACTTATGTCACATTTATTAAGCCACCAGTGTTTCATTATACAGAATAAAATTATTGAACAACCAATCACAAATGTATCACTAGATTTTCATTAAGCTCTATCATGTACAACTGGTTTTATTCACATTCTCTTGCATACATGAATATGCCTTAGGTGCATTTTTTCTACATCTTGTGTGGATGTGGTTGGGCCCCCCCCCCCCACCTTCTTGTATATTAGTATACCGGTATGTGCCCTGAAGGCTGGGGCTTTTGAACTGTTAAGTAGTTTACTGTTTCAAATCCAGGAAACTGTACAGATTTGACCATTGCAATCTAAACACAGGTATGGTTTTCTAGCAAACCTTGAGAGTGTAAACAACTCCAAATCAACAATTGAGAAATAAAAATTAAAACACAAAAGTACATGTATGGCCTCTCTAATTAGATAAGGGTACCAGGTTAATTCTGAACAAAATCGATATGAAACACCCTAATCATCTGCCCTTCTGTTCCTTGCAAGCTTTTAAAATCATCTTCTAAATTTGTCACCAAACCAAGTTGTTTGTTTCATCTTTATAGATATTGGGTATCAAACCTGATGAAGAAAATATCACCATATTATTAAGGTTGAAATAATTCATAAAGTAATGATTCCTTCAATAGAAACTTGTTTGAAATTGACAAGTAGAACTTACTTATGCAGCAAAAAAGTATTTAGGTTTGTTTATAGGATCCTTTGGAGTTTACAGACTCAAGAACACCCAAAATTTAAGATTAACATTTTACCTCCCAGCAATAATTAGCAAGTAACTTCCCCCTAAAGTAGCAAATAGGTAATGAGAGTACCTAAATTTATCAGGTGGAAGTTTTTATCTTGATCTAACACCACATTCTTGTACCTAATTTACAAGGAAATGTGTAGCTGCTAGAGAGGAGAATTGACAATCACATCTTGGGATATAATGGGTAATATTATTACGTTTTTCTAGTTTCTTGATTAGTTGTAACATTTGTTGAGCTCCTACCATCATTTTGTAAATTTTTCACTTATACTTGAAAAATTAAATCTGCTAAATTGTCAGTGTTTATAGAGGAAGTGCTACAAAGCAACTAATAGATAGGCAAAGTTGCGACTGTTGTAATAGTTAGAAAAAATGTCAACCAAATTTGTCATTAACAGTATGTGCATACATAGGGTTAAACTATACAAAGTGAACTGTGAGGTAATGATTAAAAACAACTGAAGTCAGAAAGAGTCAGAGCTTCAAATTGAAGCCAGTCATTTAAAGAAAATTAATTCATTAGTAATCACTTCCCAATCATGTTTTAATTAATTTTATTCATATGCTAAAGAGAAAAAAGAAAGATGTATTCATCTCGTAAATTAATGAAGATTAGTTTAATGAAAAATGAAGTGTGTTAGTAGCAGATGAGTGAAAACACAAGCCGGGGTAGTTTTGGGTTGGGTTGCACAAAGAATGTCTGTAAAATCTTTTTAAAGGTCTTTCCAGTATACCAGAATCTGGCAAACCCTTTGACTAGCAACTTTTGACAGAGGCTGTCAATTCATGAGGTCAATGGGAAAAGCTATTGGAGGAAATATGTGTGATCGATTATCAAGTCACCCCTGTCACCTAGAGTTCCAAATAGCTGTAAAAAACATGTGTAGATTAGCCTTATGGTATAAATATAGTATAAACTAAACACACCAAATTTGGATTCCACCATACTGATAGAGTTCTTCTGAAACAGCTTCTTCTCATACTCAACTAGATATTTCCAGAATCCAGCATTTGGTCTGACAAGAGGTCTCTTTTGCTTGACATATGCATGAGCATCAATCAGCTTCATCTTTTGATATTTCATCAAGTAAGCCAAGACTAAAGTTGCTGATCTGTAAAATACATGCTTGTTTATGAACTAGAAAATATTGTTTAATATGGTTTACCATCTTATGTACTAACAATAACGAGGATAAAGAAATGTTGGCTACTACTAGATAATGTGCATACCACACCCTTTCACCTGGCTACATGTAATCTATTGCATATCTGAAGTCACCTCATTAATGATACAAATTTATGATAATAATAATAATGATAATTAATAAAAATAATAACAATAATAATAATTATAATAATACTGTATCATTCAGCATGGATTAGGTTGCCTTTCCTTCCTGTACATGTACATTGATCTTTTGTTATTCTTTTTTTTTTTTAATACATTTTTTGGGCTCAAGATGGGGTAAGAAGTCTCTTATGACCAATCATGCAACAAGATAATTTGGTGTCATCAACTGAGTTGTATATGTGAATTGGCCTCAGTAAAGAGTTTCAAAGCTGACACTTTTGAGCGTTAGACCTTTGTCAGAGCAAAACAATGTTTGCTCTCACCTGCCTTAAAACTTAAGCCTTCGAGATTCCAAATGATACTTGAAAAAGAAATTCACCTGCTTACTCCTGCAATGCAGTGGACGAGTACCTTTCCTCCTTCTCGTTGAACCTTTTCTACAACATGAGAAAAGTTGAAGAACATAAACTTACTGTCAACAAACCTTTTCCAGCTATAAAAAACATGTCGGGCAAAAGGAACATGTACAATCTTTTTTTTTTAAAAAAATAACTTTTTTTATAAACACACCCAGGCTGAGATTCAGTTAACCCTTTAACTCCCAGAACTGATTAAAATGAAACTTCTTCCTGTAATATTCATACATTATTCAGCAAAAAGGTAATGAGAATATTCAAACTTATCAGATAGAAGCTGCTATCTTGATCAAGCACCAAGTTTTCACAACTAATTTACAAGGAAATGTTTAGCAGCTACAGGGGAGAATTAACAATCAGATCTTGGGAATTAAAGGGTTAAGAAGGTATTTATTTGCCCATTCTCTTTTTTTTTTTGCGAGAAGTATACATAAATGTAAACGAAACGTAAATCTGTGATCTAACAGGACCATTAACTCAAATACTTAGGGACATTTTGCTCTATATTAATTAACAATGTTGTTTTCTTATTGCACGGTACATTGAAGAACAACTCCGTCGATTTATTGAAATACGTTATGTACCACACAACTTTAAGAACAGGTTGAGAACGTTTTCTCGCTCAAGTCGCCAAGAAAAAAAAAAAGAAGAAGACGAAAAACGTGCAGTCTAAACGACAAATTAGACGTTCTGATAAAAAAGAGTGTACATCACAACTTAGAGCGAGAGGATAGGCATGGAATAAAACTTGATTTAACTCACCAATTTTATCGGCCACTAGATCAAAATATATTCCGATGTTACAGGTCGGGTTATCTTCTAGCTTTATCCTTATGCAAGTTATCGATTCATACGCCAATTCAGGCGATTCCAGTGCAGCTTAAAATAATGGATAATAGAAGACATGATATAAGTAAACATGTGCAGGATCAGTGAAGTTGTGGGCCATATCCAGCGCAAGGTGCAATACCCTCATGAAATAAATCCGGTATTAAGCTCGAATAAATTCGTATTTGGTCCATTCCTACCGCTGATGACGCATGTTATTCCATTTTCCTTGAGCAAATCTTCCATTTTCGCCGCAGCTAGCCCTCCAAGGTAAAGATAGTTTTTGATTTTCGCCATCTTGCCCAGAGGGCTACAATGCTTACCAGCCGACATTACGCCAGATCCCTCAATTACACAATAAGAGTAATCTATGACATTCAGATGCGCATATTTGGCTGAGAAATTTCAACAGGCGGATAGAAGATTTCAAACCTTGGCGGAAGTCTTCATATTTTGGAAAACAAACAAAGCAGTAATAATCAGAGCAGAAACTGGGACTTGTTAGTCACGTGACTTGTGGAAGACCGTTGCCCTTAATCAGGAAAATTTTCGTTTCACATCGACGCACTAAGTAGGAAGAGACTGAACAAGATCTCCAGCATCTTTTCGAAGAAATTATCAGAAAAAAAAAAAGCAAGAAAACAAGTACTTCACAAAAATTTATTGAAGACAAAGGCAAAAATTTGAAAATTCAAACTAACACCAAATTTGCACTACGGACTACCTGGGGTTCATGTGGTGTGATTGTCCAACTGAATGTAGTTATAGCTTGATTTGCGTTTATATCCTGCCCTTCTGTGAAAGATATACTTGATCACGGGTCACGAGAAACCTTGCAAACTGCCCAATTACTGCTAGGACTTAGCCTTAATTGTGTAGGGTGCAGAAATGGCTGTACTGGTATTCTTCTCACCTGTGTTAGGCTCTCAGTCAATGGAGAAAAGCAAGAAAGCGAGCAGGAAAAACAGCATTTGTCAGGGAAACAGCTGCATATGCCATTTTTAATATTCCTATGTTCATCTCCACTGACCAAGGGTATGAACAGGTTACCGTTCTTCCAAGATGGAATCCTGGTACTTAAACTGTTTAGCCCCCAGAAGAGTTCAACATTAAACTCCTCCCTAAGATGTCCCCTGTTATCCAGCTAACACGTAATGAGAACGCTCAAACTTACCAGGTAGAGATTAGCTAACTCTTACATTACATTCTTGTCACTAATTTACATGGAAACGTGTGTGGCAGAATGGGAGAATTATTAGTCAGATATTTGGGTTTAACCCTTAACACCCGAACATCAGTATGCATATTCTCCATACTGTTCTTTATACATTTCCTAAGGTGCTGACAAGGAGAATTAGCTTAACGATTCAGAGCTTCTGTAATTGTTAATCATTTTCATTTTTCTCATGACTCTAATTTGTGATTTAGGGGTGATATTGTAAGGAGAAATTAGATGCTGGTCACTCTTAGGGGTTAGGGGTTAAGAGGTGATGGTCTCTAGCAATTTGCAAAATTTCCTGAACAGTTTTCTAAAACGCATTTATAAAACAAGCACAGAGAAGCACTGCAGAACACAGTGACTGGCACAAGATTACAACAAAGGGACTCACCCACAATTCAAAACCAGTGGACCTCTTGATCACCAGTCCAGTACATTACCCCAAAAAACCAACATGTCTCACATTCTTTGTTAGTTAAAAAAACAGCCAAATACATCCAAACAATGTCTTTATTTCTACACAAGTTGATACAGTTCTCCATGCCTAAGTATCTACTCATTCTCTTCACTGCGCAGTCTTGCATTGGCATTTGTTATTTTAATGGCCAGCTGTTGTGCACGCTCCACTATTTCTTTCCTCTTCTTACTGGACACATTGTGTGCAATCTCTGCTGCATAGCTCTTATTGGCCATCAGGAGGACTTCTAGTTCCTGATGAAATGGAAACAATAAATATAAATAAACACTGCTGTTTGCTAATAACTAATGAAGAACAAAGGAAAACAAATCTGAGTCCCACCATGAAGAGAAGACCCAAATCTTAACATTTTTTTACAGTGTGATCCTCGACCACTGAGCTACTCTGTGTATACTGGTCAATGAGGAGTTAGCTGGGTTTAAGTGCAACAAGCATCCTGTATTCAATGACTACATCTTGATAAACTAAATAAATGTGACCCTCCATGGGAAAATGGACACTAACGCTTTTCTGTTAAACAGTCTAGAAAAACGGTTGTAAACGGATAGTAAACAACTAACTCGAGCGTTTAAACAGTTTAGTGTCCGTTTAGCATTAGTGTCCGTTTTCCCATGGAGGGTCACAAATGTATTTTCAGAGTAGGAGCTGATTACATTAGTTTGAATAGTGCTTTAAGGTATTGATCTGGGAAATATTTCGGGTATTTTTTTAACATTTCCAATTTTAGCTTACAAAAACTAGAAACAGTTTGACAAGGGTTGCACTTGTTAATGAATTAAATCCACTTCAACCAGCCCAAAAATTCATGTAATCAGCCCTCTACTCAGAAACAAAAAATGTAGATTAGAAATGATTATTGTAAGTAGTGTTGCAATGTGGATTGAGAACCAAGAACACTGGACATTAAGAAAGAGGTCCTCTCCTGTCTCACCCATTAACATTGCCCTCTCTCCTTCCTTTGACAACCATCACTGTCCTAACTACTCCAGTGATCACAACAGATCAATGGCTAGGCCATGAAATCTGAAGTGATCATGGTTTTAGTTCCAAGTGAGGTGCTTTTTAAAGGAAGGGCTTTTGTATATACTCATAGCTTGGTGTTAAACTGATGTCACAGCCATAACAGTTTAATTGAATCCTTATGTTTCTAGACAATTTTGGGTCACTGGTTTGTGATAGAAATTAGGTAGCAAAATTTCATGCCTCCATGCTAAAATCTGAGCTATAAACATTCAGAATAGCCAGTGTGTTTTTCAGAGTAGACCATGAAATGCACCAGTTGCCAATTTTGACAAAGCTGGCTGAATGATCAGTATACATAAATGTACACATAGGAACTGAACATTCTACGTGTGTTTACACTACTACTGGAAACATCTATTTCAAGCAAACTAAAAACTAAGAAACAGTGGAAGAATGTATTGTAAAACATAGCCTTTTGGGAAGTATTCATAAGCTTAATCCATGAATTCACTATTTTTACATACACTTGGAAAAAGTAGGCATATGATTGCCATAAACTAAATGCAGTTAGAACATCTGTCAAAATCGTCAATCTATGTTGACCCCTTTCAATCTCCGACAAGAAACCAAACGGAAATTTCTCTTTATAATATCAGTACACCTACAAACGTAATAAAAATGAAAAGAAAAATATACCCAATTTTCAGGTAAAAATTTTTCAAAAAATTTGTGGCAGACAGTGCAGAGAAGTGATATTGAGAGTAGGAAAGCAAAGGAATAAACTCAATGTTCTAACTGTTCATTGAACATGGGAGATCAGAAAATTTCATGCAAACCATGTAAAATTTTGATGACCTGGCCTATTTTTTTGTCTTTGTTTAAGGCCTTTTTTAATTCAGATGTGGTGAATGTTCTATGGTTACTTTATATTGTTCTCTTCCCACTAAATTCCTTAGTATAAATTTCAGTTCTCACCTGGACATTGTGAATGACAAATTTTTTGAAGCCATCTGGCATAAGATGTCTAGTTTTCTTGTTGCTGCCATAGCCAATACTTGGCATTAAATATTGGCCTTTGAACCTTCTGCGTACTCTGTTGTCAATACCTTTTGGCTTACGCCAGCTTGGCTGAAAGCAAAAGCAAGATTTGTAGCATTCACTTAGTATCATTAGATTTCTAGTAGAAAGGAATGCAAAAAGACACTGACAGTCTCACTTAATTGCAAATTAAAAGTAGAGAAACAGTGAGGTTTCAGTTCCAAAGAATAGGTGAAACACAAAAAAAATCTGTGAACAGAAATAATCATCAAGAGTTTGAGTGTTTTGAAGGAAACCAACTGGTCTTCAGAAAAATAAACTGCCAATGACAGAAGTGGTGATCCAACTGTAGTTTTGGGTTTTTTTGTGTATAATGACCTACATGGACATCAGATTGGTCAGTACACCACAGACCAGTCAGAATCAAATCAAAGTGCTGACTGTGTTTTGAGTTTCATAGTAATAATTCCTTTACCAACTAGAAATTTTCCACATAAATAAAATGCAGGCATTTTGTTGCATACAGCAAATGTACATTTTGGATTGAGATTCATACCATAGAACATTAAGAAAGAGGTCCTATATGCACCTCACCCAAACAAAATGAGTTTTTCTCCTTCCCTTGGACGACCACCACTTTCATTACAAAGCCAGTAGCAATAGGCTATGGTTTAAGTTCAGAGTGTGGTGCTTTTAAAGGGAAGGTAAATCTAAAACAATAAGTTGCAAAACATCATGTCTGTATTTGCCTTATGGAATTACTGCACAATGTTTGTATCAAAATTACCCTCAACACCCAGCATTGTCTCTATTCTAGCTGATGTAAATCATACATTGAAAAGAAAGGTTTCTCAACCCATTGGATTCTTAGAGTGACCAGCATCTAATTCCTCTTTAAAGTTATGCTGCTGAATCATTCATTTTCATTTATAAACCATGAGAATGAAGGAAGTGATTGCCATTCGGTTGGGATGTGAGGGGCTAAAACAAGTGAAATAATACAAACCTTAACTCTGAGAAATCGATCAGACTGATGTCTGATGAATCGCTTCTTCCTCTTTTTAATAATGCGAGGTTTATTTGCTGGCATAACCATCTTGGCTGAGAAAAATAATAAAACAAAATGAAACGTTCAGGTTTATTTAAAAAAACTGATCGTATCAACTTCTTCAAGATACCATTAAACGCTTGCTTGTGAGCTGCCGAAATAATTCGCAAAGAAAGCGTACAATATAATGCTGGCAGAGCGCAAAAAAACCCCGCAGAACTAGCCGAACGAACACAAAATTTTAGAAAAAATATATACTTGAAGATGGCACTAGCTTCGAGTGAGTGACTGTGTCATGTGGAAGCTATCGACATCGCTCTAGACACGTTGTGAAAACAACAAAACGCCCTTCAATTTATCCCGATGATTGGACCAGGAGAAGCGTCCTTCTTATCTCCTTCGATCAATAAAAAGGATTCAGTGTTAAGCAGTGTAATTTCTAAATCCACTCGGGTTCTTTTCATGTATACTGGATTTCACTGTAATTCAGAGCCCCGGATCATTCGCGTCGTTTTACATTACAACAAAGAGTTCCATTAAAAATATTTATACTTCAGCAATTTTTAAGAAATATGGTAGTAAATAGACATATTTTGATCTGCTGATGTCTTGAAATGAAAGGAAATATGCTAAGATACAATTCGCTCACCTCACTCTATAAGACGTGCAGCAAAGAAAATGGCAAAGAGGCCATTGCAAGGTGCGCGGAGGCTCATGGAGCCGTTTCAAAGCCCTCCCACACTACCCTAGATAAGTTTTCCTTTTACGTATTTGAGGGTAGGGAGCCTAGTTGCCATAACTTTGTCCAAAACGTTAAGAACAGGCCCGCAATGAGTGTGAAGAATAAAAGTCCTTTAAAGAAGACAAAACTATTAGGAGCAAACTGAGCAAACATCATTAGTTGACTATGTGCTTTCGATGTGATTCAAACGATGGCATCTCTTTCTGAAGTCCAGTGCATTACTTAACAAACGAATAAAACGCTTTTGCTGACGCTCACAATTGAATTGTGAGTGTTGACAAAGGCGACTTCGTTTTCTTAAAATAAGAAAATCGATTGAAAAATCGAGAAAAACTGATAAAAAGAATTTAATATTCTTACATCCATCGGTTCCAAGTCCGCCATCTTCCGGAAAGGAAAAGAACATGCCAAACTTAACCTTGAAAGCAACTGATTTGCTCTACAATATCCTGGCTCGTGCCGAATTAAACCTTTGTTGACTTAACAGTAGTTAGCGAGCTTGTTTCTAATTGCCGCGCGCAAGTGGACAATTCTATTTGCTCACCTCACCGAGTTCACGAGAAACATTGTGGGCTAAAATGGCAACCAATCTGGTCGAAAAACTCCCAGAGTCCGTTTTGCTGAACATATTTCATCACCTTGCTTCTAAAGATCTAGGGCGCGTAGGAATGGTGTGTAAAAATTGGCACAGAATTGCTTTGGACTATTCGCTTTGGCAACATGTGGATTTACGTGGCTTAAGTCTTTGGAAAGAAAGCATTATAACATTGATCGAAAAGATATCTCCCTTTGTTTCTGTGATGAACATCAGTGGATGCGGTCTTTCAGTTGCTTTTATAACTACTTTGGCAGAGAAATGTGTCAAGTTAAAAACCCTCAGGTAAATCTCTTTGCTGCGTCTTTTGGTTTTCGTAGTAGGAGGGCTTCAATAGGGTTAAGCGATAGCCATAAAACGCCTAAAACATTTGGCCGTAAGGCGTAAAAAGAGACAATTTTAATCGATAGATGCAAAAAAGTTAATCTAAAAAAAATAAAGGTGACAAGAATGGAATGATATTAAACGTTAGCCGTAGTTTGGCCAAAATTTTATTCGTTAACCGTGAAAGCCATCATCCCATTGATACTCTTTAATACCTCTAATATTTTTATTCACACAAAATTGACATGGAAACTATAGCCCGTTTGCATGTTAATACGATGAGTTGTCACTAGCTGGTGATATTATAAAGATTGGTTCTTAAGAATAACTGATCAGTCCAATAAGGGAAAGCAAATCAGCCGATCGACGACAAAAACCACAACAACGATTTACTTTCTGCATTTTCTTACTCTGTTACATTAAATATTCAATTAAATTTCGCTAAATTAAAACCTCATAGATATCTATAGGAAATAGTAGATGAACTAGATATAGATATCTTTATAAGATGCAATTAAGAAAAGATTTCGTTTCAGTTGGTTTTTTTTTCTCTTTCAGTCTTCAGGGGGCATATTTTACAGACTTGGTTTATAACTTTCGCCTTTGCTGGAATTCTTTTAAAACCCTTGAAAACCTGGACGTTCGCTTTCTTGAAGGCCTTTGCTCTAACGTTTTCATAGAACACATCCATCTCTTTAGGAATATACAAAGTCTTGGATTGGCAAATATTAATTCATCGGGAGAGCTGGAAAGAGTTTTTATGTCGCTGCGCAATCTGCGGATAGTTCATTTCCAGAATTGCCCCTCCTTAAAAGATTCTAATATAGACACCCTGGCAGGTTGTTGTCCCAAACTAGAATCACTGTGTCTCACTGGATGTATTTACGTCAAGGGGTCCACTTTCCCGCGTCTATTTGCCGAATGCAGAAACCTTCAAACTTTACTAATGAGTTGCACTAGATTGCAAAATAGCAACATTATGAAAACGGATTGGAGTAAGGCCAGTCTCACCGAGCTTGACTTTTCATACTGTTATGGAATTGGCGAGAGTGGGCTTATGGAAATGCTTCCCAAGTTGACAGATCTGAGGTATCTTCAGCTATCTTTTTGTGGTTGGGGCAGAGCTTTCAGCGACAATGTTATAAGCGTCATGTCACAAATGAACTACCAACAACTCGAAATCCTCGATATTCACAGCAGCTTCAACATCACTGGCAAGACATTGTGCAAGTTCGCCGAAAGGTGTCCTCGTTTAGCAAGTCTTTGTGTTGGAAGCGCAATCACTTCCTGTGAAGAGCTTAGATCGTTGCTGAAAAATTTAAGGAACTTAAAACATTTTTACATCACAAAGCAAGCCACGATCAAAACTGAAAATGTGTTCACCAATATCAAAAAATTTTGTCCGCGCATTGAAACTCTGGCCTTGTATAATTTCTACGCCATAAACAGGTATCGCGTCGAAAATGCTCTTGTTGAGCTCGTGGCAGCTTGCAAGTATTTGAAGGTTCTTTGCATTCGAGGAACTAACGTACCATTGAGAACCGAATTAGCACAACTCGCTGACAAAGTTAAGACTTGCACAAAACGAAACGATATTGAAATATCCCGAAGACCTTATTTTTTGTTGTCTGGAGCTAAGCTCTGTTTAGATAGTGCCCTCAAAAACTCAACTCATTTGAATTAAACTTTGTACTTTTGTACTTTGTACTGAGATTAAAGAGCTTGGCCTCGATCCGCTGAGGTTGTATTGTAATGACTTTATAACTTACGAAAAACTGATTTACACTCACGGTTAGGCTGACAAAGAGCATGAGAAGAAACTACAGTATACCTCATGATCAGTCGGCAAAAAGGGAAAAAAAGAAATAAATGCAATAATGAATGAATAAATGAACATGAAAGTGAGCACTTCAAAAATATCGTCTATAGGCTTCTGTAGTAAAGCATGCTTTTGCAGCCGTTTTTGGAAAACTATGAATAAAGGGGGCAAGTTTCTAAAGTGCTGCGTCGGTTGGAGAGTATAACAGGGTAATTTAGTATAATCTGAACTGAGTTGATAACGTAAATTGGGCACCGTAAAGAGTTTAAAAGCTTTTAAACTCTTTACGGTGCCCAATTTACGTTATCAACTCAGTTGAAAATGCTATATTACCCTTTTATTCAGAAACTATGGTCAACAGTTGACCCCGCGGGAAAGGATTATTCAACTGGTCATTTTTACACCGCGGTTTACCTCTGTCACTGAATCATTTCATTCACGTCGATCAATCATGACGGCAGACTTTTGCAAATAGGCTAGCTAACACCACATTTCTCGAAGCACCTTGAACTTGTTTTGTCGAGTAATATCAATGCGGATGTTTACAGAGGGACTGATGATTTTGAAGTGGGTTTAAAGTGCATGTTCACGAATGAGAGAACATGCGGACCTATATCTGTCCCGTGTTTTAAAAATGTCCCTTGTATCGTCATTCAGTTGTTGACAAATGTCATTTCCAGCAGAGTATACGTCTTTGAGTGCTTTAAAAGCTCTTTTGGTTTAAGACGCTGGGCTTGCATAATTGCACTTATGGATGATATTTTTAATTCGATGATTTATATATGCTTCTAAGATTACACTTGAAAAGTAAGAGTACCGAAGAATATGTCTTCTAAACGTGATTTATTACGTCGAAAAGCGAATTTGTTCGATTGTTTCTACTGTAAGGTTGTTTTGCAAAAACAAGCCGCCGGAATTTTGAGAGCTAAATAAGTGTTACACCATGAAGTTACGCCCCCCTACGAGCTGCGTTGAATAAACTGTGTGTGTGTGTGTGTGTGTTCCTTGATGCTCAGTTAATTGTTTGGGACGCCGTTAGTCTCACATTGTCTTAAATATCAGTTTTAAAATAGAATTGACAAAGCGAGAAGGGCAGTGAGAAGTTTCAAACAAATGATAGATGGGGGTTTCAGCTGATTAGCACTGTAAAGTTCGCGTGGGTAAGCTAAGAAATCATGCGTGAGTGTCAATAAAGATAATCACAAGATCAACTGCAAGCTGTGCAAAAGGTATCTTCCAGTAAGCAGTAGATGTTTAGACGGTTACGTAAACAAGGCCAAATTCTCGCTGACAATAATTGATTAGATTGCGAGCCAGCCCAAGATCAATTTAACATGATGTAAGATGAAATCTAATCGCCAAATGATACAAGCACTTGGACAGCCCAGCGGCGTTATGGTGGACTGAACTTATTTCACTCGCAACCAAAAGAAAGTCAACTGCTTTTTTGTCTCAACTCATTGATTACGTTAAAGAAATATGGCAAGTGTTTGTGGTTAAACAAATGTACGGTATTTAACATAGTAAGGACTTTGTTTGTCGTAGAATGCAAAAGAGGCATATGTTACAGTTGATTGTAGGCTCAGTACATAAGTGCAATTTCAAAGATTTTGATAACGTTCTGAATACAGGGAAATAAAACTCTTTTTCCCTTCCCTTATTCTGTGTGCTTGGGTAGAATATGACTCAGACAGGTGCAATATAACCAAGTTTGCTCAACAAGGACTGAAACAACTCACCAGAATGCTAACTATCTTTTACTAGAACATTCCTTCAAATTAATTTGCTGATGAAATAGGCAAAATAACAGTATAATTAGGAATTTTGTAGAGAGAAAGTTGGAAGAAGAAAAATAGTTTTCTATGTCAAGCTTTCATTCTTTTGATGACCCCTGTTGGAGCATCCAGTTGTGCAGAAGAATAGCCTTCTCTTTGTTTCTGTCATAACTTCTCTCTGCATTTTCTACAAACTTTTGAAGCGCTTTCGAGTTCGTGCGCCACTTTGCGATAGATGCGTGTTCTCCATATTCCTGGTGCTGGTGATTTTCGAACCTTCCGAAAATTTTTGCGTTGAGTCTGGGGATGTTAGGGAGACTATGTCGTGTACGAAGTACTTCTGTTGGACCAGTGTTATCTAAATTCAAGTGTTTGTTATTCGCACAGTTCCGCGATATCTCCTCACCCATAACATTCCAAGCAAACGGATCAGGGTTTAAAGGCAGTTTAGCTTCATGGCCAGGGTTAGCATTAAGAAGACTTTCTTGTCTACGTAATAATTTTGGTGGGTCAGTAATATCTAACATCGGGTGTTTGGTATCCTCGCAGTTTCGCGTTGTTTCATCACTCGCGTGATTAAGAGGAAGAGCGACTATTCCTTGTCGAGGTGCGGCGACGCTTGGTAGTTTGCAGCTATCAGCCCGCTTCTCAAATTGGAGTTTGCATTGGCCAGATACCCCCCAAAAAGAATCTGTTTTTGATTTACCTTCAGACAATGTTGAAACACTGACCCTTCTCTGTGGACGGTTTCTTGGTCCGGAGAAAGATGATTGGTGATGAGACATATTTCTGTCCATTTTAAGTTTCTGTTTTGTGCCGTTATTCAGATCAGCAATTGTACTTTGTCATACGATATACGCTGAAAAAAAACCATCTATAAGGGGCCGTGATATCGGTGTTAAGTTTTGTTCATTGGTACTGCCCTAGAATGGCTGCTGATTAAAAAGCCTTTGTATAGTGTTCTTCATTCACCCGACTGCATTGAGTTTTGATTGCTCTTCCATGAAGCGCTACATAAACAACTCTCGCAATTAGAATCGTAGTTTCCGGCTTCCACTTTTCGCTGCCCACTTCCTTCTAATGTATCGAGATCCAATATAGTAAATAGCAGGCGCAACACTGAATTTCATATCACAAGGGTATATCATCAGATAATCTTACGATAAACTTAAAACGTTTCCTCATTAAAATGTGGATCTTTTAATTTAAGCTTTTTTTGCCTTGGTCGCTTGCATGCTAATTATTTAGCCCAACTGAGGAATAGATCGATGAGAAACTCCGTGGTTTGAAGTCAGTCCGAGTCAATGGCGCTATCTTTGGCGGTCTTCAGGGACTTTCAAGTCGATTATCTCTATATACACCCAGCATGCAGTTGTCAAGTCAGGCGACAACACCTCGATGAACACAATTTTTGACAAAGTTTGTCTTCAGTGTAAGCTAAGCAGTAGTTTATACCACAATTGCAGCGAAGAAATAACTTGACGGATAACAAGTTGAGCTTATTACAAGAGAGACTTTCAAATGAAGTCAATTCAGTGCGCTTTAAAGTTTTGATTGGACATTTAGGATCTTTTGTTTTATCTGAAAGGGCTGTTTTGGTTCACGCACGTAAGTGTAATGCGTTTCGGCAGAAGTATTGATTAAAAACGTCCATATCTCCAATTCGCTCAAAGTCAGTGAACAAGAACTCGTCATGCACAAATCGCACACTCTAAGCCTTGTCACATTGTTTACATTTTCACATCAGTCTGTGTAACTGAGCGCGAATTTCAAAATGAGACTTGGAAAGGCTTTCTAGTCCAGCTCAGCAAAATCTCTGTTATTAATGATGATGAAATCTTTAATGAAAAAAATCAGACTCAACAGAGATAAGTCTTAACAGTCCAAATCACGAATAATGATGCAATTTAAAATCTACAAAAAAATATAAAGATTTATAAAAATCTGTTCTACACATTATGTCTTGCGGTAACAAAACTGATGCTTGAAGCAACTTTCCCTTACTCCTCCACTAGAGGGGTTAGTTTTGTCCTTTGCAATCATTATTGAGATTTTGAAGGACAAGTGACATAGAACAAATGAAACAAGGACGTCAATACTTGGAGCTTAATAATATCACACCAGTTATAAAACAGTATTAGCGTGAAAAAGAAGCAAACTGTCTGAAGAGCGGGAAAAGACAAAAGGCCACGCCGTAATTCGTTTCAACTTTGCATTCGGCTGATTGAAAAGTTGAGCAAAATTGAGAAAAACCAATGCAAACCTGTATTTCGTCCGTTATTCTCTCGAAAGTAACCATTATTTAATGCAAGAGTTTTTTTTTTTTATACTGTGCTTTAGATTACGAGCATTTCCTCCTTTTCGGAGACGTCCTTCGCACGCGTAAAAGAATAAAAACAATGAAAAAAAAATCGATGTTAGCGCGCTGCGCGAAACTCTGAGAACAGCAGGGACTGCGCACAGTTCAGTAACGCTTAGTCTAATTAATTTAATTGATAAGAAGCTAAGCGTGCCATTTCTGCGATATGGTAACGAAGCTATGAATAATGGATTTACCTCTTCTTCAATTTTTTGCGATCAAAGTTTGCATTTGTGAATAGACTATCTGGACGGTAAATTATCTTTTACGAATGGAACTTCCACTCCACAGGCCACACAGTTGTGGGACTGGATGAATAGATAGAAACGAATCGAAAAACGCCACAAAAATTTATGATCAGATTAAACGGTTGCTCGTAGTGAACATGCTTTCACCCCATTGAAGGTTTTTTAACACTGAATTATTCTTTAGAATATAATTGTCGTTGTTAAGGGTGACTGACTTTTAGATAACGTGAGCGGAAGGCGGAATGGGTCTTTTTCTCTGTTGATGACTTTACCTCCGGTTTTAAATCGTCACTCGATGTTAATGACAAAATGCAGTTCAGAATACTCTCTAGTCGACAATCTGAACATGTATCTGATAACATGTATGTTACTTCTGGGCTCAAACTAATTACTTGATGAACATAGTAGAGAAAGCGTTTTTGTACTAGACAACAGCTAAACCTCTTTTGATAACCATCCCAAACTGTGTACAATATTGTTAGTATTCAAGTTAAACTAATATAAAGTGATCGTTATTTAAAAAATTTCCATGCGCACCATGAATTGTAAAAGAACTTGTACGACCAAATCCCTGATAGGTTTAGAGTTATTTTGTATAGCAGTAAGAGACATTTCCTTTGTGATTTTTTATCAATTCTTAAGTTTAGAAACCACAAAATTGCGCAACCGTAATATTCAAAATACAATGGGCACTTTGAAAAAAGTGAGGATTACTTGGCTACAAAGGATCTCTAATTATAGAATTTCACGAGCATTGAACGTGCAACGCCTCAGAATTCAGGATGAGACAATTACTATTCAGTTCATCGTAACTGTCCGTAAAGGAAAAAAATACCTCAGGGCATGGTATACAGTTAATTACAGATTACATAACTGCACGTGCATGTACACGAGCGTGTACATTTCTCAATACTCTTTAAAAAGAGTAAGCAATGATACACATCTGCTAAAAGTCTGGCATTAACGGCCGAGTAGCTGTTTGCTAAAGTTCTCGATGAAACATTATGGCTCTTGCAAATCTTCCTCAGTTATAAACGTACCTCAAACGCTAAACTATATAATCACTTCTCTAGACCGTTTTTACGCTTGCAATGTGTTTGATCAGTATCGGAGGAAAAATTATTCAGGTGAAATAGGAAGAAATAAGATAACATTTTAATTCTGTTTACCTGCTTACACACAAAAAGAGAACATAACTTTATATATTTACACTAGAGAAGAAATACGGGCATTGGAGCTCAAGTAAAGCCCTTCTAAAGTACTTAATTCCTTTTCTGATATTAATCAGTAGCTCTTCTGTTCTTCTTCAGTTCTTAATTCATTAAGTTCGTTGGCTAATAATCCAGTTTTGTAACAAAATGGCTTTTTCCTTATGACTGTCATAGTTTTTCTCTGAATTGCCAATAAACTGTTGAATTTCCTTCGATTTTTGCTGATAGCTGGAAGATACCAAAGGGCGTGTTGTACACACTCTATCAGTCTCTTTGTATCGACTTTGAAAATTCACAGGCATTGTTTTACGAATACAGCCTTTAGGAAGATTTCCTCCTTCGCAAAATTGTTTTTCGGAGATAATGATGTCTAACTTCACGAGTCCATCGTCTTTGCAACTCTGTGTCATGTTTCCTATCCATGCAGTCCTTGTCATTCTTGGTCGTTTTGTCATAACAATATCTGGAAGTTGCACGCCGACGCTTTTTTCAAATTGGTGGTTGTGACTGCAAGAGCGTGTTCCTGATGTTTTTAATACTTCTGAAGAAGTAAGCTTTCTCTCTAGTGTCGGCCTCCAAGGCAAACGGTTATTCAGCTCGGTTGCAGATGACCCGCGGAAGGACAGGCTCAAAAGGTCCATTTTCAATCTTTCTTGATCCAGCAGAACTTTTGGTTGCTGCAAATCTTCAGATGGACAGAGAAAGTTCGGTTCGTTTTGTAAGTTATATTTCTCTCGCTAAGTCCTCTCGTCAATGCACGCGGCACTATGGTTTAGTATTGTCCTTATGCTAACAAATTATATGCATCAGTCGTAATTGCCTCTTCTGTTATGAAATGTTATAGTCTCAAAATAACTGCACGCAACTCAGTTGCCGATTACGTATTAGCTCGTGCTAATAGCGGATTGTTGCACGTGAAAGATTAAATTCAAATTTTTTAAATCAAGATTTGCACGCTTGAAAGTACTTGTCAAAAGATAAAATTTTTATAGGGTAACCAAGAAATAAGTTAAAAACCCGTTCCCTGGTTTTGTATGACTGTCGATGATTGAAGTATTTTTAAGTAAACCAAAGTTTGCGAATTCCTTACAATGGGCATTAGTTATTAAGCGCCTTCCTTTTACGAAAATCTTGACTTCTTGACCTGGTTCAGCTCTGCTCTCTTCTTAATATTCTGTGGGTAGGCATCAAATTTGTATGTGGGTACAACAGGTGAATTTCGGTATCGAACATGTACGTTGCAATTAGCCCGATAGAGACTTAATGGTTTTCAGATATTTTGATAGTCAGCAGGGGTGAATGATAAAAACAGAATAATTCTGAGTTACCGGGAAGTTTTGAATTGTTCTAGATGGCTCGTAAAACGTAGATGAAACAGGAGACCAGTGATCAATCCTATTTTTAGAAGGGACACGAGGCACGTGCAAAAGTATCACAGTAGAGGGACATGATTTTCTGACTCAAAGGATTATCAATCTTAGTTCTGTCATTTTTTGTGGTCAAGAAAAACCAATTTATAGTAGCTTTTCTAAAGATCACCGCAGTAATTGTCCACACACTATTTTTATGTTGAAAATGCTGTTCAATCGAGTGTTCCTTTTGTTTCAATCAAAATCATTTACGATTGTAGAAATCGCTAAGTTCTGCATAATTAGCATATAATTATGAGCGGTGCTTTCCTATTATGAGGGCTCTTCAGTGTATGTCAATTGGGTCAAGGCTGAAGTAAAATGATTTTGATCTAAGGACATTCCTTTATTTTCCGATTGATTCAGTGGTATGAAAAATTTGATCCAAATAAAGTAACATTTAAACGAGAGGCTGGAGGAGTGAAACAGCGTTGAGGCCAGGTTTTGAATCACATCCGATGGCTAAATAGACCATAACGTCAAATGGCTGACTGACTCGAAGTTTAACAATTTTTATCTTATAATTCGATGTGTCATTCAAAGTTTCCTAAACAAAATGTCTTTCTATTCATGATTTGCAAGCCAAGATTTTTTAACACAACTTGTGAGTCAAGCGGAAGAAAAGAGATCGGAGCTTTTTGCACCATACGTAGTCTCGTCTGAATTCAATCATTTAATGTTTATCGAAACGTTGATTAAGAATTTTTGAATGCTAGAGTTATACAAGCTTATATGACTAAATAGTAGAAATTTTATTGTGTAGCTAATGGTAACAAGATGCTTGCGTTCACATCGGTGTAGCAATTTCTTTATATCTAGACTGGCAGTTAGTTTTGTTGCCAGCAATAATCAATTGAAATCGCTTACAAACTGTTTGGTTGTGTCTTTTCTATCCTTTAGAGCTACCATCACAAATTTGCTTTTATGCAAGCCTGAGAGGCACTCATCTGATTAAAAAAAAAACAATCATAACCTCCAGGGTTAAGAAAATGTTCAGTGATGAGAACCTTACGCTGATAAAAAGGTCCAAAGCTTCATGCAAATAAAGCGCTTAAAATAGTGAAACTAGATGGAAAACACTTTATTGTATAATGTATCAACAAGAACCCTTACAATATTCTAATTTAACTACAAACAGTTAAGCCATTTTTGGTTTTCATCGGAATAGCACAGACAGTTTAGCCGGCCTGTTGAGAGAACACAGACAGCAAAAGCCGACTGTGACACTCAACCCATATTCCGGCAGTCTCTAGTAAAATAGCACTTGCAGTTCCACTAGTTTAGAAGATATGCTGGGGCAGAACAGACATTTGAGTAAGTTGAGCGGGCGGAAACAATTGAACTTGCATGCGGGACAGTACAGGCATTAGGGACTTCTGAGATACCAAGGGCAGTTAAGTGCATTTGATCGAGCACGGCCACGGACAGATGGGCTTGATGGTAGAGAAATGTCACCCGCAGGATCTTGGGACTTACTCTCGGATTCAAACCCATTGTTTCAAAGGCAGAGTCGAGAAAAGGATTTTGGCCAAGCAACGGCTAAACCTGTTTTTCATGACTGTCCCAAATTGTGTATCATATTGTAATAATAACAAGTCATTTTAATATAAAGTGATCGTTATTTAGGAAATTTTCATGCGTAACACAAATTGCAATTGAACTTCTACGTCCAAATCCCTTAAAAGATTAGAGTTATTTTGCATAGCAATGAGAGATGTATTCCTTCGTTACTTTTAATCAATTCTCGCTAGTTAGAAACTGCAAGATTTCGCAACCGTAATATTCAAAATGAAATGGGCACGTTGAAAAGAGTGAAGGTTACTTGTCTACAAAGGATCTCTGATTCTTGAATTTCACGAGCATCGAGCGTGCCTTAGAATTCAGGATGCGACAATAACTATTAAGTTTCCGTTTGCAAACTATCCGCAACACAATGCCTCTGGGCATGGTATAGAGCTAATTACAGATTACATAACTGCACGTGCACACGAGCGTGAGACACTTTTTTCTCAAGACTCTTGATGATCAATGATAAACATTAAATAGAAGTCTGGCATTAAAGACTGAGTACTTGTTCGCTAAATTTCTCGATGAAAACTCATGGCTTTTGTAAATGATCCTCTATAAATGAACCTTAAATACTAGTAACAGTATAATCACTTGTCTAACTTGAAGTGGTTTTTGTGCTGGCAATGATTTTGATTTTTTTTAGGAAAAAAATTAATGTCAGTGAAATAGTAAGGAAAGGTCTGTTTACCTGCTTTCACATCAAATGAACATAAATTTATACATGATGAGATTAATACTGTTCTAGACAAGAGAAGAAATCTTGGTATCGGAGCACAAGGAAAGCTCTTCTAAAGTACTTCCTTTTCTATTCTTAATCAGTGGTTCTTGGGTTTTTTCTTCAGTTCTTCACTCATTCATTTCGTTGGCTAATAATCCAGTTTTGTAACAAAATGGCTTTTTCCTTATGACTGTCATAGTTTTTCTCTGAATTGCCAATAAACTGTTGAATTGCCTTCGATTTCTGCTGATAGCTGGAAGATACCGACGGACGAACTGTGCACACTTTAGCAGTCTCCTTGTGTCGACTTTGAAAATTCACAGATAGTTTTGTTTTACGAATACAGCCTTTAGAAAGATTTCCTCCTTCGCAAAACTGCTTTTGGGAGACAACGATGTCTAACTTCACAAGTCCATCGTCTTTGCAACTCTGTGTTTTGTTTCCTATCCATGCAGTCTTTGCCGTTCTTGGTTGTTTTGTCATAATAATATCTGGGAGATGCCCACCGACGCTTTTTTCAAATTGGTGGTTGCGTGTGCACCAGCTTGTGCTTGATGTTTCATATATTGCTGGAGGAGAAAGCTTTCTCTCTAATGTCGGCCTTTTAGGCAGACGGATATTCAACTCGGGTGCAGATGACCTGTGGAAAGGCCGGCTTAATGTGTCCATTTCCTGTAATCTGTCTCGATCCAGCAAAACTTTAGATTGCTGAAAATCTTTAGACGGACAGAGAGACTTCGTTTCGTTGGGTGAGTTATCTGTCTCCCGCTAAGACTTCCTGTCAGTACAGAAGGCACTATGGTTCAGCGTTGTTCTTATGCTATCAAATTATATGCATCAGTTGTTTTCAGTTATTAATGTTATAGCATCAAAATGACCGCACGCCACCTAGTTACATATCAGCTCGTGGTAATATAGCGGATTGTTGCACGTGACGGATTAAATTTCAATTTCTTATTAAGATCTGCACACTTGAAAGTACTTGTCAAAAGCTAAACTGATTTACAGCATGAAAAACTGATGTTTTAATAGAGAATTAGATAATTTTCATAAGTTAAGTAAGAAATATGTTTAAAACTCGTTCCATCGTCGGGTAGGACACTGACGATCATTGTAGCCGCCCTCTAAACTGAAGATCGCGAATTGCGTACGGCGGCTAAAGCTGTTGAGCTTTCCCAGTTTACAAGAATTTTCAATGCTGTGGTGTTTTAGCTCTGATTTATCCTGAATTTTCTGTGGGGTCGGTACGTGGAAATAATAGGTGCATTTTGATTGGGATTTTTTATGGATTCGGAACGTACCTCAAAAAGAGAAGAAAGAGTAGACACAGTTATATAACTGTAGCGAACAAGATGAAAGATGCTTTCTTTCAGATCCATCTAGAAATAACTTTACACCTGAATTAGTTTCAAATTTGCAGGTTACCACGTTCAGAATCGCTTGCAAGTTGTTGTTGTTCGTAAGAGTTCATGTTATGAGGAATGCTCGCACTTTTAAGCATAGTACTTCTCTCGGCATTAATTAAAATTGCTTAGCAATTCCATTTTTTTATTTCCAAATTGACAGTTTGTCTTGTTGGCAACCGTTTTGGTCTCGTCACCCAGAACTTTCTTCCTAGGTCCTGCTTTCCCTCGGTATGAAAAGACCAAATCTGATAAAACGGCTAAAATCGAACTTCCGCAGATTTCACTTAATTTGAAATCTGATTTGTCTGAGAACCCTAGAACTGAACCATATGAAACACGAAAGTGTTGCAAACGCGCTAAACTTGCTTCGTAAACCATGACCATCATACCTGTTCCTGTGTTGTTTTAATGAATCTTCTGTTTTAAAATGATTCGTATCGGTTCCACTGCAATTTGCTACAATTTTTTTCCTAAACAGTCATAGAAGTAATTTCTTATAGTCTCCGGAAATGCGCTAAACGTTCACGTTTGGGGACCTTTTGTTGTTATGGGTCATTCAGTCGAAGTTATATAAGAGACTGTGCATGTGATCATGACATGCAGGTATCAAGTGTGGACAATGACTACAACACATTCAAGCATATAAGGGGACCTTTGTTAAATTGATGATAAAATGATATGGTCTAATAGCGCCTCAATCGTCCAGATGTAGTTGATAACTTAAGGGAAGAAAGGCTCAATCCTATCTTTAATATAGGAGGTAACAATATAATAAACGGAGTAACCTTTCGATTGCTCTGAAAGTCTCCTAAGTCTCACAAGTACCTTTTCTTAACTGCCAAGCATCAAAATTTTTATTAGAATGGCTTATCAAAACGTTTTAATTCAAGTTAGTCATGCATTATTCTACTCACGTACAGATTTATCATGGTCGGGTTAGTTTTCAATCGTTTCTCATCGACAAGAACCTTGCCACTTCATCATTTTAAGTATTTCATGTTAACGTTTAACTAAGCAAATGCTTTGGCCGCCTGATCTTTACTCATATGTCACAGTTCTTGTGATTATAGTATTCAAAAGAGAAATAATTGAATTAGTATAAAGTGATAACGAACAATAACAAGGAAAGTGTAACATTAAGTCGAGATTAAGAACCAGTTTTTAAAACGGTGGTGAGACCGAACGAGTTAGAAATATTAACGAAGTATATAACGGAGAGAGCTGCCAAATACGACAGACAGAAAGACGAAACCGGGGTTTCCGACACGGACGATGGAACACGAATTAGTTTGTTGAACGTTTTGCAAAGCGAAAACCATACGTTAGGTAATTTCGTGTGAGCATGAGATGGCATAACACAATATATCTTACAATTAAGCATTAACATTGCTTTGTTACGTCTTTAGACAAGAACAATATACTGAGAGGCAGGGTAAATAATAAACTTATATTATATAATCACACGCGCATGTATACAAACGTGCAAAGATTTATTTGTATGATGGATTACATTTAGGAAGGTGATCCTTTCTTCTTTTAGCCCTACCTAAGGAATATCTCTTGGCCTTACATGGAAGTGCAAGAGGTTTTCGTATTAGAAAATCGGTCCACAGACGTTTTCTATAACACAACCGGTGACCGGAAAAAGAATGCAACCACATCTAACGAGCAGCCAATCAAGTAGAAAGGCCATGCTATCGCATTCTGAACTAAACCGGTAACAAAGAGAGGATTTAAAGAAAGCGTTATTTCTTAACGAGGTTTCCTCAGTTCGTTAACTTGAATTTAAAACTTGCTTGCAGTCCGACTATATATGAGTGCTTTCTATCACGAAACTGCTCGAATAAATTAATATCTATTTACATTAGATAGAAGCGAAATATAGAACAAAAACAAACAGTATGAAAGCAAACGATAGTCTATCTACTTAGTTTTCAATGAGTCATTCAGTTCTTTGGCGAATGATCCATTTATGCAGAAGATCAGCTTTTTCCCTGTGGCTATCATACTTTTCCTCTGCATTTTCAATAAACTGTTTGAATGCCATCGATTTTGCATGGCAGTATGAAGACACCATAGGAAGAGAACTGTAAATTTCACTATGTGCCTCATGTTGGGAATTAATACAAAGTTTGGTTCTTGGACAAATATTTCTCGGAAGACATTCTCCCCCATAAGACAGTTTTTTGGGGGCAATTGTGTCAAGCTTAAAGCATTGCTCATCACGCACAGAGCTCCACTTCGTTATGTCTCCCAACCAGGCCGCCTTCGCCATTCGTTGCTGTGTTGTGACAATTTTTGGCAGTTTCTGCTGACCGGCAAATTGTCCAAATTGGTGGTTGTAATTCCACGATTCATCGGCGATTGATTCAGTTATTTCTAGCAACGCAGGGGCAGTTAGTTTCCTCTCCAGCGTTGGCCTTCTTAGCACACGGTTACTTAGTGCTGGCGTAGATGACCTACGGCAGGACAGGCGAGTGCTCATTTCCTGTGATTTGAGTCCACAAAGACGACAGATCTTACACAAGTAATTTGCAGAACTAAAGCTTCCAATTCTTTGATTTGTTTTCCTTGGTCTCTCTCTCGCTTATGGTCGTTTTTTACTCCAGTTCGGTCTCCTCAGTTCATCTACTTGACTTCAGTACTGATGTGTGTGTCCTTGAAGAGTTATATCATCAAATGTCTCCAAACCTGAAGGTCACCCTTTCTTATCGGTTGGCTTAATTGACGTAATCGTTTGGGTTTGCACGTGATAGTAGCTATGACACTGCTTTTTCAACTTGTCCTTTTTGTTGTAAAAGCAAATATAGCGATGGAAGAAAAAAAGGAAAAGTGTAAGAGTTAAATACGGAAAAAGAGCAAGGAATTATTCGAACCTGACTAGTAAAGCTCAGAGGAGAACATTCAAACAGAACCTGTGCCTCCGTAATTGTTTGTGGTTGCACGTGACAGTAGTTATGACACTGCTTTTTCTAGTTGTCCTTCTTGTTGTAAAAGCAAATGGAAAAAAAGAGGAAAAGATTAAGAATGAAAAACGGAAAAAAAACAAAGAATTATTCGAACCTGACTGATTACACTCCGAGGGGAATGTTCCAACAGAACCGATGCCTCTAAGATATTAGTTGATCGCTACTATCAACTGATCTATAAAGCCGCACGGAGAGCGAGGAGGTATATATTTTGATGTGAATTCGTAATTCAATTGGTAGTAGCGTACAACTAGCATGTTTGATGCACAGGTTCAAATCCCGTCGTAGCCTTAAAATGTTTTGGGTTCTTCAAGCTGCAAGCTTACCTACGAGGACAATTGCTTACTTGAAAGTGTATTGTATTTTATATATTCATATTAAGTAATTTATTTATCGAGCCTTCTTTTTACCAGAGGCCCTTCCTTTAGAGACTAAATGACTACTTATTACACACGTACTAGCACTCTTCTGCCTCTTGCTGCGCCCCTTACCTTACCATTTACACACAAGGATTATTTCATTTATTCAAAGAGAGAAGCGACTCATTCAACTCTTTCAGTTAATTTAGGACAGCGGCTAACATCAGTTAATGAAGAGCTGACTTACTATAAATTAACTCTCTGTAGTATTCACTAACAAAACAAAACAAAAAAAACTTTCCAAGTTTTCTCGTGATTTAAGGTAGAATGTAATTTTGTTTGATTCTTTGATGAATAAATCCTATGAGCTTCATTGATTTCAGACATTATCAAGCGGGTGGATTGCGAAAGACAGATCGATGTCGATGAAAGGTGACGTTATGTAACTAAACGTGACGGGCACGTGCTGAACCATAAACATACGAGTGTTAGACCAATTTATCACCATTAGGTTTATGTCTACGATGTCGTTGATGCCAAGACTAAACAACCGTAGGGTTCAAATTGCTAATTTTAGAGAGCTGCACGCGTATGAGGCCTTGCAGTGCTGGATATGAGTGTACACAAAGACCTTTGGGACGTTTCTTTCACAGATAACTCTTACCTTGAAGTACCATTTTTTTTCTCTATATATACTCTTTGATGATAGAATTTAACGAGTATGGTCCAATACAAACATTCGAATCCTTCCGTGACAAAGCTAGCGACACTTTTAAATTTGTTTAGGAAAGGAATTTAATCAATCTATCCATACACAGCTGGATTACTTTAATTGATTTGAGAAGCGTAAATATGCTGCAGGCTCATAATTGTTCGGTCATTTTTTTCTAAAATCGTTACCCAAACGAACAACCAGGACCTTGGCGTTTGCGTTGCAAAACGAAGCTCCCAGTAATTTCAGAAATTTTTCTAAGGTAAGCCTCTTCCAGATTGTTTCTGTTTACGTTAACGGAATTTATTGTTTGTATGCATCTGGAAACTGTAGCATTGATCCGTAAGTGTAAAGGTATCACTTTATTTCACACAGAGCTTTGGTTTTAATAGCGCGTTCACGATAAAAATAAAAGGCATTAAGACAATTTAAAAGCTATCGGAAAGAACAAAAATAATTTTTATTGGTAGCACTTGACAATATGTACTTCGTAGTTAGCAAATGGATTACTGAATAATTATCGACACATGCAATCATAGATTAGGATTTTTTTGCTATGGACGCTAAGGCTTTGAATATTAAGTTCCTCATTCCATTTACTCAACGGTCAAGACAGGGCAGATCTTTCAGCGAAGATAGGACTTCACGAGATTACAACAGATGGTCAAAATCATTGGTGCAATTAGAACGATAATTGAAGGGGCTGATAGGTGCAATGATGATAACAATCACGATTTGCTACGTCTTATGTTATGTAACATAACTTTATCAAGGATTGAAGTTACCCTCAAATGTTACTATGTGCTTTTGTTCGAATTGGATTATTATGTCTCATGATAATATTGAGAAAAATAAGACGTTGGTCAAGTCTGACTGTCAATTTTGATTCCTTGGTCTTATTAGCTCCCCTCTACGATCGCTAAGTCCTGTTTGCAGCAATGCTCCCTCGCGCGCTGATAGTTTCGCCTTCTGTTGATTTGCGCAAACTGTCGATTGATTAGCACAAGTACAGAGGATCCTGACTTTACATCTAGAAAATAAGACCATGAATCGCAAGCTACGGTATAACTCGAGAAGCGTTATTACATAACCTGAGCACTTGAGATGTTTCGTGATTAGTTTATCAACGGCATCGTACTTATGATAACAAAAAGTGTTGAATTTTTGCATCTGGCACGTGATAGTACAACTACCAGACTGGTCTAAATTTCGGTAACACTCCATAAAAGAATAAAAAGACATATTTTATGGTAAGCATGACAGCCATTTCATTAAAATGTAACCGATAGACGTAAATGCTACTTCAATGAGATTTCCCCATCAATCCACCATCCGTTTGGTGGTGAACTCCGTTAAACATTTATGTAATTGGCCATACTAATCCACTAACTATACTGGTAGACTCTGCAATGCTAAATTTGGTCTAATTCATGAAGCGAACGATGAATGACTTCGGTGAAATTTTATAGAAATTGCCAAAAACCTGCAGTCTACGCTATCCACCATTTTCATATAGTTAAACATGAGCAGAAATATTTGCTCATTTTAAGGTTTGCTTAATTTTTTCAGTAGATGAGCTCACAATTCTGTGCTAGCCTTGAGCTTCATTTATCTATTGTATGCAATGACATACGCATTTCCAAATATCGATGTTGTGTCAACTAGATGTGTTATCGAGCTTCGACTCTCTACAACATCCAGCTTAGAATTCGCAAAGAAATTTGGCGCCTAAGCGGTGTTACATATATGAAGTTTTCACAATGTATTTGGAATCATTTCCATGCCTTCTAGCGAAAATTCAGGTAGAATTAACGACTCGTTATTATGCTTGTCGGCTGTCACAATTTCGACAACTATGGATAAGCCTTATATTACCACTCAGAGACAACGAGTTAAGATGTTGGTCAAAGTCTTGTTTCAAGTTTGTAAACATCTATAGATCACCTTGCTCAGTTAGCTTTAATCAACAGTGAGCAGCGTTTGTTCAATTAGCCGGCTATAGCTGGTTAGGGGAGTTTGGTTAGATGGGAAGTTGAGGCCCGATTTATATTGTCTCGGCTACCCGAGACAACCCTCCCCCCGAGTTACCTGGGCGAGCTAACTTTTCACTTCTATCTTTACAAAATTCAGCCGACCGTTTACATGAAGTTGTGCACTCGTCTCAGAATGAGAGAAGGGGGGAACGGAAGGAGGGGCAGTGGGCGAGTTGTCTCACCTCGGCAGGTAAAGTAACCCTGGCAGGTGGGACAACTTTCTCTCATGTAAACAACTTGTCTCGCTCACCTGAGACGAGAAAACTCGAACGGAAAATGCGTGCGCATGCTATGTCCAGGATTTTTAAAGCTACTCTTTTCTTGCCGCCCGTTATTTTGTCGAATATGTAACCTGGCCGAGCCAGGGTTAGAAGATGTCAGATTTCATGTAAACGTTCTCGGTACCCGAGACCATAAAATGGGGCCTTAGTCAAGTGGGCAGTGTCTTACTTTTGGACGATGGAATAAGATGAACTCGTAGGTTGCATTGGCTGGGAAGATCATGCCAGAAGTAACAGTCACCTTGTTCTTTTTTATTCGTTTAATCATAGCATCATAGCACGCTTAGAAATTGACCGCGATGAAAAAATCTCTTTAACACTACTGAGATTTTTATTTTCTAAAATCGAACAGAAATTTTATTCTCAATACCCTCACCTTCACATCTTTAAACCTTAACAATGTTCCACTTCTTCTCTGTGATTTTGCAAGATTAACAAGGGGTAATGGAGGCTTATTCTAACCTTCATTTCCAAACAGATTCTTGTAAGGGCAGTTAACAACTTCCGTTTTTTTGGTCAATTTGTTTTTGTTCTGTGTCTTTTCCTGATCTGTTTCCCATCCTTTCCTTAAAACACTTATTAACATGGATGGCTAGTTGCGTTTGTCTAGACTATGCGCTTCCTAATTCAATTTTTCTACCTCAGATTTTGCCACCACCCAGTTGAAGTTCAGACACTTCATGTACACCTATTTTTTCAGAAGGGACTAACTTTCTTGAAGTACAAACAAGGAGGAATATTTCTAGAAGCCAGTGTGGCTTATTCTCTTAAACTAATAATTTTCTCTTTGTTTACTTCAACATTCATCACTTTTAACCGCTTTGAAACAAGCCTGTTGAGTTCTCAAAGTTTCCAAAAGCGTAGTTGGAGAAATATAATTAATTAGTCATTCTATGATTGTTTCATTCTATGCATGTAATAATTGAGCAATTCTTTATGAGTAGTCCAGGATCAGGTCCTTTTCCAGCTGGAAATTTCACTTTCAGGCAGCATCAAATTTTGATGGGATGTATAGAGCTCTTTGTAGTGGACTTGGCACTCAGCAAGGATTTCGTTTTCAGATGTGACAAATTGATGCTCATTAATTTATATTGTGCTCAGTTTGAAGTGCCTTGTTTCAAGATTAAGAAAATATTTTGTGTTTTTCTCGCCTTCATTTTACTATTTAAATCAGTGTACCAAAAAGTTTTAATGAGAGTCAGCTATGTTTAGCTTGGCTTTGTCTTTAGCTAGGCTTCGTCAAGTATTCAAAAAATTTCATTTATCTACAATTTTTTCCCTTTTTGGCCTTAATCAGGAAAGCAAAGTTGGCTTTATAATTATATGGCATTTAAATTGCACATTTCAAGGCGGGCATTTGAACAGACTATTTGAAGCAGATTAGAACTGAAGGGTAAGGCCTTATAGAATTCTAAAACGCTATTTTGGAACTGTTTATCTTCGGATCTAAGTCAGAATGCAGCAAGTTAAGAAAGAGTAAAATTATTGACGATTCCCCCGGCGAGTTTGTCATTGCGTGCGTGTTTTTCATGATATTACTTGCAATCTTCACGGTTGAACTGAACTGGATATTTTAACAAATTTGAATGCGGGCATTGTTGTTGTTTTTGTAGCAGTTGTTTTTAGTGTTTTTTTTTATTCCACACTGGAAACTGATTAGCTAGCACATCATCCTGTTGCCACTCGTTTGTCTCGCGTGTCTAACTGACATGTTTGACCGCTAAAATAAATTTTTCAATTTCGTTTCGAGGCTTATGCGTGAATTAAACGAATGATAGTGGCGTATGCCCCTCTTCTATTAACATTGGGCGTTTATCAAAGAAAAGTTTAAGTCATATATAAAAATGGAACATCAGTGGTCCCACCACACCTCTATCTTCTCTGCGTAAACACTCAGTCTAAAATGCACACTACAACGCTTGCTGGTCATGACTCTTTCTCAGGAAATTTGTGCTTTCTGATGCAAATCAAGTGGCCCTTTTTGGTATCAGCTATTATTAACTATCTCAGTCTGTTGTGAGTGCTAGCCATCTACGTAGGAAATTTCATGCAAAAGGTTTTTTTTCCCAGCTTGCGGTGTCAATCACTTAGCAAAGCTGACGTGATGATTGATTTGTGCATTCCCAAAGTTTTCATCCACCCCCTCAAACTGTGCAGGGACTCATGCAGCAGTTTACAAAGGGGGGTACAAACTCAAGCAATTTTTGACTCTTATTTAAAACTCTTTATCTTTAAATCTAAGGTGCATTGGAACAAATTAACCACACAAATTTGGATGATTCCCTAATGAGGTGACATCACAGTAGTGTTTGAATGACTTTTCATCAGATCTTTACGCTTGATGTTAACCCTCGAGGTTTTTAAAAGCCTTTGTTTTTGTTGTTGCTTTTGATGTTGTCAACTTTGAAATTGATTGACGTATTAAATTTACCATTCGTAAATGATATAGAATAGCTTCTAGCTTAATTGGCTTATTACTACAGCACGCTTTCCAATTTAGCATAAACAAAGAAAAATCAAGTCGAACGACTGACCACATCTATCTTTCTATGCCCACATAATCAATCTATCGGTGGTAATTAACAAGTTATATATAATTAAAGAAAACAAAAAATATATATATAAAATAAAACAAATTGCCATCGGATGGGTTTCAATCGAAATTTTATACAAACTGTTCAAATACCTTCTTTTCCTTCCGAGGGCAAAGTGGTGCCTCAAGCTACTCATTAACAATAAGCAATGAGGTTGCACGTATAACAAGATCCGCCGTGCGCCAAAATGTTTTAGACAGTTTTCCATTATCTTTCCCATCCGAAGGCTTAAAAACAGCACAGATTTTCATTCTAGTACATAGAGCAAATAAGTTCAAAGGATATAGAAAATAGACAACGGATGTGTTATGAATATCCAAGAAACTAGCAGGTAATTTAGTGTTCACAACTGAGTTTAAAACGTAAATTGGCCACCGTAAAGACTAAAAAAGCTGACGTTTCGAGCGTTAGCCCTTCGTCAGAGAGGTTCTGACTTTTATTTGTTGGCCATTAGCTGGGTTAAAGGAATCCCATGATACGTTTCTTCTTAATCACTGCCGTACTTAGGCCTTCACCAGATTCTCCTCTCATCAAGAGGCGAAAAAAACAAGTCAATCGCTCTGACGAAGGGCTAACGCTCGAAACGTCAGTTTTTTTTACTCCTTACGGTGACCAATTTACGTTATCAACTCAGTTGTTCACACTAAATTACCTGCTATACTCTTCCACAGACGCAGCACCACAGTTTCTTTGGAAACTCACCCTGTTTATTCTTTTATCCAAGAAACTGTTACGTTTCGACGTGAAGCAAGTAAACCGGTCAACTATCGATAGGAAATCAATAAGTTGAAGTTAGCGTGGCTGACTTTTATCCGTTGGCCATTAGCTGGGTTAAAGGAGTTCCATGATGCGTTCCTTCCTAATACCTGTTGTACTTAGGCCTCCACCAAATTCTCCTCTCATCAAGTGGCGAAAAAAACATTAGAACCGATCTATAGCTTTTGCTAACAAGTCACCGGTTTTTGTGGTACATGCCTAGGGAGCAAGAAAACATGCTAAAAAAGAAAAAAAAAGACAACCAACAAACAAACAAAAAATAGAAAGAAATGAGTTCGCCGTTATTATACTAAATTTGTAAGAGTTTCTGGGTGCCTATTAGGTGGCTTAATACAAGTCGCAATGCAAAAAGAAAAAAAAACCATACCACGATTCCACGAATGAGCGACAATGTATCCCTCTAAACAAATAACTACAATGGTTATGTTCATTACAATCAGATCTCTTTTCAATGATTAATCTCACTCACTCGTTTGTCATCCGGCCTCCCATCCCTGTCATTCGAGAGCGCGATAGGAGCTTTTGTTTACATTAGTGATCAACTCATATCAATTAGATTAAATTATCGAAGGGTCATAAAGCACGTTTCGGAATTTACTTGAACCATCGTCCGTGAAATTTCTAGAAGCTTTGACCATCTATAGAATCTTTTAATTTTAATTTTTTTCTGTAAGGACTATTATTTCGAGATAATGTCACTCCTTCAGATAGAATAAGCATCTAGAGCACACGCACGTATTTATTCAAAAGCTCGGCTTAATGTCAATGGTGGTCGTTAAAGTTATATATAACTCCTCATCTGTAGATTTCATTTTTATACTAGGGAAAAAATAAGTACACATAATGAACTACCTACAGCAAGCGCTTGAGACATTATCTACTTGTGCCAAGAGATTATATTCTCTTGCTTGTACTTAGAGACTGAATCCCACGGACAGAATTAAACCTCTCCGCTTTGGACTAAAAGTTCAGGCTTCCTTCTCAAACAGACTCCCTTTGTCCTCCTTCACTTAATCTGTTTTATCTAGTGCAAAGAGGAACGAGGCACTTTTTAAATGGCAGTTTTAAGTTGAATCAATCTTCCTCAACAGAAACTATTTACATTAAAAGGAATGGGTTGCCCCAACCCTTAATTTGTTCTTCTTTAAGCATTTTATGATATCATGACCAATGCTAATTTTGCGTCGGTGATACGTTGCACAATCAGTTTAATAATTCAAACAGCGTCAATAGTGAAAGTATACTATTATACTTTAACTGAAAACTGGATGAATGTTTATCACTTCTTTCAAGTAATAATGATATAAAAATTCACAATACGATATGCCCTATAGCCGTAGAGAGGTTGGAAATGATAATGGAATGTTCTTCAAATTTCATGATTTGATCTCCGATTGATCCAAGAGCCATTCAAGTAACCTAACAGCCTTTGTCTCCACTTCATTAAAATCAGTTTCTGCAGTCTCGACATGCGTCTTCAAAGCTGAAGTATTGTCACTTTCTTCAACATTTCTCTTTGACGTGGCTTTTACAGGAAAGCTTGTTTGTTTCGCACGCGCGCAGTCGAAAGTTCCCTTGCCTCTTACAGGTAGCTTTACCGCTGGATAACCTGCTTCGTGATAGATGAGCTCATCTGACTCACCCATGGAGCCTGAATAGACAAGCGAAGGGAATGAATGCCCCGTTCCTGTATGCAAATCATGACGTTTTGTAAATTTTTCACTTGATAGGAAGGAGGTCGAGTAAAGTTTTATCACACTTTCTGATAGGGATGGAAGGGAGAACCCTCTGCAATCCGCCTTCATTGGTCGTCTGATTTGTGTAAATGAGGGTTTTGTTTCCTGTGCAGAAACTGATGCAATATTTCTTTCCCCTCTTACCCAAGGCCTTTCTATGTTCGAGGTTCTTCTAATTTCCCATCCTTCGTGGTCATTCCACGAATGCATCCTTTTGAGACACTTAGTTTCCTTGACAGGTGGTGGATCACTTGTTTCTAAAGATTTTGTTATGACAGGAAAATGAATTAGCCTCGTTGCCACCTCACTTTTTGTCTCTTTTTTTTTCTCTTTTCTTTTTGTCTCTTCTCCTCGCAGCTTAGCGTGAAAGTCAGAGCTGTATTTAGGTAGAAATTTGAAGTCGTCTGTTATTTCCTGTCTGGAAGAGCTGTAAGATGAATGTATAGATTGTCTTTGGCCAGTTGAAAAGTTTCTGTGCTGTTCTGCACCAAACGAGCTTTGCCTTTACCTGTCCATGGATCATGTATCATTGACGTTCAGTTTTAAGTGAAATTCTTTGTGGCTAGACGATAGAATGACTATGAATTATAATAACAATTTGCTGCAGTTAACTACTGGCAAGTACTTGAGGAACAATATTATAGAATGGGTCCAAAGCTCGTCGCTTGGCTAGACACTGCAGTAATTTCTCTTCATCGTATGCAAACCATTCCTCTCTCATCAAAAAGGTGGCATTCATGTTGTCACGTACGGAATGACTAAATCACCCTGGGGAGGAAATTGCTAATTTCATACGACTGCACGCATCTGAGACTATGTATGACTTGATTTGAATTTACGCATAGTCGCTTAGGACGTTTACCCTGGGAATAGTTCGTACCCCGAAGTACCACTAATTTTCTAAATATTCATCAACGACATATGCTCATGAATATGGTCAGACATCGTTTGCGAATTTTTTCGTGACATTGAAGAGACCTAATTGTACAACTTAAGCATAAAGGACCTTTGATTGACTTGTCAATCGACAGTTGAATCATCTAATTAACTTAAGAAACAAGAACCTTCCCTGCCAGTCATTTGCTTATTTTTTTTTTTGTCCTTTTCTAAAATAGCACAAAAGACCATAAAGTTCGATTTGCAGAATTCGTTGAAGAGAGCTGTGGGTGCTTTGAGCGATTTTCCTCAAGGTAAGCCTCTTTTTCTGCTTATGCATAACATACTGATTTTTTTGTTCATATTGGCACTGGAAAACTGGGGTGCTTATCTGTGAGCGCACTCGTAATCACTTAATTTCAACCATGGCTCCAGGTTTTTGTCGTTTCGCTGCGTTGCGTTGCGTCACTAAACCGGATAGGTATATAACGAATGACCTATGAATGAGACGCGGTTTGAAATATCACAGTGAATCATATTAGAGTCTATCGTTGCCTATTAATTTTAATTAACAGAAATTAATTTCAGTATTAAAATCTTTTGATAATCAGGCCTGGCCAGGGAGGGGGGGGGGGGATTGTAGTGGGATCCCGATATAACTGACATAAAAATGGTCTTCTATCCAGAAACGCCTTCAGGTAAAACAAATTTGTAATCATAGGAATACAACTACACTTGGTTGCATGACTGTACCTTTAGATGCCTAAATCGTCGAAATAGTCAAAATTTTTTCTCAATAGTGAGGAAAATATAGGATTCGACGGCACTTAGTTCAGTGTTACACAAATGATCGGGTCAGCTGCATATTAAAGTAGAATAACAAGGGAACGAGAAAAACTTACTTTGTCCATTGATTCACAATTACTTTTGTTGGATAATCATTCAGAGAAGCTTAGCGCAAAAACTTTTTTACAACAGTGTGGCTCTTTCCTTTGTAGTAATTAAATCTTTTCTCCCCATTTTCAATAAATGTTTTCCTGACGCTACTGGACACAACATCAGGAGAGGTTCTTGAGCGAAAATTAGGCTATTGTCTCTTCTATCAAAACACGCAAGAGAATACGATCATTTCAGGTTTTCATTTTGTTTGCTTCTGTTTTGTGTGTCTTCCTTGCGCTTAGCTAACTCCATTTGATAAATAAACTATCTGCATCACATGCGTGCTTTGATTAAGTAACTTTTTACAATTGTGATCTTCGCGGTTGAACTTAAGTTATAATAAAGTTCGGATATAACGCGCGCTGTCATTGGTTGATAGAGCGTGCTCTATGAGAATATAGAGCATAGAGCTGAGCTAAAGCTGTCACGCCATCTGTCAATTGTACTGTGTTCGAGCTTTTCCGGGACTTCTTTTTAACTTTTTTCCGATAATTGAAAGTGAAATTTCGGAACTGAAGCGAACCGGCAAGTAGCAACAGAAGAATCAAACAAAGGTTTGTAAACATACCAGGCGCCGTAATTTACGTTATTAAAACGTGAGCAGATACGAAAATCCTCAAAGGAAAAACAAAATAAACATTCCGAGTTTTAAAGATTTTCACGCTCAGTTAGATTGCAAGCTTACTTACGGTAATAAAAATCAAACACAGCGAACACTCGTATAGTATATAAAGTTCAGTGTTCAAAAACAAAACAGAACAAAACAGAAATGATGAAAAATATAACCAAACAGGCATAATTGTTAAAATTCATACTAATCATGACGGTGTCTGAGCGAATATGATCATTCTGAATTTCATCGCGGCTTGCTCATCATGGCGATCTCCTGTCATCACAGTAAAGCAAGCCTCAGAAACTACATCGGCCGCCCTTCGAGTGAAAAACTGAGAGCTTGCTCTGATATCCTTTCCGATACGTTGAGTGGCAATTCATCAGTCACTACAGCCGAGTTTTGCGGCGCTATCATCCCGAGCGATCTTCATGTTCTGGTGAATTCGGCTGTCGTTCATTAAAAAAACATTCGCCTTGAACAGTTTGTTTTCTACCTTCTCATGTGAAAAAACTCGCGTGTTTTTATGAGCCATAATTCGGCTGAAGTTCACTGAACATTTCACTTCAAGATTCTGTATTACAGACTTAAAAACTTCAGGCAAAAGTGTTAAATTCGACTTGCCGAACCATTTTAGTTTGTAAACTATCGTGGAATGTGAACTTTGATGGTTTTTGAACTTTGATGGTTTGACACTTTTGACAGCTTTAGTCTTGAACAGCCAATCAGATTATTTTAACCATTCTAACAAGGATTCTGATTGGCTTATTGTAGCGTGCTTTATGAGAGTATAGAGCATGCTGACGACATTGTTGTTCGCTTTGGAAATAAAGTTTGTTTTGATACTTAGGTTGCGTTTTTACTTGACAACTATTATGTTTTAGTGGTAAGAGCCTGTTTAGACAATTCCGGTAGATAAACGATTTGTTATTGAACTCATCAATGTTTCAAACTGGAGTCTAAGTAAGGCAAATGAAACCAGTTATTCTCTCTTTCAGTTGATTTGCCCTAGCAATGTAATAATCAAGAAATTCTTTATGCCGGAGTTAACCTTTTAAGTTAATATCGTTATCTTTGGCCACACCCGTCCATTATGAGGCTTAGGCGAGTATTTAGTAAAGGTCATGGAAGGAAATTTTTCCCATTTGGGACCTCTGTTTGGGTGAAAAGCTAGCATGATAATTATGTTACATCTAGAGAGCGCATTTCCATGCGTTTTCATGCACCTTCCAATAGTATCCAGGAACTTTGAGCAGACAGCAGTTCGAAGTTTATAACAAAGGGAAGATCGAAACTTAATTATGAAACACTGATTCAGCACACTTAATCTTCAGATCTCTGTTGTAATATTACAAAGCAATAACAAGAAGAATTTAAAATGATTCCCTGTGGTGAATTTTTTATGGTATAATTGTCGTTATCACGTTACGTAAGATCGTCGCGCATAATCTTAAGCGAGAATTTTTACAGCCTCTGTTTTTGTTTTTGCTGCTATTTCTTTCTTTATTGTGCTGGAAACTGATTTTTGTATTTCAAAAGGTGATTAAACATTCGTTTTTTTTCGATGAAACAGCCTTTAGCCCACATAATTGCATGCTTTGACAAACTTTGCGACTTAGCTTCTTGGCTTAGGCGTGGGTTAAACAAAGAAAGCGAAGAAAAAGAAACAATGCAGTTATTCATAAATCAAAACGAATCATTGAACCTTTGAAAACAACAGGTTTTGTGCTAATATAGTAAACCGATCGCAAGTAATTCAATAAAACATAACGAAAATTGCACGTCTTATTTTTTTTCTGTCAACTTTTCGATTAGAATGAAAGAAAAAAAAATTGTGATGAAACAGCCATTTTTTTTGGACAACTCAATTTTATTAAACTCATGTCTTATCTGTAACAGCTATATTTGAATTCACTGATGGTTAGGATTATCATTATACTTATTAATTTTTTAAAGCTGAAATCGGTTATCATTACTTATAAACGATGTTTTGGAGTAACAGGAAAAGCTAGAAGCTGCAATTGAATTGTCATCTCACTGACCTAGCCTTAAACCTTTTTTGACAACAAAACTTGTCGGAGAGTGATTGAGAGAGAAGGAAGCCGACTGTACTATCGATAAAGCAGTCACTTGATATTGGCTGAATCTCGGGAAGAACCAAGGTAAATATTTTTTGGTTTGTGTGAAATAGTTATACTAATGTGATGATTCAATAGCTATAATCCATGATCTGTAGGAGAGAGTGAATAAAGCACAAAAACGATTATCTCATTGAAAGAAACTTCTTTCGGTTTGGTAATTGAGGTTATGAAGTTAGATTTCAGTATTGACGTAAGAATAACAACATTATTCGTTCACTTTTTATCCGTCAAAATGATGTTAGCTAAAGACATGTGCAGTCGCTGAGTTATCTGATACCGTGCTAAATTTAACGCAGTCATTAAGGTCCAAAAGAGGGAAAAAAAATTATAGTGTGTCAAGCCATTTGTTAAGTCACCGACGGATTGTGAGATACCTATATACCTAGGGGTAAGAATAGTGAAAAAGTCCTAATTTTGCAGTCAACTAATTGTTTTTTCATGACCGTCAAGGTCACTAATCATTATTTTAGGATGCCTCGCTTAAAGTTTACTGGCGTTCTCGTTGTTTGAAATTGTATAATTACTATGGAGTTTCCGATTACTCGGGTTTTATAATGCTAATGATGTTAGCTACACACATGTGCACTTGCTGAGTTATCTGATACCCTGATAGATTTAACGCAGCCATTAAGGTGCAAAAATCAAAATCAAAATGGGTAAAACTCTTTGTTGAGTCATCGACAATTCACGAGCCGGTTTGTGAGATACCTACGTACCTAGGGGCAAGAGTAATGGAAATGTCTTAAGTTTACGGTCAAGTAATTGTTTCTTCCTGACCGTCAATACTAATAATCATGTTGTTGTTAAATTATGTTGGGATGTCTCGCTTAAAATTTACCGGCATTCTCGTTGTTTGAAATTTATAACTACTATGGAGTTTCCGATTATTCGGGTGTTATGGTGCATGCCATACACAGATCGATATGTAGAAACAAAACAAAACAAAACAAAACAAAACAAAACAAAACGCATCATTTATTTCTTCGATGGCTGTTTCGAACTAAGTTATGTTGGTCATAATAGTCATAATTATGCGTGGGTGGTAGTCTGAATCTATTAAATGAGTTAGTTATTGAGTTCATAGCAGTTTCTTCATGTTGCCACTATTCAAGTTTATTCTTCACCTTAAACCGTTTGATTTATTTTCGCTGCGGCTGTTAATCCTTTATACGAAATAAACCTTGAGGTTACACGGATCTACCTAATAACAATAACAAACGCGAAGCAATTCTATAACTTCACACCTGCGGAGTTTTTAAGGACAGAAAATGACCTCCTTAAAAGTGCCTGATCACTGTCTCGCTGAGATTTAAAACTGAAATATTGAAATTTGAAGAACATCCGTTGGACTTTGAAAGTTAAAATCGCATCTCTTTGAGACAGAAAGCCTCCTTGCCTCTTCATTATGCCTGATACCATTATATACCAAAAGGAGACAATTTTAAAAAGCCGGTAGTGTTTTTTTAAGAGACGAAGGAAAACCAACGCTTATTTTAAAGCGATTTTCTGCTTTAATGACCATATACAACGAGGAATGGGCTTACCCAAAACTTTCAAACCATTTCTTTTACTTTCATAAAATTAGATACTCATTTCGTCTCGGTAATGCGTTCCGTTCTTGTCGTATGCAATTTACTCTCCTTTCTACGTATTTGGTATTCAGTGAAAACTAAATGTCACCTGTTAACACTCACAGTCTGAAATATCAAATAAAGAGGCAGAAAATGGCATAGGAAGGTTCCTAGCCTTTCACGAGTTGACGTTCGATTGATCCCAGAGCCATTCAACCAACATAACAGCCTTGGTCTCGACTTCGTTGAAATCAACTGCTGCATCCTCCACATGTGTTCTCAGCGCTTGTGCTTTATCGGTTTCTTCAACGCTTTCATCTGATTTGCCTTCTGCAGGATGGCTTATAAGATTCGCGCGATTGCAATCAAAAGACCCCTTGTCTCTGGGAAATAACTTTGCTGGATTGTCTGTTTCATCAAAAGTGAGTTTGTCCGACTGCTTACTTGGTGGGTTAATGAAGCCTGCACACACCAACGAAGGCAAAGGATGAGCCACTTCTGTTTGCGATTCACGACCTTCCACCAAGTTTACTTTTGATAGAAAGGCGGTCGTGTGAAGTTCTGTTGTATTTTCTTTTGAGATCGGAAGGGAGAGCCTTCTGGAATCGTTCACTGCTCGTTTGATTCGTGGAAGTGAGGATTTCGTACCCGTAAGAGAAGATAATGCGTCAGTAACTTCTTCTTTAACCCACGGCTTTTCCATGCTTGAAGTTCGTCCAGTTTCCTTTCTCTCGTAATCTTTCCCTGAGTGTATCCTGTTGAGACTTGCAGCTTTCTCAAATGGAGAAATATTACATGTTACAGGGGATGTTGGTAGCGCAGGAAAACGAGCCAGCCTTGTTCCCAAATCACTGTTTGTTTCTTCAGCCGTGGCCTTTTCTTCCTCCTTTCGAGGCTTAGGGTGAAATTTAAAGCCGTCGTTAAAGGGAAATTCAGACTCTTCTATTAAGTAATGCCTGGAGGAGCTGTAAGGCGAATCAAGAGAATGTCTTTTACCAGTTCGAAAGTTTCTTGGCAGTTCTGCAACAGAAGAAGTGTGCCTTATCCTTTCAACGGAAGTAATAATTTCCGTTAAAGACGTCTCTGGAAGCGAAGCAATACGCCGTCTAGTTCCAGGCTGAAACAGTTTTGTCTCATCCATGTCTCTTCTATCCGGCTTTTTTAATTGAAGTTCCTTGTAGGATTCTGACAGAGTAGATCCTTTTGATAATATGCAGCAGATAAAGATCGACCACCTGACTCTTATAGGAGAATGTTTTTGACAAAGGTCTAAGAGTCCTTTGTTTGGCTAGACACTGCGTTAACTTTTCTGAATGTTTAATACTTCCACACCTCTCGTCTCTCGGAAATAAGGTGGCTCTGTAATCGCCGTTGATAATCTATCATTGAATTGTTATCTTTTAGTTATTTGTTGCTTTGTTAGTTCCCATAGTCCAAGGTCTACTATTGACAAATGTTTCCCCTGGCCAAAAATAATGGCTAAAGAAAACAGATTCTTGAAAGCCGATCACAAGATTGCATCAAACAATGGAAACGAGTTCCATTTCCAGGAGTGCTTCTTTACCCTTGGTCAATTTTCACATATTGCAACAAATATGGTTGTTTTTGGACGCAAGTGACTGTGGAATATTAGAATCAAAACCGCATGAAAGGAAAGGTCGTTGGCCGCTTAAATTAATGGGGCATTATGATCAAAATTAGACAATATGACATTTCGACGCGATTGTGTTGTTAAGAATAATGCGTAGTCATTAACAACCTTAAATGGAATTTAAAGATGCCAAAAAGTTCTTGAACTTTAGTTATAATTACCAATCGCAATTCTTTAGCTGCATATATTTCCCACGCTTATCGACCACAGAGACAACTAGGCTATTGTTCAGGACAATGATATTTAAAAAAAGCATTCAATAATGTTCACTCGTGACCTTACTTCAACGTCGATATTGAACTTCACTCAATTCAATACTTTTCACCATCAAATCACTTACCTCAATAAAGTGCGAGAGTAATGGTGGTACAGCACGTCACTTTCCGTTCTCTAAAATATCCGAATAACAATCATTCCCATATATTAGGGAGTGTTGAAATTTGCCTTTTCTGAGCAAAAAGATTGGTCAATCGTACCTTGGTTTTAGTGCAAAAGTCATTTTAATTACGAGCGATTGTCCATGTTCAGTCAACTGAAGGCGGAAACGTATGACCAATATATTTGTTTGTGTTGATTTAGTAGAAATATTCTTATTCTCTTACATGGTTTTAACTGAAGAATTATAAGAAATAAAGTGAGTATTACTGAATTATGCCCTTGCAACAACGTATTCAGAAAGGGTGTAACAACAGATTGATTCCAAAGTTTCTGATCTTGCTCGTGATAAGGTTCATTAGCTTTTGTGTTTATTCCTCCTTGCGCATGGTCGCATTAGGCGCAATTTGGCTATGGTTCCGGAAGAGTGACCACCCTATACGTGTCGAAAAACAAGAATGCTATCGAACAACTGTATTGTTATTCCTTCGAAAGAAAAAAATGAAGATATTTTATTTATTCAAAAATGAGTTTCAGTACAAGAAAGAGAGTGTCGACACCAGCTTGGAAATTGAGTAATCTCACGCTCTTTGTTGACGTTCTTTGTTGATATTGAAATATCCGGCTAGTGTTCAGTCCATGACATTTGACAAATGGTTGCACCCAGGGTTTCCAAACCGAAATAAAGGAAAAATTCTGAAACAAGAAAAATTAAATTTCGCAAGTTGCGCAGTGTAAAAGTTCATAAGTTCTACACTGCATCATCTCTCTATGCGTAGGACATATTTATGATTCGGGTCACTGGCGTGTATCAATTTTGCAGATCAGCAGAGCGTTTGAGCATCACGAATCTTCGTGACCATGGACAGCATTCTTCACGTCCTGTTAAATATCGATCTGTAAGGGTAGAAATGAGCTTTTTGGAAAAGAAACGATCATTAACGAGCGAAATCGCCGATGAAACTACAAAGAAAAACGGTTTTGAGGAACGGAGACTGCAAAAAAGACTTCAAGACATCGAGCGAAGCGCTTTGAAACAACAAAAGAAACGTAGCAACGAACAACTCGAATACGCTCTTGAAAACCTTTCCCTTGAAGATGTCAACGCATTCAACAGCCTCACAAGGAAGATTCTTAAATCCAGTTTTCTTCCTCCGATTAACCAAAAGCCAGCAGGTGGCTCAGGTGAAGGAAAACGTGGAAACAGGAATGAGATCTTAGCAGAAAGGCTCAGAGGCTCGAGAATGATCCATAGCTATCTTGATAAGCAGAAACAAAGATGGTTGACGAGAAGTTTGTCGGTTGACTCAGGACTCATTCCTCTTTCTGGAAATCGAACTGTGGAAGAAACGGAGTTGAAACCTGGCCCTTACTCAGCTTTTGTGAAAAGACAGCTTGCTGGCTCGCTCTCTGACGTATCCTGCCCAACAGTGTTTGTTGGCGCAGTCACCAATTTCAGTCACGTAGCTCAAGAAGGGCGCAAATTTGAGGATATAAAAAGCATTCAAAACACCCGAAGAGTTGATTTTGCTGACGATATCAAAGAGCAATTGGAAAGATCCCGGTCAAAGCCGACACTACGGAAAAGGCAATCCAACCATCACCTTTCATGTCAACCAAAAATTCAACACAGCTGCCTGAGTGATGCCATTGTATACAAACTTGAAATGCGAAAAAGGGAGCGACTGAAACTATATCAACAAAGTGGCGATTCTTGTACCTGATACTAATTACAATGCCTGAGACAGTAGGACACGAACTGATTTAAAACATTTTTATAGATTACTTAAAAGTATATTTGCCATCGTATTTATTTCAGCGTGTTTACAAATCTAGTTTCTAAGTTATGTATTTAGCTGCTGATCTTTTTCAATCAGTTTTAAATTAATAAAGAGTACATGTACGCATATCAACACATCTCTCTCGAGTTTTTTTTTTTTGAAACGCTTAAAGAGTAAATAAACCGTTGATGTTTCATTCTGTAGATTTCTCACCGAACACTAATAGTATCAGAGCTTTAAGGAGGCATGTTTTTAATCCCATGTAAGATATAGTAGTGATTCACTGCTTTTCTGACCGATGAAAATGCTCATTTTTGTGGTCATGAAAGAATTCAAAAACTTTTATTTAACAGAGCTATGTTACTTCCTGGTTGAAATCGTCTTAGAAGGGCAAACAAACACTTATCAAGAAACTCTCTAGCAATTCTTAGTGATACTTCAGGTGAAAGTGTTTTCATAATCGACCATAGAGGTCGGTGGAAATTGCCCTATCGATATTTCAAAGCGAGAACTATATATTCTGAAACCGTACCACAGATGCTGGCGATATGGGAAAGTAAAGACAAAATTGATCACTTAATAATGAGTTTGATTGATCGAAAGTGCAATTGAGAGGTATGTTGTTCCTTCCGATGCGTCACGTCCTGATCATTGTATGGTGAGCCTGTTGAATGGTGTTTTATAGATATGATGATAGCTTCCCACCGGTAATGGCGAGCAATTACATCAAGCGTGGAACTTGCTGGGAAAGCCATCCTTGAGTTTGCGGTTTTCTAGTTGAAGTTTGGCGGGAATAAATCCGAAAACGTTCGGACATTGATTTCTTTTTCATTAGCAATGTTTAACTGGCGACACACTGATATACATGTCGGAAGATTTGACTTTTTGTCATTAGTTATAGAAACTATTTACAGATTTTATTTTACAGTAAAGCTATGTTATTGGCTGAGTGTGTCAGTTTTATTTTATTCTCTCTGAATTAAAGGCTGTTTAATTCAAAGCGCTTTCTTTGATGTAAAAAGAAATTACATCGGCAATGGGCCAGCAAATTCATCAAGAATTCAATAAATTAAGGCGCAAAAAGCGCTTGCAACAACTAATTAAAATTTACGTTAACTGAAAAAGAAAATTTTTGTGAGACTAATCTTGGAGTGTTTCGGAATGTGTTTGATAAAATATGAATGACCGCCTTCTTTATCGAATCAGTATTCACCAAAAAGCATAGTTTTTTTTTAATCTAAGACAAAATCAATTGCAAGCCTCAGGGCGATGGTTTTCCGCGAGGGAAGGTTGTAGGTTATGCAAAATTATAAAAGGAAAATAAAAATTATATAGCAACTCTATCGTAATTAACGGCCCTTGAAGAGTTTAAGATTTTAAATATTCATAATCGCCTAAGGAAAGCTGATTTTCTGTCAAATCGAGGCACTCAATTGATGCCAAAGTGACATTCGAGGATCAACTAGTAAGGTACTACCTTAATAGGCCGGGTGCACCCACGCTGCAAGCTTTAAGTCGGTACCTTTGAACAGCAGCTTAAAAGTTGTTTCAGCGCGATTCCAATTCTTTCCAATTTGGACGTGTGCTTCCAACGTTAAAGTAAGTATGCTCAGAATACTGGCATTATCATTCTTCAGATTAATAACTACAGAGGCCGAACTGACATATGGGATAAAGCCAAAGCTGTATTATGCTGCAAAATTGACACAAAAATCTGAGACGCGAACTTCAATCGAAAAATTTTGTGCCCCAAATTGAACTTAAATATGAATAAGGTAATTAAATTGATTTGTATGAGGTTTCTCAACAATTCCTTTAATCGACACAAAAGAATGTAGAGGATAACATGTTTGCAGTACTTGAAAGTTAATCCCTTCAAATATCTTCGGGATTACGAAATTCATGCTAAGAAGATCTTTTAGGGTAAAAAAAGTTGTCACAAATTAAGACAACAGCTTATGTTTTCCACCCCTCATGAAACAAATTATGATTTGAAGATCCCTCCATATTATCCTAACAATGAAATCATAAATTACACAAATGGAAATATACTCTTGCAGCAATCGTTTTTTGAGGTATAAAAGTAGATAATATAAGATCAGTTCCATCAAATTTAGCAGAAGATTAAGTTTAAGAAAATAAGATTCCAAAACTTTTGACGTTTTAGTGTCAAGCTGGCGTCAGATTGCTGAGGTTAATCCTTTGAAGTGCAAAACGTTCTTCGGGAAAAAATTCCTTGTAATTAAAATCGTCTTTGTCTTCATCAGTTCAATTTCAAGGACGATGAGCGCAAAGGATTCATTGCCCAGGAAACAAAGTAGCAATAGTCGTATAAACAAACAAAACGCGTATCGAGTTCTTAGCCACGAACTTCAGTCACCCTCGACCGATCTTCTGCGATCGAGATGCGACGATACACAAATATTTTGTGCTCGAGAAGCCGGCGGAAGCCATTTCAGGTCGCAGTCAGAAATCGTATATTCCCTTCAAGAAAGAGATGGCTCCCTAATCAGGGACAATCAAAGGTGTCAAGAATTTTGCCCCAGTAATGGTAGAAATTTTCACGAAAGCAAATTGCCGAAGATAACCCAAGGAGATGCAGCGACGAATAAACATTTAGTAGGTGATTGGAAGGCAATAGCGACAGATAGCATAAAAAGGTCCCGTGCAAAGAGCACGAGTGTTCTGCCAGACCTATCAGGAAGTATGGAGAAGGTGGTAAAATTCAGACCTGCTACACCTTTGACAAAACAGCAAGTTGAGGACTTAAACGATAAGGTTGCCGCATCTCATGACAAATCGCATGATTTGGCCAAATGGCTCAGAGACCAACAGTAACTACAAAGGAATGAAAGTAACAATATTTTAGTATTCCCAGCAAGTTGGAATTTACCCGTTTCTCTCAAGGCTCATTGAATTGTATTTATGTCGAGTTTAAAAACTATTAATTCTTTAAGAAAAGAAAAGTATATCCCGCAGTCCTGAGGAACTAATATTTATTCCATAATCACCGAACTCATTAAGGGAATGGTGAAGGTTAAAGTTCGGCTGAAGCCTTCACCAGATTGGTTTGTTTTCTTTGTTTCTTCTCTCTTTCATGATTGTTTTCTTTTTAAACTCAAATGAACATCAGTGCATAGGGGTTTAACCTTGTAAATATGATAGATCCATGCAGTCGTACATTGAAAAATTTTCTTAACATACAAGCGTTGATGTCTTTGCCGCTCACAACAAACACAATAAGTATGATACATTTTGATTTCAGTCAAACATTAAGCTAAGGGATGATTTTGTCTGATAATAGAACAGAAACTCAAGTTTGACAAGGATCAGCTCCGATCAAATCTTCTTAAAGCTTATTCATTTAACACGTATTATACAGTTGTCCATTGAATGGATACTAATAGTTAACTTAAGTGATTAATCACAAATGTGTTGAACAAACTTTGGGATTGTGCTAGTGTTTTGGATCCCTCTTTTGTTAGAAGGGAAAAAACCCCAAGGAGAAGAGGCCGCATCATGAGATCTTAGTTAATCATACTGTAGCTATTTTAAGGTATTACAACTTTGCTTTTCTACGGTACATCATACAAAAATGAACAATAGTAAATGAACAAAGTGTGACATCGGCTTGACGCTAGTATGACGCCAGCTCAGTAGTGTTCTCCTTTCTTGTTCATCTAACGATATTCGTTTTCCCAGTTTTCAAACGAAGAGAAGAAGAAATCATTTGAATATTTTATTTACAAATTGACATCACACTTTTGAAATCCTTGGTCAGGGAAAGGGAAATTTATAGACAAGGTCATTCTGTAGGAAACACACGCGACCCAGATCGAATAGGATTGAATATTTAAATAAATGAGTTGCACTTTTAAATCGATATTATTGATCATATTATCGTCATCTGTGCTAGCTGAGTTGAATATAAACTAATGTAAGCACTGGTCGGTGGTGCTAATACATGGATTTCGTGTTTCTCTCAGCGTTCTTTGAAGCTGCTAGTTTAAGATGCATGAAGGATAACGATAAAGTTCCTTGGGCGGGGTGTGAGGTGGTGAGGTTAAAATCCAAAAGGGGAAAAAGATGCATACATGACGCACTTATTCTTATTTTCACTCCAATATGCAGTGATCTTCGTACTTCAGGTATCAACCTTACGCTTAGCCGTCCTACCAAAGCGGAATATTTTTTGTTGTATCACGAAAGGAAGCCGCAAAGAAACAAGTGCAGAATTCAATTTGCCCTACCTAATTTGAAGGCATAAGTATTTTTTTTCCGTTTTGGGCAAATGGTCTCTTTTTGTTGCATCGATTTTCATCCAAAGAAATTTCCTTCATATGTCTCGAGTTCTCCAGACCATTGGTGATACAGAACGCACAGAACATATGAAAGTCGTAGAATTTCACTACAACCATGCTTCTTACCACCGATATGTAACCTTTTTCCTCATCTGGGCACATCAGGCTCCAGATGAATTGAGTATGCTTCGAGTAACATCTTGTAACATTTTATCAAACAGCATGTTCAAACCACGCTATTGGCCCTCAGCAAGTTATCGATCCTACTAGGATGACGGGAAAGAATCCAACCATATCAAAACATGAAGCTTCCTACGTTGCTGTCTCTTTCTTAGATTTCGAAGATAAGAATCTTAATGCCTAACCCTTTTTTTCTTTAGATATCAACCAAAAATTGACAAGGCACGTGAATTGATTCTTTGGTAAAGAGATCTTCATATTTCGAGGAAAGGAAATCAGCATAAAATAGTTAATTGCGTGACTGAATGACAATGCTCGATCTTCAAAGAGTAATCAACATGGGGCAAATTTAGCAATTTACATATTTGCAGGTAAAACAGAGCCGTTAAAACTTCTTCTTCCTGTTTTTGTAAAAATGCGCCGTATTTCGCTCGATTGAGTGGTATGTTGTTCCTTCCGGAGCGTCATTTCCTTAGCATTTCCGGAGGTTCACGAGGCTTTGTACATTTCGGAGCCTTATTTTCCGCGCCACGGCAAGGGTTTTGTTCCGCTTTCTGTGTGCTTATCAACCAACCATATACGATGTAAAAGAATCCTTTTTAACAGAAGATTGGAAAAACTATAGATTAAATCTGCTCTTGTTCATCGTGGAACGGCAAAGAAATTCTTACATATACAGGTTAGTATGGTGCATCGTTTGCTCTTATTTTGGCAATCAGGAACTGGAAGGGAAACTTGATTTCAAAAAATATTTTGGTGTATAGTTTTCTAAGAATATGAAAAGAGCGGAAGCATGAAGTGCAAATGTTTCTCGCTTTACAAAAGTTTAACATTCGATTTCTACATTTCGACATAGTGTGTTGAAAATGAGATATTTTCATAAATAGCCGGAAGGAGAATAGGAAGGAAAAAAGGAAGGAAGAAAAAATAAAATATACGGTCAAAAATGAGCAAAGCCAGAAATCAGACAGTTATACAAACATTTACGTATTTGCAATCCCGTCGGCTATTCTCGCAGAGAGACGAAGGCAGAACTCAAGAGAACTGTGAAAGTCAAGTGTAACATCCTACAGGTGTTTTTAATGATGTTGCCCTGCAATGCATCTTAAGACGTTTTCGTGTCTTCAAAGTCAAAACAATTCTGTTATAAACTTCGATCATTCTCTAATGCTTCTTAAAATTAAGCTCACAATTTACTTTTAGAAGTATACCTTTACGCAGATTCAGTCAGGGCTGCAAATCTTTAAAATTACCAAGGATAAACGTGGCATTGCAAATTTCACGTGCACAAAATCATAAGTTAACAGAGAAGCTGCAAACTGATGAGGAGAGAAAAAAACTAAATGTTTACAATAGCTGACACTAAAAGTATACCCTTGTCATAAGCATTAAGGTAAAGGATAAAAACTTATGAACTAAATGCAAAACGTTTTGCTTTTGACTAACGTTCATGCTACATACCATGAACCTAATAAATATGCAACTTGTCAAATGGGGTAAATGACATTAATTGGTGTAAAATATGCAGGACTAGAAAGATTCAGTTTTAAGTGACAAACGTAAGCTGCAGGAGTGCGTATTGTTTACATCAAGGCTAGAGAGGTATTGTCGGTGAGTAGCTGGCTACAATTCGTATCTCAAAAAGCCCAATTCCCTTCATTAAATGAATAATTTTTGAATGTCTGCAAAAGGCTCACTAAACAATTGAAAAATCGACAAAATATGTCAGCTTCGCGATTTAATGTCTTTGACGTCTAACGGCAATTAAAGTGGTGGGAAAGAACTTTTATTTCTTTATATAAGGCGAGCCAAAATGTTATTAGCTAGTATTCAGTAATTGGAAATGTCATTTACAAATTTTCTCATACTTTGGAAGAACATCACTTAAAACATTGTGCCACCTTGAATATTTTTGACGTCACTCAACCGTAGAGCGACTCAAAGGCGGCAGCATCTTTGGATGAACAGTTAGCTGAATAGTTTCAACATGATTAGGTGTATAACAGGAAAGTTTGTTTTGCACGAAAGTAGAGCATCCTAAAAGAAAATTACGTTATGCAAATGAATTGAAGCATCACCTTAAACAAAGTAAAGCTGGGAAGGAGGCGATAGACATGCAGATAAATAAGACTACGGAAAGCCTCTAAGCCCTACGCCAAATTTATCTGGCATTATCTCTCGAGAGCAATAGACATTCAGGTGTAGGTTGATTATAATTAGAAGACGCTGCATTAGTTTTCCCTTCAGTGATGCGGGGTTAAACAATAGCTCTGAAAAGGGTAACACTATGTAGAAAGTTCTGCTATGTATTTGTAGGATGCAAGTGCTACATGAATTTTTTACTGCGACACAAACAATAAAGGCTCTGGCTGCTCTGGCCTTGAATCAAAGTTATCGAGGTTATATCTCCAGAAATGCTTTTATTCATATACGCTGCTTAAACTTCGCTGAAAGCTCTAAGCTAGTGCCGCTAGCTTAAAGCTTTAAGCAAAGTAGTCATGTTTTTATTCTTTTTCTTCGAAATTTTTCTTCATCTTCGGTAACAGGTTTTCCTGATTATCATTAAAGAAATATTTTACCCTTCCAAGGAAAGCTTGTGAATTTGCTTGAAGCGCTGGAGATTTAGTTTGCCAAATTCCTCAATCGATGATTTGAGCACAATTATCAGCCCTCCATTCAAGCTTACAGAAGTAGCCTGCGATGAATGAGTTCATAAAACTAAAACAAAACTTTTTGAAACTGACAACTCGCAAACTGAAGTGGCAAGACAAACGGACGTAATCTGAGAGCTGGGACGTAAGGTTTGCAGTTAAGTTTCAAAGCCTGAGTTAGATAGTGATCTTCGGACATGAAGCCAAGCTTATAGTATTTTAAACTGATTTCCTAAGGTAAGAATTTTAGAAAGATAACTCTTACTCTTTGGTAGCTGACAAGACTGCATGTGCTCTTTGGAATTATTTGTCTACACATCCAAAAATAACAAGTTCGCTAAAAGAAAGTCATTTAGGATTCAGTTTGGAACGAAAGCTTTAATTTCGTCAAATATTGTTTTGTAGGTGTGTCTAAGGTGACATCATCAAGCTAGAGCCTTTTCCTTGTGAAATTCGATGTATCAATCTTTTAGTCTTCTTAAAGGTGTAATCGTAAATAAACAGATTTGATTGCTACAAATAATGGATGAGTTGCAACGAAAGGCAAGAAAAGTTAAAATTAATTACACTGGGATGGAAATAAAAACAAAAAAAGAATAACAATACAGCAGATATGGAAATATATAAACTGGCATATATGCTCTAGATTGGAAAGTAAAATTTGACATGTTAGGTGTGAAGGGAAACTCTACCTATGAGTGGAGCTACAAGATGTAAAGTGACTGTGTCCGGTGAGAAATATTCTTACAAGCGTTCATCTTCCATCATGCTGATTTCTGTTACATGCCAGTGTTTCGCAAAGTTTGCATTTACGAATCATGGCCGAGATTATCTCCTGCATTTTCTATAGGCTGGATGAGTTACTCTTGTTAAATAGCATGAATTAAGTAACTCCTTTTTTATTCTGTTATAGCTTGCGAATAATTTCATTCTAGAACTTCATTGATCAACATTACAATATCAAAACGTCTCAGTTCACCTTCTTATCAATGTGATCCAGTGCAAAGAGTTAAAAAAACGAAATAACAACAAACACCTCTGGCCTGTGCACTCGGATAAGTATCTGTACAAATGAACAAACTTACAATTCTTTGAGCTTCTATCTTGAGAAATAAATGAATCAACTGATCCAAACAGAGATGAGTAAAAAATTCTTTAAGCTTGAAGCTTGAAATCAGAAAAATTAAATCAGCAAGTATAGTTTAGGCTAAATAATAGGTTATTTCATACCTCAAAGATGCATGCATGTGCAGTCTGAGCAAAAAAACCCATTGTGTGCTGCCTGGACTAGGTAAGTTCTTAGGAGCTTAGAATCACACTCTTCATTAAAAGATGGCTTAGACATTTTCAGGCATGTTTTATCTCTTTTTACAATTTCGATTGTTCATGTACATTGGACTACTCCTTGTGAACTTGTACATTGTTAACCTTAGACATTTGTTTGAAGGCAAAGTCATATCTGATTGACTAGGTATCTAATGAAGTATTCAAGTTGTCAATTTGAAAACTGATAAACGACATCAATAGAGTTTGCTTTCAGCATTATAATCACTTCTTCGTGCTGAGGAACTCATAGTGTGCAATTTTCGCATCAAGACGGTTAAAGGCAATTTTGATAGGTAATTGATTCAATCTTTTGCGTAATTTTCATTCATAAAACGAATTTGAAAGGTATTTTAGCAGAAATAATCCATTCAGAGGGTGATCTACATTTCTGTTCAGGTGTGCTTCTGTATTTAGCTTTGCATTGTGTTTGACCATAACGCTTCCATTTCAATCTGTCTTAATAATTTAAACCTGTGTTGTCTAGCCTCCAAAAGCATGGACATTTGCCCCACTTGCAAGTGGTGCAAGACATAAGGGAAATGTTTATTTTGGACAGAGGAAGTTTGATTTGAGTGAAAACGGTAGATGAAGGTCGATGAAGATGCATAAACAATATACTTAAGTTTTATTTGGGGGCGTTCTTTTAACAGTTTTTCCTTATTTGGTTCATGGGCAAACATAAGCACTCGACGGAGCGAACGTGATGTCTCTGAAAATTCAGGTGAAGATTCTCGAATGCCATAGGCTCGATACACGCAGACTATATCCGTTTATATTCAATTGTCACATCCCAGATTTAAAAAGAGTCAGGTTTGTTATGTGAGAAGAAAAAGGGCTCTTAAATATAAATTTCCTTGAGGCTGCTTCCGAGTGTCGGAAGCCTTTCAGTTATTTCGTTGGGTGGTTTATGGCGCACTTCTTACACGGATCAAGGAATGTAACTTTCTGTCACGCCGATTTGTCCATAGGGCTCGTGTGTATTTTGCTTTAACGTTTGAGAGTTTGTTATGTGTAGGCAGAAAAAGTCAATCAAGGTGTTAGATGTTATATCAGACACGCTCTTACATTAACTTTTGGATGAATACAGAGATGAGGTTCTTCCACACTGCTGGTTTTAATTACTTCTTTCCTTTAAATACATTTCTTGTCCGTTTAAAGCTGGTTGTGTACAAAGCTCTTTTCTGACAGGTTTTTTCTGACGTCGAGTTTTTAGTTAATTGAAAATGTTTCAATATCCTTTTGTTAACCGGCTAAGATAAGAAACTCGCGGCAATATTTCAAACATTCGCTTCCATGGAACTGTTATGTTTCATAACCAATGAAAGATTCCGAGTCGTAAAATTCAGTGACAACTAATTGAAGCAAATATAATGGCATTCACGATATTATAAATCCTGTAATCCTCAAATCCGATCCGGGTATTGAGAGACAAAAAAGCGGAAAAAATATTTGCCCGGAAGCTGCTAATCTTAGATCTTGTTTCCAAGCCTCAATGAATTCAATAATCTTGATGAAAGTAAAAATTTTAGCGCACGATACCCTTGAACTAGCTTTACCTCTCGGTCTGATTTCTTTGAGGCCAATAGTAGTTAAGTATTTGCAATTTTTTGTTCATTAAGCCACTGTAATAAGCTTTCCCTTTTGAAGTCGCTTGATAAATACTCTCTATTCTCTTTTTTTATGTACTCATTTAGCATTCTTCTGTGATAGTTGTCACTTAAGCCAGACATTCTCAACAATGCTCTTGAAATGTCTGTATCTGGCTGGTAAACAGCCTTTACCCTAAGTTCACCATTGTCTATCACTGGGCTGGTTTTTGCCGTTTTACTTTGTTGTAGTCTTGGAAGATGCAGGTTTTTTTCTGCTTGTCCCAAACCGACTTCGCGTTGACTTTTCAAATCAAACATTTGTGCTGAAACAAGGTTTCCTTCTGATCGTGAGCGGCTGCTTAGCTCCAAGCCTGTGCGATACCGATGGATCACGGGACTGCTTTTGCTTCCTTCGCTTCGATGCGCATGTGGCATGTGCACGTGAATTTGCGCGTTTTTACCACGTTGGCCGTCTCTTTGTCCATCTTGTTTTCTTCTTGATTTTGCCTTTACGTCTTTTCCTTGCATGGCTCTTGATTCCTTTGAACAGTTTGCTCTGTTCTCACAGAGAAACAACGAATGAAATGTTGCATTAGCAAAAACATTTGATGTGTTATACTGTTGATATATGTCAGATGTATTTTATGAGATCAAATTAATATTCTGTCTTTCAAACCATAATTGTTCTGTCTTCTTAAAGTAGAATATTTGCCTTGTCAAGAAACGTTTGCATTTTATCCTAAAAAAAAATAATAACTACACGATGTTTATGAAGGGAAACAAACAAAGCCAATACAGATGTTCTTTAAAGAAGAAGATGCTCCGTTAAAGTAACACCAAAAATCTTAACGCACAGTATAATACATTTATCTCCTCTAGGCAAAAAATAAAGGAATGAATAAATGAATAAATCGTTTCATTGAATGAGGGTCTCAGTGGTGTGATGGCTATCACGGCTATTGGTTAACTTCACTGAGACCCTCTAAAGTTAGTCAACGGCATAGCATTTTCCTGTTATATCAGTGATTCCCTTACCAGTTTACTTCAAATACCAGCCTCTTTCACGCTTATTGATTAATAGAAAACGATTTCTTTTTCCGAAGCAATGCTCGATTGATTCAATGATCGATCTTCAGTGACTCATCGATGTTTGTTGAGATTTTCAAATAAAGCAGAAGTTTCCCTTGTAAATAACACTAGAGAGGGCACTTTGTAATATTGGCAAGTTTAATGCAAAAACAGGGAAGTGCGTAATAGACACTCTGAGAAAAACAGGTGATAGCTGCACGTAATAATATTAAAAGATATGACATGGCAGTTTTAGTCGCCCTCTGGCTACTGATTAATTTGCGATATTTGCTTTAAAACACCGAACAAAGCTGTCGTTATTAGCCATTCATTCAACTTTTCGCTTTTTATGCAACGGTAAGGCAAAAACCGTGTTTTCTCGCAAATTTATACAAAATTTCTTTTAACACAACAATGAACTAAGATAAATTTTCCAGAATATTGCTGGGATGGATCGCTATCACAAAATCAATTCGTTATTGATCTTTCTCTGCAAGGTAAGAAAAATCATAACTAGATTACGCCCAAGAACAGAGATATGGCTTTCAGTGATCACTATAATTTCCTATCTCAGTTTTTGTATTGTTGGAAAGATAATGCTCAGGAATTGAACTAAGACGCCTACTTTACCACCCACGTTAAAAAAAAATAATGCATTCGCCGGGCAATGAGTGACACCTGCCTAAATGGCCCGAAGTATTGAATAGGAAAGACAGACAAATATAAATCGAAATAGCTACGATTGTATATCACCAAACGAAGTGAACGAAGTAAACGCAAAATAGGTTAATCAAACCTGGAAATGTCTTCAAAGTTGGAAATCCGGTATTCTGAATTCTTACCGTGGAAGTTCTGGAAAGATCGCCAGTAGTTAGTGAGAGTTTAACAGTTAGATATGAATTTTAGCTGACGTGGCGTAACTAATGTAAAACTATATTGACCCCTTTCAAATAAGTCACTGTATCGTAAAAGAGCCATTTTCTCTTAATCGTTTCTTTAAAGAACTATAAAACACTTTCGTTCAATATATTAAAGTTCACACGGCAACCAGGTGGACAATCAGACATAGTTTGATGCTACACTGGTTTGCAGATTTAATGAATGTAACCCAAGAAGTTACAATTCATAGAAACGAAACGTTGGGTCTATAAATTGTAACTTCTTCGGTTACATTCATTAAATCTGCAAACCAGTGTAGCATCAAACTATGTCTGACTTTCGTTCAATTTCATGCTCTTTTCTTTTCTTAGTATGACGCGGCGTTTTCATACCTGCCGTAATATGGTGCAAGAGTTCCAAACATTCTTTTTTTGTTTATTTCTTTGTTTGTTCTCAATTTTGTTCGATTGATCAAGCTTTTACAAACATTAGAAGAAAAAAGTAAGTTGAATGGGTATAGAAAGATACAAGCTACGATTAGCCACTTATAATTAGAGAAAGGGCTTATATTTATAGGCCCATTTACTGCTAAATGTGGACATATTTTTAATAGACATATTGTCTTTCTGTCCAAATTTTTTGGCTGACTCTGCACTTCAATGTAAGGTTCCTATGATACAAGGTTACATAATGTAGTTACGGTGAGTGAACCCACAGAAAAAAATCTACTGGACTTTGAAACATACATATATATATTTTTTTAAAGAATCAAAGGTCAGGTGTGCGACCAGACATTTTCTTCGTCGAACTGAGCCAAATGCGCATTCTAAAAGAAATACGACTGAAAAGTTCTGGCCGCTTTTTATGCATCTCGCTTTTGAGAGGAAAATAATTTTCTTATCCTTCCTGTGAGCTGATCATTTTTCCGGCTTAAAAGAAACAAAACAAGGTATATCCATCCTGTGATAGTCTATTCGCTCATCCTGGTAAACTGTCCGGTGATTGCATTTACCCACACTACTGATAAAAAGAAAACAAATTTCGCGTGAATACGTGGTCTGGTACATTAGGTGCTTTAACTAATTGAGGAATTTTAATAGCCGGGTCTGTATCTTTTCCTTTCGCCGGAAACCCAATAAAAATAACTCCATGATTACCAGACACTACTGCATTAATTAGACGAAATGCGAGCGTTGTAACGTCTAGCATTACAGTCATCGCGTCTCTGAATTGACAGTGACCTTGACACTTTCAAGGATATCAAGAAATCTTTGATGTGGAAAAGGCTGTTCCATTCACTCTTCAGCATTTTCTGCCTTTACTTTCATTTGCGAAAATGAATTTTCATTTTTACGATTCCTCGTAGCTGGTACAGAAATGATACAAAAAAAAATTGTTTGTGCCAAGCATTCGGTCACTCAGCTACACAAAATCGTCCTTGAATATACCCAATCAGTTGAGTTTCACGAGAAGGCTTTAAATGAACGGGTTTTTCACGTGAAACAAATCAAGTTTACATGTACCTCCCGTGAGGAGCGCGTCACTGGAACTAGCCTCACGCGTGCAAGCTTTAATGATCGGCGATCATTTGAGTTTCACGAGACTCAAACTAGTATGTGCTATCCCACAACAAGTGGGTTTATATTCACGTGAAACAAATTTGGGCAAGTTGCTTCTTGCTTCGCACGACTTTTATCAAGGTATCGTCGTATTTGTATGTTATATTCTGGATCAAGATTTGTAAATCTGTGAACTTGTGTTTAAAGGTAACTAGTTTAAAATTTTTTACCGCATTTATTCCTCTTTAAACTTTCGAATCTTTAGCTTTCTTGTATCATCTTATCATCATGTGACAGACTTCGATTCTACATGTATAACCCTTATAAATAATGTTTTATACTTCTAGTTCGCAATAATCGAACACATGGCTGTTGCAAACAGTGTGATTTCTGCCTAAAATTAGGAGCAAAACGTCTACCATTTTCAATTGACCGCAGGAAGTTTTGAAATAGTTGCCAAAGACAAGAACAAAATAATGAAACATCACACAGAATCCAAGATTATCGTTTTGTACATATTTTGCAACATTATTTATGTACTATTTTGCATGATTTTTGAATTTCGATTCCAGAATTCATGATAACAAGAAGGAATTGAGGGTGTGCAAAAATCTATGATTTTATCTTTCACATCTTTTTAAGAATTTTCGTTTGTTCAAGATGAAAGCATTACCAGTCAAATAACTGGTTATCAGGAGTGTTTACGCTCGAACGCTTTAGTCATTTTAAGCAACAGCTCAATAATAAACTGACGCATCTGCCTCATCTAAATTAAACACAATGTTTACAATGAACGGACTCATTAACACCAGGGTGAAGAATATATTCAAATGGAAGTAACAATAACAAATTTTGCCCTATGTTTTTGTAATACTTTCTTCACTGATTCACTGACGCAATTGTTTAATTCTTAGAACGAAAACATAACCTGTCGATGTTTTTCTTCTTATAGACTACTTTGACGACGGATTACAGCTCTAAAGGTAAGATTTAAAGTATTAGAATAGTTACAAGATAGAAATTTTAAGTCTCGCCTTCGCCACGAATGCAAAATTGAGAGTTTTCCAAATTTTTATTTTATTTATTTTATTTTTTTTCTCTTTTGTTTTTCTCTTTCTTTTCTTCTCTTTTTCGTCGCCACTCGATTTCTGTTTTATAAATGCCAAGCACAACAGTACAATACTTTAGGATATCTGGGAAATCAAAATGTCCATTATAGGATTGAAGACTTTCCGAGTGCCCGACATTGTAACATATCACAGTCGCACAAATTGTTCTGGTAATTCTTATAAATGTTTCGTTCAGACATTCTTCGCGGTAAATCGTTGAATATCAAATTATACATGTAATCCCATGTAATCTATCAAAAGGGTCGCGTTTTAAAAGTCAGAATCTTCGATTTTATATGCATATTTACAAAGATTACGAGTCAAAAAGAAGATTAGCATAGAGGACATTTTAACGTCTTATTTTTCATTGCTAATGATGATTTGGTTCTTGATACGTTAGTAACCTTACAACTAGATCACTATGTTAAAAATAACTATCATAGGGAGAATGCTATCTTCGATCAATTTCTGGCAAAAGTCAGGTTCTTTCGTGCTTTACTCCTATTTTTTATATTTTTTGCACAAAGCAGATTATTTATTCATAAAGTTCTGATCTCCAGCAGCAGATGTTTAAAAATAGTCTAAAATGGAAGGTATAATCCTCAAGTTTTAATTCTATCTTTTCCTTTGGAATCGCTTCGACAAATTAGAATCCCAGCAAGGGTGCGTTGAGGTATTCTTGTATCCTGATTGTGGATAAATCCACAATCTTCCACTTAACAATACAATAAACAACCTTGTTGTGTCCCTGGATGTCAGAATGCAAGTCACTTCAATGTGAATTTCATATATCAGTATTAGAGAGGTGTCAGATTGTAAGCATTTCCCCTAAGTGGTCAGTAATCCTTTTTGAAGGTCTTAAAGTCATGCACGATTAATCAAGTGAAAAATCGATATGTCCGTTTTATTTGAAGTTCAAACGGCATTAAGTACCCCTTGATAATCTGTACTCTATTTTATTGTTCAAAGATACATGACCGTTGTTTCACTACCGAGTCCGCACTAGAACCTATTTAGAGGAACGTCTTGCAATTGTGCGAAGTGCTTTTGTTCTTCACTGAAAGTCATTTGTTCTTCATTCCATAGTTCATAATTAAAGTGATATATCATGTCTCTGAACGGATCGAACGTGAAAGAGGAGGAAGATACGAAGTTCACAAAACTCTTCGTTGGAGGAATTCCTTATAATACAGCGGACGGAACTTTAAGGGAGTACTTCGAACAGTTTGATGACATTGTGGAAGCTGTAATCATCCGTGAAAGAAATAGTCAGAGATCCAAAGGATACGGATTTGTAAGTGATCTTATAGAAACCATATTTTAAGTTGAGTGACAAAATTAGGCTGTGGAATGTAATAATTTTATCGGAGAGTTTGTCCGTGAGGGTATGTGGGTCACTAGGTCACAAGGAAAATTCTTTAGCCAGATACCGATTCTCTGCCACTGCCAACTGCATATGGTAGACTTATTTACTACATCAGCGAGGTTAATGCACTGATATTTAACCTGCTTCTGTAAAGCATCAGTATTATTTCCATGATGGGAAAATACATGATAAAATTATATCTGCGTGAAAGATGTGTTCGCAATATACATTTTAAAATCTTTTTCTCGTTCAAAGGTTACTATGGCCACTAAAGAGGGAGCCAAAAGAGCATGCGTCAACAAAAGGCCAATGATCGACGGTAGGCGAGCCAATGTCGACCTGGCGTATCTTGGTGCAAAACCCAAACCTACTAAAATGCCTCAAACAGATGATGCTGCCAGCCCAGAAACTAACGGTGTTCCTGCCTCGCCTACAAACTCTGAAGCTGCTACAGACAGTGGAGCAGAATGGGCTCCCGAAGAGTTCAGTCCTAAGTTCAAGAACCCTCAAGGTTACAATGTTGGCTTTAAGTATGACACAGGACATCCATCTCCTCCTATACCGATAATGATCCATCCAGCAGAATTCAAGCCACCAAACGTCAGCAGTATGCAGACCTACAATTCCAATATGCCAATGATGAACAACGTGGCGTATTACGCAGGAAGTATTCCACCCTACTCCTCACCAACCAATGCAGGCTTTGACCCCAAGTTCATTGATCCTTCCACTGTTAGTTTAGTAACCTATGTCCCTCAAGTGCCTGTGACATCTGCTCAACAAAACTCCCAGAGTCTTAATGTGCAATGTCTGCCACAGTACAACCATGTTCCACAACCACTATCAACGACGAAGCTGATCCCAAACCCCCGCTATGTCTACCCCATGCCAGTGTGGTATGTGGATCAGGGCAGGATACCTGGTGGGCAGGTCAGTTTTGAACCTGTGAGTAACTACTCCCAGATACCTTTCAACTCCAACTCTGCGGATGGAAGCAACACCTTTTCCACTTGCAAAATGTATCCCATCACAACTTATTTCTGACACGTTTTACTTGAATTAACATACCTTATAAAGGAAATTTGCGTTTTCTACAAGTTATCATGGACTCAGTATATAGTCAGCCTATGAACAGATAATCATCGCAACAGGTTTCTTAATTATAATAGTTATTTTCATAAATTATTTTCTGATTGTCAAATTTGACGCACCTAAAGTAATTTTTACACCTGCTCCTATATGCATGAAGCAATAACTTTTTTCCTTATCTGGGCATACACTGAGATATGTTACGCCAATAACTGTAGAAAGAAACTGCCTCAATGTACATCAGTGCGATATAGCCATGTAAATTACTAAATAAAATTAAATCAATCAAAACCAAGTAAACGCTGTTTTAAAGCAGCCTCATTTAGGATAAGTTAATTAAGGTATAAATACGTCACTTGAACCAGCTCAAGCTATCGAGAAGGTATCTTCGTGACGATGTACTGTATCAGTACATGTTAGAACTTTAAACGATCATTGACAAGAGTAATTGTACCGATAAGTTTATACGCAGGCGTATCAACTAAATGAAATTATGGATGTTATTATAAACACTTTAGTTATGCTGTAGATATCATAGAAACATTCACACTTTTGTAATGTACCGAGGACTAGATTTCATTCACAGTAATTGAATAGGTAAATTCAGATTTAATTGAAGTCGCCTGTTAGTTCGATTGAAACATCGGAAATAACTCAGTCAAATCCATCCGTTTATTTTAGAATAAAATTTCTACTGTTTTGTCTTTGCAACAAGCTTTTATGTCATGTTAGTCTTGTGTTAGAGGATATGTCATGTTGGCGTACATTGAGAAACAAAGGTTTCCTTTTTTCTTTCGCTTCACATTTTCAACGTGCAGTTAGTGAAGGCGAATTAGCCAATGTAGCTGACGTCTTAGCCGGCCAATTTATTGCGACGCAAGGCAACACTCGAAAGAACATCTTTTCCATATTCGCTTCAGTGGCCAATTTGCCTTAAATTATCAACGATACATGACAATCAACTAAATCAAAGATGCGTCTATCCATAAACCGTTGTAGACATGAACCAAATCAACGGCAACATAATCAAATTGAACGAACATTTTTACTACTGTGTATCCCTAGTATTCTGTAATCTGGTTTCGTACGCTGATGCTTCAAGACATTTTTTGAGATACATCAGCTACGCGTCAGAAAAGAGGCCTGAACTACGATTATTCTCTTTCATGAAAATAAAACAAAGACGGTCCTTACCTTTAGCCTTATGATGCTTCAACACGTTGTTCCATCCAGAATACGTCGATCTTCATGAGGCCGTGTTCACTTTTCACATAGAGAGATGTGACGACTGCAAGCCTGATCAAATCAACCTCTTGACCGCAGGAACTGATTACTATAATGGGTGACGCAATTTATGTGACGATGTCAGTTAGCAATGCAAGTGAATGTCACAAACTACTACATCAATCATTTTTTCGTTCTTCATCCTATTTATAGCCCTCATGATTTATCGGACAAGCGTTCGCCTCAGCCTGAGTAAATACAAAACTTTACTTCGAAGAAATCTTTGCAATGAGTGATTTACGCAAGATTCAAAATTATTTTCATTTCTTTTTTGCACATCTCGTAGAGCTAGATCACGCAATGATTTGTTACGTTTGTATGTAACACTTTTAATCGTTAACACCGTCATTATTATTATTGTTATTATTATTATTATGAATGTTTCATCGAGTCTATCTGTATTAACCTTCGAATACGTCCAGGTTTAGTGTTTTGAAATTATTCTTTTTATTTAAAGAAAGTTCATAACATGTCCAAACAGCAGCAGCGGCGGCGATACAAAAAACATTATTTTTAGTGATTCGATTCAGAATAATAGTCACGTTCGTGTATTCACGCGGTAAGATAAATAATGGCATTTCCTTCACGTCATCTGCGTGACGTCAATAAACTAAGCGAACGTTTCAGAACGTAAGGAAACTAAAAATGAAATAAAATAAATAATGATAAAGACGTGTGTTGGATAATATCACCGGCAACTTATCCTATTATGTTAATTTCTCTATCTGACTATTCATTTATTATTTAATAGACGTCGCCCTTTGTCTGAAAAATATCCACGATATTTGTTTAGCCTGTAAAGATTCTAAGTTATGGTATTCCTCAGTCTTCATCTGCGCGGTACAAAAAATCGTCAGTTTGGACAAAAAGAACAAATAGGGGAGACAAAAGAATATTGAGTACATGAATGAATAGCTAGGCTAAAAGGAATCATAGGCAACAGGCTTAAAAAATGTAAACCATCGAACTTGTTTGTGATAATGTTATACTCTAATATAATGTGACTGTCAGCTCTCTAAAACTTGGAAAAGAATGAACTCGACCTACGTATTAATTGCCCTTAATATAATTCAGTTTGGGCAAAACAAATTAACTGAAACATGGAAAATTGCTGATACATTTTTCAGGTTTTCAGATTGGACTCGAGGTTATAATGATGTATTTGCGGGGGAAAAAAAATCTTTAGAAAAAAAGCTCTCTTTGTTAAAAGTAGTTTAACGCTTGCAAATACGCCGTGCTTTCTAATTTTTAAAACGGTTAACAGTTAGAGGTCTTATGATAACAATGTTCGGTCACGGTTCTCTTGTACGAATTCTTCATTATGCATAAGATATAATAGTTCATCAGGAGTATGATTAAGGATCAGCCTAAAGGAAGAGGATCTTATTAGCCTCAAAAATTATGTGTTCCTTAAGATTCGTGGGACGTATCCGTTTCTCTTACGAACAGAGCTGAAGCATTGCATTGTTTCGACCCGCTTATATAATCACTGACGTAATCATAGGTCTGACGTCGTCACCAGATAGGTGTAGATCCGGTCAGTTTTTATTGTATCAAGTACAAAACACTAAAAGAACCTACAAATAATTCACTCAATAGGGAATAGAATAACGAGGAAAATGTAGTTTGACGTGAAAGAAACGACAGCAGCTAACCAGATGATATGAATGAAGTACAGAGGAAAGCGAGAGCGAGGTACTTTGAACAAGAAATTTGGAATAATTTGTCGAAGCAGAACTCTTTTGAGGACCGCCGATTAAACCTAAAACGCAACAAGCTGGGAAAGGACGAGAACATCGCGGTGAAATCATGGAATCAGGAACAATTGCTTATGTTGAGGAGAAATAAGAAACTGCATGAACTCTTGAATGGTTCACATGAACATTTTACTCAAAAAAGCAACCAGCTTATTTCACCTTCAACCCCTCTAAGTCTTCCATCGTTAGGCGCACAACAAAGACCTCGATCAACATCTTCAAGTGCCCAGGGGAGTACTGATTTTTCATCACGATCTAAGGAGCCAGCTCGACCGAGATCACACACTCAGCAGATGTTGTCAGCAAAAACAGAACATTCCATCAGAAAACAGTCAGCTCAAGAAGAGATCAGCTTACCCTCAGTTTCTGCAACGAAAGTTCGACGCACTACGCATTCCGCTTTTTCGCAAAATACCAGCTTATCAAGTAGTGAACCCTTTATGCAAAGAAAAACAAGCTAGACAAGACCATCGACACAAATTCATCGGAGGACTGACATCATTTCTTTATACGATTAAATTCGGTCCATGTTTTTATATCAAGGAGATTAAACGCTCCAGGAATCCGTCTGGTAGATGAACGTATATCAGCTCGAATGTTTTATGGTAAAGATTACTATCAGAGTAGTCATGAATGAAACGGAAAAACACAGATATCCTTTTAAGAGCGGAATGCAGGCTGAGATATTGGACCCTTTAAAAAATATTAATGAAACAATGAAGTAACATAATTATCATCATTAAGAGAAATGACTACATCCCAGAAGAAGAGGTGAAACATATTTAAGAGCTGGAAAAAGCGAACTTCTGATCAATTTAGGACTTACACTGCAACTTTAATCCTATTAAAAATTGATTAATGAATAAAAGAGACAAAATAGTTGATTATAAATGTCGACTAAAACGAAAGTTTTAGATCTTCAATGAGCTTGAATTATAAGAGTTAAGGCTATTTGGGCCTGATCATTTTACTTGTTAAGTAATATACTCCAGTCTTACGGACCATGGAGATACAACTCCATCCACGTTTACTAAGCTAATTCTGGTGATTGCAACATTTAAACTAAACATTATTTCGTAAGTTCCGCTTATCATGATAATTTATTTGTTTATCTCTCGAGGCGCTTTTTTTCCTTGCTTTATTTATTTTGTTTTGTTTTTTGTCCTAAGGTTTTCTTTTGTCAATTTTGTTCTGCCTTCTGTTTTTCTTCGTCTTCTTCGTCATCCTCTCACTGGTTTGATTGCGTGAGAGGGCAACTGAACTGCGGAGCCTAAATTTTCCACGTTTATTCCCATTCCAGGCTGATCTCCACTAGCCTTTTGTCAAACTTACTTCTTCTTGGTTAAAATACTACATCTAATAGTCGGTTTCCTTAAATCTTATGATCGTGAAATTGTATGATCGTGGTAGGAAAGCGAATGCATAATAGTCGTTTATATAGGAAGGGCCATACAAGTTTGCTTTATGTCTCCTTCCGAAATCTTTACGCTCGGAGAGTCCATCAGCAGAGGCTGCAGAAATCTATTTAATTTGGTTTATCACGAGCTCTTTCGTTCTTTGTCTTCCTACGGAACTAATATCTGTACTTTCCCTTGGCACTAGAGAGCATAAAAATAAGTTTCTAGAGTTATGCAACTTCCACAAAAAAGGAAAAAGACGTAGAATCCAACTTAATTAATTTATTTTTCAGCCGGTTTTCTCACTTCACCAACTACGCTTTAATTTGTGATATTGAAGCATTACCCATGTAACGACATAGCTGTTTCTGTTTTATATTTTCTTCTTGTAAGAACATTTGAATGAAAACAAACAAAAAAGAAATAAAAAATACCTAGTTTTGAAGAAGGAAGAACATTCTGAAAAAAAATTGTGTTGATAACATGCCATTAACCGACATGATAACTCAAATTTGAACTTAAATCTCGATGTAGTTTCTACTATGCTGTTCCGAGAGAAGCCCTCCAACAATCTGATTTAGCAGCTTTATTTACAGTTCAATTTCAGTGAACAAGATGTTTCCGGAAACGTTTGCTAGGAAGGTTTTCAAACTTTTATAATATTTTGTTCAAGCTTTTAAGCCTCTCATTAAATTAACACGAGAAGACTTCCAGGGTTTTGTTTCAATCAAATGGAAGTCACTTATTTGCATGTTCGATTTGTCTGTAAAGGAAATAAGCGCAAATTAATTAGTTCGAAGCGATTCCACAGAGGTCGAAAATGGCAACTACTGCAAAATAGTGCTTGGTTGAGTCATGAACCTTATGCGTATTTACATCCTTTCAAAGCAATGATAATCCTGTCACTTTATCTTCTCCCGTCGGAGGTATCCCAAATTCATCAGCAGTTAAACTCTTATCATTCACGCAATTATCCGCGTACGGCTTGACCCAATTTATATCTTTCTACAACAAATAAATAGAGGATATTTAAATAGATGCATAATAATAATAATAATAATATATAATAATATCAATAATAATGGTATTGGTATTAAAAGCCTCTCTGCGTTCTATTTAGCGCATAAAAATGTTAATAATAAAAGTAGTAAGAAAGCACCCCCATGCCTGTCTTGTGGCTTGCGGTTTTGTGCATTTTTAGTTGTCAAGCGTGAGATCGAGAAAGGTTTGGAGTGAGGATTGTTGAAGGCGTACACAAAGCTGTGAATTACTCAGACTACCTGTCCTGTGAGGTTTTGATACTAAATCAATTAAACGATTCGCTAGGATTTATATCTAAAGCGTGATAATTAATTCACGTATAGTCTCTGTGATTATAATTACCTAAATATGAAGTAATAGATATACGTTACGTTGACAAAATAAAAATAATCTGCGTTGAACGTGGCCTACATAGCGGAAGAAAGCAACCCCTATTAAATATCGGCGGGCTAGTTCATCGAAAACTGAAAAGGAAAAGCACAGAACTGGTCTTCTAACATATCCGCATTACTTGTATTTCCTGGTTTCTTCGAGTGAAGATGCCCGCCGCTTGAACGAGTTTTAAAACCGCATTTGAAATCATGTTGGAAACATGGTATATTTTCGAGAGCTAAATATGGCTGATTGACACCGACACAATTTTTTTTTGTTTTGTGTTCAGGAGAATTCAGAAACAAAAAAAAGCTATCAATCATTTTGTTTTATCTAATGCCAGAATGAGACAGTAGTTCACTTTGTCCATTTATCAAGGAGATCATCGAAGACGAGATTATAGTTTATATTCTCTTGCCGAATACGAAAAGAAAAGTTCCTGTAGGATGCATGACACTTTTAGATAAACGTATACAGCCATAAAATTTAAAATCGAAGATTTCAGATGTTTCCATATAGCTTCCCTCATGAATTGAGAGTAAATTAACTTGGCCTTCTTTTGATTAAATGCAAGGCCATGCAATACGTAATACTGTAAATTTCTAAATTTAAGGCCCCTTAAGTTCTTACCACAAATGAACACCATTCGCTTCAAACCTGTGCCTAAGTCCTCCTCCCCTAGAGATCGATCGGCCCACAAACCATAGTCACCAAACGCTAGCCGGGTTTGATATTTAAACCAATGGTTTTCGCGCATAGTCATAAAGTATGTACGTGTGTGTAAGCATGTTCACATGGCAACCCATCGATATATTACTTCCTGAAACATTCAGATCAGTCGGTCATCCACGTGTAAAAGGAGTTTTCACGTACAGACTTTACATCACCCTGTCGCGCGTGCAAATACACACGCTCGGTCTTTCCCATAAAGATTTAAACGCCTTATCTAACAAAAACATGAATTCCTATCACAGTGTAATCGGCTTTTCAGTAAAATTGAAAGACGCCGATGTCTTCTACAACAGTGGGCAGTTGAAGAAACGTGTTCCTTAAGGTCATCCCCTAACATGCACGTTTTTTTGCTTTAATCTGGCGCAGCTTAGAGCATTAAACCGTGGAATAAAAGAAAAGAATCACTCAGTCGTTAAAGCATCAGATTTCATGGCATGATTTCTTTTCAATTGCGCCATGATAATCGAACAATGCGCACAAATCAACGATTCTGTGATTCGCGCATTTAACAATAAATGTTTGACCGAGTGACAAAGTCTTTCTATTTTAATCGTAATTATTTCCTTTGATCAAACACCATGTCGTGACCTCTGCATTAAGACTGACATCCATGTGAAGTTCCATCACATCGCAACTGATTTCACAGCAAACACATCCGTGAATTTGATACCGGCACAATTTCCGTGGAAGCTTAGACGTTGTAGTTTTAAAGGAGCAATGAGGACTGTAAGGAAGGCCACTCCAATTCATCAGTCTTCCCAACTCGAAGAACTACCAAATCCTAACATTATGCTACCGAGACGATCGCCATCTTCATCGCATCTACCTTCATTGCGTGAGGGATCTTCGGATTGTAACGTGCCGTCAAGAATTACAACACCTCATGCCTTTTCAGACACTGAACAGGGAAAAACCGAAATAATAGCACTGGTGGGATTGCCTTCACATCCAAGACGAGGGAAGTTGTTCAAATCGGCCTTAGAGAAAAGAAGCTTCCACGAAAACTCTTGGCTACCAAATCTTATTAAAAGAGACTTGAAAGAGAATGTCCAACTACTGCCGGCACCTTCATCTGAATGGGTAGAGAGAGTACATCGCCCACAACACTACGAACTTACTAGAACAATTTCACATCCAGTCATTTTTAACGATGGAAAATTTTCTCTCGTCACAAAAATGAACGATACATGCTCTAAAAGTTTGCCTCGACTCAACAACGGAGAGACTCCAAGCAAAGGAACCGAAGAAAAACATTCAGCTGACCTCAGAAGACATATCGAAAAAGAAGAGTTGGACTATGATTTATTCACGACTAAAGCTGTAATTTTGGAGCGCTTTTTAAACAGTCAGAGTTAGGTATATACACATATGTATATATGTGTATGATCAGTAATGTATAAATTATTAAGGACACGAAATTAGCCTGGTTGTCATTTATTTCAAGTGACGACAAATAATTCCGGGGTTAGAAGACAAGATCGCGACTGAAAGTTAAAGAATTATAAACTAAGGAAAAAGAAAGACTGCAAGGAAGGCTTTACACGCGTTAAGGTATTTAATATTTTGCTATCAATAAGATAATACTTGATCTATTAAAAAAGGGTGGTTTATAGTTATAAATTAAATAACTCAATTCCCTTATTGAAAATGATTTGACATGATGTAAATATTAAAGTGTGAAAGTATTTGTATGATTTGAAATTGAAGTGAGAAAGCTATTCTTAAATATTGGGATGGATATTCTAATAAATGTTCAGAACTATGAAAATATTTTGTTTTGTTGTTAACTAAAAACCTATTGGGTTTTCCTATTTTGTCGGTTCGCGTTTGTCCATATATTCGAGTCAAATCAAAGTTTTTTATAGGGTTAGCTTCGGTTTAGATGGAAACCGGTTGGTTCTCGGAATAAGACAATTTTAGAAAGATACCGTTCAGATGGATCAAACAAACAAACAAAAAAACAGAAAAGGAAACAACACTTTAAAGTTCAAATGGATCTCGACGCTGTCTAAAGTTCGCTTTTAATTGATATTTATTGAACCACTGTCTAATTTGGAAAACGAGTGATCCATTTCGTGACCTTGCAGTCACGTTCATGAAAGATGGAAAATTATTTTTAACTCGGGGGGGTTTAAATTAAAATTCTTATTGTGTGTCTCTTTCATTTCATCAATACTCAACAAAAGAATATATCAATCGTAACGAGTATCTACGGGTATTTTAAAGGAATTCGTTATCTGGAGTGACAGAACGTCGGACATTTGTGTCATCTATCATTTTGCATATTTTGGAGTTGAAATAAATCAGCGCTAGACAAAGTCTTTAACTGACGGGCTTGTTTTTCTTTCAACAGTTACGTGTTATCTACCGACCTTTAGGTCTCGATAATTCGTAGATAGTTAGATTACCTGCAACTTTGCACGTTTTTCGGTTGAGTACGTGCTCCAGTTTTCGTTCTAGCAAGGCAAAGGTCATCTCAAAACAATGTCGGCATAGCAAATTGTATATCTGTGAATTTCTCTCCAAAACAATTATTTGTTAAACAAACAAATGTCTGGTTTCGTTCACCACAAAGGGTTGCCCGCATTCCATAAAGTTAAGTGTGATAAGAAAATTTTTAATTGGACCCGTCGTTTAACCTAGTGTCTTATCTTATCTGGCTTTAAATTGAGACCATATCGCTTTTGAGTTTTTTTTCTTTATTTCGTCCATGTTTGGTGTCTCATAAACGTTTGAAGGAATTTCAAACAGTTATCAGTATTTTTTAATTCACATTATTTTCATTTTTATTGGCTAAAAGGTTTTCGCGATTTCTAGTCATTCTCCGTTCCTTAAATCCAATCAAACAATATAAGAAACGAAACAAGAAGGAATAAAATCAATTTCCTTCCGATCCAAGGCACTGAATCAATCTTCTGCTTTTTTCAGTTTTGTGCAGATCGAATCAGTAGCCGGTGCACGACGCTATTTATTTATCTTTATGTGTAATTGATTAAGAAATAAGGAAATTGGACCCAAAAGTCGGAACTAACATGAACATTTTGAGATTATTCTTTAGCACGGCAGTTGTCCTGACTCATCATTTTGAACGCGTGGTTGACGTCAGTCAGTAACATAATCGTGAATCCCCTACCCACTTGTGGTTGCTCAAATGGCGATATTTTAAAATGGTCGAAGAATTTTAAATGAATTTTTTTTATCAGAGTAAGGTTAGAGTGTTTGTGGATATAAATACGATAAAATTATTTATGAAGTACTTCAAAAGGAGTTCTTAATTTACTCAGGTCAAATTCATAACACTTTGCGATGGTCGAGGCACCTGCTGAGCGTTAAATTAATACTTCATTTTCTACTCCACTGTTTAATTATAAGACATAACAAAAGCAACATTTTAATCATGCTTTTTAGCACCGGCATATTTTCCCCTTTTCTTTAAAAACCGTATCTCTTTCTCTCTCTGTCTAATATGCTCGCTTCATGATCATGAGCCATTTCGAAATATATGCATACAAATCAAATTTCTGTCCTTCAAAAATCAAGATACCGTGACAGCGTTTACCACAAGTTTCCTTAATTTTGAGTGTATTAAGTTATATCATGGTTATTATTTTTACGAGTAAATAGTTTATCAGAGTGGTCGAGATCTTATGGAAAAAGTAAACAGAATTAAGCGTTTTTCCCAGTAGCTGAAGTGGAATCATGTTTGATCTTATTAAAAGAAAGATTCAGTTCATTGTTATTTTAAAATTACCTTGTCGTGTCAGCATGTGAGCATTTCGCAATTGTTTCATTTAACTGTCGTCCTACGCAACAAAGAGACCACTTTTTTACGGTCACGATCGGTCAACGACATTGCCAACAAGCGTTAGATGGACTATAGCTTCGGTTGCTTTGCTAGAAGTGGCCAAATTGATCGATTTAGAAGTATCTACCTCTTTTGAAAAAGTATCAGTGATAGTAATAATGATAGTTTTAATGATAATAGTAAAATACATCTAAAGCGCTTCCTTTGTTTTTATTGTCATCTTCTCACTGAATGACGATCTTTTCTAAAATATTCACCTAAAGAAAAGAATTATGATCATTTGCGTGTACGAGATCGTTCACTGACTTGCGTTATTTCCTTTCTCCGGAAAGGGAGGTACAACCTAATGATTCTTTCCGAGTCAGAATAATACTAAATGTTACATTTATCCCTTGTCATGAGCAGTTCCGTATACACTCTATTTTCCACATAAAGCAAAACTTAATATATCCATGAGCTATTTTCCGACACTATGTACGCTTGAAGCTTCCAAGGCCGGCATTTTCGGCATCTTGGTTTGAATCGTATGAACTGGAAAACAGAGGAGAGCTATCCGTGTGCTCAAATCCCCAGTTTTTGAACCAAACAAAAAGTAAGTAAGATTATCAAGGAAACAAAATCGTCTAAAACCAACTGAACTTTCGTTCATTGTTCATCTATGGCTGAAAAGGCAAATCATGAATACTACATGTGCGAGAAAAAAAACCAAACAAATGAATACTATCTAGGGAAAACATATGTATACTAAATAATGTACGTAAAGAACAGAAACATGCTGTAGGGTATGTGGAAAACAAACTAAGAGGTCTTCGTCATTGTAGATGAAGGCCGGTTGCATGCATATCGCTTTGAGAAGCATGAATACAATACACCTGGCTCCACCTATCATCTCATTCACGCTATTGAAGCTATAGTTTATTGATACTCTATCATACTTTCAATGTAAATATTAGCTGACAACAATTTCTTTCATGAATAACATGCTTTCTTGATCCGCCAGCAGAACATTTTATCTTTTCTCTCTTTCCATAAGTAGACACCTGCTTCTCCAGCAGTTACAGTCTATCAAAAATATTCTCCAAATTCGATAAAAAGAAAACAACGCGTCTTAATCTATTTATATCTTAAGTTACTTTAGTGACAAGTCCACAAAAGAAGCAACGTAAACATTCAACATTTACGGCCCAGGTTTTCATGCTCTACAAGATGTTCATGTCTAGAGAGTGCGCTGTTGTTAAAATGATCTGGGATTCCTCAATGAATCATTCGAAGCACTCAAAGTTCCGCACATGATTTCTCCAGATTACATGTTTTTCGAAAGAACCGATAAAATCGACACATCTTTTTTAATGGCCGCAGCTAGCTAGCACTTGACGTACTTGAGCTGTCTATGGCACTCTTTTGGCAGCAGTTAGCTCCTTTTATTGGTAAGATTTTCCAACTTTTTCTAATTTCATATGTTAAAATTTTAACCGGTTTACTTCCTACTTGGCATGCAGTTTGTAAGACTGCTAAACTGCTTTTGCCTTTCACAATGGAAAACTATCTTTAGAGCGCTTACAAACATCATTATCTACCACAAACTTTAACGATACTTGGAGGAGTTTCTTTGGATACAAATCGTAGTCGCCCTCGAGTTATTTGCGGGTGATATGCAATTAAAACTCTCCTAAAACCGCAGTACTATTATTTCTAATGGCATCAAACTGGACGATTACAAAAGGGAAGCATTTATATCATAAAAACTGCGAAACAATCTGAAATGAAAGACAATATATAAACGACCTTGACAAGACAATTTTTTTTTGTTTTGGTTTGTTTTTTTTGAAAGGCAAGTTCAAGGCTAAAATGTTTGAGATATTAAACTTTATCGATTGCCAAGATATAATAACGGGGTATCCTAGCAACAGGCGTTGGTGAATGACGTGTGCAAGCAAACCAACACAGTCAAATACTTTTCATTCAGGAACACCTTTGAGTAAGTAGCTTTGTGTTAAAAATTGCGACGTATCTACATCCTCCTATGAGGAAAAAATGAAAGTTCTGTAAAGCCATCAAGTTTGCTTTATGAATTCACTCGTTTTAAAGAAAGAATTCTAGTTTTGAGAAATTATGAATCGTGTACGTGAAGGTAGTTACATACGGTCGGTCATATCAAACATCTTTTGAATCCAAGGTGATCCACTAATTTTCATTGTTCTACTTAATTTTAATTGGTTTGATAGTTTTCAATTACATCGTCGCGTCAATGCTTGTCTACTTGTCTACAAAAAGATACGATCACGTCTTTCCAGTGGCTTAAAGTGATGTACAATGATCATGACATATGTTTTATTTACTGTTTCACTATTCCAAAACTTTCGCAAGTCATGATCAGAACAAGAGGAAACGCAAAATATGAGACAGTAGTGACTGTAATAGGTGAAAAACAAGTGACGAAAAAGGAGCAACAAAATGGCCGGATTTAACGATCCAAACTTCTGCCTGCCTATGACCTTTAAACTGAATTTTACCTTCGTTTTGTTTTGTTTTATTTTAAGTATCAGAGAGGAGATGGATGATTAACGCATACGATGCATACAATGCCAGGTCAAATCAGGAAGAAAAATTCCGACAAATGAATATATAAAAGAAAAAAATCATTCCTCGCTTTGTTTGTCAGCCTATTACTATAAGTAACCGTTAATCTTTATTCCGTTGTTGTTCTTATCATTACTGTTATGATCATGAGTATCATCATTATTAATATTTTTATTATAATTATTAGCACATTATCATCATCATTATTATTATCATCATTATCTTTATTGTTGCTTTCGAGCATCTAGGATGGTTTGTTTGCTGTTTCATTTTCCCAACTTTTCTTAGTCTACCGGAACAAACGAAATATATATAAAGAGATTACGTATGAAAACTCGAGAGGAAATTCCAAGGCTATCGCTTGATAGTCGGGCAAATGCCTTGTAACTTGCATTTTATTTTGATGGCATTCCTTGATAATTTATTTTTTCGATTATTTATTTATTCAGTGTCTTAGTATAGGCGAATGAAAAACATATTCACATGATGTGGATTCAGATATACTTTTCACGAGTAAAAGTGAACATGAATGTAGAGAACTAGATTAAAATGACTCTGAGAGCTCAATGTTCGCGGGGAGAGACATAAGGAAAGAGGTTTTTTGTGGCTCCTTCAAAATGACAGAAGTGCACCTTCAAGCGCCACCCACGACTTTTCCCAAAGCAGCGTTTTGAACGACAGCCAAAAAGAACATTGTCGGCATCTCATTCACGACACTTTCATGGCTGTATTCAAAAGCATAAAAAAATCTTTATTTCGTTCGATTTGAGGTTTCGGCTTTCCTTTTTTTATAGGCTGCCTCAGGAGACTGAACTTAAATCCAATTGGAGGAATTTTTTTTATGACCTCAGGTTAGGAGAGCGAAACGAAAGATTAATTTATATGATAGCGTCACGTCCACTTTTGCGATCAACTCTTACTTACGAAACAGTTTTTCTTTTGTACGTTCCTTTCGCCAGCATGTCATTATTAACTCATTTTAACCTATTAATAAATTTCCTCCCATGCATTTAGCAAGATGAAATAAGGCTAAGAATCCTAATATCTTTGACAGCGATGTCCTGTGTTCTCATACATTTGCATATTTGATCGCGGAGTACATGATTGGTGCATGACCTGATCACGTGCACCAGGAAGCAATTGATATCCGGCGCTGGATTACGTTTCGCCAGAGGGAACGGAACACACAATATATCAACAAATTGAATATATCGAGCAGACAACTCACAAGATTTTTACGCCGCGTTTTCGGCAGCCTTTAAAGATTGATCATCTGTCAGAACCTTCGGTAAGTTTGGGATTGGTGCCTATATTGCGTAGCATGTAAGATATTTGGCGTTCAAAACACAAGCGTAACACAGTAATGGTTTATAAACACGCATGAATGATCGTCGGAGGAGGAGGGCAACAAGAAAATCTTAGTCTCCCGTAATTATTTAAATTTCAAACCTTCCGATTTTGCGATTAGGCAACGTTAAGCGAATAACAAAGAACTTGTTTGTGAGTTAAGAGAGAAATTTTGTTTACGTGTAACAAGGATCTCTGTATACTGCTTGAATCAGCAACGTCGGAAGCGTTGCTAGTGACAGCAAGATAGTCGACTTTGAGCCCGCTCATCGCACAGTGGTCGCCTTTAATCTACGATTCTTATGTGAAATCGTGGCTCAGACATAGCATTTCGCCATCAGGTGTAACATTTACGGACGTTTTTGTGCTAACTTTATTGCATCGTTTGATGCTCACATACTTGTTACTGTCGTTTATGGCGGAATGCGGAAAGAGTCTTCTATCAAAACAGCAGATGATATTGGTTTAAGGATCTTGAAAAACCGAGCAAAATGGTTCTCTCGATATCGTGACTAACAATCCCAGGCGAAAGAAAAGAGTATAAAAGAAATGATAATCCCAGGCGAAAGGAAAGAGAGTAATCGAAATAGTTTTGACAAAAATTTTCCGGCGTTTTGAGCAGCTACGTCCTTTATCAGGCACTTAGAAACAGGTGTATTAGCCACCACAGTAAGTGTTTGTCCTAACCGGAGGAGTACATTAAGTACCGTCAAAGAACGAGCTCAAAATTTTACGCCGTTCAATTCGCAATCCTTTCTCCATGTTTCCAACCACTACTAATTTTCAGGTTATTTTAAGAGAACTAAACTGCGATGAAAGCATAATCCTAAAGTCAGAAATTTTACATTCATGCTTGAACAACTTATGAAAAAGTGGTTCGAAAGCTGTTTTGAACGAGAAGTTATTAAAAGACTTAATAAGAAAGCGAGGGTCGCTTCTCAGGAACTTCTCGTCTAAAAATAAAAACAACGGAAAAAAATATCACAAGGATTTTTATGTACATAGAAGCCCATTCACTCAAAATATTCTGGAAATTTTTAAAGAAAACCTAACACTACAAGTAGCTTGAGTTTAAGTTCAGTCTAAAAGACTTCTTACAATGCATTTGCAGCTGGAAATCGGTATTCATGAACTTATTTCCTTTACGTGATAGCTGAATGAGGAGGGAAAATAGGAAGCGTTCTTAATATTAAAAAAAATATTATGTTTTCGTCGGTACCTCTTTTTAGATAAAGTAGCACAACTGATGACATATATTCATTATCAACACTCGAGTAACTGTCTGTAAATTTGGAACTTGTGCTGAGGCACCGCGGGGTGCTCTCATCTCTTGAGACTTGGCTCCTTAGGATGAATTAAACTTTTGCCCTGTAAAAAGAAACAGAGAAGATGCAACTGGCAAAATGGTTCAATCAATCTTTGTTAAATTACTGCTTGTTTTGGTCCCACTAGCAATTTCGCATAGGGGCGTCAGTGTTTCAGACCACGTGCCTTTGTTTAATCGAAGCATACTATTTTGATGTGAAACGTGTTTTGAGGAAAATATTCCATGTATTTCACCAAGTGAAAGAAGAAGTTCATTTCACTCATTTACTTAGCTATTGAATCAAGCACAGAAACCACTATTAAGGTTTCCTTTTTAAAACACTAGACATAAAGGATGTCTGACCTGCGAATTAACTAGCTCGTTTATGCTCTTACCAACCATTGGCTAGCGAGAGGAAAGCATACGTAAAGAAAATACATATTTATACATTCCAGTTATCATGCGCGTAAAGCAGAAAGTGACGACGATAGATGTAAAACTTTATTTTAAAAATCCCGACTCCTTTTGGGACTGAATAATTGGGATGATATGCTTTGTTCTGTAACCCTGCCTGCAATCACCACTGAATGAATGGACTTTGGAACTCTTGTAATAACAAGACAATAGGAAACAAGGTCCCCCACTTGTGTCATTGTGCTCACCTGAAGACTGTCTATAAAAATTAAAATTTAAGCCAAAGCAAATTTGAGGCCTGACGTAGCAAGAAAATAGATAATGCTAAATAATACAAAACACCTAAAGCTATCTTTAGAGTTAAGCCATGCGTAGTTCATTGGCATACGCGTGAAACACTCCAGGTGCACGTGAGCCACTGAGTCGATCCATAAGGCGAGACACTTGATAGCTCAAGATTAATTACCATAGCAGTTCAACTTTGATTGACAAACTTTCAGCATCTCTCTGTTGCTTCCTGAGTGTTAATGATATTTACTTACAAAACTTATCAGCGAAATGAAATCACGCCATCACGCCAACTAAAACGGTTCATGGGAAAAGAAACCCAGATCTCTGCGTTACCCTTGCTGTTAACGTTTAAATTATCATCAATTATTCAATTCTCTCCCTGGATTTACTAAGGTAAGAGAAACGTTCTAGAAAAAAGGCACTTAACTAATTGTTCGATTCATCTAGAATAAATTTGACTTCACCCGGCTATTATCTTAAGCAAAGCCAGTGGCAGGGATGTAGGCCGTTTTCCAGTAGTTCATTTTCTATCTAAAAATATCATTCAATTCCTCTTAGTTTTACCACCAAAGGTCGTCATGTGTAAAGTTATAAGACACACGTTCTGGGCAGGTAAATCAAGCACATCATTGCTATAACGAATAAAAGGATTCACTTCTCTCTGCTAACAAAGCTTCATAAAAAGGATCCATAACATGTTCATTAATTACAAGGCTGTTTATTAGGAGGTATTTTGTGTTCTTTCCTTAATTGAATTGTGTAAATTAACGTATAAGTAAACTCGCCGGCCGGTCGGGTAGAATCAGGCAGACCACAAAGAACAAAAGGCCAATAGAGGAATTTGTTTGCTATGCAGAAATTATTCGAACCACTTAACTTGATGAGCTGTCAGCAATGAGCTCGAGAGCACGGAAACATTTTTTCTTTAATAAAATGACTCAAATTCATAACACGAAAATTGCCAGTTTAGCATTGTTATAATAGAGAAAAACATAAACTTAGGGCACAGAATCGAGTCATCTTGGAGTCATCTTAGGATTAAAACTTGGGGTGAACCTACTTTCTGTGAACCGGAACTTAGAATTATACTACTTAAATGACAATGTCATTTATTTACTGAGTTGAAGCTATTTTACAGAGCAGTAATCGATATGAGTTACATTCCTGAATGTTCTTATTGCCGGCCGTTGACTATGTTTAGGTTTAAAGAATTACATAACAAACTGTATTTCACTTCGTTTGACTATAGGTGATGCGCTTAGCCAGGAAAGGATTACGGAAACATTTCCAGCTCTGCTCACAATGAAGGAAATATCGATGAAGAAGTCAGACAAAAGCCTCCTACCATTACGAGGCAAAATATCTCCTCCAACGATTTTAAACTGCGACAACCATGCCAATGAACAACCATACCTCGATAAGGAAACCGCTAATGATATTTCCAAAAGAGAAAGGATGTTTTCTGTATCTTCGAGGAGTGCCTGTAGTTCCAAACATGATTCTAGTTTGTCTGAAGTGAGATCCATGACTCCTCCATTTACACCACCGACGAACAATGCAAATGGGGATCAAGGGTTCCTTGTAAGACGACCTTCGGAACATTTTCTTGAAGTACTAGGAGAACATAAATCGAGGGAAACGCTGCCTAAGGTATTGTCAGCCTCGTGTCTTCCTCCATTGCGAAATGCGTCTCAAGGAGAAGACACTATCAAGAAGAATCTTAAAGATCTGAAGGGAGCTAATGGTGTAATGAATAATAATTACGATGGAACCTTTTCCCGCCCAGTTGCACCTGATAACAACACATTGCTTCTTGGACCTGGAGGTAGGAGAAGGATGTCAACACCAATTGGCGTTGAGAAAAAACATCTTCGCAAAACGAATTCTTTGCCTTTAATCAAAACTGGCTTTGCACTTACAACGGGAACAGACTGTATAAACGATTCCGCCTTCCACAGGCACACAAAGTCCGCCTTCACAAGCCAGGAAAACAAAATAGACGAATGCGTCGACCACATTCAAAATGTAAAGATCGATGAATATTTAGACGAAGAATTGTGCGACGAAGACGGAGTGATCGATCAGAACGATGATGAGGAGACATTCGAAAAATTCTCAATGATTTGCCATTGGCTGAAAGACTGCGAAAAAGCTAAAATCACTTAGCAGCTGGATTCAAACAGACATCCAGGAAATGTCTCTGTAAATATTCGCTTTGGTAGTCTTTGCAGACTTTGCATGTTTTTGCGCGTAAGTTATCAGCTCTCTGTTTGACTTTATTGATCATTTATCAAACCAGCTGATGTTCCTGGGACGAAAAGCTTTTAACCGGTACTTTGTTCTTTTGATACATACTGATGATAAAAAGTCTGCTGGAGGAACGCCAACCTTATAAGCTGCGAATTGTTTGGTTTAGTTGAACTTTAAAACTGGCTACAACACTATTTGGATTGTTCGTTTAAATCGACAACTTAAGAAATTATCTGAATTTTTTGGTTGATTAACAAACAAGAAAAAAAACGAAGTACACATGGGCGTTTCAGCGATACAGGAACAAGCATTGCCGGTTGTTAGCTTTCTTTGAACTATTTTTAAGAAGGAAAATAACCTATATTCCCCGCTATCGATTTATTTCTTATCGTTTCAGTATCATGAAGTTTCTATGCCATGACGATCGATCAATCGATATGATGACTGAGCATTCTTCAGGATTAAACAGTATCACTTTAATCATCGCCAATGTAAGGCAACAAAGAAAAACGAAAACAGTTGCAGCCCATAGTTATTTATTCACGGTCTTTTGGAAATCATCCGCGTGATTCTTTACTGACCCGTAATGTCCTCTGCATTCCTCCAAATCCGGAGCGGATCTGAGAAATCAAGACGTCTTCCCCGGCTGGCGCGGGGTCCTATAAATAATTGTCCATAGCTGCGAAATGAGAGTGTATATAGCGAACTAATAAAGAGCTAAATTGATACAATTAACTGCCAAATTCTAAAATCCCTCAAAAGTTCTTTATCAAAACACCATGTGTTTTTCATTGTCTATGGTGTCATTCTAATTTATACAGTGCCTGATTGTACCATAATTAGACTCTGAGTTAGGCCTCCTTGAAAGTTTTATTCGCGTTCAGGAAAGCGGCTTGTATTTGTGTAAGGGCTTAGCTTCCTTGAAATTTAATTTATTTGGTCTGAGTATCTGGGTGGTATTTACTTTGTATTTTGTGAAGATGATACTCAAAATCCCTGTTATGACATATGAAGAGTCAAGTGGGTTATCGGTTTGGGAATTTGTTTCAAAAAACCATGTGTGATTTATATATTTCATTTCATAATAATATGAAAATGTTTGGGGCAAAACTTGAAAGAATAAAATTCTTAAAAGTCAATGAGCGTTGTTTAGCGCTATTAATACATGCTCACTTTCCATCCCATATTGAATGCATGAACACTTTGTGCACTGGCGGTCTGTCAAAAGCATGGCAGGGAGGGAGTTCGTTACTCGACTAACAACCCTTATAAACAAAATGTGTAATCTGTTAGTATATTGATCTCTGTATAACATTGCTGCATTGCACTGGAACGCTGAAAAGCAAGTTTAGAATTAGACATCGAGCCAGAGCTGTAGGCAGTCCAATCTTAAGAACTCGAAAAAACCAGAGCGAGAAAGCAAGTAATCTCCATGGCTTAATGGAAAGAGTTGTATGGGTAAAAACGTTAATTGAAACAATAATCCTCATCCATCTTCCTTCTTAAAAATTATTCTTGATTGGACAATTGAGGTCAAAATTTGTCATCTTTCTTGATCTTGATTTATTAGATGTCGTGAGCGCTGGTTCGATGGTGAAGCATGACACGCTTAACTTCAAAATGACTTTGAACCATACTTTTATAAAAGGATAGTTTTTGAGTTTGAACACCGTGCTATCAACAGCTTGAGGGAAGAGATAGAAGGAACGGAGGCGATTTAATCCTTCATTAAGAGAATGTCACAACTTTGGTTAGTCCTGTGATGCAGTAAATCTGTTTACCCTCCCTTTCAATCACAGAAACATTCTCGGAGGACAGATTTGAGAGAAGCGTGGTTTGTGAACGAAAAAGCGGTAACAGAACAGCAATTTCACAAAAAGGCCATTTAAACAGCCTGTGAGGGTCCATCATTTATTTACGAAAGACAGAATGCTTCATTGACTATGAAAGTCGATAGGGCGTTATATAGTTACCAGCCCCTACACGATCTACCTGATCTTGACGTCATCTCAAGTTCTCGGCCTATCCATGTATTGGAAGAAAAAGTTAACAACTTATATCAATTTTGAATGTGTTCAGTTCTAGACCACGTAAGTAGAATGATCTCATTTGGAAGAAGAAAGTATTGCACTACAAGTGCAGTCTCCGTCGATGCCTTTGCTTCGGTTGTGTTGCTCAACAAGAGCAGAAAACGGCCAAGCAGTATAGTGCAGAATATACTACGGTTACATTTCTTTAAAGCGTGTTAGGTGATTGAATTCAACGAATGTATTTGTTTCCAGTGTCTTGTGTAACAAATTTAAGCTTGAATCAGCACTGGAACATAGAACGGATAAAAACTGCGTGGTCATGAAGAGCCACATGTACTTTTTTAAAATTAAATCTGTAGATTGAAATACAATGCTACCGGAAACGTTTGAGTATTTGAAAGGAGGATTTTAGAAAGTAATACAAATCACTTTTTCCAGAGACTTATTCTCTGCTTTGATAGCTGGACAAATACAGTTCCTGTGCTCAGATTATCCGAGGTATTGTGAGCTTCTTTATTTCGTTTCAAACATAGCATGATGACAGATTTTTCAGAAAGAACAATAACGTTTGACTAAGATGACAAAGGTATTATTCGTCATATAGATACTACGTAGCTGACTAACATATAATTTTTTTTCCTTAGTAAACACGCTTGTGTTTGATTGGGGGCTGTGCAGCAACATTCCAAGCTACTGAAGTGTGTGAATCCACGGTTAAGTGGCTTCGAGGTGGGTAACACGGCTCAGATCTAGAGGTGAAGCTGAAATAAAAATAAACTGCCTAAGTGAGAGGTACAGTTTACCACGGGCTGTAACAACAGATCTGCAACGACAGGCTGCCCTTACCTTACCTTATCTACTACAGCGACAGCCATTAACACTGATATGTCAGTGCTCAACGAATAAAATTTTTTTGTAAAAATTGCATATCGCAGCAAAATAATATAAGTTGAAAAGAAATGCAAAATAACCGCGCCACAATTTCTTTCAGGCTAAAAGAAATAACGTTGACATCAAAAGTAGGAGATGATAAATGATTATTTAACATCAAACCCTAAGCTAATTAAGCAGATCAGGGGACTGCAGATTGCGTGCGTATGAGCTAAAAAAAATTCAAGGACAAAAGCATCTGTGAGATTAAGAGAAAATATGTTGCCAAGAGAGGATACTTAATCCGTCTTAGTTGCAAAGAAAAAGAAAAGAATACCATTACAGTCAGAGTACCCAATCTTGCTGCAGGATTGTACTTGAAAATAATGATAATAAATAAATGTGCAAAATAAGATTTCAGCTCCTATTTTGCCTTCTGAATTTAGTGAAGAAGAGGTTCTGCTCCGCCAAGTGTGTCTGGCGCTGAACCGGATTATTCTGTCTCATATCAATCATCCAAAAGGGTCCATAGTGCCAGCCAACCCTTTGTCCCCCGTTTTAAAAAAAAGATACATAATACCGTGTATTTTTGTGTATAAGATGCAAACGACTTGCTCATTCGTAAGCGTTCGTCGAGGCATTAAGCTCGCGGAAACACAGCTTGAACTTTTCATGTGCTTCATGTCTCGATGAACGCACAGCCGACACATTATGCAATTATTAAGATCATTTTCAATGCGGTAGAGTAAACATTTACAACGCTTTCCAAACAATTTTGTGTTTTCCAAAATAGAGTTTTCCGCTAAAAATGGCTTAAGGAGTAAATTTAGTGTCAATTCTGCAAAAATATGTCGAGTTACAACAACTTTTTTTCTATAGACCCAAACGAAGGGTTACTTCAAAGAAGCACTACCTAGGCAGAAAGCACGGTCGGTGGAAAAGTTCCTCTGATATAATTAAACTTCTGATACAACCGTACTTGTCATCAGCCTACACAAGGGAATGTGAAGGACGCTCACGCCTCTGAATTTGAAGAACGGATCTAATAGCTATGTTACAATTCAGCTTTTAGTTGGTAGTTTAAAATAACGAAACCAAAACCAAAAATAACTGAAATCCTCGTGCCCTGGACTTATTTAGATCTAATATTAACGTCAGTAAGCCAGTTTTTGATCATTTGTCTCGCCAGGGCGGAATCTTTACCGCGCTGAGAATCAAAGCTGTCCGCTAGCTCTAGATTTTGACGACAAAGTTTTGCGTTCCATTCCAGAGGTCTTTGCGCAAAAGAGTCGATGGGATGGGGACCGCGGCTCTTATAAATATGAGGGTTACTAATCGACGTGACATATGTCGTGACAGAATCCCAAAGGCGTGACATTGGAGAATTGAGACCCAAGAGACCCTCAACATTGTTTCTTACTTCCTTTTCCCCTTCTACGTCATTTTTGATGCATTCTTCGTCATTAGAGTCTGTCGACCAACTATACAGAGCCGGATTACCCGTAACAGGGAAAGTATCAACGGAGATGGTCACAGGGAAACGGTTTTTAACTCTTATTTCACGCGCCTCACTGAGCGGGGAACCAGGGCAATCAACTCTGAACTTTCGTTGTCGAAATGTAGGCATAGCATCGTGGTCCTTGTTCTTAGGAGTAGATGGTGGAAATGGCAGCTTTATCCTTGGAATTAGTTGCTTTTGTTTATACTGAAATTCCTTAATCTTACTTTGATTTTGCACCTGTCTTTGATCAGAATGTTCCATTTGTTTTGAGCTTACCGCTTGACTGGTCTGCGATTCCAGATCTTCTACTACTTGAGGAAAATGACCTTCAAAGCAACGATTTTCTTTCATGTTGGTTTCTTTTCCCTTTAAGGCATAATGTATTTCGGAAATTTCTTGCTTCTCGCAAATCCATTTGTCAGAAAATCCATTTGATCCAGCTGGTGTTCTTTTCACTGTAAGTAAAAAAATTTAGATTCAACGGGGTTATAACGACTAACGAGGTCGTTCTATCTACAAGTTTGAGGTTACCTGAAAATTGGTGTCCACGTTGGGTTCCTTTCTTCGACGACGTACACAGCTTGCCCATTGTTTTACCACTGAGCTTAAATAAAACAACTGGAGTCTTATGGTGGCTTAAGGATTCCAACTAATTTCGGAGTAATTAAGATAAAAGGTTGTTTCAAGTTGACCTGTGACGCGAGTCAGCGCTTTGCACCGAGTTCAAGATCGTTTCAGACAGTCGCACCAGAAGTGTCAGTCATGAAAAACGCATCACTGTTCATCTCAAGCCTTTCTGTTAATAGGTCAACCCAACTGGAACATTGCTGTAATCGGTGATAGTGAGATCGAGAGAAACTGTTGCATTTTAATATTAGCCGTAAGTTGATGACGGTACAGATCACTAATGCTTGAGATTTGACTGTTTAAGGTTTGACAAAATTATACGTTGAAGTGTACAATTCATTACGTTTTGAGGTAAAAAATTGACATAATGCAAACAAGTCAACCGACAGTTGGGTATAATTAGCATTTTATTAACTTGCACGCCAGTTTCGCGTTTCAATACCGCACCTACTTCCATTGTAGAGCGTTTCAGCGAATGAAATAACTGGATGTAAAGGCACATTTCCATGACAACAAACAGACTGTCATTATTTATGCATGGTGTTACAGTAAGTTCCAGAATAGCAGCAGTTTAAATCGGTTTCCAAAGTGTTATTCTTTATTAGGCACTTAACTTGGAACAAATTTTAATTTCTGTGTGGTTCAATCATGACGGCAAATAGCAAATAAACGATGTAAACAAGATAATCATTGTGTAACTAGGTCATCGGTGTACCCCGAATGATTAGTTTGCGTCACAACGGTTTTTACAAACGGAGATGCCTGAAGAAAGCGCCACAACCCGAAGAAAGCGCCACAATTATCGCTTCTAAGCTCGCTTCAGTAAAGATTACTTAGCGACCTAATGATAACAAATGCAGATGCTATACGAATATGTAAACAGTTTCATGCTTCTGTATTATGACGCTCATCAACCTAACGAACTTTTTTGAACACTTGTCGACAATTTTCTATTTTTCTTTTTTTTTTTTTTTGGCATAATTTTATCTCTATCATTATTGTTATTCTTAATCAAAAGGTAATTTCGCACAGTTCAAAAATTACCAACTTTGGAGTTTACATGAATCAAGAAAATAATCTCTTGCATGAAAATAATACCTTCCAATTTACTGATTGATTGTTAAGATTGATTGTGAAGAGCTCCTCTGAAATGAGGATCAGACAAGAAAATGATTATTGCGTATGTATTCACTTTTCACTTTGCTCATGTTTGGAAACCTATTTTTAGAGCAAACCTTTTTTTTAAGGTTCAAGATGGTTTTAATCGTGGCAGCTCAAGCTTTACATAAACAGTCTGATAAAGACTGCTTTAATGATCAAAGTTTTAAGCTAAACTTTAAGGTAATGGCTTTGGCCCGTTTTTTCAGAAGAGAGCAGGATTTAAGAGAGCTTGGCTTTCGTTATAAGTAGAAAAAGGGACGCAAAAACAAATCAAATGCAAAGAGGCTTATTGTCGTCGTGATGAAAGAACAAATATTTTAGAAAAAAAATTGACAACGAACTTTTAATGAACCACACGTCTGGTACCCAATGAGTTCTTGTTTTATTGGCGTAAAACTAATTTAAATATTTGACTCAAAGACTTAGTCTGGTTCATGACATAATAATTAGTGTAAAGGGCCTCGCAATTTATCAGTGACACCATCAAATGTCATCTGCTCTAGGTCTCGTCTCATCGGATTTTCTTCACTGTCACACCTCAGCGCTCTGGCCGCCTGACAGATGCTTTTCTTGTAACGAAACACCTGAACACAGACATAAACATGCTATTAAACACAACTAATTGCACTAGTGGAGTCATAAAGTCAAAGAAATAATTAAAAGTCAAATGCCGCTCATAAATTGTTTCAAATCAGCCTAAACTACTGAAACTTTTAGATCGGCTGAGATGACGAGAAAATCTAAATGCTAATTAATATTTGAACTATTTCGCCATTTTTTTCATTCTTTTTTTTTTATGCATTTTACTCCAACAACAGCATTACACGTAAGTGAAAGTAGGTGACTAAAAATCCGTTTCAGAGAAATAAACCTCCTAATCATTCAAAAAGACTTCCAACATTTAAACACATTTTAAAGGCAAGTTTCTAATATGGTTTCTTTTACCAATTTCTTGTAATTTATAATTTCGAAGGTTGTTTAAATCGCTTAGCATTTATCTCCTTCATTTATTTTTTCTTTTTGACCTGGACAGACACCGAGATGTTCTCCATCCTACACTTTGGCACGTTTTACGAATCTTTTTATAATGATAATGTCCTAAGTTTCCAATGTATTCTCGTTGCAAAAGATTGTTTCCCCATCATAATACAGAAATTAAACACCAAAAAGTTATCAAAACAATACCAAGTTCAGTTTTTAAAGACCTCAGCCCGTGATAACTTTCAACTGAAGATTTTCACAGTCAAACATGCGGATCTTAATTCCTACTATAGGTATGGCTAAGAAACTTGACTCCTTAATTTCTTTTCATTTTTATTAAAGTAAATTTATTACTTTTACCTGTGATCTCTTTCCGGGGGGTAATGGAGCAGCAGCTTCAGTATCTCGAGGGCAAGTCAACAGCATTACTGAAACAGCGATGTAAACGCAAACCAAAACGAGTGATAGTCTATACATTACTGCGAAAAATGAACGGACGAACGGACTGACGAAGTCGGATGAACCCTGAGAGCGTGCCTCAATGAATGAAATATAACATAAAACACGACATAATTTATAACTATGGCTATTAATTTTTTATAACCGCCTGATGGTCTGCTCAGCTTCTCTTTAATTAAGTAATGTGACAGGTATGTCTTTCTAATGAAAAACAATCTTCAATTTTTTTGATGGTTGTTTAGGCAGCATGTTCCGCAGGCTAATGCGTTTTGCTAAATAATTAATAACGAAATGTCTTTTTTCAACTCTAAACTTTGAAAATGATCGTAATGATTAACAATAATAGCTATACGTATGTGGTGCGGAAGAGTAACAGGGAGATTTTCCAAAGGACAAAAAGTCGAAAAAAGATTAGAAAAATGATCGTGTCAATCCTTGTTAAACATTGCTGTAAACAAAACATATACACATCGCATATTTACAAATCAACTGTACCAATATTGAGCACACGAAAACTCGAGGGTTAAAAATACCGAGGATAGAATTCAACATGCCAAATAAAAGACTTTTTAAATATCTACTGTATGAGGAGAAATTCCGTTATGGAAGAGATAGCCGCAAGAATATTTTTAAAAATATTTCGTGCAGTTTTCTTAATTTGATGATATTACAATCAGCGGCGGTTCTATGGTGACAATATCCTCCCGGTGTAGAGTTCCTCTTGGATCCTAAGCGTCGGTGATTATTTTCAGTCAAGTAAGTAGTGTTGAATCTACACCCTTCGACGAGGTCATGGCTCGAAATGTTTGTTAATTTTCTTTTCTTTTTTCGTTTTCATTTTTTATTGGCTAGATAATTCGCAGTTTAGTAAAATTCAACTAGTTATTTAGGAATCAAGGTTTTTTTTTTCCGGTAAGTCCACTCATCTATAAATGATTACCATGGCTTGGTTAATCTCACAAAAATTAAGATTAAAATTTAAAAAAAAAGCAATGGCATATGACATCATCGTATGAGTTCCTAACAGGTGAAAGGACAGTTTGAACGCAAAGAGACTTCCTTCGCGTTACTCTTTTCTTCGCTTTCAGTCATGAAGGACAATAAAAAAACACAAGGATTCTCGCTAAAATTTGCCTAGCTCCCAAACTGCGGCTTAGTAGCTCGGTCGGTAGTAGCGCTCAACTAGTGTCTGGGGGGCACAGGTTTGAAACCCGTCGAAGCCTTAAATATTTCTTATTCAGGCTTCTTTCCTGTACTGGCTAAAATTGCAGCTCACCTGCTACAATTTTTTTTCAGAAAAGGGACATTTGCCTCTAGTAGTAGTAGTGGGAAAGGGCTTTGTGAAGTTTTATTCCACTGGTTAGAATGAGTCGATTTCTTGGATGGCGAAAGATATCTGTGGATGCAAAAACTCTCTTGGACTTTCGTCATTATAAAGTTTTTATTTTTTTAGGAAATACAATAAACCATCATTTGAGCTAGCCTAACATGTAAGTGAAAAGTAATAATGATAAAGTACTGCGATAAGGTGTTTCAAAAGCGTTGTTTCTGCGAGTTTAATTACAACAGCGCTATGGCAAGTTAACAATCAATAATACTTCAAAATTAGCGTGGATTATGCAGAATGGCGCCATTACAATAAAAAAGTCAAACGTAAAATGATAACATTTGGGCCAAATTCAAACAGAATAGACAACTTAAAACTAAAATTGCTTTTCCACTTCCTTTGATGTCCTTGACAGTTTTTAACTGACTTCAAGAGCATTTGATGGGTGATTTAACCCTGAGTGTAAAATTTTGAACAGAATCATGGTTCCTGATAGACCCTTTTTTGTTTTGTAAGTGTAAATGACGCGACATTGATATGTTCTAAAACTGCTTAGTCTGTTAAAGCGTCTTGAGACAGGTACCAACGTAAACGATATTAGGTCAATAAAGTCAAGACAAATTCTGGCTCTATCACTTTTACGTACACTGGCAGACCCTGCCATTGATCGACGAGGTAAAAACACGATCTGTCACTTGAGTCAGTAAAGAAGGAGTTCCAAAAGAAGCAGAAACGGTAACATTATTGATAACAACAGCTATTCCAGTAAAATATTTAGATTGTTTCACCGCAAGGCAATACTCTATTAAAAATTAGAATTTGAATTTATTGTCATGTCGTTTTTTTTTTTTTTTTTTTATAGGAGACGTGGAAAGCTGAAAGGAGACTTGGAAAGTTGGAAAGGAGAGGTGAACAGGCTGATAGAAGTAAAAAGACTTCATGACTTCATCGTCCATCGCTTCAGTCAGAAGAGTAATGCCCCTTGAAAATCCATTGAATCATCATAAGAAAGAACCAAACAGTTTCAATCACTTTTTGAAATTAGTTCTGCGGTGGAAGAGCAGTAATGTGAGCCGGCATTTAACCGGGCACGCATTTCTGATCTTCCAGCTTTTGCCGCTACTGAAATACTTTCAAGTTGATATTGATAACACTGTAAACAGTTTTTCAGTAAAAAAAATAATAAACTGATTGTTTTCTATTTAGCTCTTAAATGTATTTTGTTTAACCGCAGGAAGGAACATGATTGCTTCACTTCATAGGGTTGCTTTTAGATTGAAAAAAAAAAAACGAAACAAAACAAAATTGCCAAAGAAGTTTTGTGAAGAAATATACCAGACAGAAGAAGGATGACTCGATTACATTGAGATTTTGTATATTCATTTATTTCATGAGCCCCGGCGAAAGAAATGGGCGAATAAAAGTGAGTTTCATTTTTTGGTAGGAATATTCTGCTATGGCTGTTTTTATCCGTTCTCTTTAAAACGGGCCGATTTTCCGTTGCACTGTTCGGAACACGCACGCCGCCGATCAGCGTTGCATTACGACATGAGTCAGCGATATAGCAACTAACAGTAGCATGATATCACAGGCCAATACAGTTTTAAGCGAGACCAGTATCTTTCCCTTCAAGAGAAATCCGCATTAAATTGTCTCTCGTCTGAGCGACTCCAACTAACTCATAACCATAAAAAAAACCTATAAAATCTCTCTTAGGATAATTTTCTTTTTTTTTTTTATCTCATAAAAATGTTAGGTTATCCTGAGTATTGATTATCGTTAGCGTTTCTGAAATTTAAAAATGAATGAAAAAGAAATTGGAAGACCAATGAAAGCGGCTAATATTGATAAAGTGAATACACGTGAATGCCAATTAACATCAAATCGCATAGCAAATTTTCTGTTTTCAGCTGTTGGCCCAACACAATCATAGAAGAGGCTGAGTAATCCTTATCAACATTTTTTTTTCCTTCTTTTTTTTGAAGGAAAATGTTAATTTTAGTAATCGCTTCCGTTTCATTTTGATTGTAGACATATTGAAATTGAAATGTTGTTAATAATTGATAATCGCTGTCAGAAACGTATGGAAATTTAACCGAAAGTCTATCTATGACTTCCCGTACACCTATTGATTTAAATACAAAATGCGTCAAAGGTTCAATCTTTTGACGTATTGTTTACAAAATGGGCAAAATTACGGTAAAAGCATCGGACATTTAACCATATAGCAAATGCGTGGACAAATAGGGAATCGCGGACAGAAATCTGTATTTCCGTTGATAATCACCCTGCAAAAGAGATCGGAAAACATATTTAAGTTGTTCTGCTCAATGGATCCGTTTCGGCTTTGATTCCATTTTTTAAATCTAGCCAATCGGAGGACAGAGCATGACAGTTTATAGCTGGAATACAATTTACGAGTTTGGCCAGCATGCGCACATACGTAACACTACAAAAATACTGTTGTTTCTGAATATATTACACACCGCCAGCGATGTGAAGCGCAAGCCATCTTAATATTGTAATATTCACCCGTGTCAATGCCATTCGCTCAGCCTTAATCAGATGCTCTCTTCACTAAACCTGTTAAGTTAATATTTACAATTGAAGTGCCGAAATATTTTCGAGAAATGAACGACAATGGAGACAGAAAACGAGTTGCCTTTGTCTCCTCCGGTAATTATCACTCCAGATATGTCGAGCTATCCGACGAAATTTCGCGAAAAGAAGATACAATCAAGGACTTCATTGGCAACTGATAGATTTTCTTGCATTTCGTTTCTAACAACGAGCCAAAGAAGTGATCATACTGTATGGATACCAAGATGGCGGAGTCTTCCATGCGACCTCGAAAAAGAAATCTGGTACGATGATTGCCCAGAGTTTTTAAAAGCCTGGTCGAGATATCGAATCACTAATATGGCTCGCCGGTACAAAACAATGGATTATATTCACATGGTTCTCGCTGATACAAGCGCAGATCTTTATTCCGAATTGGACGGTTGCTGTGATCTATCAACTGCAGTCGGTATATCAGTAAGTAGGGATTTATTGAACTGTTCTGCGGATTTTTCGGAAAATGGATCTGGAATTGTCCCACGAAGTGCATCAGATGAAAATATACAATATTGTGACCGCGAAGGGGACAGGCAGTGGCATCTGACTCAGATGAATTTGAATTATGCCCTCGCTTCATCGCGAACGTGTTCGACTGAAGAACTCAACAAGGACCAGAGGAATATTCATAGAATTGAAAAATGGCTTAAAAGATGTAACAGTGGTACGAATTGACAGATAATAGTTTTAAAGAGTATGTGGTAAACCAAAGAACTACGATGAAAGCTTTGGGTATGTTGGTGTAAGTGCCAACAGCTGTTTCTTTTTTTTTTCTCTTATATGGAAATTTTCTCTGCTCGCGATATAAAATCCGCTTTTGTGGCGACACTTTATTGTCCTGTTAAAGTACATTAAGAACTACCTTAGATGATTAAATGACCCGTTTTGAGGCATACTTTGCGTGAATGAAATTTTGCTTTTCCGACCGAAGCGTGTAATGTTTATCTGACACACAATTACGTTAGTATTGTGATTTTTGCCGTTAGAACATGTGTACCTAAATGTACGAAAATGTTTCTCTTTTCCGGAAAAAGTTTTTGCATTTTTTCCCCACACGTTCATTAAATGTCATATCCTACCTTTAAACTGATTGGCATTGATTTACAAGTAACTATAATCACGAAACAAGTTCCTGTATGATTTGGTTTAAGCGTTCTGTGATCTTTTGTTGATTATTAGAAATCATGTTTGCCCTGAAATTTGCATGCGATTTCACGCCAGCTTTCCTGTGCAGAAAGGAAAAAGGCCTGGTCAAACAAACTCATCGAATTGCGTCTTTCACAAATTAACTTGCAGAGCAAAATTGACGTTTGTGGCTGAGGAAGACACGGATTTAGAGATGATCAGATAAGATGAATTTTTACTGAGTCTACGCAATTCAGCTGTGGTATATTTACTACATCAGTTGCTTTATTACTTGTCGAGTTGAATGCGATGAACAATTGAAATCGTCCATCACTTTGAGCCAAAGCTTACTAAAAGAGGTATGAAAAGAGTCTTTCGCTCACACAGAATGTTACAACTTCCTTTCCACTCACAAAGTGAATCAAAACAATGAACAAAAAAGTCATTGTGAAAGCTGCAGGGAAGTCCATTTGTTTATTGCTTACATACGTGGGAAGTTACTTTTTTAACTAAAAAAAGTTATAATTCAAAACATCTCTCCTGTGAGGCTCTTCAAATGGCAACATTACAATGTTTTTCAGCTGTTCATGAATCCTACTGTTTCATGCAAATCTCGATAAGCAGTGGAAGGGCTTTTCGTTGTATACAACCGCGATTTATGAAGCAACTTAAGCGTTGTAATAATTATCATTCAAACGCCATATGTCGTAGAAAATATTAGGATAGGAATATGAGACCCGTAAACTTGCAACGAAACAAAGTTCTTTCTAATAGATCTTTTTTTTCAGCCAAATATTTCATCCTTAACTGATTAACCGTGAGGTCAACATCACGGATGGATATTGGCCTAGTAAGGTTTTGTGGTGAATATTGGACCGGGTAAAATATGCCATAGATGATCGTTAATCTGGGTTGTGCGTTCTTAATTTATCCATTTGTCGGTAACATCTATAGATAAGTATCCAATTAACTGAGGCATAAGAATAGTTTCCGATTCTATCAGGAGCTTAATCCTTGGTATATATCGCAAATTGAATCACAGAATTATTTAATTTGATGAAAGAAACCATATATTTCATAGAAATAAAAACTAGGATGTCGTAATCAAGAATTGCACTTGTCCAATTGAGCTTAACGATGCTGCCTCACGATATTGCCCCTAACTACTGGTTCAGGTCCTAAACGCTCAGATGTGGGATTTGAAGAAGTCGTTTCAAGCAAAGATACTAACAGCCAGGACCCAAGTTATCCAATTCTGCTTGCGTGGCTGGCAATTACGCTTTAAAGTAATCAATAAATCCACCAACTGCGCAAGTTAATCCAATACGGCGACCGCAGTTATATCACGGGAGGTAACGCTGTCTTCAAAGACAAAGGGTTGAGAACTTCAAGCCACTGCAGAGGGTAGTAAAGAGAGGAATGGGGGAGCCTGATCCCGTTTCATGTACAAATTTTTTAGACAATTCACGCGTCATGTATGTAAAAGGAAAACGTTGCGAAATATTTCTCCTTCTTAAGGAACGAAAGAAAAATTCACGGGTCACGTATAGGGGATAACTTATTACGCCCCACGCTGGTTCATAGAATAACCTTTCCGTGAAGTTCACGCGTCACGTATAAACTATTTGTCACGCTCAATGCAAGTCTTTAAATCACGACCATTATGGCGGTCTTAAATTGTTATATAAATACACAATACCCGGACTATAACGAACTTGGCAAGATTACCAAATACAGTGCGTTAATCTAGTTGTTGGTTTGAATTTCCTTTGCAGCTTCAAGGTATAGAAGCAATATTTATTCTCACAATTTTAGAGATTGTCCTATTTGGAGCTTTGACACTTCACCCTTTAAGACACGAGCCTAGATCTCTGCAACTAAAAGATGACTTCATAGGATGCAATTCCATGACGGTGTTCTTAGATAAAACTTCAACTTCCGAGTTACAAGAACTTCCTTGTTTAAACCTATCCCAGATGCGTAGAGAGCGCAGTAAAAGCGAAATAATTTTATATAATTAGTATCATTGTTATTTCGGAGCAAAATGAGGAAGTCTTTGAAAGCTTTATAAACAGGAAGACCTATGTACTTATCTTTCATGATCACTTTTTGTAAATTTTATTTTCCCAGTAATGGTTAAGCATTTAATCAAGTAATGCCTGGATCTGTTGTGATTAACTGAGTGATGATCTCAAATAACCGATTGGATTTTTTTTCTTCTAAATGAAAAAGGAACCCATTCCCAGACAGTTTTTTGAACTTTAGTTTTTTTTAGCAGTCAATTTGGGTTGAAGGCAACAGTAACCAAGTTTATATAAACAGCAAAATAATATAATGTCTCCAACCTCTTTTACCGACGCGCGCGCATAAACATTTGGCCACAGACAGGGAATCACCCAGTCAGCTGCTTCGTCAGCTTATGAATTTGATCAGGTTCTACTTCAGGAGTACAGCAAAAATTAAAAAGGCTTGAGCAGAAAATTCTGTATCATACCTAGTTGAATTCGAAGCTGTGCTAAGCTCTCAAGCAAGCAATCAAGAGGACCCGGTGATTTCTTATGTCTGGGAAAAGACAGAGTCGTCTCGTTTTCCTGCCGTTTTTAGCCACACTCTCCTTATTTCTAGCCTCCATCGCGGCTGTTCTTTGGGACGTTTTGCAACGCTCGCCCGAACAGACCTCTGGGACATGCCAAGAGCTATGAAGGAGGCTCGCTTCAATCGCAAGCGTCATGTCTCCCGCGCCCACTTTTTCGCCCCTTTCAACTCACTGAGAGCCTAGTACAGGCCAGTCGAATTCTCGCCTCATAAATCTAATGTTAATTAATCAAACTGACAAACAAACGGAACCTCGTGCTTCCTCGTCTCGCTTTCTTAGAGTAATTCTTAAGTTGTGCCTTAGGACGAACTTGAGATGGCTGAGCGGTAACACCGAGGAATTCGCATCATGAATGCTGCTTGCCTTATGAATGAAAATGCAGAACTCTGATCGAAGACAAATGCAGAATGAATTCGCAGCATAGAAAAGTCGGCTTAAGAACAGGAAATAACGGATGAATCTTGCGAGAAAATTGTTTCGTTTAGTCAACTAACTATCCACATTCCTCTCTTCAACCGCAGTTCACATATATATATATATATATATATATATGATTTTCATATATTTGCAGCCACTTATTAACTATGGAGGTTTGCAAAAAAAGCGGGAATAAGCGCCCGTCGAAAGTACTTCACATAAAGGGTGCAGAAATTCGTAACACATGGACCCCCCCCCTCCCTCCTCCCTTCCTCTCTTTGAAAATGCACCATTGACTGTTACTGTTATAAAGCTGCAATTTTAATTATCAGCTCCCAAGAAATAGGACTTCAGAGACCGAAGATGTTTGAGCTTTAGCCATGACCTACAACTGAATAAATGGCGAAAAAGGAAAGGCAATGAAGGATTTTGCCTCTTAGCTAAACTTTTTTTTTTTTTTCAATTTACCTCTAAAAATATGCTACTAGTGGAGTTTACCTTTCAACTATTTGGTTAAGCTAGAAAGGATCCTCTCTTGGTTTAAGTTAGTTTAAATAGTACGTTCTTATGTTTACATCTAAGACTGAATACATCTTTGTTTCCTCTTCTTGACGAGTTCTGCAAATTCACAGTTTTTCTCGAATCTCTTTGTTTGGCACACTGTAAGAGAAAAAAGGAAAAGTATGTCTTAGGAATGTAATGCTCATGACAATGATTTCATGTCATGTCCCCTGAATTTTTTATTATGTGCAACACAAAACTGGTGCTAAAAAGTAACTCATTTAAATAACAGACAAGCTTTCTGCGGGCCTGTTTCTTGTTAGTTACAGTTTGTATGTTTGATTTATATGCGTCAATCAATTTCAACCTAAAGGTATTGGCTGTCGGTGCTCAAGAGAAATAGACTTATTTAGAAATTGAGATATTTACGCTACAAAATTATCGCCTGAAGCTGCAAACGGGAAAGTTGGCAAATGTATCTAAACTATATAATGTACAATTCAATTTAGGCATGTTAAAGACATTATAAACTGTTCATAATCTCTTGCCATGTTTCATGCTGTTACCATTTAATTATCTTGTGTTATTGTCTTTTCGTAAGTTGGTTTTTGTTTGTTATTATTGTTGCTGGTGCAGTCGGACAGAGAACTGGTCTATCTACCTGCCTATCCACTGGTCTATCTACTATTGGTGTTAAGTCAAAACAATCAAGTGCTAAGCTTACCTGTTTCTATTTTTTTGCATGGCAAGTTTGCTCTCAATTCTGAGCCACTTTCTCACTTTGCGCATTGTCTCTCCGCTCCAGGCTTCTATCAAGCTAGTGGACGACAGGAGCAGTTTTTTTCTGAGAGCATCCTCGTGTCCACTGATAAGGAATGCCCGCCCTGCCCTAAGAGAGGGGCACGTCGAATTGGTATAACTCCAGATCTCCACACGCCCTTTGTGGATTGGAACATAACCTTGTTTATAAACTTTGGCGGCTTTCCCATGGAATATCGTCTCTTGGTTTTCACGTTTTTCAATCAAAATTACCTTGAATTTCATGGCTGAAAGATTACAACAGAGATCATTGATGTGGAAGCCTGTGAACCTTTAATTTATATAAGATAATTTTAAGATCAGAGTTTTCAAGAGAGTCCAACAGCTTTAAAAATCTACTTCACGGCTATTCCCTACAATTGCACTGGGATCGCTATTGCCGATGAAGTTAACCGTGATAAGTACACATATGTTACAATGGCGGCTTTTTCTTCATCATTGAAATCCGCTGGAAGGGTGAATTGTCATTTTCAGTCGAAAAAGCTGAATTAGATCTTGTTTTTCTATATTTAACAGGGAAAACTAATCGTGGTATTTAGCTGTTTTAGTCACCTAACCTGAAGGTTTCGTTTTGCTTGATAAAAAAAAACACTTTTTTTCAGTTTCAAGCATATGTATATTCTTACCATAATCATACTGGCCGCTGGCATAAAACCTGTAATCAGCTGGAGGTCTACTCTCGCACGGAGCGACATTAACGATCTCTGAAATTGGATAAAAAAAACCGGATGTCTTAAAAATTGATGTAAAAACAAAAAAAGTTGTTAGTTAGTATGTACACTGTTGCTTTGATCCACCCACAACAAACGACATCCGCCCTGCCGATCATCCGTTCATAGTTCTTGCGGTTTTCTCCGTGTGTGAAGCTTGATTTTTATTTTTAAGCGAGCTTCAAGGGTATCATGCACGGATGACAGTGTTCCTTTGACTTTTTCCAACGTCACATAAGCTTTGACTCGTGTATGTCCTGTCACGGATATCGTCTTTCCGAGGGTCTGTGATGTGACATATCGGCAATTGCACGAATCATATCTTAAAAGAAACAGCCTAATAATCGAATAAATGCATTCAGGTTTTGGGATAATGATTTAAACGACGTCTGAAGTAACGTGCCGTTTTAGAAAATCCGCGGACCTCAGGTTTTCAGTTTTATGGGTGATAAGTTCAAGGATAATTTTTTTCCTTCTTGTTTTCAGGTGTTAGGTATAAGCCTTCCTGACACTGTCTACAAAATTGACGTTTATATAAAACGTTTGGCCAAATCGAAAATGCCTTAACTTTACCTTAACCCTAAAACACTGTTTTTTGGTCTGTTCGAGTTTGTGTTTTTTGTCATGCTTTGTTTGTTTTATTCGCTTTGTTATAATTGACCCTATTTGATCCCCACATGATCATTGCGTGAAAAGAAGTAAGCGACAATGAGGTCATAATGGCCGCCGTCTCTATCAATGATATCTTAATAATCATCTGTGGTTATTGTATCTATCTTACACAACACTATCAATCACTGACAAATGAAAAATTTTATCGGGAGAATGCTGAAAAATTGACACTTTCAGAAGAGTTCCGACAACATATGAACGTAAATCCAAAACAAACATTCCGGATGAGCCGGATAAGAAATTCGCAAGGTGGGCTGTACATTCAGGAAATTATTTCAGCGTATTCATTCATTAAGTACCACCAATCAATTTGCCAACATCCGTGGGATAAATCTTGTAATGAAGTGGGTGTCTCAGGCCTCTTAATGAGCAGACGCACACATTGAAATCTCCTGTTTTAAATTTCAAAGATACTTGCTGAAGGATCTCATCTTATCGTATCTGATAGCGCTTATCTCAGTAATGGAAATTAAAACATTTGTCTCTGAGATTTTCAATGGAGTTTTGAGTCAGATTTTCGACGTGATCTTTTGAAGTTGTTCTCGCGAGAGAATGATCGAGAGAAACTTTGTTTTCTTTACGAATAATAAATGAAGAAGAGTTTAATTTTCCAAAAATTAGAAACGATGAATCATTTCAATCCCAGTGTAAGATGTACGAGAGCTATTGCTTTTGTTCACTGATTCCAAATAAACACTCGAGCTTCAGGAGAAAGAATGGTAGCACACTTTGACTCTATGAAATAGTGGTATCGCTCACCGCTGTGTTGTTTACACCCACTCTTCACCCGTTAACCGACTTCACACAAAATGTCTTCACGATCATGAAAACCAACGAAAATAACTTTTAGTTCAAATTTTCCTGCTAAGTGCCATGAAAATTGTCTTATCATCGTTAACTTAGTGTTAATTTCCCTAAAAATTACGACAAATAGGTCTTGAAAATGATGATAGTCGATTCTTCGGCAAAAATTCACTCTCGGCCACGTCGCTAGTACACACCAGTAACTTCGCATTTCTTCATTATTTCAGGAAGCTGTCTTGTTGAAAATATCTGTCTTACGATCAGCAGCCATCGCAAGCAGCCTCTGTAAGACAGCTTTTAAGATCTTGAAGTGCTTTATCACAACTCTTCGACCTGTTTTCTTGCGGAGAAATGGAGAGAGCATCATTTAAGTCTACCTAGCGGGTAACTTGCGCGCTAATGCTCTTCAACGTAATTAGTTATCTCTGATATCAAAGCCACAAATTGGCCCTTACTGAAAGGCATTGTGATCAGTACATAAACCGCGCTTGAAATACAAAACGAATCTCATAATCACTTACTTGTTGGTTTTGGCTCAGCAATAAAAGATTCCGGCTGAATACACACACTATCTTTGAACTGAGGTAGTTCTTCGCATTTCACAAAGCTCGGCCAGTACTGTATTACGGCTGAACAGTCCGCCTTGATTCGCTCGCACAAGGAACGGCAGGGCCTTATTACGTTCTCTTCTTCGATTCCTGGCAAGCATATCGGCAGATAGAAGGAGCAAAGGAAAAACTCGGCGTGTTTGGAGCAGTTCGCTTGCTTCACCAGAGGGCTAAATAGCTGAATGGCTCTGTTGGCTATAAATTCGCTTTGATGACCAAATATGTTTGGAAAACGCGTTAAGTTGTACGGGAGTACACGGCTGCATAATGGATTAGTAATTTTGCCGCACTTCGGCTCAAAACTGAACCGAAATCCGTCGGCTGCGAAGAGGCCCACTGCGAGTAGACCCAAAAGCCGTACAGAATACATGAAAAAATTTTTTTCGTGGACGAGAGATGAAAATTCACGACTTAAAAAACTATGCACTTCCCTAAATTGTTTGATTGCTTTTATATGCGCTCGCCTTCGTAAAGTATGTGAAGTACGCCTTAGTTCTAACATTAATCCGGATAATCAACGGTGTGTTTTTCAACTAGCTAGACAGCCTTACTCTTAACCTTTGCACCACACGGAGATGAGGATTATGTAATGAAAAATGTCGGTTTCTGTGCGTTATCTGAGCTCGATCAAAAGATTGGTCCAAACTTTCCCAAACACTCAAAAGGAAGAAATCAGACAATGGTTTTCTTTATGTCGTGTTCACGATGGCGGGGAAGGATTAACACGCAGTCTGTACAACATACACGATATTCTAACATTGTACGTGATGATCATTCAACAGGGATCTAAGATCTATTACAATCAGTATCGAAGTACCTGGTAGATCAGGCTTGTAAACAACTGTTTAGTCTTGACAGATGACTTGTAAAACATAATCGTGAACATGACTGAGATTCCTTCGACATTCGCTAACCAGCTGCTGCATGACATTTTTTCAAAATTCTTGCCTCTAACCGAGTTCTTACCGAACTTTCGCCCAAAGGCAAAGTGTTCCCTTGATGGTATAAAGGTGACCGATTCTTAAAGCATTTGATCGCCTTATAACGGTCACTTTGCTTGAAAAGGGATTATCAGAAACAAAATGCCATGGACTTTAGTATAGTTTCCTGGCCGCGTTCTCGAAGATTATGTCTTCGTGCGAGTATCTCCCGGACCTAATCCGGGTGGAGAAAAATCAAAGCTATTTGACTGTGTATCTCAAAGATAGACAGAAAAACCAAGCCAAGCTTCGAAAAAACCCACCGAGAATTCGATAAAATTAAGAAGAAAGCTATCAAAAGATCAAAACATGTTGTTATAGGAAATACAGTACTCGGCAAGTACGTGCCAAAGTCCCCAAACAATATAACCTAATTTGGGCCTAACATGGAAGCATGAGTTATACATATTATATTCTTTTCGTTCCAGAAAGACGATGTTCACCGTGATTGTCCCCGAGATAAGTGACGCAGATGAAAAAGGAATTATTTTCCACATTCTCCGTTAAGTTTCGACCATGCATCGAATTTTTTTCCTAGATTCTTGGTATTTTAAACATGCGTTAATTGGCTTCTTGAAGTACGTCAAGTCATTGCTTGATTTATGAAGACGTGTCTCGTTCTGCATAACTTGCGAGTAAAATTGGTTAATTATGTTTTGCGTTATTGAGGTCCGCGAATTTAAGGAGATTGCAAAGCACACCACTTCATAACGGAACTGGTTGTTGCAGAAGTTGTGAAGTATTTGTTCAGCAAAACTCACTCTATCCTCTACTGAAAATTCGAGCAATTTTTCAACCTCACGTAAAACTAGGAATTTGCTTTATTTCGGCACCCTGAACACAGACGGTTTTGTTTCATTTTAGCCCAGGGCGGGACATCAGTTACGTAAACAAAATCATAAGCTATAGCCTGCGGTAAATATTTGGTATTTCGAGATTCCCTCCAAGGAGAATTTGGAACAACATTTAAAAATAAAAAGCTCCCGTTTCAGAGTTTTTAGACGATGTGGAACCTATAACGTTTCAATTAACTTGAATTGAAAATTTCTAGATCGCCGCTCGTTAACGAACTCAATCAAACACTAATCAAAAAGTTACGGCGAAGCTGTTGTTGGTTAACTGAAAGGACGATATCTGGGCCAAGACGACGTGAGAGGTTAGACATAAGGAATTGACAACAGGCATAAAGTTGTATCATCGCCGGGCAGGTTCTGTTTTAACGGGAATTTGACTGAAAGACGGCCGCTTTCTAAGCATAAAGATGGCAATGTCGAAAATGATAGTCTCATGTTTGACTTAACGGAATATTTTGCAATCTTATCGTCTAATTTTTCACTTTGAAATTGCAAGAGACATTTTAAAAAGACAAAAAAGGGCTAAGTTAACAATCGATTATCAGTAGCTATTGCCAATCCGCTCAATTTCTTCCATTCACGCGTAGGTCTTCCTAAATTAATCGTTTTATATCGGTTCACACATTTTTCCAGCTGTCCACAAGGATTGAAACTTTATTCGTTTCATTAGGGTAATTGGTTTAAAATCAAATGAAATTAAACAGATTATTGATTGAACGATTGTTCGGATAATCCTGACGTGTTTCGCAGTGTTGGAGTCAACTGTACGCGTGCACTTGAACTCTGTAGTTTCACCATTTTCATCGCAAATTCGATTTCAATCGATCTCCTTTAAAACTCAAGGTGACTTCTTTATTCATTGTTTACATAAATTCCAAATGTGGCTCTTTAAAGGCTTCTCTTAACTCGCTAATATCGATCGTCATTTCGTGGATACGGGAAAGACAAAAAATTTTTAACATCATGCAGGCGTTTCGACGATGTCTTTCGCATCACGAGAAAGCAGAATCAGGTTAAAAAGGTTTTACGAAAACAGAATTAAGTTACCGGATTTCAAAACTTCTCCTCAATGCAAGATTGTCGATCTGGTAGCACAGATGACACCTTAATTTTTTTCTTCTAATACCAGTCTTTTATATTATCATTAATATTTCGATAAAGTTTGATTTTAAATCGTTGATTAAGACATGAGTTCTCCAGTTTATCCGCTGAGGTCAGTTCGCATCCAAAGCTGTTGCTCAAAATGACTTCTGATCAGTTTTTGTGATTTTGTGAAAACACAAGAGTGTTTCAGGTCTTTAACGTCACTACTGTTTTCCTAAGTCTCTGCTCAAACTTTTACTGTAATTTCTTCTGATATTATCGTAATTTCTGTCCCCAACACTCTGTTATTTTCTCTTGCTCCTCTAAAAAGTTGAGTTAATAGCAAGATTTTCTCAATCGGACCAAGATAAACTTGTTGTCTTTTCCGCCCGACAACACTAGACGAAGAGATAGTTATTGTCATCCAATCTTTCAGTGCAACATAAGCCTGACGGTGATGCCGGCTGCAATAATTGCATCAGACAAGATTAAATCCCCTTTTACATCACGCAATGTGTGGCTATCTTTTGCCGGCAGTGTAGTGAGTGCTAAATTGCACGAGGACTTATAACTGGATTATATACCATCATCTCTCCCGGACTTCTCCCTGTTGACAGATCCGGCCAAACGCTCGAGTCAACTTGTTCTTTCAACTTTTGTGCTCTTCCAACTTTTAGCCATATTTCACTTGCCGCACGGTGGATCCAGCGGCAGTATAGACACATCTAACAAAGGAAAAATCTATCATAAGGAAAATGAACTTATAAATTCCAAGTTCTTTCAATTGGATTAAAGGATGGCTAACGACTATTAATAAGATAAGTTTATAACTAATGCAAAAATAATTATCAAACTTTAAGTCTTTTATTTCTTTGTCATTTTCGGTAACTTCTCTTTGATCTCTTTAGCGAAGCTTTCCCGTCGGCATATTCTCCTTACGTCGCCCTTTATTCCTTTTTCTCTGTTTTCTTGCCTTTGTTTAAAGCAAAAACAACGTCAATAGGTTTAGAAGTTTATTCAAACTGTTTAGTTACAGTTACGATGGATCAGTACTATACGAGGGACTCGCTTTTTCAATGAACCATGCGCAAAACTCCAAAAATTGAACAAATTGACATTAACTCTTAACGTAGTTTGTATCAGATTTAAACATAAAGCGCGGAAAAGTTCGAGCCATGTCTCTGATAGGTATGTATTGGAGTGCAAAGAAGTTAGTTATAGATTGAGATCATGCGATTCGGCATAATTGCCAAACACCAACCTCTCGAGGCTTGAACTAAGAGGCAACACTGATTGGTAACATGACGTTTCTTGACGAAAAGGTTTACAACTTCGTAGAAACTAGGGATATGAACCGACACAATCGGTCATCACAAATGTATTTTAAAAATACAAAAGTTGTAGATGTGGTGATTGTGGCAGTGCATTTCAATCATATACTCAGACTTCTAATCCTTTTAGTTGCCATGTCTGAATAGTATTTCGTCCGTCGTCAACTTTAGCTGATGTGCATGCTCCAAAGTCTTATATTACTGGTCTTAATCATTTATATTAGCTATAGAATGGTCAAATGCCTGAGTCGGTAGCGTCATTCCAGTCTGAAAACACTCAGTAACCTTGGCCACGATTTACAGGTGTTGAAGAAGAAGACTTAGTTAGCGTGGCTAAAATGATCAGTCTGCAATTTTTTTTAAGCTAACCCAGATGCATATACAGACTAAGGATTCAAAAAATTAAAAAGACTCTTTCTTAAAAGCTGTCGAGTATCATGTTTTTTGAAGGCTTTGCAAGATAGATGCAATGAAATTTAGAGCATGTGGTATCGCAAGAACAAATATTCAACAAAAACACTCTCCTTGCCAAGTACAAAACGAAACAAACTCAAAGCACTAGTGCCGTCGTGATTTATTTGCAATATCACGACCAAATATTCGTGCCTCCAAGCCCACGTAAACCGAGAAATAGATACCCGTGGTTACTCAAATCAATTAGTTTATAGAGCATCCTTGACTAGGCTCGATCAAGGTAAGGCCTGCTAATATGACTACACGTGGTAACAATCAAATCCGCGATTTCACTTTAATAACGAAAAACGCAGTTTGTCGTCAGCCCGCAATTAAACAGTAAATTTGAGCTCTTCAAATTTGAGTAATGATTTGAAATTCTGCCAAACTGCAGCTTATCAGGTGGTTAGCTTAGGTAATATATATGTTGTTTTTAGGGTGAAATTCCGCCATCTCGTTCGGAATTTTCTTGTTATTTTTTTGGTAGAAAGGCAAATAAATGACGAAATGACCTATCAGAATCTTTGGATATTTAGCTTTTCAAACATATCGATACTCATATTTATCTCCCGACAAATTCGGCCGAAGCACAATAAGACTTTGCATTGTTCTCGAGTTTGCTTATATATATTATATAAAACACAATGAATACTTGCTCTACGTGGGTGATTAGCTACGTGCAATGAAATAATAAGATTATAATTTCAAACATCTACGCCTGCATCAGTTAAGATAACGTGCTTCTATTGCACAGGCCTGTCTAGACTATAGGGCCACTATTATTTTTTGCAATAATTGACCATAATTGCATTAAAATAGATTATGTACTTAATGACTGAATGGGAGGGCCGCATACGGATTAAGCGCTCCAAAGACCGTGCGTCATGACCGAGAGCCAAGTAATTTCCCGTCCAACTCGACTGAAACTCAGTCAATGAGTATTCTAATTCATGAAAAATGTGTTTTTAAGTTTCGAAATCATGTTTGAACCTAAATAGGTCGCGATTACGTACGTAAAATGGGCGCGCACTGGAAAACAACAAATTTGAAAAGATTCCATACCCACCTATTCTCAAAACCAGTGTTCAAACCATCAGTTAACACCTTTAATTAGAATTAATCTTGCGATTCTTTTTGATGAATTGGAATAGTTCCTTTTCCAAGTTGAACCAACTTATCCATCGTCAGTTTAAAGCTGAAATAACCTTTAGCCTGGTATTTTTCTAGCTTCTTGTCATCTATCATGATAGAGACTGACTTTGATTTTGTCGCAAACATGCACAACTTTATAAGCTGTCTAATGCCAATCGAATAAAGGGGTAAGTTTCTAAAGAAACTGTGGTGCTGCGTCGGTGGGAGAGTATAGCAGGTAATTTAGTGTTAACAACTGAGTTGAAAACGTAAATTAGCCACCGCAAAGGGTAAAAAAGCTGACGTTTCGAGCGTTAGCCCTTCTTCAGAGCGATTGGAGGAATCCAATCGCTCTGACGAAGGGCTAACGCTCGAAACGTTAGCTTTTTTACCCTTTACGGTGGCTAATTTACGTTTTCAACTCAGTTGTTAACACTAAATTAACTGCTAATGGCAATCGGTTGCGTCAATCCAGGTTTAAAAAAAAAAACCTTTCTTAGCTAAACAATAAGGACTTTGGTTGATATTTTAGACTGAAAAGTTCGCGAGCCTGAACTGATTTATCGGTCAAAATACTGAGAATTTCTTATTTGGAAAAATAGTCTATGACTAAGAGTGATAAAATCTAAAGCACGTACATGGTTGGTACGCATCAATGAAATTCGTTCTTGATTGTCATGCGCCTCAACATCAGTGAGACAAGGCAAAACACTTTTATCTTCATTATAGTTATCTGATCGGGATTTAATTATCTATGTGCATGCAAAACTTCATAAGAAGGGGTTGTCAAATAACTGTGATAACCTATTCGACGTATCATTTCAGATCGAAGGATGACTGAGCATTACCACTGCGAAATAATAGTCTCGGTAAGCTAGCTCAAGATGAAGCTTAAGCTCGGTAACTTTACTAGCAAACAGTCACAAGTATAAAAACTGAATAATCATATTTAACTTTTTTCTAAAAAGCCAGTGGGTAATCCCCCATTAGTGCTGACGAGACCTTACTCGCACGTTAGTAGCAAAACGACCCGAGCTTGACAGAAAAACACCATATGCTAACTTAACTTGCAACGATAACATCAATTCCAAACTCTTCATATCCATGAAACTAGTGTTAAGGTTATCATGGTGATACATCGTTTTACGTTAAATACCAACCTAGTTCAAGTAACTGTAAACTTTGGGTAAATTCCAGCCTGGAATTTTTCACATATTTACATAACAGTTAGATAAAAATGAAAAATGAATTGTTCATTCATGAAAAAGAGACTCTGGAGCTGAAGAACGTAAAGAATTTCTGGAAAAGCAAATTAAAGAGCATCCGATAATCGAGTCGTAAATATACATTTTATTGTGTTTCTGCATTGTCAGTTGAAGAGCCATAGGAATTCAAATGTTATCATTTCCCTCCACCTTTTTTTCCTAAGGAGCGTCACGCCTCTAAAGATGTACCAAACGAATGAATAAATTAAGTGGCGACCTTGCATAGAAAAAAACCTACAACACAACAACAACTACAACAAATATAAGAAACAACAAAAGAAAAAAGAAAAGAAAAACGACAGCAACAACATTTTTATGATGAGTACGCTCCTGGAGGGAATTTCAAGAAATAGTCACGGGAGATTAAGCTCTCTCAGAACAGAGATTGCGAACGTGAACAATTGCGTGGGTAATTATTGATAACTAAGCCAAAACGTCAGAAAATTCTTGAGATAAACTCACTCAGACTGGCACGATAGGAAACTAATATGTGCGAAATGTGCTCTATGCCGGAAGTTCATATATTCTGCTACGTTCTGCCATCAAACATATAATTTCATTACATGATAATAGGGGTGATGTTTAATGACAGTGGTAAAAGAGTTTACTCGAATGTAAGTTGACTTTTCTGATTTCTTTTAGAGATGATAAAAGTACTCGATTACTTGATTAATATGATTTGAATCGTAATTCGTTCCAGCAATGCTCAACGTTTTTTCGTTTTTGCTTTTGTTTTTTTGTGTTTCGGTCTCTCACTTTCCTTAAGTTTGGGTCATAATTTGTTTTCATGATGATCTTAACGTAAAATGTGTTGTAAATGTTTGTTTTTTTTTATCGAATATCATTGTTATAAAATTCTGCAACTCATTAGATATCAATGCGTCCTCATTTAACTCTAGGCAATGTAGAATCGGTCCTCTCGTGGTTTCAGCTCATCTGGCCGGCTTGTCTTCGAGTTCTTAACAATTAAAACTGGGAGTGTTGGTTTTACAGCCGTCAATCGTCAAGGGAAATGATTATGGAATGACTGGAGACAAATATTTAGGGATTGAACCAGATCAGTGCGTTTTTAACAGAACGTACTTGATTAATGAACATTCTGCTATAGGATTTATTTCACACTGGATACACCACAATATTTATTGTAATACGCAAAGGCGCTAACACAAATATACGCGGGCGTTAACATGGTGGACGGTAGTGAATACGACGAATAGCGCTCCGACAAGTGGATATAATCACAAATTCGTACTACTTGAGACGAAAACCTCTAAGTTTTAAAATGTCATTTAAAAGAGTTGGCGATGACCCCACTGCATTAAGAGTACAAAAGGTGCGTAGACTCGTGAAAACGTTTTTCTTTAGTAATCAAATCCCTCTCGACACTAATCTTTAATTTGGGCCTAGTGAACAGTTTGCCAGGCCGAAACATAGGCGATAATACGAAAATTTCCATTGATTGTGAATTGCATGCTCTTACTCTGTCTTAGAGACAGCGAGTATCCGAACTTTTGTTGGAAGAAATTCCCGAAGACGAAGCCACACTCACGAAAAATGGCAGGTAACAATTATCTTTTAACTTCCACTTGATAAGCTTAGCTCTTGAGAAAACATCTTCCTCAGTCCAACGGCTGAACTCAAAATTTACCATCTACGTATAGCTGTACATCTTCCTCGATCTTTCTCGACCCACGACGTCGAGCTTTCGAAATTCCTGATCCCAGCGAGCAGGGCATGCAGAACACTTGTATGCATTGATACAAGTATTATTAGTCTGTTGGAAATCTATTTTAGACTCGTTTTGCTCTTTCTAGGTTTGCCTGTCTCGTTTGTAAACACTGCCCAGTTTTTGACACTGTTGCTGTACTGAAAATTCACAGGCAAGGGAAGAAACATTTCTCATGTAAGTGTAAAAATCAAATCAAATCAAATTAAATAGCATGAGATGATAAAGAATTTCATGTTAACCAGAATTTTTTTAGTTTAGTTTTGTTTATAATTTTTGTTTGTTTTTTCCCTTCATTTGTTTGTTTGCTTTGTGTATAACTGTGGTGTATGTTCCACAATCACAAAAAGTCTGTTGATAAGGGGAGTTTATTTATAATCATCCTGAATTTTACATGTTTTTCAGGCAAACGTCTTTTTTCTCTTTCCTAAAGCTGTCATTTTGTACTTTATCTACCAATCGCAGATTAGTAACCTGTAAATTTCTAAAGAAACTTAAGTGCTACATCAGTGGGCGAGTATAAATTAGAACGTTTGGTGTTATCAACTGAGTTGGTAATGTAAATTGGCCACTGTAAAGAGCTTCAAAGCTGATGTTTTGAGTGTTAGCCTATCTTCAGAGCAGATGGTTGAATTGTGGGTTGTGTGTGTGTGTTTATATGCAGAAAATGGAGCTACTTTCTTGTATTATCCTATTTTGTATTTCTAAAAGATTTATTCAACTCCACAACAATTAATTTTGCTTCACTTCCCTTTAACTTCCAGATGCCAAAATAAGACTTGAGAAACTGATAGAAGATGCTGAAATACGGCAAAAGAGAGAACACATAAGATACATGGAGAAGGTTATGGATGATGCCAATGAAGATGAATCACCATTGCTGAAGATTACACAACAAAAAAAGGAGTTGGCCCTTCAAGGCTCAAAAAGCTCAATAAAACATGAAAGCAAAGAAAGGACATCAAAACAGCTGCCTTTCTTTCAGCGCAGAAAGCCCATTGACCTGGACATCTGTAATGACAAACCAGGTTATAAACATGTGCAGAGGACCGAATCAAGCAAAAACTTGTCAAATTCAGTGAAGGACTCGGAAAGCAATCATTTTGAGAAAACTGAACAATCCATGAAGCCATCAATTGATACACCTGGCCCAAAAAGTCAGAAAAAGATACCGTTAAGTCCTGGTGAGCTGGCTAGGAGGAAACACTTTTCTCGCCTCCGACAGGCTGGGTGGATCATGGGCTTGGATGGGAAGTGGCAGAAAGATGAAAATGCAGAGTTTGATTCTGATGAAGACGAGCCACCCCCACCCCCACCATCATCATATGATTTAACATCCACATAGTAGTAAAGAAATTGTCAAGCTTGGATATATCCCTCCCCCTGAAAAAATGGAAAATATTAAGATCTTGGTAGATACAATATGGTGCTAGAGAACATATAAAGCTAGTGAGAACTCTAATTGAAAGGTCTGAGGCTGTTATTAAAAGACCAGATGCACCATTGTAATTTTACACATATACATTTTGTACACTTAAGTAGTATTACAACACAGTTTACTAGTTCATACAGGAGTCGATAAAGAGAAATGAAGCTCTGTATTTATATTTTGTGCATTACCTCCTTTCTCAGAGTTTGCCAGCTACCAGCGTCAGTTTACCATGAAAGAAGAAAGAAAATTTAATATTTCATGCATTAGGCCTTTCTCAGAGTTTTCCATATCTGTCTACCAGGGTATTTGCTGCAGTGTTTTAATTGGGCACCATATGCAGGCCTTAATCAGTTAAGTACGGTGTTCTTCCAGTTGTAACATTCTTGCATGCTTTATTCCAAAATGACTTTTCACTTTTTTTTTTTCATGAAATTCTTTAAATTTATAATGCATGCAGCTTTTCAGTTTTCATGAACTATGCCATTTTTTAAACATCAGTGACACCAAATTTCAATCAATTATTGTTTATAATAACAATTTTAGATTACAATGATTGCAAACTAGTTTTATTTGCATTTTTCTGTTTTAAAAGACTGCAGACATATTGTATACTCAACGTGAAAGTAACTTTACAAAGAGACTATATACAAAATATTTATATAAAGTACAAGTGTTTCTTTTTGTATCAATATTAAAATAAATTGATATTAATCAATCACGGCTTCCAAGTGATGACTTGAACAGCTATCTGTGCAGCCTTTCTGACTGCTGGACTGTCATGATCCTGAATAAGCTTGGATACCTGTAAAGAAATAATAATTATTAAAGTCACTTCTTGAATAATACTGAGTCAAAATTGACTGGATTGATAACCTAAAGATTCAAAATGAAAGGTGTAGACTCTGCTATCAAAGTTAAGGTTCATAACTATAACAGAAGTGTACACGTAGACAGTACTTGTTTATTTACAAATATGCTTGGAGACTCTTACCTCATTAACTGAAGCCAGCAGTGTTGTTCTGCCAATAGGGGCTTCTGCAAGAGTTGTGATAGCCTGTTTGTACATTAAAAAAGAAGCAGAGTAACAATAAGAAAAAGAAGTTACAACAAGATCAAACCAGTTTTAAAAAGTTGCTACCACTGTTCTCAATTAGTTACTTATACTTATAGAAGATCAACCAATTTGTGCACAAATTTGTTGCTGGTTACACACATTGACACCATTTGTGATACACTAATAAAGAAATTCATGGTTGCACAGGAAATTGGATAACATTTTTGGAGACATTGGAATGCTTATGTAGACATTGAACAAAGATGAGATACTGCACATTACAACTTTACATAGTAGTTGACATACTGATACCTTAAGAGCATTGAGTCTAACTTCACTTTCAGGGTCGTCTAGCAATTTCACAAGGTTAGGAATCGCACTCTCCTCTATTGCTGCGTACTTCCCTTTAGTTGTTATTGTAATTCTGAGAAGGATCAAGATGATTGTGAAGAAAACAACAGTTTCAGCCTGTAACTCAAAAAAAGACAACCATCTACAATACACTAATATTACCAGCATCATGTATTTTCCACCTGTAAATCTGTATTATCCTTTCTTTCACTTTTCACTAGTTTTAAGCCTGTGCTAATCAGTGGATTAATGAATGCCATGCCAAACTTAATTTAAGAATCAAGGGGGTAAGTTTCTAAAGAAACTGTGGTGCTGCATTGATGGGATCTTATCGTATCACAGGTAATTTAGTGTTAATCCTTTAGCTCCCAGATTGAATTTGTAATTCTCCTTACTGTCAACCATAAAATTCTTATAATGTTAGTTCAGAGAATTTAGTATGGGATCAACTAATCATCCCCAAATTGATATTTTTCTTTATTCTCATCACTTATCTGGTTGATATTGTATTGATATTGTAAGGAGAAAATCTGTCTTGGTCATGGGAGTTAAAGTGTTAACAGCTGAGTTGAAATGTAAATTGGCTTCTATAGAGAGTTTAAAGGCTGATGTTTCAGTGTTAGCCCTTCGTAAGAGCAATTAGGAATCAATTATTTAGACACGAAGGATGTTGACTTCAGTTTTGAGTGATTTACCTACATGTAGCTCATAAATTTTTACTCATGGGTTCCAACAAAAACAATAACTTTATGACCTACATCAGGGCCACATGACATTACAATTGTTCAGTAACTTCTAGAAACTCTATTTCAAATTACTTTTGGCATAATGAGCTGAATTCATAAAATTTCTATGGAATGCACATCACTGTAAGCAGGATGGATGGAGAATTATTTCTTTTTTGACAATAATTTCAAATGATTTTAAGTTAACAGAAATACATGTAAATTGCTTGGAGTTGAAACCACTACTGCATCGCATTAATTGTAAATAGGTGTAACAGTCGATTGTACCTGTCAGGAATAAGACCTTTTCCAATACATTCAGCTCCTCATAAATAAATAAAAAGTTTAACTTACGTCATGATAGCACCAGCAGCTTGTGCTCTTGCGTCAGTGTTACCATCTTCAAGAAGCAACACCAGTTCAGGAATTGCTCCAACATCTACTGCTTTGTCCTTGCCATCAAGAGGAAAACTGTCAAATTTAAAGGAAACTTCTCATTTCAAAGACATTGCAGCTTATAACTGTGTTAAACTTAAGATTTGTTTTCACCTAGTAATACAGACTAAACAGTCAGTTACTGTGCTTTTAAACAGCAAGCAAGATTCAAGGACTTGTGAATGCAGCTGATTTGGAGTTGGTACACTGAAATATCATGTAATACGCTGCCCAGAGTCAGTTCTAGACCTCTCAAGAAATGTGTTGATTAAAAAAGAAATACACTCATGTCAATTTACCTTAAATCCATGACATCCCTGGCAGCTTTTGCTCTGATTGCTGCTGTCTTGTGGGACAGTAATTTTGTGAAACTCTCCATTGCTCCACTATCTAGTGCAGACTGGGTTTCTATTGTCATACAGTAGTGTAGGGTGTCTAAAATAAGTTCCTAAAAGGGAAACATGCCAGATGTAACACACATGTAGGTGTGTAGACATCATTGAAACACTTATATATTGTTAACAGAACTGGACGGTACAAGGTCTGTAGTCTATACACAAGTCTAGGTAGCCACAGAGGAGGACTGAGTTCTCTTCTGAGCAGCAAGAAGCTGACTTTAGTGTAGAGGTCAGTGAGGTAACTACATGTTCATGTAAGCTACATGTGTACAGCCTGTAGCAAAGCTGTCAAGGTGTGGCATACTTGTGAAAATGTCATGTACTTATCAAATAGTTGTGACAATGTAATTTTAATGTAAACTATGCCAACGAATACCCTCCCTGAAACCACAGGCCCAAACTAAACCCCCTCCTTCCAGAGACATTTAACTTCATTTAATTGGAAATGGATAGTATTTTCTTGTCTTTCCTACAAATCCATAGTCTCCTTCACAAGACATCACCCCCCCTCCCCACCTCACGCCGAACTTAACATTCTAAACAACAGGAATGCTAGGGAGATACACTTGTCTGTACATTGTATGCAAGTTTACAGGTAGGTAATCACTATGTGACTGGGTCTAAGCATGCTAAAGTTACAGCCTATGCCTTTATTAATGTCATTATTGTCAGCATGAGCAATTTCTTAAGTTAGACTGAAACAAATTACAACATCTAGTTCTATGCAACTGACTTCTGAATAGAAATGAAGCTAAAGTATTGTACATTCATGTCAGTCTGGAAGCAGAATGAGTAAGGACAATTTTTTAAATTCTTTATTAGTATTAATATGGCTTTACTGGCATGCTGAAATAATTTCATGTTTTTCCTAACCTTGATCTCATCCTCTTCTTTGAGAAGTCTTCCCACCAAAACGGGAACAAGCTTTGCATCAACAACTCCTTCAGTACCTGGACTCATGTGTACACACATCTCTATGGCCTTGTGAGCATTCCTTCTGGCCTGATAGACATTGTCATCAAACTATAATTTGCAATAGATTCATTCATTCAAAGACTGGTAAAATAATGATACATCCTTACAAGCACGCACCTTTGTACAGTATACAGTCATGAAGTACACAAAATTAGACCTATAGATAATAACATGAAGTTAAAGACTCAAGATCTGCACTGAACCAATGAGTCCATCTACTGGTTGTACTCATTTAAATATGTAAGTCTCAACTCAGAGTTTTTTTTGTAATGAAGGTATATATAAAAAGAGAGAAAAAGGACGAATAAGTGAAAGCTATGCCTTTAGGGTTCATTTTAAATCTAAAAATATAGCATTTCAATTCATTTTTTTCACATAATAACTTACCAGTTCTGATAATGGTACAATCATTTTGTGATCCACAAATGCATCACGTCCAACTGCATGACCTTCCAATTTGATTAAGAATCACAATAGTTTAGAGTTACAGTAAGTCTGGTAATTTTCAATTTCCTGTTCTATCCCTTCACTTGGTAAACAGCTGCTTCTGGCACTGTATATAAATTACATGTACCCTAACAGGTCACAGTATGCATGTAAGTATGGATAAGTAACTACTGAAAACATGTACCACTGTGTGTTAAAATTCTATAGACTACCATGTAATGTTCCTATATGTCCCATATCATTGTAAACCTCAGCTCACGCAGATACTTCCAAGAATAAACATACATATTAAACTCTTTTGCACTGACAGTACCTGCAATGATGCTTAGCACTTCTGTTGCTTTATGCCTCACTGTACCATCAGAGTCTTTGAGCAGAGACTTTAAACTTGCACCAACACCTGCAGTAGATACATTTACACTAATGAGACATTATATAATGGGTCACACACACAAGTTCTAGATAAATCTACTTAAACACAGAAACATTGCTCTGTTTCTTGAATAACACAAAGCTGAAAGTGGAAAGAACAGAAGTACATGTAGCAACTTCATTATAGAAACCAAGATACCATTCGAACAATATGAGCCACAAGACCACTGTAGTAGACAAGAATGTGGTACCAGAATACACAGCCGTGAAGAACACAGAGCTTTTTTCCATGAAGAGGCATACTTCAAACATCCAGTTCAAGTTATCAGTCCCACTTACCAACTCTCAACCCCTCAGATATATGTTCAGGATTGTGCATCACATCACAAAGTGACATCAATGCCCTTTGTCTCGTCAACAGGTCAGGACTGTTGAGTTCACGGTTCTAAAAGAATCAACATATCAATCAAGCCTTTCTCCTTTGGAGAAATGAATCAATAAATAAGCAAGTCCAATTAACCCTAATCATAGAGCACAGTGATAGAGTACTTGATCGAAGAGGATTATTAATAAAACAGTCAATCACAAAAACGTTTCCTTTAAAATTATTACATATACAAAACAGCTACTTAACGTGCAGGCCTACAGACGAAAGTTATTCTGAAGTGATGCGAGGTTCTAAGCCAACTAGGGACACGTTCGATTCGAGTACGATCGACAGGTCTAAAAATTGTTATATGCACTGCATTAAATGATTAACGATGTGATGTATACTCACTAGTTTGGGTAGTGCACGGTCCCCATAAGCAAGACGTGCTTTCGTAGGATCTATGTTTGGGGGTAACTTCATGGATATGACAGTATGAGCCATATTTTATCAGTGATAATTCGCTCACGATATAGTTCAATCTCCACAAAACAGAAATGGCGGTCTAATTGTTGCTAAGTAACCACTGTGAGACCCAGTCCTTTGTCTTGTCTTCTGTTTTTTTGTCGTTCCCGGTCCTTTCCTCGGACATAGCAAAAAAGGAGGGTTTTCGACTGCATGCAAATTGTGAAAAATTGGGTAGAAATGATCCTTATTCATGCTGGCAGATTAACACGACCCCACACGCTGCAAAGCTTAAATCCTTATCGTGTATAAATAAAGGAAATTATCATTATTGTCATTATTACACTCTTACAATTACGTTCGAAAGGTTTAATTATTCCCTTCTTTGGAGGATTCACTCGTTTTATTTGCAAACAGCTAGTATTCGTTGCAATACAATTATAAGCGAAGCGGATTTACTTACAATCATTTTAATACTATCCTTAGCTTAATTTACAATCCAAAAACCTATAAAAATTGCTTACTAAATTGTTATCAATAACATCAATTAGCCTATTCGTACGGTTTGGGCAGCAGAGGCGTCTTATTAAGACAGGTTGGTGATACTTGATCGCAATCTTTTATCCGACCAGTATTTTTTTCTGTTTAGAGTGGAAGGTGCGGGGAGGGGCGAGATCACCAGAAGTCATCATCAGACTCGATCTAAAGATTACTTCCGTTAAGGTTGTCCAAACGTCAGTTACTATTAGCGGCATCTCTTCCTCGGTGTTAAGTCAACTCTCACCCGGAAGATCAGACTTCACGAACATGATGGAATAGCACTTCTCGGTTAAATACATTTGCCGTTTAAACTTCCCATTTTTTACTTTCTAGCCTCCAGATCAAACTAAAACCAAAATCTTTTAAGAAAATTTCACTCAGACGTTTATTTTACATTTTCGTCCAAGTTTCTATGATTTATAATGACAGCGCTTGAATTTGAAATTCTTTTCGCTTTTGACCTTGGGCGGGTACCTACAAAATTTATGCATTCGTATTTCCACTAGACAGCAAAACTAGTTGAAACTATTTACGTACCTATTTTCATTTACTTATTAGTTATAAACTTCACAAAGTCCCTTAATGTCGGCATAAAGTAATGAACAGATAGCAGAAACACAGAGCTTTTAGCAATAATGCGTCATAACTACGTTTACATTTCTACAATTTCCTTCTCAGTGCACCAGCTCCTTAAAGTTAGACTTTGCTTTTCACCATATCAAGCTCTTGGTGGTCATCACAAGATTTTTGAGCGAGGCTTACTTGAGTCGAATGACTTTGGAGAGAGTTTGCTAAAGGATAAAGAAACAAGATATAATATTGATATGAAGGTAATCAAAACTTTTCCGTCCAAAAAGGACACAAGGGTAATTACGCTCATCCTATCTGTTATGTTTTTAATGCGTATCTTTATTACGGAGTCCTTGTTATCTGTTGCGAGGCTTGAAACCAAGCATATCTTTTGGAATTGACTGGTAACGTGGAGAGAATTGCGAATATGCGTATAACTGACAGATTCCCCAACGCGCGAGAGCAAATGTATGAGCTAAATTCAACATGTCACCCATCCCTTAGAGCAGATTAAATCGCATTTGTTCAGAACGTCGTCTATACTTTAAAGAGATTACGATTTGAAGAACAGAAGCTCTCGGCCTCAAGATCAAATATGGCCGGCTTCATAAAATGATGAAAATAGCACTCGACACACTGCTTAGTAGGAGATGGAGCAGCGAGGAGGTGGAAGGAGGGCTTGTGGAGGGGGGGAGAGTGGGAGATTATACGCAGAGACTGCGAGATGTAAAGCAAGTCGCACTGAAAATAACAAAACCGCAGCAACTTAGGCTCTTTCCTGTCAGCACAAAAACCCTACAAACAATTTTGAAGGAACACTTTTATATTTTCCGAAATGACTCTGTACGCCCATGATTTTTACAGAATCTCAGACCCACCTGAATAAAAAGGAATAAGTCAAGAAAAGTTACACGCACCTCCTTTCCTCAGGCTCTTCCTCTTCTTATTTTCACGGCAGCAGAAATCGTAGATAGAGCCAAAAATAAACGCCAGTACGATTGCCCCCATAAGTGCACCAAAAGGAACAAGATACTGTGATAGGCTACTGAAATAAACCCACTTAAACTGAAACTTGAGGGTATCTGACTCCTGTAGAAACTTTTTGCAAGAGTGTAATTTCATGGCTTCTCCCTTTTTATTTCGCCTAAGTTCAGTAATATTTATTCTCGCTGATCGTACTTTGGACTTCAGGCATCTAAAAAAACGCTCCTCGACCTCAATATCCATAGGTAACTCGTCGTCGTTGTCAGGATGTAAGAGAAAAGCGGCACCAATGTCGCAGAGCGGAAGAAACTTCAAAGCTTCCCAACCATCGTCTTCTTTGTCATTGCAGTGGAACACCAAAGTGGAATCAAGGCCCTTTAGACTCGAGGCAGAATTTATGGGGTCGTCAATTTCTACCATCAAAACAATGATATATTACAAATCTTTCCTTTTTTTTAGCGTTACAATAGTTTAAATTTTTCCTTTTCTTTTTCTTTTTTTTTTTTGTTTTTTTAAAGGGCTTGGATCCAACCAATACATCCTATAACTACGCCATTGACACTGACTGAGTAGTTCCAAAAGCTAACTTACCTTCGACGAGAGAAAATGACATCTCGTGTTCAACATAATTCGAATCAAGGAGACCAGGAGGAACCCCAATCTGCGTAAATAAGGAAGGAAATGTCATTGATAAAGACCTCCATACTGAATGAGTTGTACATAACGGCTATTATATATTGCAATTTCTGAGTGTTGTTAAGTGTAGGCTGTAGTATCTGAACTGAAATACCTTAATAAAAAACGCTTTTCGCGACGTTTGAAATCGAATTTTTAAATATTTGTTTGAATATATGTATATTTTTATAAGAAAAAAATATTATCTCATACATATGTCATAATGTCGGAGCGTTCTACGAAAATTTAAGTATTGAGTAATGACATGATTTCAAGTACATTTTGGTATTTATAAGCATGAGTAAGCACGAGACAATAAATTGTAGTCTTTGAAATATTTAAAAGTGCTTATTTACACCACTCGAAATCATGTTATTACTTATTAAAAATTTACATGAAAAAAACATCATAGAGAAAGGCAAAACGAAGGAAACTTTGACGGCGCGCGTGCTAATTATAATTTGCACTCGTGTTACAACTTTGAACTCGTGTTACAACTTTACACTCGTGTTACAACTTTACACTCGTGTTACAATTTTATACTAGTGTTACAATTTTACACTCGTGTTACAACTTTACACTCATGTTACAACTTTACAATCGTGTTACATGAAAAATGCACTCGTTTTCAGCCAAGGGCGTAATTTTATTCATGTAAAAGAAAAAGAATATGCAAAGAAAATATCTGCTTGTCCCCGGAATTAATATCAATACTCACAAATTTCCTAAAATATAAAATAAATAGGTGAGTGATAAATTAACACGTAGCAAACGGGAAATTTAGGCCGCCAAAATATTATTCACCTCAACACTAACAACATGTTCAAAGCTTTTTTTTAATTTCTTTTTTAAGAATAAACACATTATTTGGTTTTTTAATCACTCTAGTAAATCATCTTGGCCCCACTGAATAATGCAAGCATTAATCAATATACCGCAGGGACTTGAAGTCTTTAAAACTTTTTTTTTCCAGCAACAGCTGGACTCGTGAGATCCGTGGCATACAAATGTCACCAAATAAATAACTGAAAATAACTGAAATAAAAATCAATCCACGGATAGCCAGTTTACTCAAACAAGACGCCCGAGAAATAGCGCTAACATGCGATAAATTATTTCACGTCTTTCAGCTGCATAAAATCTTCTGTTCTCTCCTTGCCGCAAGGCTCTAAGAGCTAATGGATTACAAATATTCATCTCTCCACAAAAAATTCGAAATTACTTCAATTTCATTAGGCGGAATATATGCGTTTTCTTTTGTTCTTGACAGCGGTTGTATAAACTTTATGCAATTCGTGAAAACGCCTTCTCTTTTACGCTTCGATATATTTCCGACATGCCATATTGTGCTTGAGTAACAATTAAAATTACAAAGCCGACTGATAAAGGTATCACTTACACATCGGATCCTTTAATATAGGAACTGAATGCTGCTCACAATTCGAAATGTCAAAAATAATTTGAAAATTCACTCACTTAAGATATCCCCTTTCCTAAGATATAGGATGAATAACAATCCCGACTTTCCTAAGATATATAGGATGAATAAATTCGAAATTTCAAAAATAATTTGAAAATTCACTCACTTAAGATATCCCCTTTCCTAAGATGTAGGATGAATAAACGCGAAGTCTGGCAAAAGATTTCCTGGTTATGTTCTACTGTTTTACTAGGACACCCCAGTAACGGTTTTGAAACACTTTTGAGGCGTTGGCCGTGGTAATGAGAGAGCGTGAGAGGTGTAGTAGTAGTAAATGTAGTAGCAGCAGCAGCAGCATATACGAAGTAGTCGTAATAGTAGTAGTAGTAGTAGTAGTAGTAGTAGTAGTAGTAGTAGAAGCAGTAGTGGTGGTTGTAGTAGTAAAGTAGTAAAGTAGTAACAGTAACAGCAACAAGGGTGTTAATATTAGTATTGGGATATTTACCCCTCGATATTCTAACCTTTTTGCTAAACAAATGGTCTTCGCCCTTTAGCTCCTGAGTTGTTAGACGAGACGACACCTGAGCCGTGAACATGGACAATAAAACTATTCCTGCTATCATCCACACAACAGCAAAGAGACGAGAAAACCATGACTTGGGAGCTTTGTCACCATACCTGTATTGGAAATTGGTTTTAGAGCTTCCTCTTTCTAATTTACAAGAGGGAATGATACGTACATGACAGGAAAGAATGCTGTAGGATCTCTAAATGAAAGGAATGTTTTGGCTTAACTATAATAAAAACAGATCGTCCAATTATTTGTACTTAGCAACAACTTTTCAATTCTCTTTGACGAAGGGATATCGCTCGAAACGTCAGCTCTAGAATCTATTTACGGTGTCTGATTTCCATCATCAACTCAGGCGTTCAAACCAAGTTATCTTAAAATCACCGACAAGTTAATTTGTCTACACTTGATTTTAAAATGTAAAAATGTTTTATTTATTATTTCATTTCTTCCCTTACAGAGTTTGGCTCAAGAATCCTCGCTAGAGTCTCTTTGAGATTTATTGCAGCAAAGTCTATGGCTAGACAGATTGCTGTACCTCGTACGTCTAAAACGAGGCACGCAGCGATTACTGAATTGTACATTTCCCCATCCCTTCATTGGCATTCTAGGCAAAGAATAATTTTAGAGTCGAATGACAAATGATCAAATTAAAATCAGTCACAAGTATATAAAAATATGTAATTTCTAAATTTATTACCAGTAAAAAAAACTCTTCCTCTATCGGACCAAGGATTAGCGGCCAACACGAGTGTTCGAACGATTTCGGAAAGTAACGTTCTCCATAACATTCTATCTTAGTCAACAAACTTACCCCACTGTTGTCATGGTAACTATTGCCCACCACATTCCGTCTGCAATGCCCTTCCAGAATCGGCTGGAGAAAGTCTCCGGATTCGAGCGATGATCCTTGAACATGCATAGTCAAGAGGGCAGTTAGTAAGTGATATTAATAAACTGAATAGCATGCATTATAATTTTTTCGGCATTTTGTCTGCGCTAAAGCGTCTTCTTTCTCGAATTATGCTTTTGAATATGTCCTTATCGAAGACTGCTTGCCTCTGATGATATCTAACTAGAATAGAATCCTTCATCGCTGGTTTAGTCAAAAACTCGACATTAAGAGCTGCTCATAACATATTTTTGAAAACACTTGTCTTTGCAATATATGCAAAATATTTATGTCTGCCCCATCACGCGTTTTCGAACTCTACCTGATAAATAAATATCCCTATTGCTCAAAGTGTAACTGATCACAATACTCACCAAAAGCCAGATGATCATTCCTGATAAAGCCGCACACGAAAAGCACAAAACCAACAGGGGCCACAGTTCCAAGATGGACATATAAGCAACAGAAACCAGGTCATGGTTTTTCTTCTGCCGCATGAGCACTGGGTGAAAAGTTTCAAGAGCAAAAAATTTACCATAATCAGATTCATCCTCGCCAGCAACGTTGTGGGCTCGAAAGACCACGAATTTAGTTTCTAGTTCGGCTGCAATAGCACTGCTACTGTAATTTAGCTTCGCACACCGATTAGTTGCTTTGATCAGAACTTTTTTCCAAGTTCTCAGCCGATCGATGAGCTCTTTCTGAAAGAAGGGTAAATTTTTTTTGAATGTGGATTCATCTCGCTCAAATAACCACAACTCCTCCTCCTCGACTGTAAAGTTTTGAGCGCCTTCTTTCTTCAAGACAGAGTTATTACTAGGAGCATTCTCGCTGGAAACAGATGTTGTAGCTTCTGTCGGCCTTGAGGTGGAAAAATTCAATCCAATCGATTCGGTTGCATTTTCAGCGTTAGTTGATCCACTGTTAGGATCAGAACTGTTCTGTAAACACCTGGTGGAAGTGAGGAGAGAAAAAAATAAAAAGAAAAAATACCTCCAAACCATTATTCTTTTGCATAAATTTTACCCGGCTTTGTCAGAAAAGTCAGTCTTGCAGAATTCGCTAGAATTAGCAGACTGTCGGTCTCGCCGCGTCAGAGGAAATTTATTAGTTAATTCCAGCAGTATTTGTAATTCATATATTTCTCTAAATAATTGATAACCGGTGAAAATTAGAATAGAACAAACAAAATGCATGGTTATATATCGCAAAAAAAAAATCCAAAAGAGTTTGTGATTCTTTCCTTAAAGCTGCAATCTTTCTGTTTTATTTGCAATCAATGGTGACCATTCAACGAGTATATTTTACAATCGCTTTGCTTTTCGTGAGGTAACAACATACCACAAGAAAATTTCAATATAGGTCATTTTAATTAGAGCCGAATAGTTTTTTCCCTTTTTTTCCCTTTTTTTTCCCTAAGTTCTACACGAAGACGACAAGAAATCTTTGAATTCGATGTTCTTATGTAACATTCTACCGTAGTTAACATGGTATAATCTTAAAGTCTTCGATGGAGCATTCCAAGTGAAACATGAGTGCGTGCATTATAAGACGTTCTTTCGCTTTTCACGAGAAGCAGAAAAAAGCACATTTTGGAGGGAAAAGTTAAAAAAAACAAGTTGCATACATAGGATTTCATATCAGACACGTCAGCTCATACCAATTAATGCTGAAAATTTTAGATCACTTGAAAACCGCTCGTTTCATTACGGTTGAATCCATACTTCGCGTGACAAAACGCGTCGGTGGCATGTGCCAGAAGAAAATAACAATAACAATAATGAAACTCATAGGGAGAAGTTAAAAAGAAACCCCTGTGGCTCATAGGTTTACAATTTAAATTGTATCCTTGGAACCCTAAATTGCTATAATTTATTTCATAAAAGACATAAAAAGCTTATGGAGAGAGATGCGTCAACTTGAGTAGTAATTCTTATCATTTAATGTCCGTATGGAGAATTCTGGAGTAGAACTTATTTAATTTAAAAAATTAATAAACTAATTTTTATTTCCTCCAATTTCGAATTTAGAAGAAACAAGCTGCAATTCAGTCAGTACTTTTCCAGGACTAAACGCGATAACATCTTCGAGGGCAAAGATGTATTCGGTGGTTCTCGCTTATTGTTATAATTCAACCCACAGTTTCTCATGCAAAATTTCTTAAAAATTCGCGAAAAAGAATTTCATAAAAACCGTAATGAAAGCTTTTCGTGCATCGGTGGTTCAATGGATCAGAAAAAAATAGAAACATTAACAAGACGAACAATTAACGAAACCCATACTTAGCGAACCCATTAGCTTAGATAACCAAAGAAGCATCGACGTTTAGAATAATTTGCGGACTTAAAAAGTATGCAACTTGTGAGGAGGCTACCAACTGTGAAATATTATTCTTAGGTTTCAATTGATTGATCGTTTACAGAGTTACAAAAGGATCTCAGAGCATTACCTCTAGGGTTCTTTGTGAGCAGGTCACAGTTGGTACAGTATTATGTTGTTGTAGTATTATGCAGTAACAAAATACATTGTAGTATTATGCAGGTCACACCGGTCAATACTATGTCTTTGTTTGAAGACAAAGCTTTCAAGTATGTGAGCATAAGTTCATTTTCTAGACAAAAGAAATCTACTTCCAGGGGCCTGTAGACGTAACTTTCCAAAATCGACCGTAGTTTTTTATTTTACACCTGTACCCAGAGTCGGTGGAGGCTAGATTCGCTGATTCCAGATAGATCCTTCGGGACCCTGCCTGTCAGACCATGCTTGACGTATTAAGCACATACTCCGGCGCCGGTCTTCCGTAGGCAGTCTAGTCTGAATAATTGATGTCTTTCGATCTCTACGTATACACTGTCATTAGTGATAAAGGAATGCCGAAGTTTTCTTGGATAACCATTTCTTTAATCTCTTGGAATGGTGTCTGTTTTCAGAGATTCTGCATTGAGGTGAGCGTAAATAGGCGTCAGGTAGTAAGCCGCCATCGAAACGATTTAAAGGAGCGTTGGCGGAGTTGATATTTCAGGCTTCCAAAGGCTATCTTTAAACAGAGAATGGGGGAACGAGAGAACGGGAAACGGGCGACGAGCAACGGGCAACGGGCAATGGGCAACGGAGAACGAAGAACGGAGAACGGGCAACGGAGAACGGGCAACGGAGAACGGGCAACGGGCAACGGGCAACGGGAAACGGGCAACGGGCAACGGGCAACGGGCAACGGGCAACGGGCAACGGGAAATGAAGAACGGGAAATGAGGAACGGGCAACGGGGAACAGGCAACGGGCAACGGGGAAAGGGGAATGGGCAATGGGCAACGGGCAACGAGGAACGGGCAACGGGCAACGGGCAACGGGCAACGGGCAACGGGCAACGGGCAACGGGCAACGGGCAACGGGCAACGGGCAACGGGCAACGGGCAACGGGCAACGGCAACGGGCAACGGGCAACGGGCAACGGGCAACGGGCAACGGCAACGGCAACGGGCAACGGGCAACGGGCAACGGGCAACGGGCAACGGGCAACGGGCAACGGGCAACGGGCGGGCACGGGCAACGGGCAACGGGCAACGGGCAACGGGCAACGGGCAACGAAGAACGGGGCAACGGGCAACGGGCAACGGGAACAATGAAGAACGGGAAATGGGGAAACGGGAACAGGCAACGGGCAACGGGGAAAGGGGAATGGGCAACAACGGGCAACGAGGAACGGGCAACGGGCAACGGGGAACGGGGAACGGGCAACGGGCAACGGGCAACGGGCAACGGGCAACGGGCAACGGGCAACGGGCAACGGGCAACGGGGAATGGGGAATGAGGAATGGGGAATGAGGAATGGGGAATAGGGAATGGGGAGCTTTTAAAATGAGGAATCTTTAGAAGCTGGAAGCTTTAAAAGCGGGAATCTTTAAAAGGGGGAAACTTAAAAACGGAGAATCTTGTAAAAACGTGGAATGAAATCGACCAAATGAATGAGCGGTCTGTGGAAAAGTTGCTTTTTTTTTTCTATTTTACGACAGTGAATCCTTTAAAATTCAGGTCTGTTGACACAAGTAAAGCTACGCGACAGTGGAAATCCCGCCTCAAGGTAGAAATTTGCTCGACGTAACAATTATGTTTTTGGCAGATGGCAGAGGCACTCGATATTTTTTTTTATTGATCTGAATGATAAGTCAGTCATCGGCCCTGTTAGAAATTATGATTGAATAGCCCGATCTACAGCGTTTTCCGATATTAGTCCATATTAACTTGCGGCGTTACTTTCTCGGGCAACCGGTGGAAGAGAAAAAAAGAACGCCTAATACAATTACTACACGAGTCGTCTGCCCGTAGTCCAGAATCTGGCCTTTTTTCCTGACTGGTCGACGGATCGACGGATCAAGCAGAGACATTTCACCTTTTTTTCCTTCAAAGTAAACATGTACATTGCGCTCTGTTAACTTTCCCCCTCCTACAGCCGCATGAATTTCCGGTAAAATCTGATTGACACACTTTTAGAGCATGACACAAGATAAAATCGTTGTTGACAGGTAAACAACAAAGGCAAAAATAGAGCGCCTCGTCGCAAGTTAAGTCGATATCGTTAATATTACTTTAGACCTACGACTCAGAGACGGTGACAGGTAGTGCAGCAAATTACTGATGAACTAAGTGGGAAATGATACTATTTATAACATTGTGGGAAGTAACATGCAGACAATTCACGTGAGTACAAAGGAACCCCGTGCACAGGTTCAATGACATTCAACAGCTGGGAAAATGTTGTTAAAAGATCCTTTGTGTCTAATGCTAGTGTTATGATCTTTTTGTTCCTGATTTCAATTCTCAAATCGGGAAAAAAATTAAAAAATGAAGGTTCTTCCCTCACGGAGACAAGTCAGGGAACTAAAGACTGATTACCCAAGAGAGTGGGTAAGAAATAACAAAAGAACGAGAGGATCTTTAGGATTCTGCTTTCGAAACTGCAAAATAGTACAGTACGATTAGTAAGAAAACACACTAACCTGCTAAGAGCGCGTCATCTGATAGGGAAGGAATATTTGAGCTGTGATGTCAGGGTTCATTCAATAATTAGTTCATCTTGCTCATGTTAGGTTCCAACAGTTGGATAATACACCATGTGATTTTAAGCATCTGTCACCTAAATATCACAGAAATAATTCCTTCTCTTGCTTCGAAAGCACAGAAGTAAAGGTAAACCTTGCTTTGCTGATTAAATGGTTTGGGCATCACCATTTTCCGCTCAAAGGTTATTAAGCAGCGAGATTTATCGCGCGTCATCATATAGCTCTAGACAGAAATTATCAGGCATACAACCTTACCTAAAAGCCAAATTGGACAGGCCAGCGAGTAGAATTTCTTCCTCGCGAAGTAATACACAGTTAAGATCTTACCTTAAGGAAAGAACGATGGCCCCTTTTCGCAGATACCGCCGAATACACTCGCACAGAATTTTCGCGGGATAAGTTCCCGCGCTTACCTGATGATTGAGACTTACTAAAATGATATTTTATACTGAAAGAGCTCCTTAGTATGGACGCCAGAAAAGTATTATCAAAATATCCACCCAATCGTTTCAAGTGTTAAATGATACTCTTGTATCTCCAAAACATACTGCAGTCGAAATCTCTCTTGAAAACAAGGTCCGTACCGAGCGGCTCACCAGCCTCCATGCTGACTTAGAGTCAAAGGTCTGATCAGAGTGAAATATAAGTTGGCTAACACAATTTAATTTTGGTATTGTCGCGACAGAACAGATAATCGCTCTTTGCGTCACAAACCAATAAATCTGTAGATCACGGACAAAACATGCTGGGTACAACAACTGTTACTTGATAGTCATGTCACGCACTACAACCAGGCTATCCTCAAATGTCATGACACACTACGGCTTAGCTAAGCCGTTCTTACCGCTGAATCGTTCTACAATTATGAAAATTGCCATTCACGCCATGAATGCGTAGTTATTTCCAAAGAGAAAATTGTGCAAAAGAGTCCTAAATTTACGTAGCACTCCTAACGCGCAAGCCGCGCGGATCCTCGCGCCTATTTACATTTTAATTGTTAACTTCAATTAATTTCACGCTCGAAGCCAAACACCTCGCTTTCACTTGCTAATTGAGCCCTCTCGCTTTACTTTGACAAGCCTATGGATCATTTTACGCATCCCTGGTGAGAATTCTTTTCTTGAGCAAAGCTCGTCATGCGCTCATATATTTGGTCGATTTCATTCCACGCTTTAAAAGATTCTCCGTGTTAAAGATTCCCACTTTCAAAGATACCTCATTTTAAAGATTCGCCAGTCCCCATTCCCCTTTCCCCGTCCTTCTTTTCCCCGTTCCTTATTTTAAAGGTAGCCGGCTTCCAGACAAAGGCGCTGGTGATAACAAGAAAATGCTCAGTGGTGATAATTTTAGAAGTATCCCATTCAATTGTATGATTAGTTAGGCATGTGTATTACAACAGAGCTGAACTTTCTTTTTTGCAACAGAAGACCGCTTTTTGGTGCTCTTTCAAACGTATAACAAACTGACGTTTGGTCTGTCCAATATACTTGGAATCACAGTCATTGCACGGAATACAACATCGATTCACTGTTCTTTTATGACAGGGTCCCGGTTTAATAAACGATCGCAAGCTTCCTGCCCTATCGTGAAAATAATCGTCTTTTCAACAATGGTAGAAGTAAACAGGGAAAAAATTAAGAGCTCCAGAACTTGCTTGTTGATATAACGCCATGCGAGCGACATTGTATTCTAATGATATTGAATTCAAAGCTTGGTTTGAAAGCGAATCATACCAATAATATGGCATAAATAAATACACTTTGTGTCAATCCAAGTGTACACAGCAGCATGACATTCGAATGACAGCTGTTCTGATGTTTTGGTAGGATCGCTTGTTTAAATGATGGCATTTAATCGTCCCAGTTGTTATAACTGAAGCAGATATATTTGCATTAGTAGAAAATCGTCATCTTGATTTGCATATCTATGCAGTGCTGTCTGAATTTGTGCACATCCTTTGTTCGCGTGAATTCCCTCATAAATATTTTTCGGTTTCAAAAGAAATGGTTAGGAAGAGGACGAAGAAAATTTTGTTGGCTCTATTCCTTGGGATGACAACATATGTATCTTTCCAGCTAGTATATGTTTGGAAGTATCGCTTAACCTCTTTAGCTTCAGGAGAGGAAGTCGATCAAAAGATGGAGAAGATCGATTTGCGACGACTGACAACAGCCCTGACAACCTCAACAGGGTCCTTAACAACAACTTCTATTTCGCCGCAAATTAAACACAGAACATTTCTTATAACCAGGAGATCTTGTATGCAACATTACGATCTTCTTATGATTATCTCATCCGCTCCAGGTAATTTTCAAAGAAGGAATCTTATTCGCAAGACTTGGGCTTTCGAAAGAGCATTTCGACCAAGATGGACAACGGTTTTCCTCGTCGGCCAAACACGAGATGAAGCTGTATCAGTCACATTATTAAAAGAAGATAAGGCTCATAAGGACCTTGCGCGAGCTAGCTATTACGAACACTACTGGAATCAAACCCTAAAGATACAAATGGGCTTCGAATGGGCAGTAACGTATTGTAATTTCTCGTTTCTTTTGAAGCTGGACGACGACGTGTTTGTGCATATTCCAAGAGTTCTTTCCTTTTTGAGTGCGCCCAGCACGCCGAAGAAAAAGCTTTACGCTGGCAATCATTACACAAATAATGTTCCTTTCAGGGGAGGAAAATGGAAGGTAACTTACGAAGAATATGACAAGACAAGATATCCAGATTTCTGCCCCGGTTTTGGTTATATTTTATCTCACGATGTTGTAAGTACATTTGTCGAAACGTTCTCCTCTTTTCCGTTCTTTCGACTAGACGATGTCTACGTTGGCATGCTTGCAGACAGGAACGGAATAAGTGTCACGAACAATGACGGATTTGAGTTAGGGCATCCACCAGGACATATTTGTGTTCCAACAAATTATACTTTAGTCAGGCATGATGTAGGAGAAGAATGCCAGATGAAGATGTTCAAGACACTCGTGTTCCCTGACTAGTTCAATACCGTAATAAATGCAAGCAGTTTTGTATTCATTTCAATAACAATTATTAAGTTAAATATATGTTCTTCGTCGATCTGCAATTGCTCACAGCCCTCTTGTTTTGACTGACAAAGGGATAACGCTAGAAATGCCCGTTTCAGAAACTCTCTACGGAAGTCATTTTACATCAAGAACTCAAGAGATAAAAACAAATCACCTTCGAAGCAGCACAGTTTCTTTAGAAACTCACCTCTTCCATTCGAACGAGGGATTTGTTCGTTTAACTACGGTTTCTGTTTTCATATATTCACATCACCATAATAACGATCTTTAACTTTATTTTGGTATTTATTTTGTACAACAAATGCAAAAATATAAAAACTCGTCATACATGATCAGCATCAAAATTCATGTTCGATATCATCGAACCAACGATAATAGATTAGATGTTGAGCATCAATTAGATGAGTTCATCGATAGGAAGCAATGCCCACTCAAAACTGACCCAAGGTCAACTAAATAATGTAGGACATAGGGTTTTTATAATAGGTAGCATGCCAAAAATCGCAACTTTGATCCGCCAAATCACTTTATTTAAAGTCAGATAAGTCAAAAACGTATTCGGACGCCTTTGAGATCGATTGATAAGCTGGACTGATCACAGGCAGCCCAAGGTCCAGCTGTGAGATGATCTTGGAAAATAAGTTTCATGGCGAAGTGTAAGAGTTTGCTTGGGAATATCTACCACCGCTCTTGGGAAGTAAAAAAAGTCAAATTCTCAATAAAAATACCTCACTTTACTTTTGTTGAAGGCCTAAATGTAATAACTGTCCTAAATGTAATAAAGTCCTAAAAGTTTAAAAAAATTAGTCCTAATGTCCACTGAGCTAGCTATACGTTAGACAAAATCCGGGCTCGGAAGTAAATTTTTTTGTATTGTCTTCTCTTGCCAGATTTGTATGTTTGTATGGGTCTACATGAAATATATTCATAAGGGCTATTGACCAAGTTGAGGTCAAGATGGCTGGATATTGGCTGCGTTCTCTTTTTGCGTTTTTAGGGACCGAGACGAGGTCGAGGTCCATAAAAACGCAGAAATAGAACGAGGTTAACATCTAGCCATCTTGACAGAATAAGCTTAGTCAAGATAGTTTATATTCTCTTGGCTTGGTCAATAACGGATTTATTATATGGCAAAAAGATTTCGCTATAATAAGAATCAAGAATGACTTGTTTATTTCGAGAGCCGAGAAAGAAAGCCAACTGTGTTTGTAGCACAATAAACCCGGGAAGTCGTTTAACTTCTTCTTTGTATAGACCGTCCTCTGCCGCTTTTAGCGACTTCGTCGTTGACATTGTCCAAAAGTAACGAACTTTGTAAGTCCCCTCCACGAACTTTTTTTCTTGCGCGGGATCAATACGGGCAATCCGAGCGGGTAAGATGGCCCATCTTCGCTATTGTGAATAATTTTTTTTCCCATTGAATTTCAGGAGTTTATCGCCAGTTTAAATATTGGATTTTGGATGCATTATAGACTCCCTTGGGAGAAAAGCGATTTGAAGGATGGAATCCCACAAATGGCGGGGTTGGAGCAGGAAAAACGCGACCAGTGTTTCAAAACCCTTTCGAGGGAGATTGGCTTTCTTGGAGTCTCTCCTCTTCACAGATATCATGCTTTGTTTGGTTTTGATGTTCTACATGTAACTTCAGAAGGTTAACTGAGCGGCTGGATAGACAATTCAAACGCACATTGAATGTGAAATGATCTTTAATTATTGTAGAAGATAGCGCTGAGACGTATTTGCGAATGCTTGATCGAAGTAGCGATTGAGGTTGTGTGGTTCGAACTAAAAGAAAATACAACGGAAACTACACTAAGAAAAATGCGTTGCAAAATATATCATTAACCTAACTAAAAATGAAGCGATTGTACAGAAAACTAAATACGAGAACTACACCAATAATACAGACAAAAGGTAAACATCGTAAATGTGAAGGAGATAAAGACTTACTTTTGTCTAGCTTCTAACGATAGCAAATTACTGACAGCGATAGCATATAACAACAAACTAATAGCGATGATCTAGTAGCGATGATCGAAATCGAATCTCTCATACATGTCCTTAAACGGGAACTGATTGGAGATTAAAAAACTTATTATGTAATAATCATTAACTAACGAAAGGCTGATTGATGAAAATAAACCAGAGAAAAACGATAATAAAGTGTGTACTAAGTAAGAGTTTCTAAGTTAACACTGCAGGATCTTGTATTTGATGCTATGCGCCTATAATTTCCCTTAACACTGTAAAGAGAAGAGTGCAGTCCGCACTGGCTTTCAAATGGTGTTATTGACGAAGATGAGCTTGGGGAAAGCAGTTGCCATGGTCCATATGTATATGTGTATGCTGTTCAGTGTTTAAGCTCGTTAACCACTAAAACTAAAGAGGGGCATCAGTTAATCTGTAACATGTAGGAACATAAACAACAGTGTGTGTAGTGCATGTATCGATCAGCAATCATTGTCCAGTAACGGGCACTCTCCAGTTCATAGATAGTTTTCATTATTTTGTTGTCAGTATTGCACATGTAACCTTATGCAAAGGACAGTATTGACAAAATAGCAAATCTTTATTGCAAATTTTCTTACGTGTATCAAAATATGAATTGTACATTTAACCTCAGATGAAGCTGTGTAAAATCTGCAGGTTTAATTTTAACGACATTGCTTATCATTTAAGCAAACAATTTCAAATTTTAAAAGAATATAACTTTCTAAAACTAGCTTTAAGCACAAAACTACATTCTTTGCTTCTCAAACTAGTAGATTTAAGGATGCAGAATTGTCTTAACAGTCACACCTGTCTTTGTTCAACAGCTGAGGAGTACCAAAAGCTAGCTTTTCCCACATCAGTTTTTGTTTGGGAAGGAATTCTTACAGTACATGAATATGAGGTGTGGACACCAATTCCTCACATAGTTGAGCTCCTTTTTAATTGTGGAAGAAATGGTTGGACTAATGAAGAAATTGCACATCTGGAAGTCCCCAGCTGGAGACACTGCATCCTTGCAGAGGAAAGATGTCGTCCTTCAGAATGCGTTATTACCCTTATCATCTCCTGATAACTTTTGTTGTTTCCAGCTTGAGAAAGCAGTTTAAAGGTAAAGTTGATATGGCAAAAACTTTTGAAATCGGTCCCGGCATATACAGTAAACCTACAACGGTAAATGTAGAAATTTTACGGAACCTAAAAATTTCATTCTAAAATAAAAGGGCTGAAGTGACGTGAAAATGTCTAAAAGATAGAATGTCTGAAATAAATACCACTCAAACAATTAATCTGTTTTGTCTTGTATGGTATGTAAAAACGACAAGTAACCGGAAAGGAGTAGAAAAAATATTTGCTCGCAAGGAGTGTCAAAGCTACGAGAGTTTCTGAAAATCTGGAAACTTGGAGATAAAGGATTAAGTACTACAACAACAGAAAAGTCCGGGAGATATAGAAAAGACAAGGGAGTGTTTATCTGTGTCATAATTATCTCCTTTGTAGAAATTTTTGTGAGTTTGACTTACTTCACATGCCACATAACGGAACAATTGACTTAGTGCTACTACTTTCTAGTTCAGTGCAGATCAGCTTCACAAGGAACTACTCACGTTGTTTGACTGTGTCATATAGAATTCATTCTTACAAATGTCATTGATTCTGTAAAATACTTTTGATTCTGAGTCTGATAACAGCGGCGCAAAATTGCTTATATCAGTTATTAGGTGTAAACAAAGTCCTTTGACTGCGAGTAAGTGCATCTATCATTTTAGATGGTTGCCTCTTCTCTGAAATCTGCAAAGGATCTTATTAAAGAATGTTCAGATGACATAGCTAAAATGCGAGATATTTATGGAATACTAATTGAAGTGGCGAAATTGAGCTGTTGCAAAGGGTGAAGGAAGTAATCTATCAAAAACGAGTGCGAGTGTTTTACCGGGGTGTCCAGATGAAAGCAGCAGGCCGTAGGCCTCGTGCTTTTATTGTTTCGAGGTGTTTCGAGACCCCAGTCAAACACGACGCACGAGTTTTTGATATGGCTTTTAAAACTGTTCACACTTCTTTAGTTATTAGGGGGTATTGTTTCAGTGCTCTAATTTCCCATGAGATTATGTATTAAAGAAATAATCAATATGTGGCAAAGTTGTTGTTGTTCGTTGTAAGTCATGTAGGAGTGAAGACGGCGGAGTCTTTTGCAGCAAATACCGTAAGCCGTTTTCGTTCTCCAAAAACTGGGGATGAAGAACCAAACTTGCTGCAAGGGAGTATTCCTTAGGCAACTGCCTACAAAACCAAATGGGCGATTGACATTTTTCACGAATGACAGATAAATAGAAAAGTTAAAATTCCTGTACTTGATGCTGGAGGCGCTTTTAAACATTATGAAGATTTGTACAAAGTTTAGTCGTTGAGTACAGATTTGGCAAATATGGATGCCAACACTTTAAACTACTGGCTGAGTAAATTTGTTCAGGGAGGTTGCGAATAGTGAAGGGAAGATGTATTCAGCAAGGACCATTAATGGAATTATCTGTGATATCCGAAGGCATTCGGAGGAGACTGTGGGAAGCGAAGCATTAAATCCTTTAGATGCTTCAGATAAAGGGTAGGAGGATATGGTATTTATTATGTTCAATGCAAGATACTATTTTCATCGAAGACCACAATTACTGTATAGATCGATGTTTTTTTAATCTTCCTATATCTTATTGCAGATTAACTATTTTCCGTCGTTCTCTTGATGCCGAGATGAAGGGTAGCGCGCGGCAAGGTGTGAGTTTGCAAACAAAGAAAGAAGAGAAAAATATATGTAGAAATTTCTATGAAGGTATTACTGACCTTAAGTATGAACCAAGAAAAGTAAGGCATATTTGCCATGAGAGAGGTCAAGAGCATGATCGATGTTTAGTGCAGTTTTATCAGTTGTACATTGGATTGGTTGAAACCCATGCAAAAAGCTTTCTATTTCGTGCCAAAGTCGAAAACGTTGTCTTTTGCGAATAGTCCCGTAGGGATCAACAACCTGAAATCTATTTTGCCGAATTTGTGCAAGGCTGCGGGAATCAAGAGAAAAACGGCCCTGTGCTTGCGTGTCACTTGTGCTCTAAAATCTTTAATAGTGGTGTAGAAGAGAAATTAATTGGAGAGAGAACCGGGCACAGGTATAATGCATTATTTGCTTCTGAGAGAACAAGTGAGAGGAAAGTTCCTCATGCATCAGCTTTTATTAGGAGCAGAAACGAAGACAGAAAAAAGGAAGAAAAAGCTGAGAAGGTTTTTTATTTTTGAATGCTTCTTCGTGCACGAATTGTGATGTAAACATTTCTGTAAACGAAAACAAATGAACTGGCAGTGTAGCTGATTAGTTATAATGATTTATTAAACTGAAGTATTGTTCTTGTGTTCAATTTGTTTGATTTGACCATGAATCTGATTAGACAGAGAAGACAGAGAGAAGACAGATTTGTAATCCAAAATGCGTGTGGGTTTTCATCTGTGTTTTTATTGGGCGTCAAAACTCATGCACGTGACGAATTTAGCCATTTTTTTTATTGGCTATCAAACGTATGAATTATTGATGAGCTTTAGACGAGCCGTTCATTATTATAATAATGAAATCCAAACTCCTGAGGTCGCGCCGCAATTCGTGCTATTACACAATGAAGGTGCAGGAGAAACTCTATCGCATTGGAAATTACACAATTACTTTGCATGGGGATCAAGAGATGTGCCTCAAACTCATAAAATTCTACCTAGTGGTACATAAAAATCTTTTCAGCGCATTTGCTATTTGTGATGCCTATCAGTGTATCTTAGATAATGATGGTTGTCAACTACATCAACACAATGATACTATACCAAGCTTTCTCAGACATGCACTTGTATAACTTTGACTGACATCATAAGACCAATTATATAAGGGTTGGAACCTGAAAGAAATTTTGCAGTGAATGAGTTGCCAGTAATCGGATCCTTGTGTTTGCGCTAATATTTGGGTGGCTAATATTTGGCTGTTTTAGTCCGTGCTCAATCTTTGTTCGCTTCACTTCGCTGATAAGTATTTTTCGGTTTCAAAGAAAATGGTCAGGAAACGGACTAAGAAAATTTTTGTTGGCTCTATTCCTTGGGATGACAACTTGTGTATTCTTCCAGTTAGTATATGTTCGGAACGCTTCTCCTTTCTCGCTTCAGGAGAGGAAGTCGACCGACAGATGGAAAGGATCGAATTGCGACGACTGGCAACTACCGCGACAACTTCAACAGGGCCCTTAACAACGACCTCTATTTCGCCGCAAATTAAAAACACAGAATATTTCTTACAACCAGGAGATCTTGTATGCAACATGACGATCTTCTTATGATTATCTCATCCGCTCCAGGTAATTTTCAAAGAAGGAATCTTATTCGCAAGACTTGGGCTTTCGAAAGAGCATTTCGACCAAGATGGACAACGGTTTTCCTCGTCGGCCAAACACGAGATGAAGCTGTTTCAGTCACATTGTTAAAAGAAGATAAGGCTCATAAAGACCTTGCGCGAGCTAGCTATTACGATCACTACTGGAATCAAACCCGAAAGATACAAATGGGCTTCGAATGGGCAGTAACGTATTGTAATTTCTCATTTCTTTTGAAGCTGGATGACGACGTGTTTGTGCATATTCCAAGAGTTCTTTCCTTTTTGAGTGCGCCCAACACGCCGAAGAAAAAGCTTTACGCTGGCAATCATTACACAAACAATGTTCCTTTTAGGGGAGGAAAATGGAAGGTAACTTACGAGGAATATAACCAGACAAGATATCCAGATTTCTGCCCCGGTTTTGGTTATATCTTATCTCACGACGTTGTAAGTACATTTGTCGAAACGTTCTCTTCTTTTCCGTTCTTTCGACTGGACGATGTCTACGTTGGCATGCTTGCAGACAGGAACGGAATAAGTGTCACGAACAATAACGGATTTGAGGTAGGGCATCCACGAGGATTTGTTTGTGTTCCAACAAATTATACTTTAGTCAGGCATGATGTAGGAGAAGAATGCCAGATGAAGATGTTCAAGACACTCGTGTTCTCTGACTAGTTAAATACCATAGTAAATGCAAGCAATTTTTTACTCATTTCAATAACAGTTTTTATATTAAATATATGTCCTTCGTCGATGTGCAGTCGCTCACAGCCCTCTTGTTTTAAACGACTAAGGGCTAACGCTCGAAATGCCCGCTTCAGAAACTTACTACTGTGGTCAATTTACATCAACAATTCAATCGGTAAATGCAAATCATCTTGTTATACCCCACATACGAAGCAGCACAGTTTCTTTGGAAAGTTACCTTCGTCATTTAAACAATCATGGGCAGACCACAATATATGTTCCTGGTTAATAATTTTTAGAGACGAACAAAATCTTACAGCTATGAATATGGCTCTGAAAATAATTGCATATCTAAATTACATCTCAGTCTGAATATCTCAGTTAAGTTTAACGAAATGTTAATCAACTCATTTGTGGTATTCTTTCGCCTTTATGGGCATTTGAAGCTTCCCTTTACGAAATTACTTTTGGCCAGAGGCCTTTAAGAGAAGAAAGGGAGAAATCAGCGAGCCCTATATTTTCTTCATTTACATAATCATATTATGGTTTCTTACCCCAAATATCCAGCTCCAGTTTTAATCTTCTAATAGCGATAAAGGAATAAAGCATGACTGTAATCAAACACCGGTTTTACATAAAAAGACCCCGATAACGAAGACTGAAAACAGAAACCCCCTTATTTTCTAAACAAGACGCACATGTGCATCAAATATGGCTTCCTAAATAGGGTTTGGATACATTTTATCTCACGATGTGGCTCTTACATTCGGCGACACATTCTCTCCTTTTCCAATCTTTCGATTGGAGAATGTTTACGTTGGCATGCTAGCAGATAGGAACCGGCATAAGTTTTACCGGGCACAATGCAGGCTTTGAAGTAAGGCATCCACGTGGATTTGTTTGTGTTCCAACAAATTGTTCTTTGGTCAGACATGATGTAGGAGAAGAGTGTCAAATGAAAATGTTTACTCTATCCATCTTCGCCTAGAAGCTAAATGGCGTGGTAGTTACATGCACTTTAGTATTTATTCAAGATTGACTGATTTTATAGTAAACTGATCTCTCATTCGTCTAAATGCAGAAGCTTTGAGCTTTCTTGTTTTGAACGCACCCTGTACGAAAAATATGAAATAATTACCGTTGTTAGTTCGACAGTTAGAGCGAGTCAAGCGACGATGAAAAAGAACCTCGAAGAAAAAGCTTTACGCTGGGAATCATCATAGGAATAAATTGCCAATTAAGTAGCAAACAACAGGCCGATAGAGGTGAACACAAGAAAGTAGACTTAGAAGTCTACAGGAGAAAAGACAGGTGTGACTTTTAAAACAGTTCTGCAACCTTAAATCTACTTCTTTGAGAAGCAAAGAACGTAGTTTTGTGCTTAAAGCTAGTCTTATAATTTAGAAAATTATATTCTTTTGACATCTGAAATTGCTTGCTTAAATGATAAGCAATGTCATTAAAATTAAACCGCAGACTTAATAAAGCTGTTTCCGAGGGTAAATGTACAATTTATATTTCTATACATGAAATGAACAATTAAATGATTAATTAAACTGAAGTATTGTTCTTGTGTTCAATTTGTTTTTATTTGACCATGAATCTTGATGCCCAGTGAGAAGACAGATTTGTGTTCCAAAATGCGTGTGGGTTTTCATCTGTTTTCATTGGGTATCAAAAGTTATGTGACGAATTTAGCCTTTTTTTTTGCCATCAAACGTATGAATCATTAATGAGCTTTAGAAGAGCCGTTCATTGTTTTAATAATAAGATCCAACTCCTGAGTTCACACCGCAATTCTTCCCGTGCCTATCTACCATCTCACAATGAAGGTGCAGGAGAAACTCTATCCCATTGGAAATGACATAATGGCCTTGCAGGGGTATCAAGAGATATGCCTCAAACTCATTAAATTCTACTTAGTGGAACGTAAAAAATCTTTACAGTACAATTGCTATTTGTGATGCCTATCAGTATCTTGATTTGCATATAAATGCAATGTGGTTTTAGTCCGTACTCAATCTTTGTTGGCTTCACTTCGCTAATAACTATTTTAAGGTTTCAAAGAAAATGGTCAGGAAACGGACTAAGAAAATTTTTTTGGCTCTGTTCTTTGGGATGACAACTTATGTATTCTTCCAGCTAGCATATGTTCCGAAGTATAGCTACTTCTTTCTCGCTTCAGGAGAGGAAGTCGATCGACAGATGGAAAGGATCGAATTGCGACGACTGGCAACTACCGCGACAACTTCAACAGGGCCCTTAACAACGACCTCTTTTTCGCCGCAAATTAAACACAGAACATTTCTTATAACCAGGAGATCTTGTATGCAACATTACGATCTACTTATGATTGTCTCATCCGCTCCTGGTAATTTTCAAAGAAGGAATCTTATGCGCAAGACTTGGGCTTTCGAAAGAGCATTTCGACCAAGATGGACAACGGTTTTCCTCGTCGGCCAAACACGAGATGAAGCTGTTTCAGTCATATTGTTAAAAGAAGATGAAGCTCATAAAGACCTTGTGCGAGCTAGCTATTACGATCACTACTGGAATCAAACCCGAAAGATACAAATGGGCTTCGAATGGGCAGTAACGTATTGTAATTTCTCATTTCTTTTAAAGCTGGACGACGACGTGTTTGTGCATATTCCAAGAGTTCTTTCCTTTTTGAGTGCGCCCAACACGCCGAAGAAAAAGCTTTACGCTGGCAATCATTACACAAACAATGTTCCTTTTAGGGGAGGAAAATGGAAGGTAACTTACGAGGAATATAACCAGACAAGATATCCAGATTTCTGCCCCGGTTTTGGTTATATCTTATCTCACGACGTAGTAAGTGCATTCGTCAAAACGTTCTCTTCTTTTCCGTTCTTTCGACTGGACGATGTCTACGTTGGCATGCTTGCAGACAGGAACGGAATAAGTGTCACGAACAATAACGGATTTGAGGTAAGGCATCCACGAGGATTTGTTTGTGTTCCAACAAATTATACTTTAGTCAGGCATGATGTAGGAGAAGAATGCCAGATGAAGATGTTCAAGACACTCATGTTCTCTGACTAGTTAAATATCATAGTAAATGCAAGCAATTTTGTACTCATTTCAATAACAGTTTTTATATTAAATATATGTTCTTTGTCAATGTGCAGTCGCTCACAGCCCTCTTGTTTTAAACGACTAAGGGCTAACGCTCGAAATGCCCGCTTCAGAAACTTACTACTGTGGTCAATTTACATCAACAATTCAATCGGTAAATGCAAATCATCTTGTTATACCCCACATACGAAGCAGCACAGTTTCTTTGGAAAGTTACCTTCTTCATTTAAACAACCATGGGCAGACCACAACATATGTTCCTGGTTAATAATTGTTAGAGACGAACAAAATCTTACGGCTATGAATATAGCTCTGAAAATAATTGCATATCTAAATTACATCTCAGTCTGAATATCTCAGTTAAGTTTAACGAAATGTTAATCAACTCATTTGTGTTCCAACAAATTATACTTTAGTCAGGCATGATGTAGGAGAATAATGCCAGATGAAGATGTTCAAGACACTCATGTTCTCTGACTAGTTAAATACCATAGTAAATGCAAGCAATTTTGTACTCATTTCAATAACAGTTTTTATATTAAATATATGTTCTTCGTCGATGTGTAGTTAAATACTAGTTAAATACCGCAGTAAATGCCAGCAATTATTTGCAACTATATGTTCCTGGTTAATAATTGTTAGAGACAAACAATATGTTACGGTTATGAATATGGCTCTGAAAATAATTGCATATCTAAATTACATCTCAGTCTGAATATCTCAGCTAAGTTCAATGAAATGTCAATAAACTCATTTGTGGTATTCTTTCGCCTTTATGGGCTATTTGAAGCTTCTCTTTACGAAATTACTTTTGGCCAGAGGCCTTTAAGAGAAGAAAGGGAGAATTCAGAGAGCCCCATATTTTCTTCATTTACATAATCATGTTATGGTTTCTTGCCTAAAATATCCAGCTCCAGTTTTAATCTTTCTGATAGCAATAAAAGAATAAAGCATGCAATTAAACACAATTTTAAAGCATGCAATTAAACACAATTTTACATTGAACGACCTCGATAACGAAGACCGAAAACAGAAACCCCCTTACTTTCGAAACAAGACGCACAAAATGCATGAAATATGGCTTCCTAGGGTAGGATACATTCCATGGGGTTTGGATACATTTTATCTCACGATGTGGTTCTTACTTTCGGCGACACATTCTCTCCTTTTCCGATCTTTCGATTGGACGATGTTTACGTCGGCAGGCTAGCAGATAGGAACCGGCATAAGTTTTACCGGGCACAATGCAGGCTTTGAATTAAGGTATCCACGTGGATTTATTTGTGTTCCAACAAATTGTTCTTTGGTCAGACATGATGTAGGAGAAGAGTGTCAAATGAAAATGTTTACTCTATCCATCTTCGCCTAGAAGCTAAATGGCGTGGTAGCTATATGCACTTTAGTATTTATTCAAGATTGATTTTATAGTTAACTGATTTCTCATTCGTCTAAATGCAGCAGCTTTGAGCTTCCATGTTTTGAACGCAACCTGTTCGAAAAATATGAAATAATTACCGTTGTTAGTTCGACAGTTAGAACGAGTCAAGCGGGACTTCGACCGGGCATATATGAGAGGGTCACTAAGTTATTCAAGAAGCCAGAGTAGTTCGGGCCCCCGGCTAATCCCAATGATTGTTTGAACCTTTGGAAAACGATTCGTTAAAGTTAGGGTAATTTCATAAAATCGCAGCGTGCACCCGTCTAGTGCGTCCTATTTCAACACTTGAGTGGTCATATGACAAAATGCTTATTGACTGTGTTTGTTCGAGCCAGACGGGAAAATATTTGGCACTCGGTCGTAACTTTACGGGGAAAGCAAACATCTTTTATGATGTCGTGAACCGTTTTACGTTCAAAATTGATATTTTTTATTATTCATCATGTAAATTGTAGTTTCATTACCGTTAAAGAAGAATGTCTGCGTTGGCAAGCTTGCGGATGAAATTGGTCCAGGGGTAGTTAAGAAAACGAAGACCCCCTACGAAAACGAAGACACATTACTTGCAAATTGATCCATCAGTGGGCTGCCTTCCCACAAAAATGGGAAGCTGTTGGGCCATTGTTTGGGCCACGCACGCCACGTGGAAGAAACCGCGTGCACCGTAAATTTGAAGAAGGCACTTCAAAGCTTCTCATCGGTACTTAATTCATGATTATTCATGAAATGTCACTCAAATCAGTTTCCGGAAACATTAAATACAAAGACTATTATGCAAGCTTTGTGCTGTGTGTTTTGCTGCTGGTAAAAAATGTCATCGCGTTCTCTGATTCGCTTAATATATTTGCTTTACGTTAAAAAAAAAAGAGCTAAGGAAACGCAATTAAAATCAAACAGTTATCCTATTTTAGTTGATGGAATATATGTATTCCATATATTCTCCTTGACAGTTATCTTATGTAATGATATCTTTACCTCCAGCGCTTAAAGCGTCACGCAGCGCATCTTCCATAGGCATGTCATGTCTCTTCTATTAAATCTCGTTTTAGCTTTGAAGTAGTCCCATTGAAGGCTCCTTGGGGCTCTAATGTTGAAATATTCCGTGATAAATTACAGACGTGCCAAATTCAGAATTCAAGATTTCCGTAAGGATGTTCGTTTTCGTAGTGTCTCATAAACATAATCTTTGTCCACAAAGGTAAACCGACCTCTTTTGTACTTGTTTTAGTAATGTGTCTTCGTTTTCGTGACGGGTCTTCGTTTTGGTGATGAGTCTTTGTTTTCGTAGGGGGTCTTCGTATTCGTAATGGATCTTCGTTTTCCTAAGGTCTTCGTTTTTGTAACTACTTTGGTATAAGCGTTGCCGAACAAAAATGCAGGTTTTTAAAGTACGGCACCCACGCGGATGCTAGGGATGATGTGGGAGAAGAGTGTCAAATGAAACGGCCGTAAATTCGTCAGATATCAATACACTTAAGGGTGTGAGGCTTTTTACGAAATTCGAAGTATTTTTCCTGTGACTTCCCGCCGCGTGACAACAACCGAAATATTATTGTTTATTGTCCAGCTTCAAAACTGATTTTCTCGGGAACCAATAGGAATATCTAAAACCCACAGAATGCTATCATTACGCTATCAATGCAAAGTGTCAATGCAAACATTACGCTAGCGACATTGCTGATCCAAGCAGTATGCAAGACGAGTGTCATATGAACTTCGTAAAAGACCTTGCTCCTTGTGGAGTCTTTGTGGGTCAGTGGTTAGAGCATCGGAAAGCGGAATCCGAAGGTCTGAGGCTCGATTCCTCATGGGGACTCAGAACTTTTTCTTTTTCCCACGCTTGTGACAAGACGAAAAAAGCAAAAGCCGCAAAAGAGACAAAGGTAATTGAAGTTAATTCTTTAAGTCTTAGAACAGAGTCCCCAAAATAGCAAAATCTACAACCCACCCAGCAGACAAGGTGTGGAGCAATATTCTTGTAGAACAAAGTCTTTTCTTTGAAATGAGGCACTTTGTACAATTGCTTTGTGTTTACGGAAGGTACGATAGGAAATCAATTACGTCAAATAAATAAATTGTCTGTCAAAATATAATCTGTAATTTATCATGGCACTTTTGCACTTTAGCTGAGCCGAGACATTTGCATTGTACCAATAGCCACCTCCTCGACTAAATTTGCGTACGTTTAGCATAATGTATAATTTTCATTTCATGTGACTATGTCACTACGTTTTTGCCGTTTGGAAAACAATGACCAAAAACGGACGAAAAGGGCATTTTTGCTTTCAGTCCTTCTGCGGACGACATGTGTATCTCTCCACCTTGATATTTTAGAAAGAAGGGCTCGTCCTTTTCAGCCACCGCTGTTGGAGAACCAACAGCCAAAGTGATACCCTCAAAATCAGGGTCACGCTCTTCAAAACAACTTCATCAAGATCCTTGACAGCGACTTCTACCTCACAAATGAAGCACAGAACATCTCTCATAACGACGATATCATGTACTCAATATTATCATCCTTTTATGATTATTCCATCCGCCCCAGGTAACTTTAAAAGAAGGAATAACATTCGAAAGATTTGAGCTTTTGAAAAAGCATTTAAACCAAGATGGCTATTGTTTTCTTGTCACTCAAACACGTAATGAAACCGTATCAAACCTATTGTCAGAGGTAGATGAAGCCCATCAAGACCTTGAGCAAACCAGCTCCTCTAACTACTACTACAATCAAACCCTAAAGATGAAAATGGGCTTTGAATGGGCAGAAACGTATTGCAATTTCCTGTTTCTTTTGAAGCTAGACGACGACGTGTTTGTGCATATTGCAAGGCTTCTTTCATTCTTGATCGCCACTGCCACGACAAAGACTTTAACGTTTTAGTAGTATTTAATTTAGACATTCTATCTTTTAGACGTGTTCACGTCAATTGAACCCTTTCATTTTGTCTAGGTAATCACATGATTTCTCGTGCAATTTGGAATAAATAAGCACGAGTAAATTTTTTTAAAGACTAACAAAATTGCACGAGCCCGTAGGGCGAGTGCAATTTGTGGTCTGTGAAAAAATTAACAAGTGCTTGTATATTCCAAATTGCACGAGAAAAATCGTGTGATTACGTGTTAAAAATATACATGGAAAATACGAGATGGCTTATCATAATTAAGCATAAGCAAAGCGCGCGCATCAAGTGCAAAAGTAATTTATTCAAACCGTGCGTTCGGTCAAAGTAACCGCGTACGGTCAAAAAAATAATATGCAATGATATCTTCACATCTTTAAGGCGCAAAAAAGTTCAAAGTCCGGCTAAACGGTTCAAGGAATTGTTCAGTCTGTTTCCGAATCACTTTCGATGAAATGGAATCGTCGTTTCCGAGGTTTAACCATGTTTGTTTTTAATTGCAACATCCAAGGCTCGTATTCAAAACAATTACCAATAAACAGATTATATTTGAACTTGCTTGAAACCATGGATGGTAGCCCAACTTTTTCCTGAAAGATATTTGCAGCTAAATGTTGTTGTTCAAACTAAGATGACTGGACAAAACGGCTAATGTAGCGATGACTGCCGTCCTTTGCATGAGGTTACACATATAATACTGACATTAAAATAATAAAAACTATCTACGGACTGGAAAGGGCTTATTACTGGGCGATGATTACTGATTGATACATGCACTAAACACACTGTTGTTTATGTTCCTACATGTTACAAATGAACTGATACCCCACTTCAATTACTGACAGTGATTAAGGACATTAAACAAACAGTATACACATGTACCTTTGAACCACGGCATCTGCTTCAGCCTTTCCTCGAGCTCGTCTTTGTCTATAACACCATTTGAAAGCCAGTACTGCACTCCTCTCTTTATGATGTTAAGGCCGGAAACTGTGGGCGCATAGCATCAAGTGAAAGATCCTGTAGTTCATCAAAACCTTACAAAGCATGTAATCTGTTAAGAGGAGAGACTCCAGGAAAGCCAATCTCCCTTGAAAGGTTTTCAAACATTGTTCGCGTTCTTCCTGCTCCATCTCAGCCATTTGAGGGATTTCATCCTTCAAATCGCTTTCCTCCCAAGGGAATCTAAGCTGCATCCTAAATCCAGTATTTGAACTGGTAGATAAACTCCTGAAGTTCAATTGAAAAAAATTATTTAGAATAGCTAAGAAAAAAAAAAGAAAAAGGAAAGAAAGAAAGGAAATAAAAGGTAAAGATTTACAGCATTTGTTTAAGGAGGTCAGACAAATATTATGTTTGCAATTTCATTAATCTTGAAAATCAATTGGCAAAATATATCTCATCTTAAATGAGATGAATTGACCCAGAAGGGGGCCTAGACTGTCGAAGTATCGAATTAAGCAACCGACGGACATGACAATATTCAAGCTGCACCTCTTTGAAGTAACATTGACTGCTAAGTCTTCTTTCTTGTGTTCACCTCTGCTGGACTGTTTGTTTCCTCACTGAAATTGTTGCTATGATGATTACCAGCGTAGAGTTTTTGCTTCGAGTTCCTTTTACCTCGTCGTTAAAAATTCAAAAGAACTTACTGCGGAATTGAACGCTTATGCCCGATCGAAGTCTCATTTGACTCGTTCTGACCGTCGAACTAACAACGGTAATTATTTCTTACTTTTCGAACAGGGTACGTTCAAAACAAGAAAGCTCAAAGCTGCTGCATTTAGACGAATGAGAAATCAGTTTGCTATAAAATCAATCTTGAATAAAAACTAAAGTGCACGTGTAACTACCACGCGACTGAACTACTAGGCGAACATGGATAGAGTAAACATTTTCATTTTATGCTCTTCGAATGGGCAGTAACGTATTGTAATTTCTCATTTCTTTTGAAGCTGGACGACAACGTGTTTGTGCATATTCCAAGAGTTCTTTCCTTTTAGAGTGCTCCCAACACGCCGAAGAAAAAGATTTACGCTGGCAATCATTACACAAATAATGTTCCTTTTAAGGGAGGAAAATGGAAGGTAACTTACGAGGAATATAACGAGACGATATTTGGATTTCTGCCCCGGCTTTGGATATATTTTACCTCACGACGTTGTAAGTCTATTTGTCGAAATGTTCTCTTATTTTCCGCTCTTTCGACTGGACGATGTCTACGTAGGCGTTCTCTCAAATACGAACGGAGTAAGTGCCACAAACAATAATAGATTTGAGGTATGGAATCCACCAGGACTTGGAGGAGAATGCCAGATGAAGATAGAAACTTTCGTAACTTCGTGGTTAATAATTGTTAACATGAGACAAACAAATCTATGAGGGTTCTAAATAAGGCTCCGATAATTACGTATGTAAATTTAAATTTCAAGGGAGTTAATTCTATTCGCCCTGTGGGCTGATGCAAGATAGTATTGCGCCTTAGCGAACTAAGTGTGTTGCTGAATTTAAGAGCGAAAACACGTTTTATTTGACATTTCTGTAGAAATTATCTTTGTTAAGCGGTAAAAGGAACATTATTTGTTTAATGATTGCCAGCGTAAAGCCTTTCCTTCAAAAAGGAAAAAACCCTTGGAATGTGACAAACACGTCATCGTCAAACTTCAGAAGAAGCGAGAAATAACAATACAATTATTACAATACGTTACTGCCCATTTGAAGCCCATTTGTATCTCGGGTTTGATTCCAGAGGTCAAGTAGTAGTTAAAGCAGCTGGCTCGCTCAAGGGCAAGAAAACAATAGTCCACCTTGGTTTAAATGCTCTTTCGAAAGCCCCTAACTTAACTTTCCTTTTTTTAAAATTACCTGGAGCGGATGAAATGATCATAAGATGATAATATTGCGTACAAGATATCGTGGTCATGAGAGATGTTCTGTGCTTCATTTGTGAAGTAGAAGTTGCTGTCAAGGATCTTGATAAAGTTGTTTGAAGAGCATGGTTTAGATTTTAAGGGTATCACTTTATTGGTTCTTCAACAGCGATGATTGAAAAGGACGAGCCCCATAAGATACCAAACTGGATGGTGGATACAATGATGTCGTCCCCAGAAGGACTAAAACCAAAAATACCTTTTCGTCTCCTTTTGGATCATTCTTTTCCAAACAGCAAAAACGTACTGATATGGTCACGTGGAAGGAAAACTATACATCACAGCCAGATGTATGCAAATTTAGTTGAAGAGGTGGATATTGCTATAATGCAGATTTTTCGTTTCAATAATAGGGCGAAGTGTCATTATAACTTGCTACTTACATTTAAACAGACAATTTATCTATCTGACGCAATTGATTCCCTATCTTACCTGCCCTGAACACAAAGCGATTGTACGAAGTACCTCATTTCAAAAAGAAGACTGCTCTACTAGATGTCCCTGTAGTTTGAATATCGAAACAAAATTCTAGACGTTACGGTGCAAGTGACTGAGGTTCGAAAACAACCCCACACGGCAAAATAAATGCATTCCCCAAATAAACACTATGTTGATACACAACTTAAATTTCAGGCATTAAAAATATATTAATAGGCGGGAACGTAGAAGCCTTAAAAGAGGTAAAGATAATCAAAGCTAATTTTTAATCAAAACTAGACGCATATTTGCGTTCACCCAGGCTTTCTGTTGGAAATAAAGTTTGTTTTTTGTGCTTGCATTTGCCTAAGTTTTTATGTAATTATTGGTTTATCCTGTAACTGGTTTTTTCTCTTGGTATGCAATCCCTAAAGAATCAGGTGATAATATAATACCAATGTCAGACCAAAAGAAAATACAAATAAGAATAGCACTGTCGTATTTAAAACTGATAATAATTGATGAAATCTCTTTGGTATCAAATACTTTGCTTATTGTACATCCATCAACAACTAAAAGAAATATTGTCAACATCAAACAACTGTCCATTTGCAAGACTTAGCATTATTAAAGTTGTTGATTTGTATTAACTTCCACCAATTTGAAGAAAATTTGTCTATGAAGAATGTAAAAATAATGTTTACAATTTGTGCCATTCCTAGCTACTTTTCAAGATGATAGAGTTGACTTAAAAAATGAGACAAAAGGATGACCAACACCAATTTGAAGAAAATTTGTCTATGAAGAATGTAAAAATAATGTTTACAATTTGTGCCATTCCTAGCTACTTTTCAAGATGATAGAGTTGACTTAAAAAATGAGACAAAAGGATGACCAACCATTCACAGAGTTATTAATTAGATTCAGAACTGCTTCACAAACAGAGGGTGATATTCAATGCATTCAGTCATGGCTAGTGCATCCTGAAGATACTGATTACCCAGTATCCATTGTTTTGTATTTTTGGGACAGTTTATTCTGTATTTCCTGTTTATTTTTCATATTCCTAAATTGCTTTTCTCCAAGAATATTTTTTTCTCTGCTGGCTCCATTGCTTTATAGTATTGTTTTTTTTTCTATGTTTAATCATCAATTTTTTCTTTCCTTTCTATCAACTACTTTACTTGAATATGTAGCAAACAGTATTCTGTATTACCCTAGAGTATTATATTTCTCTGGTATTTTTCTAATGACATCAACAAGTGAAGCCATTCCATTTATTTTTTTAATGTACAGAATAGGAGACATGTGTCTTTCATTATAACGCAGGGGGAATACATATAATTTGATCTTTTTGTGGGTTTATAGGTACAACTGTTGCAGTACAAAGAAAATAATAACAAAAACCCTGTACATTCACTATTATGTATTATTTCATTCTCAAGTATTGATTTGCATTGAAGTGAATCAGTCAATAGTCCTTCACTCTCAAACAAATTATCCAAATTTACTTCAGTTTCACAAACATCTACAGTTCTTGGAAGATTAGCTGGTGATTACTCACTGTGTTCTAAACTTGATTTACAACACATCTTTTTGCCTTTGTCAACAATAGTGGGTAAGGATGAGATGTAATTCCAGTAATTACATGATTTCTTTATAGAGTAGTAGAGAGTATAAAGCTACAGCACAACTTAGATTAAAGTTTATGATTTCATTCAGCCTGTTTTGAGAAACCAGCCTATTTTGAATATTCTCAATTTGTGCTCCTCTCTCTTCAAATATATTGTTGTTATGTATACTCTGAAAATAATGCACTAAACTATCAAGAGACAGTACTTTAAGAAGAACACATGTACCTTGAGGCTGCCCTCTAACATACAAGTCACTTACATGAGATTCAAATATTTTGAACCCCATATTACTATTACAGTAATACACCCTGCTGTTAACATGAAATTGGTGTAGCTTTCAAATATGAGTGACTCAAAGGCCCTTGGTAAAGATGTACAGTACTGATATCCCTCTATAGCAATTTCTTGGTGAACAGTACCAGAGTAGCTTTCACTGTATTCCAGTTGATAATCAGTATCAAACACATTTAATGCTGTTGGTAATTCTGACTGCATTAAATATGCCTGTCTGGCTAATCATGACAAACTTGAATAAAGCTGAATTCCAATATTCATTATTTGTATAAGATCATTTGCAGAGCTGATCCCTTGTGTGTCATTGTAAATCAAAGAACAAAAACTCATTGCAACACATTGTTGTCCTGCATTCTGTCCAAAACTAACTCGTTACCGTGACTATAGGAAGCTACTATTGTTTTGTTAGGGTCAACATATGTTGGAGGGCCAGGATTTTTTTCTGTCTCTACTTAATTTATAGTTGGAAAAATTTGCTAAACGAGCTTCGTTCTTGCAAGAACACATCAGTTTGTTACAAGAAAACAATTTCAAATATCGACTGGCACGATATTTTACCCTTCATATACATTGACGAATTCTTTCACAAAAGTTAAACTTAAATGTCTTTTTATTTAATAGTTTTTTAGAGTTAATATAACAGTGTAATGTAGATGATATGGGGATACATGGGAGGCAAATTGCATACACAAATTTTTCTAACCTTTCTGCTCTTGTTCCTTAACATTTTAAACTTCGTATTGGTATTCTGCTTGGTTCACGATCACGTCTACATACACGATGAGATTTGCGTCTATGCTTCTCTCGATTAACATTAGATAGCTCAGTTGATATAGCATGTTTCTCGATGAAAGGTTCCCCGATAAATGTTCGCTCATAAAGAGATATCTTATAAGATTCACGGAACGACCCGTTCCGAAAACGCTCGAAATCTTTCAGTGTGGGTCTACCGCGAACGATGTAGGCATATTTTGTATGCGTTTTGAGCGTCTTATACACATTGTCTGTGCTGATTTTGCACCGCGAAAACTTCTCTTCGTCCGCCATTTCACCATCCTGTGTGCTCATTAGTCAAAACGGTACGCATGCATGATGAGGACTTGACTGCGATTTGCGACCGAACGACGAAGAAGAACCAAGCCGGAATTTCCCTTGGAAAGCCCGAGTAATTAATTCTTTTAGTCCGGGGGCAGAACAGGCAGATCACACTATGTGTTAATGATTAGTTATTGTTAACATTAACACTTGTGGTATTTTTTGGCCTTCATGGGCCGTTTGAGGTGTTTTTTTACGATATTACTTTCCGCAGTTTGAATGCAATAAGCTCCACGTGAAAAAGCACATTGGCCGAGGAAGCTTTGGGGAGATTTTAGTTTCTCTTACCGAATTCCGAATTACACGGTTCTTAGAGACACTTAGTTCGTGGTAAAGGGGGACGCAATAAAAGATGCGTTTAATCACGTCCTTTATCATGAGGAGCTTTGGCCCCGAAAAAAATTTGCAGCCTGCATTCTACGAAGGCGCTACATTTCTGTCCTCAGTATTGAGAATTACATTAACGCTTGCGGTCGGTTGGTGTCACAATAAAAAACACAAAAACACAATAAATCTTGCATTAGAATCACTTGGCGTGATCTCCTCATGGAGGTTGAAGTCTTGGATCGATCGGCTGAGCTTTCTAGAGTTACGGGATCCAATCTCGACCCCAAAAAGTACTGGTATGTGCTTACGAAAAAGTTAAATGTGAAATCAGGCCGAACGCTTTTGCAAACGAATTGTTTCGTCGATTCCGCAATGACTGCAATACGCTCTATCCCGGCAGCAGGTCTCAAGCGCACCAACAAAGGCTGTTCGTTCAACGCCCGGTAACCAAACAACATGTAGGATTGCATCTTCAATTGGTATCTATGCCAGACTAATTAGACTGGGGGAATTCCAGCAGATGGATTCGCGAGGTCTCAAAATATAATCCTGTTGTTGATGCAGTAAACCAAATCGCTCTCGACCGTACACTTTACGCGGGAAATGCCTCTAGTCGAATAATCATGGGAAATTGCAAAGATGTCAGCCAAGAATAGCCGAGCTTGACAACGACATTCGGGAACTAGTAAAGGACAATAATTATATAAGTTAACAGTGGATGCCTCGACTTTCAGTCAAAAAAAAGAGACCAGACAAAGAGAGGTCTCCTGATATAAATTAGTGTGAATTCAATTTTCGTGCCCTCTTGGGTAGTGTACACCTGAGGGTTACTTTTAATCTCTTCTATACCCTTCTTGGTAGTCTATACCTGAGAGTTATTTTTAATCTCTTCTAATCAACGCAGTTTCTAGACTTTAAGAGGCTGTCTCTCTTATTTCCACCAGGTCAGTTTTGTGTCAAAAATAATTTTGCCTGAATCTCTGTTAACAGAAAGACTTTACCTAGGAAAGAACTAAATTAGATTTGGTTTGATTCGAAATAATTTTCTGACTGCATTACGGGCCATAATTATTTCCCAGTCCGTAGGGACCGTCGCAACGTCTCGAAAATTGAAAAATAGGCATATTTTGTAACGTTGTAAAATATTTGATTCGCATAGTTAAGCCACAGAATTTATATCAGATTGCTTAAAAACCTTTCTAGTTTGCCAAGAAAGTTAGAATTTGCCCTCTCAACATAGTTGAAAAAGCGAATTTTAGCATATTCTGACCACTAGAAATCGCCATCGGCCGATGGCCGTAAATAACCTTGATTTAGACGCTAAGTTTTGGGATTTGGGACCTGCTTGACGATTCTATCCTACACAGCCGTTAAGTTTAGACCTTTATAGGCAAAAATATGCAAAAACCCCTGTACGTTTTCGATTTTTCAAAAGTTATGACCGTTTGAATCAGCACATGTACGAGCATTCGCGATTTTTTCGCCTACACCAAAATCGAACCACTGGAGCAGATTTCGTCATAAATACAGCTTACCCGCTTTGCAGCCCGGCTTCATGGCTCACTTCAGAATTTTTCTAATAACCAAATTGGTGAAATCCATGATAACTTCAACAAATAGCTAGGTATTGCCTTCGAAAAGTAGGCGGCATCCATCGTGATTCGTGGTGTCAAAACAAATGTCGGAATTGGCCACATTTCGCGGTGAATCACCCATTTAACATCGCTGCAGAGCTGAATTTTTTCCAAAATCAGAATATAAACTCTCCATGTCCGGAAGCTGAGGGAGAAATGAAGATTTTAGGCTTCTGAAGTGAAGAAATAATCGCTTAAATTTAGATCCAGTTCGATGTTATACTGTTCTCACAAAGGTCCGCACAAAAGAGAAGACCGCTGATAGCTTGTGCCGTACGTTGTGCCATATGGTTTTGTTTTGTATCCCAATGTAATATTTGGGCAGAAAAATTTTGGATGAAAAGAATAAATGCTTTTACCTGGAGTTTGATATCATATTATTAAAAAATCAATTTCAAATATCCTGAGCTTGCTTCTCTCGGTTCCGCGTCGGTTGTGTCCACAGAACAGCAACCTGTCAATAGCCGGAGAAATCGGCTACCAACGTGTTAAAAACTTGACACATGCTTCGTATGAACAGATGTGATAAGTGTTGCTTTTGGTAAATTTTCAGTCGATTTCATCAAAACATTTCACTGACTACTAGATATTATAATATATTACACTATAACAACGCCGTCAGAACTTGATATCGGAAGTAAAGGTAGTTTGTATCTGTAGAGCATATTCTACACTTTCAGCCATCGTATGAGACATTGTTTACATAAGTCTACTGAGAAACACACTGACAATCACTAATCACGTCCGACAGTTTGTCTATGAGGATCTGTTTTTTGTCTCTCAATTTTACAGGGATCTCAAAATGACTACAGATGGCTCTCAACAAACCACATTGAATTTTTGAAGTGTGTTATTGTGGTAACGTTTACAGAGGTCCTACGTATCGTAGCAGATTGGACGTGAGAATTTGATCTCTTTGTTAACTTTGTTTACCAGATCTTATCTCTCGGAATTTTCCTGGACGCATTGGATATCTTCCTCCTCATCCAGTGATATCCCGATCACACCCTGATCTTTTCGCCGCATTGCTGCTAGCCGGGAGAAAAAGCTCTGAACTTGGCTCTTTGTCAGCCACTGTTCTCTAGTGAACAAACGTGCATTTGATTCATTTTTCGCATTTCGCATGTCCACTGCAACTTGGGCGGGGTCGGCCTTTCGCCCAGTTCTTTCTCCAAGTGTAAACCGTACCGTTAGGTATTCTTTTACCTTCTCTGAAAATCTAACGCTGCCCCTTGGTTTGCTTACGGCCCATCCTGTTCGTAAAGACGAGTGGGGCGAAGTATCCACGGGAGAAGTGAGTGGTGTACTAGTATCTATCGACGAGAACTTAAGGGCTCAGTCCCTTTTGATTGCATCATACTGGCTTTAACCTGCTGACTGTATGCTTTCCAACGTCCAGGTGCAGCTCCAGCTGCGAAAAGGTTTCGAACACTTCAACACATCCAAACACAGAGCATTCAAACAATGGCGTTGTACTCTCTGTTTCCCTGCTGCCCTTTGAACGACGCTTGACCACACGCTTTTCAGGAGGATCATAAAAGCCCTTGAGATTCTATGGTTTGAAGGGACGTTTGACCTTGGTGCTTGATATAAATTATGTCATATGGGCATGGAATGTACTTCCCTTTACCGATGCCATAACATTTCCAAACTCTCAGACCGATATCTCCATATTCGAAGTTGTGGAAGCTACTAAAATGCTCAATCTTATTTATACAGAGAGTGTTCTTTGATTCGTCTACTATTCTTATTGCAGCTGTTGTTCCCTTCGCTGGGTGTTTCGTCAATGCGTATCCTCTGTCCAATGAAAGCTTTAACAACCTCGCTGAAGACTTGCTACAGACTGAAGCCTCTCTGGTTTCGAAAAAGCACTTGCATGCCATACTACACCTGCAGGCCTTCCAAAAAAAATAAAGGGTCAGCGGGTTGACCCGCAATGATTAATGCGGACCTCTGTTATGCGCGATAGTGCAATCGTTCAGCTTTAAATTCCAAAACGCTAAATTTCGACACATAGACTTACAAGTGGAGTTCTATGACTGATTCTTGAGGAGAATGCAGCTGCAATCCAAAGTTTCAACGGGACATTAAGCGCGAAACATGGCTTTAGTTTTCGAGTTTAGTTCGCAACAACGAGTCAAAGAAGAGTATCGACAGATGCCGACCGCTGAATTTTGAAGGTATTTGCTGGAGCATATCAAACTCATGGGGTACAAATAGTCTTAACATGAATGTAGTGACCACACCCACTTCAACACCCCACTCAAATCGAGTGTAATTTTCGAATGTTTTACTATCGTGCAGATTCTCTACGGAAAAAGCACTCAATGTACCTTTGAAATATTAAACTATAATATTGTGGCTTTCTATTTCGCTAATTTTCTAACTTGAAGGTAAAGTTTTTCCCTCGTCATTTTTACCTTTTCTCCGAGCGGTTGCGTGAAATTAACAAGGCGTTTTTGATCAAAACACGACCGAGCGAAGGGTCTCGGGCGATATCTCTTTTACGCAGGCGCAAATTAAAAATGTACCGCCAGAATCAAAAAGAGGAACAAATTTCCTTTGTTTTGATATCTAAAGTGTCGAACAAAAAGCAGATTTACCTTCGTCAAATGGCGTTTCAAAACAGCTGTATCTTCCTCCTTTTGATTTTTCCTGTTTTGTAAGCGTGAAAGCAGTAGGAGAGAGATCGGGAAACTCAGAAAGCGCTTTGGAAATTAATCTGCCATCGTTTACTTACAAGATAAACAAGTAAGATTTGTGAAGTTCGTTGAAGTATGAAGTCTAAATAAATGCCTTTTTAAAGCTTGTTTGCTGGATTTTTCGTAAACTTCCCTGATTAATTTTTCGTTTCAGCTTACTAGTCTATACTATTTCAAAGTAATGTCAAGACGAAAACGGAGAACCATGAGTCGGTCCTTTCAACAATCGTGAACAAAGTGTTTGAGCAATCAGGTCTACGAGGTGTAATAATCAATAGCCGCATATCAGAAGTCTTGAGAAAGAAAGTATCCTGCCTTCAGAAAGCTGTAAAGAAAGCTGATAATCGTGGCAGAAGGCAATTAAACGGGCCCTCGGTATCGATTTAATATCATATCGATCTCAATATCACACAGTTTTGTATCTTTCTTCCGTGGATTCGCCTTTCTAACGAGGGTGTATGTTGAGAATTCATTGCAAAATCGCTTTGTGTTTTTTAATTTCCCTCTTTGAACCGAGAAAAACAAATGTTCGTCGCACTGGGGAAAGAGTTTGATATGTATCATAAAGTCCAGTTCACCAGTTTGGGAAGCGAGGAATATCTGAAATTTCACATAAACCCATGATTTCTCCGGCTATTGACAGGTTGCTGTTCTGTGGACACAATCGACGCGGAACCGAGAGAAGCAAGCTCAGGATATTTGAAATTGATTTTTTAATAATATGATATCAAACTCCAGGTAAAAGCATTTATTCTTTTCATCCAAAATTTTTCTGCCCAAATATTACATTGGGATACAAAACAAAACCATGTGGCACAACGTACGGCACAAGCTATCAGCGGTCTTCTCTTTTGTGCGGACCTTTGTGAGAACAGTATAACATCGAACTGGATCTAAATTTAAGCGATTATTTCTTCACTTCAGAAGCCTAAAATCTTCATTTCTCCCTCAGCTTCCGGACATGGAGAGTTTATATTCTGATTTTGGAAAAAAATTCAGCTCTGCAGCGATGTTAAATGGGTGATTCACCGCGAAATGTGGCCAATTCCGACATTTGTTTTGACACCACGAATCACGATGGATGCCGCCTACTTTTCGAAGGCAATACCTAGCTATTTGTTGAAGTTATCATGGATTTCACCAATTTGGTTATTAGAAAAATTCTGAAGTGAGCCATGAAGCCGGGCTGCAAAGCGGGTAAGCTGTATTTATGACGAAATCTGCTCCAGTGGTTCGATTTTAGTGTAGGCGAAAAAATCGCGAATGCTCGTACATGTGCTGATTCAAACGGTCATAACTTTTGAAAAATCGAAAACGTACAGGGGTTTTTGCATATTTTTGCCTATAAAGGTCTAAACTTAACGGCTGTGTAGGATAGAATCGTCAAGCAGGTCCCAAATCCCAAAACTTAGCGTCTAAATCAAGGTTATTTACGGCCATCGGCCGATGGCGATTTCTAGTGGTCAGAATATGCTAAAATTCGCTTTTTCAACTATGTTGAGAGGGCAAATTCTAACTTTCTTGGCAAACTAGAAAGGTTTTTAAGCAATCTGATATAAATTCTGTGGCTTAACTATGCGAATCAAATATTTTACAACGTTACAAAATATGCCTATTTTTCAATTTTCGAGACGTTGCGACGGTCCCTACGGACTGGGAAATAATTATGGCCCGTAATGCAGTCAGAAAATTATTTCGAATCAAACCAAATCTAATTTAGTTCTTTCCTAGGTAAAGTCTTTCTGTTAACAGAGATTCAGGCAAAATTATTTTTGACACAAAACTGACCTGGTGGAAATAAGAGAGACAGCCTCTTAAAAGTTCAAAACCATGACATGTATAAAGAAGGGTTTGTCGGAGTTAGCCTCATATAGGCCAAGGTCTTCGATCATGGAGGTGAAATCAGCTTTACCGGTGCCGCATTTTAGGCTATTTTGAGTTTCTTCTTTTTACGTGTCGAGCGAAATAACATTGAATGCGCAGCCAACAGTAGGTAACTTATGTTGGGAGCGAAGTAACTTATTTGATGGAGCGATCTAACCATGATGCGATGTAACCGTAATTATTTGTTACACATGAAAGGTGACTTATTAAACTACAAATGAAAACATGGGGTAAATTTCTTGAGAAACTGTGGTGCTACGTCGGCGGAGGGTGTTACAAGGTACTTTCGTTTTATTAACTGAGTTGGCAATGTAAATTAGCCACCGTAGCAAGTTTCTAAAACTGACACTCCATGCGTCATCCCTTCGTCAGAGCGAATAGGAAAGGCTAAAGCTTTGACAGTAAACTAAAGCTGAAGACACATTTTTACTAACGTATAATTTTGCTCTTCATTCACGGTAAAATGTAACGTTACACTCCGCTTTTAACAGGATTCCTCAATTTTCTTGGTTACTTTGCTTATCAAATATAATACAATGTAATATCTCTTCGTAAATTTAAATTTTGCTTCCTCAAATTTGCCACAATAGCTGAATTCTAGGCAATAATATCACACATATCACATCTTTGTAATTGAGAAAGATGCTCTAACAAAAATTTGATTAATATAGAAATTTTAATTTCTGCATTTATGCAAAGCCTACCTGTGGCCTTCAAAATACAGACAAAAACAAAACAAACTTTCTCAGTTTCCTTTGACATCAAGAATTAGGAAACATTCGTTTTGTTGCATCGAGGTCACCAGCAAGCGGATATGGTACCCAGTCACCTCCCCACCAAAGTGTAATCGATCTCGCCACCAAACACTCATCCGGTAGCGAATATTGTAATTGTATTAAGTATAGCTATTAAATGTGTGATTAAATAAATACACATTTTCCTGAGCTGTAACTTGCTGCTCGTTGGTTTCTGAAGTTAAAAGTTATCAGAATCTCCTTAGGAGCTTTCAGAACACTCGTTTTACGATAAAAAATGCACGCGATCGATCACATTTCTTGTCGATCTTGTCGTCCGTTCGTTCGATTAATAAGTTACAGTCACTTTGGTTTACTTTTCCTTTGATAAACATCAAATAAGTTTGGTGGCAATTGGTGGTGGTGTGCAGTGGCGAGCTCGCTGGTGGCGAGTCTTCCTGGTGGCGAGATGACTGTAAACCGCGCAGATACATTGAGGGCTTCACTGAATGGTATCCTCTAAAGAATTTTTATCCATTTTCAAGTTTACCTCTGAGAAAATACTTGTTTACCAGCACATCTGGGTATTAAGCCATTATTAGTTGAGTTTGAGCGTGGTATTACGAGTTATCAATACCGACGTCTGAGTTATCTGTCGAAGCCAGAAGCTGACGCAGATAACACAGACACGAGGTTGGATCCTTCTTGATATCATGTGAAACCGAATTAAATTATTTTGTTTTAATACATTTTTCAAACTAGCTGCAAATGTTTGAGTCTGCAAAAGTTTGAGGACACTTATAGGACGAGGATCTTACAAACTAGGCAGATTTTGAACTCGACACGATAACCAAATACCTGCTGCAGATATTGCGTTATCATGACAACTTCACACGTTACTGTATATTGAATGTATGCTCTCCACCAATCAGAGTTTCAGAGTAAGTCTGACGTATAATCATACCTCTTAAACTCTGCACGATAACCGGGTTATACCAGCTGTTTCCCACAGCACATGCGAACGTATCCAGGAGGGATAAAATTACTTTGTACGACAGACTATTTTTGGACATAAATCGGTCAATGTCAAGGAAAGAAAAAAGTGAGAACTGCTTTCACTATCACACAAGAACAACTTCAAATTCTTCCGTCGCAGAATGATCAAAAATTAGATCAATAGGGGCAAGGAATAGGAGAAACTTCTCTTAAAAGAAACCGCAAAAATGAAACTCATACTTCCAGTGGTTACCTAAAAAGAGAGACACTTCAAGGTCTTTGCCTCTAGAACTGGCTTGAAACAAAACAAAGTTTAATAAAGTACAAAAGAAGTAGTCTAGTTTTACGCTCGTCTAGGACTATGTCAGAATCCTTTCCCACCGCCCACAGTCATCTGTTCAGCAGTTTGGTAAATAGGCTGAAGACCAGTTCTCCCCGTTTGCTCCTTTCTTGACTTGTACTCGTCGCTTGACTAATTCTCATCGTCTACGCTTCATGCTTGAAAAGGAGGGCTTGATCTCAGTATAAACTTTGAATTTTCGAAATGGAAGCTTCGGTTAGAGTTCAGAATGTGCCGCCACTTCAGGCTTGAACAACGGCAATTCTTCCAATCGCTTTTCCTCTTTTGCCATCTGAAAAGTTTCCCAGGCAACTTTTCGAAGTTGTTCGTCATGTTTTTTTCGTAAAGTAAACCACAGAGCCAGAGCGCACCTGCGCCCCTCTCGAATGCCGGCCACACCGTGAAGATTCTCCAGTCCAGCTGAAAAAGCTACGGCACGTCCGCATTCAGGTTTAAGTTTAGCCTGCGAAACACGAGGATTGCTGAGAAAGATTTATATAGGTGCCTAATCGACGGCGCCTCGTCACGCAAGTGCAACAAGCCCTCTTTGTGCGCGTTGTGTGACTTAATGGTTGCGTGGATGATTATATGCAACATGGAATGTCTTGAGAACTAGAGAATAATTATGGCGGATGACAGTCACGCTTCAAACTGCCAAAAGTATGGGAGTGCTCCATTTCAAAACAGATACATACTAGCATTATCATCCGGGTTCAGTACGTCTTAGCATGATGATTCCACAGAGTGATGTTTAAAGCGGCGTAGCTGTATTTTAAATCAAAACTAGATTATCTGTGGATTTGTGAGCCGTTTAACCGTTTACTAAATCCCATGATCTGGTCATCAATCAGGCTCCCTCCTGGAAGTAAAACATTTGCAGTCTCTGACTAATACATCTATCACCTGTCTACTGGTTAAAGTTACTTGCTTGTCACTTGTGAGACATGAAAGGGTCATACCTGAACAGAATCATCAGGATTAGCAAACAGAAACTCCCCTCCTTTGAAATCGCCATTCAGATACAGCAGAGCACTGAAATTAAATTAAAGAAAAATGGAACAGAATACCACTGATAAGAATTGTAACAGCAGTTTAACCATTTCGTAGAAGTGAGTGAGCGTTGTTCTTATTGCACGAAAAAGTCCACTTAAAGGTAAATTCCGGAAAAATAAGGCTCGAATGGGATAGGAGCCGCAAAGAGATGGCGGATGTGTGGAGCCTTCAGGATTTCTACACAAGGGGGGGGGGACTTTTCAAAATTCATAATGTGAACAGTGTTGCCTTCTATTTGAGATAAAAATAATCGATACTACCAAAAAAGAAGTATTTAAGAATAAAAAGCCCGAAAAAAAATGAAATGGTCAATCCACCCTGTTCTCATTCCCCACTTGATAATCATCTGTCTTGACCCTTCACGCCTTAATATAAGCATCCATATTCTCCTTACTTTTCACCATTTATTTCCTTTGGCACTGACAAGGAGAGTTGGTTTAACAATCAGTTAGGTTGGCGATCATTTCCCTTATTCTCACGATCTTAATGAATGATTCAGCAGTATTACTGGGGGCAGAAATTCGATGGTGGTCGCTCTTAGGGTTTGGAGGGACAAGGAGAGACATGATAAATATGATTACACATTAACAAAAATTAGGGCGGCAGAAAACTCGCTATGTAAAGCGATCACACTTAGAGCCTTCTAAACGCTAGAGGTTCTATTTCCCTCTGTCTTCATTCTATGCGAAAGCCACGCAAGCTGAGCAAAAACGGTATCAAAGGTCACCCAACTCCCATATCATAGTCACTTGAAATATTCTGACATACCTGAAATCTCTCCACGTATAAGCTGGCGACCGCTTGGGACAAGAGCCCAGTCCATCAAGGTTCAGTAAACAGTTGTCGGAATGAATTGGGTGGCTCAAATGGAAGCCTGGATTGGGATCATTGGGGTCTAGGTTGGATAGAGATCGCCTTGGTTACAATAAATTTTCATGTGACTAAATTTCAGCTCATATATGCCTTCGTGTAGCCGTACCCTCCGCCGAAGGAGAAACGGAAGGAAGGGAACGTCTACGAAAACCTGACACGAATCGTGTTATATGACGTCACTCTGCCGCCGGTAGAGAGCCTCAGTAAAATCGTCAAATCGTCAAATTTGCGGCTAAAAGTGAAAGCAATTCAACTCACCCATTAGCGAGGTGCGGCAGACAAGATGTGAATATGAAAAATACAAAGGTGTGTCTAGTTGAAAATAATCCTCGGTAAACTGCCGAACTTTATCGCTCAGGTTGAAGTACAGCTCCACTTCCTCTAGAGGTACTTCCTTTCGACGAGCTGCCTGATAGATTCAAATAACAAAATAGCGGTAAGCCAGGAGAGAAAGGCAAGATTCTAGAGGCCATATTTTTAACGACCACGGTGTAACTTGAATTGTATTGAAGAGTAAACGCTGACACGTGAAAGTGTTTACCCCGCAGAATTCTCGCTTGGCTTAAGTTTCTCCCGCTTGGTTAAAAGAAACTGGAAATTAGCTGTGGAATTTGAACGTCATTTAACGTTCATGAGTAAGCCGTAATTCTCAATTAGAGAAATACCTCTCCATTTCATCCAGTATTTTCGAACGTTTTATTTTCAAATGTGTCCCGCCAGTACCCATTCACTTCGAAAATCAACATACGTGGCTCAACCTACGGTTTTGTGATTTTCGAGTGAAGAAAAGGCACAGGGAGGGTAACGCGTCCTTCCCTGAGTGCCTCGATCACCCAATGACCAGGTCTCAAATCAAGACTTATCGATTCAGATTACTGTGCACTGATCACTAAATTTTGGTCAACACCTCTGTCAGTAATTCAAAAGAGGACAAAATTTTCATGCACACACAAAAATTGATGTACCTTTGAAGCAGAGAGTATCGTGACGCCGGAAAAGGTTTCTTTCTCAGTGAAAGAGAATGGCTTGTCGTCCTTGTTCCGTTGATCATAACCATCACCAAGTGTGGCTGTCTTCTGGAACAAACCAAACAGATCAAGACCCAAATGTATAGTACGACATGACCCTCGCTGGAAAACTCGATGAACACGATGCTTGAACCATTTTTCTTTGCGAAAAACGATGATCGAGAATTGAGATTTATTGGTACCAGACAAAAATTTCTTGATATGCAATCACGATATAAATTAATGGACCACAGGGAAGCTAGACATCAATTGCAAGTGTTAAAACTTCAACTTCCAAAAAATTCCTCAATACTCTCATTTGATAAAACAGAATCCTTTGTCAATCCAATTTGCTGAAAACCTCAGGTTCATCATGATTTACATCAAAATGGTTTTAATTCTATCATTTAGGGAAGGTACACTGCAATTAAATTTAAGAGGATGAATTTATAGTCTTTATCAAGCATGTTTAAACTAGTGGATAATTATGTCGCGCTCTTATTTTCGTTTAACGGTTTACTTGACCACTGGCTTTATTCTCGTCAAACTATTTTCTGAACATCCTTGTGATGCAATCGGAACAAAATTCTAAAAAAAGGAAGTCAAAGGTTTCTTTAGAGTAGAATCTCCCGGAAGAATTTGTTGAGTGACTGCATATCAAGACATTTGTCATCAATAATCTCCAAGATTCAAGTTTTTGTGTGTGTTTCTATTTTTTTCGACAAACAGAATGGAAAATTTCAGATTTAACCTAGCACTTGACACTTTCTTTAATGCATTATCCTTACATCTCTTTTTGCTTCAAAACAATTTCAAAATTTTGGCCAGAAATTACAATTTAATGTTGTTTACAATTTAAATCCTAGTTTTATATATATTTACAATCAAAACATTTTGTTTACATTCAATTAAGTGCAGCTCTTTTTTTAAATTTACAATTATGTTTATCTATTCATATCAAATCAAGCCAATCAGTTATGTACCAAATCAAATAAAAACATCTGAAATTACAAAAAAATAAAAATAAAAATGAAGTAAGGTTTTTGTTTTTAGGGTAAACATTTACGTTGCTCAAAATTATTTATTTTTTAAATGCAGCCACAAGTAATCATTGTTTCATGACATTTTACCATTTTAGAGGGTCATGTCTTTAACCTTATCATTTAAATGTGATAAACAAGCTGGCAAAAATCAGTTGAAATATATTTACTTTAGGTGCAGGATGACTAACAGAGGCTGCAAATGCCATTCTTTGTAAGAACATTTGCATATCGTTTCCAAATACATCAAAAGTACTCTGTTCTTTTTATATGATTAGAGGGGTTTGGAAAATGATGAAGTACGACTCCAAGGTTTATTTGACACAGATGGGCCAAAATAAAAGTGTTTTAATTGGTGTTTTTGTTCAAGATGTGTTTGCTTCTTGTTTTTACTTTTTTGTCATTTCTTTGTTTTGGTTTCTTGTTTTTTTGTTTTTATCATTTCTTCGTTTTGGTTTCTTGTTAAACAAAGCTTGTTGTGGTGAGTTTGACTAACACACAGTACACATATCTACTTGAATTCAGAAAAGGAAAATAAAACATTCTTTGAAGTTAAACTGAAAAATTTCCAACAAGGTTGTTTAATACATGCAAGTGTTACATAACTTTTATATTATCAAATGATGGCTGCCAGCTTGTTCTAATATTTAAGCCTATCTTTATGCCTTACGATTAAAACTTAAAAGTTGGCAGCAAATCTGTGTGGAACTATTCAAAGCAAAATAAATTACAAACACAAGCAAGGTAAGTAAATATATCATGTTAAGAAGAACATAATTACATGCTGTAGATTGATTTACAGATCACGCACTAAAGCAGTTAGTATATCTCTTTGGGGGATAATTCAGACTTTGAAAAGTGTGGTTGCCAGAAGTAAATTGGAGGCAGTAAAAGTGTATTTTCATGTTCAAATTCCTTTACAACCACATTGGTTTAATCAAAATGTCTATAGGGGGTATGTTTGTATCTTTGCATGAAGCATGTGTAAATGATTTCCCCCTTTTACTTCAAAATCATGGCCTGATGACTTATCTGCCTCTCAGGCTACAGTAAAGCTGTCCATGTCATTGATCCTAAGTTGTGTGCAAGGTGCAGTATTTGGGTATATTGTCATTTTTGGAAAGGAAGAGCAAATTTAAGTAAGAAGAGTCTTGCATTATGAGGCATATGAAAATTTGGGTGTTGGGTCTTACAGCAGAATTGTAGCATCACATTATATTTACCCGTGCACATTCAACAGAAACAAACTGCATACCTCAGCTAATTTAATCAACATCTTGCATTCCTTTTCAGTTGCCATTCCATCCACGGCAACCCTCCATGTGCCATTGAGGTCAGCCTCAGTCATAAGAATCTTTGATCCCTGAACAGCAAATAAAATGCGATCATCATCAATTGGAGAATAGCACAAGATGTAAAATTTTCTGTGAGCTAGCCAGGACTTAAAACTTGAATTTCATAAATGAATATGTGTTTAGGAGCTGCTGCCCTTTCACACACAAAAGCAGTAGCTAAAAGCAAATGCACAAGCTATCAACCAAAATCAACCCCCCCCCATTCTTCACTTAGGACTGTTACCCTTTATTTACCATGGAAATCTAATCATGCTGGGATCTTAATTATAAAGCTAAACTCTGCTCAAAACACACATTTTCTATCAGTTCATAAACCCTACCTTATATCTTTCAAAATTTACAACATCATCTGGCTTCTCCACTAGTGGTTCTTTCTTGATTGGTCCCAGACCCCAGAGCTTCTCAACAGTGTAAGTTTCCTCACCTTCTACCAGATCCTGAAAGAAGTAAGAAACATGTAAAAAGTAAATAAACTAAAACATCTGATAGCAGTTTGCCTATGTTGGATCTTGTGTGAAGGAGAATCATACAAAATGTATCTCTCCCCCCCCAGGAAACATCAGCATTATATATATATGAAGATATATAAGTGACAGGTCTTAGTGTTCAAACTTTTTCCTCCTTAATAAGACTTATCAAAATTAATTTCATTAATTGGTTGAATAAATTGACAAAGCAGACTTTATTTTTTTGTTTATTAATTCACTTGTGTCTTTTAAAAACACAGATACATGTACCATTAGGCACTTTTGTCCCTTCCATACGTAAGGCAGTCCATAAGGAATCTACTTGTAACATAAGTATATCACTCAAAAAATATGTAGGTACATGTGTATCTACATTGTTTATAATGAGCTCATAAACCTGTTGGCGCTTAATCAAACATGTAAGGGTAATTGGACTTCATTGTTGTTCACTTCTTACAGAGTCTAATAGTCACACTGACCTCCAGTTCCACTTCTTGTTCTTTTGGTTCATCATCCTGACCATCATGAAACCAGGTGTCACTGTCATCAAAATCTGCCTCATCCATGTACACCTTTGCCATCTGTAACAGTTTCCGCTCAATTGATGCTTCCTTGAAATACTGAATTGCTGCCTGAAAGTGATTTGGAGTTGAAAATCCATATTGTCGAAAAACTGGAGTTGCTGGTAACAGTATGAGTATTTTGAAGTTTTTGTCAACCCTTTCAATACCAAGATCTCACTGATAATTCTCCCTACCATATGCCATACAATTCTTATAATGTTAGGCTGGAGAATTTGGTATTGGATCAACTAATAATCCCTTAATTTATATTTTTCAGAATTTTCATCACTTGTCTACTTGATATTTTATTGATATTGTCAAGAGAATTCCTGTCTTGACCACTCATGAAAGTTTAAGAGTTAAGACCAACCATACACCCTGACAAAACCACACCTCACACTGGCAGAGAACAAGAACTGACGAAATAACTTTAATTAGTGCTTTCTTCACCATAAACACAACAGGTAGCATCCCCAAGAAAGAGGTCATGAATAAAAGCAAATGACCCTTGACCATTTGAGAATAATATGCTCTAAACTCATCTGTCTTCAAGCTACATTGTATCTGCTTGTAAGATTATTTGTTTTTATCAACTGAGTTAAAATTAAATTGGTCACTGTGGAGAGATTCTAAAGCTGACATTTTGAGTGTTAGTGCTTTGCCAGGACGAATCCAAGAAGCGAATTTGAATACATGGATTCTCTGATGAAGGGTGAAATGCTTAAAAGGTCAGCTTTAATAAAAAACCTTCCCAGTGGACCATTTAAATCATCAAATCAGCTGAGAAAGCCAATTGAAATTGTCTTGTTAAACTCCTCCAATGATGCAGCATCACAGTTTCTTTAGAATACTACCTTCTTTATTCATTTGCTTGACTGTGTGTTTGCTGATAAAAAAGATTCCAGTTCATACATTTGATGGCTACTTTGTTACCTTTCTTGCTGTTATTTTTAAGCTCTGATCTCCCAGTTCCTGTTTGAAGTATCTCAAATTGTCAATCATTGTATCATCATCTGGATCCAACAGCAGATAACTTGCAGCACATCCAGCAGCATCCCATAACTTTCCCACTGAGGATTGAAGAATGATAAATTTAACAGAAAATAATTATAATAATCAAACAACAGACACACAAACGTACCAAAAGAAACAGACCAAAACTGGCAAATAACGCCTAAATCTTTGAATCCAGGGAGCCTTAGAATCCAGAAAAAATATGCACAGTGTTTGGACAAATAGATTAATGACTGGGCATTTAAGCAAGAGCTCCAGATTGCTACAGTGCAGTTTCTTTCTATATTTACAAGTACAAATACAAAATAAGTAAGTACAAATGTAAAGACAAGGTTTACTAAAATTTAAATCTAAACGTTTTATGGGAGTACATAGAGGTAAGACATTAGAAAAAAAAATTTAGCTAAATTGTACATCATGAAAAAGAAACATGTCTTCTTCTTGTAACAAGCATTTAGATGCAAGAACCACAATAAAATAGTTCAAGCAATTTCATCAGGATATTACTTGGAGTTAATTCAAGAAACACTCAGATTGACTATTTTGTCAACACTAACCTTTAAAATATGCCATCTGAAGATAGTTGTAATGTCTTGCAAGATAATTCTTCACAAAAATCCCCTTCACTTCCCTCAGTTTATCAGGGCATAGATTGCGGCATTCCAAAATGTCAACATGAACCCCAAACAAGCCAGATCTGCCTAAAATCTTGTTTTTCTCGTGTTCCTCTTCACACATTATTTTGCAGTTGTCATATGCAGTGTAGTACTCTTCAAGAGCTTGTTCAAATCCCTGGATGGCATCACTCCACTGTTCTTCTTCATACAGCCGGGCAGCATTGAAATAACTCTCTTGGTGAAGTGTGGGTTCTAAGGAGAAAATCCCGGCTTCTGCAACACCAGGCATTTGCTTGTAAATCTTTACATTGTCTGCCATGGCCTTGTCTTGTGGTTGAGTTTCTGTGCATGTATAAGCTGCTCTGGCAGCATCCACTGTCCTTCCAGCCTGTGAGATGAAACACAAATGTGTAAGAACTTAAAAGTGATTAAGAATTGGTGGTCATTTTGTTTGGCTTGCTTGACATCAGGTAAATTGGTGTGGGTACAAGCCCTAGGTCACGCATCATAGTTTCTTCCTAGGGAAGATTCTCCCTTTACTTCTTTAACCAAGAGGGAGTGAAGGATTTGAAACAGTTGTTTTGGAACAATAATACAATTTTAACAGTGATATACTGTACATGTACATGTGTACATTGTGCAGGATGTAGTTCAAAATTTTCTTTGATTTAAAATCTATCAAAAAAATTTAACTTTTATTTCCTGTGTTTTAAATTAGGATTGTTATAAAGGATAAAGGATGCAGAAATTTGAAAATTTAACTTTCCAAAGTTTGAATCAAAATCTGCTGGTTCCCTTGGCAATAATGACTCATGCCTGAGTGCAAAATGTGATCAATCAAAAGCTCAATTATTATCCTCAGATCATATTTGTATCTTTTTTTTGTAAATTTTCACCTTTTGAGACATTCTATACTCCGCAGTTATTGTTGTTGTTACAAATTTATTTGACAGTTGTTATTTGATCACAGGAATTGTTAATTAAGCTAATAATCGAAAAAAAGCCTTCTTGCTTTTGTTATTTGAACAGTTGTTTTTGGTAAAAGTTACATGCTAGTTTGATATATTTTATTCTGTGTGAGTAACTCTCGGAGAGCTTGGAATCAAATTTCTGAGTAGTATAACGTTGTAAAAATCAATAGAAATTCCCTACCATGCAACACTTATCCTTCTCAATCTTCAGAGCTCACAGATAAATTTAATCAATTTTTTGTAGCAAATATGCTAAATATGTAAATTAGCAGCTTCTTTAAATTTGCAGCGTTTCTCATGAAAAAGATCGGAAAGAGGCCCAGAGGAAATATCCAGATCATATCTCCTGCCATTCAATAAAAGGCTCCCCCACCTCCCCACTTACCCACTATTTAAAGGGTCAATGCACGATCGATATTAAGCGTGTTTACATTTTACGCGTGAATTCACAAGCATACGAATCTAACAGCCATCTCATTACAATAGCTTCATTCTAGGGAGTTTTAAGAAGTGTTTTGCTGAAATACGATCGCCTGAATGACTCAGTACAATGCGTCTACCACTTTCTTTCAAATAACACAAAAGCCCGACACTGACGCGAACAAACGGCTGTTGTGTTATCAAAGCTTAGATGTCACGAACGGCCAAAGATAGGGAAATTATCTTATCATGAGCGATACATCTGAAATTGTAGATGGCATAAATTCCAAACAACAAAGCTCAATAGAAATGTGTTATTGTGACTGAAATAAGCAAAACTGTCAGTTTACCAGGCAATTTTTTCTGCAAACACGTGTCTCGCAAAGAACAGTGCAGCCATTTATTTATAAATTTATGTTGTGAAGTTAACGCACAAAGGTTCAATAAAACGTCAGGTTGGATTGGCAGGGTAAAATGTTTGACTAAAAGCAAATTCACTCACCTTGTAGTAGGCAAATTGAAGATATCCATATGGAAGCCTTTTCTCGAAGTTGTCCCGAACCGCGACTGAGACCTTGGTTCGCTTACCAAGATATTTTTCTCTGCACTGCTGACTACACTTATGAGAATAAATCGTGTAACGATAATAATTTAGCTCCAAGTCGCTGATTGTGTTATGAGACGATGATGCCTGGAATCTCTCGCGACATCGCAATCTACAATGAATCTTCATTTGTTTTTCGTTTCTATAATCAGCGATTGCCTTCTCTAAGAGTTCGATGGCTTCATTCCACTTTTCATCTCGATACGCGCGTTGCCCGTCTGCAAACAGCTCATCATACGCTGTCGATTTTAGTGCCGTGATATTCAGCCTGCCCAACAAGTCTGCTCGAAGATTTAAGGCTGTTAGTCCGCACAGAGAAAGCCAGAAGAGAAGCCTTGCGGCCATCGTTTCCGTCTGTTCTTACCCGCTGTATTTGTGCGAGTTTCAATGCTGTTCTGTGACGAAATGCACAATCGATCTCTGATGGATATTTGCGGGTAACTCGACTGTTATTGTCCGATAAACCAATCACAGTTCAGTATCACCGGTAGTTGATTCGTTAAGGCCACTTTGTCTAGCTGCTTTTAAGCGCTTTTCTTTGCTTTTAAGGACCTTCTCAACAATTCTTCAAAACATTGAAATAATACACCAATTCAAATTGGGTAAAGACCAACCAAAGCGCGAAAGCTATACCTCATGAGTTGCAGAAACCACCGAATCAAAAGAAGAAAAAAAAAATTGACGCCTTCCTCGTTCATTCCAAGTTGACTTTCTTTCGAACTAATTTCAGGTAACGAGAAACACCTGCATATACCAGAATGTTTAAATTATATTTTAGTGAAACTTCTTCCCTCTACGAAACTCAGCTGTAAAATTAAGTATTTTCTTAATTTTATGAAACTAATTTTCTTAAGAAGATCACACTTAATGCCGTTTAAAAGCCCACTATAAAATTACAACTTATCATATTTAACGAGAATCAGCCTAGCCTGTAAATAATCTTCAAAAAGGTAGCCTAAGACTTAATTCGAATGCCAAGCTTATCCACCTCCCATACAGAATGGCTTTGTTCATGTATCGTTCCAAAGGTTTCTGGATGATGATTTATGTTAGCTGAGATGTAACTCTGAAAATTCTTTTCACCGTTTCTTTCCATTAACAGGTCAAGTTAGAAAAGGTTTCTCGAGCGAATTACATTAAAAAAGGAAGCGAGTGGATGTTACAAAATATTAATTTCCTCAGGGTAAAGATAAACTTCCTCGGTAAATTTTAACAATATGAAATACGGACGAAACATTATAAGTAAGAAACGATGGTAATGCCTCATTCAGTATATCATAATAAAACAAAAAGTTCTTGATTAAAAAAAAAAAAAAAAAAAAAAAAAAAAAAAAAACTTGAGAGAATTTAACAAGACTCAGTTTCTGATAAGTGCTTCGGGTTACAAGATTACCAACCCAAAAGCTTTCAAGAGATCCGACAATATCCAGAAATGACTGAAAAGCTAGAGAGAGGACGCCCCCAAAAATTAATTACCGTTTTTCGGGTTGAGGTACATTAATTTCCTTTGAACTTCTGTCTTTTTCACTCGCCCGCAGAAATTTTCATTCAATTTGTCCGATATTTCAGTGAAAGCTATTGATCTGTTGCTGCTTGTATAATACTATGTGGTAAGAAATAGTTTCGTTTTTTGTTTCATCTCAGTTATTTTCATGCCCTCTCTATTTTGTTGAACAAAAAAAGAAAAAAAAAAGAAAGAGTAAGCCAAACTCCAATGTCATTACGAGTGCACCTGATACCACAACATAATGTTACCAAAGAGAAAACAACCATTTGATATCCTCTTGTTTTACTATAAAAGCTTTTAAAATCGGCAATTCATTCAATTGAAATGAATTTCAAGATGCCCTCAGAGTTTAATAAAATTGGTGTCGTTCGTCGCAAGTGAAACATTTGCGCGATTTTAAACTTATGTCCTGGAGGCGTAACTTTTAACATTGAAGCCGAAAAAACCGGAGACAGCGCCCTGAGTGAAAAGGTCAAATGAGCTTATTTGCTCTCAGATTTACCTGTATTTTAAATACAATGCAAACTTACCTTTTTAAAGACAGAAGTTAAATTAATATGCAAAATGAATTGTGCCTTCTTTTCCATATCTTGACTATTTCCTCTTTACTTTAATTAATTTTTTCCACCATCAGATCGTTTAATTTGTTTTGAAAAACTGCCGGGATTTTAATCTGTGAGTAATGGTGCTATAGCGTGCAGGTTCTCTTACATGGCTCGACTGCAAACTCTGGATCAAGTGCCTTTACAGGGTTATAAAAAATCACTTTTTGGTATATTCTTCGTTTACGCCCCGCAATTCACCTCGTCTTTACGCAAGCACTTATATTTTTATGTAATGAAGATGTTGGGGCCTTTAAGATTCCTCTTCAGCAAGCACTTTGTGTCGTAACCGCTCAAAGCGCCGACACATCGATCAATTGAAGAACTTTGACACTCTAACGAGGCCTTTCAAGGGATCTTGGCGACAAGCGACATTGCTAAAAATAATGTGGCGGCAATTTTGTTCCGATGAGCCGACAGCCGACAAAAACTGACAGAATAGGAAAGACAATAAAGGTCATCTGGGCAATAATTTCAGATAATTCCCAAGGCGCTTTAAATTATGGCTTTTGTTATAGCACACTTATGTTAAGTTTAGCAACGTCAGTCAATTGACAATGACCAATAATCCCATCCATGATCATTCATTTTGTGGAAAGACTTTAAACATTAAGATCACGGACAGTGGGCCAGCCAGCTTACAGCCTGCGCGCTGTGTTCGGCGCGAATGACAAGTGACGGCTTCCTTTTTCAAACATACGCATTATTTCTCAATGCATAAATACTTACTTGAAATGAATAATTATAGGCAGAACACTGAATCAAAGAACCTTAGGTTATTAGTTCAGTAGCAAGATTGGCCAAAATTCGCTCCCAGCATGACAGCATGCGTAAAAAAAAAAAGAAAATCCAGGTCTTATGGTATGAAGCCATCCCTATCATTACATCGTAAGGGAAAGTTATTAAAAGATATCCTGGTCAGGACTTAACTCTAAAGAAAGAAGATTTAAAATCGCTTGCAAATGGTGAGTCACGCAGGCCCTTCAACTCTCTTTAACAAGACAATGTAGGCCCTGTAGGGAGGGGGTGCGACGGGTGCGTACGCACATCCCCCTCCCCCAACAGGCCACGAAGGTCCGTTTACTCGATATCGGCGATTCAAAAGAAGGTAAGTTACAGAAAAGGCCTTAAAGACGGTCCTTATAACGCGCAAAATGCGTTCTCACTCAACCCAATTTGGTAAAATTTCACGGGGGAGCATGCACCCGGACCCCCGTAAAATCTCGCGCCTCTGGCGCTCGTCAATCAAACGCAGCCCCTTCTGCTAAAACTTGTTTACGGGCCTTTACGAGTCAGAGACACTTTGTCTAAAAAAGTGGGAGATTCAAAATGGCCTGTGAACTTGGGCAGGAGTCGCGTTGACCTGTTTAACTTCTTTTTTTAACTACACTTGTAACTAGCCCCAAGAACATTGATGGAGAAATAGCACCTTCTTCAAAACCAAATGCCTTAATATGCAATATGTAAGGAAAGTATTTAAAATATATCCTGGTCACAGCTATTAAAATTCTGAAGAAAGAAGATTTCAAAGCGCTTGCGAGTGTTAGGGGTCGCGCAGGCCCGTCAACACCACTTAGTGGCATTACTCTTGGTCAGTTGAGTTACTCGAGTGCTACAAGACAATGACGGAACGTATGAATCGGCCCTTGCTTGAACTCCTTATTCAAACGATGGTATTGCGTTCATGTAGAAAGAATTGTGTTCTTTATGGCCATGTGTAAAAATAAGTACGCGAGTTAGGGGAGCTCAGAACGCTAGGCCACTGATCGACAATGAAACACAAATACTAAGCCTTGAAGTGATCTTTGGAATTTTTACTTCTACTTGAGCCAATAGAAATTTATGTGGTTAATCTCATGTCGAAAAGAAAACACTTACGGGCGCTAGCACAAGTCAGAAATTACTGTATTGCCAAATTCTGTGCGACAGCGACATTTGTTCCCAACCAAATAGGCGACAGGAATAGCGAGCGACAAGGCGACATCGAAAACCCCTTTGGAAGGCCTCTCTAATGTCTCACCCTTCGTATGGGACATTGTTTTCCAAACAGAGGTTCTTCGACCCCAGGCAGGTGTTCCGGTCACCAGCTAACCTGTTCCAGGCGTTTATTGAGTAGGACTCGGGTTTCATGTTGACGCCTTGGACAGCGCCCATCTTGAAGCATTCGCAGATAAAGACTAATTCCAGCACTAACCTCACTGCCTCGCTTCGTGTAATGGCAAATGGGGCAAATCTGCATAAAAGCACTACAGTCACCCTACCAAATCTTATCCCTCTTTCCAAAGTATTCAACAACGTGGGGTATGTCAGATCGTGCCGCACCTAAACTGCTAGATAATTTCTTAGGACAATGATCTTTGCAGAAGTGAGGGAACTACATTGTAAAGAGACCTTTCACTTAAGGTACACTTAATTTTTTTTAAAAAAATAACAAAAGAATATTCCTGATAACTTCAGCAATAAAATGCATATGCTTTATTATGTACAAAGTTCTCCATGGCATCTCTACAAAAGTAATTTAACGCCAGCCCATTTACTAATCTACAGAGGACAACGTTACATACGATTGGGAATGTATGGCGGAAAACTTCTATGTTTGATGAACGATTCAACCCTGTCTACAGAACACTCCGCTATCTAAAAATTACATATCCGCATCAATCTTCTCGTCTTCAACAATCCTTCCTTCACATACAGGTACAAAGTGTTATGGTATTTCATATCTCTTTGCCATTTCATTTATTTCAAAATATATCTGCTCTCTTTTCTTATATCAGATGCGGTTCTAGGAGTCAAAAAAGTTCTTTGAAATTCTATTTTTGGTATCTATGTAAATCCCCTTACATAATTTGCAATTTTTTTTCATTGCGACATACCTGTAGATGATATTTGCTCACTCTACAATGGCTTTAGAAGCCTATCAAAGTAATAAAACTTTATTACATGAACATCACAACTTCATCTATTTGCAGTTTTAGAAAATGTAAAATCAGGTAGTAAAAACTGAATTTTTAAAATTCCCATCATCACCAAACGTGTTCAGGCTATGAATACCATAGCAATGCCTCTAGTAGGAAAAGTAGTGATGTATTTATCACGATCCACAGGGCATAAAATCTTAGTCATTAAAAGAAAAAACGTAATCAAGTTGTATCATTCTTTAAACTTTGGATCTGAAAAAAGTAGCATACGTAATTGGAGATCTTGCGAACGATTACAGTAAAAAAATCGAGAAAATAAAAATATCTGAATAAAAGAATCAACGATCTTTCAACTCCTAGAGTTGATATGTTATTTCAATTCAAAATTTCCAAACAAAACCAACCAGGGATTAGGAGAATTGAAAGAATTAACAGCTTGAGGACTTTAAATTAACACTAAAAATCAACGACTCTCGATACTCATGTAACTCCGATTGCCTACACGAGGGAACCTTTCTTGATATCTGCATTTCCATTGTGATAGTGCACGTCCTGGCCACCATTTCTTATTTCGAGGCTACCCTTTTCATTGAAGTCCGGTGGTGAGACACCTCTTTTAAGCGAGTTATCATCAGTCTCGCTTTTAAAACCATCATTTTTCATACCATAGCCATTGGACGGTTCCACTTTCACCTCATACTGATACGGGCCACCATTTCTTATTTCGAGGCTACCCTTTTCATTGAAGTCCGGTGGTGATACATCTCTTTTAAGCGAGTTATCATCAGTCTCACTTTTAAAACCATCATTTTTCATACCATAACCATTGGACGGTTCCACTTTCACGTCATACTGATACGGGCACTTCATTTTCTTTTTCCTGCGTAGAATTTTAAGAGTTTAAGGGGCTTTACACATGAAAAGAAAAGTAGAGTAAAACGAAATAAAAATATCCTAAGGGTGCTTTTGTGGCAGCTGAACTTGTCAACTCACCACTAAGACATGGAATCAAATTTTGTTTGAACAATTTAAATTATAACAACAAATCAATAGTCAGAGTTTATGTCTGCAGGCATTATATGTTTTGGGCTCGCCTCAGGTTAAAATGACTCTAAGAAAGGCCCAAAAATGTTTATATCCCAGAACATTAATCGTCAGTAGTACTATTATCACTTTGGAAGGCATTGATAAAATAAAAACTGAAAACTATAAAAAGAAAAAAAACTTGGAACAAAAACGTAAATATGCAAGCGGGCTAAGATACATTACAGCTCTCCAAAATTCCCTGTAGTCTGCAGAATGCACCACAATGTCTAACAAAGTGATAACCATACAAGGATAACTACAGTATATGTATACAGTGTATAGTACAAATATTTATGAAGTTCCAATAGAGAGGCAAATGTTAGCCTACATAAATATTTCAAAGGTGGTTTGCCTTGATGTTGAGTAAAAAAGCTTATCTATCCTGTTGATAAATGCAATGATGGATGAAAATGAAACTGCATCAATTATGTCTGCAGTTGCTGATGATTTGCATGGGAATAAAGACATTTGATCCAAGGATTAACTGAATCACAAATACAGGTACACTAACAGATATGAACACACCAACATTTGTCCTTCTACAGCCATTAATCTCTTGGATTAATGTTAGTATCTAAGGAACCACACACCTAACCCCCCCTTGACCCAACATTAACCCTAATTTGATATCAGTTGCCTGTTGCTGGGTAAGGGAGAGGGGTAGGTGGGTTAGGGGGAGGGGTAGATGGGTTAGGGGGAGGGGTAGATGGGTTAGGGGGAGGGGTAGATGGGTTAGGGGGAGGGGTAGATGGGTCAGGGGGAGGGGTAGATGCTCAGTTGCTCTGATACTGACATAGGTCTTATCTCTTGAATGGATACCAGATCTGATCATTTGAATCTGACCTGTCACCTTTTCCTTCAGTGTCAACAAGCTTTCCTACAAATGTAGATGTAACTAGGAAATATGTGTAATTTTAAAAATTTCCACTAAAAATGGGGCTGAGGAGACTTATTTACATCCACTCAAAGGAAAAATTTACAATTACTGTACAGTACTGAAATTTGCAAGTGAGGTTTCTACATTTAAAAATACCTACCAAAAAAAACGGTAAACAATAAAGCAAATCACAGCAATGATAACTACAGCAACTAAAACCATTGTGCTAATCTTCCATTTTTCTGTAAGAAAAAAGAAAGAACATATTTATGTCCAGAAATCAATACCTTTGTGACTTCTCAGATAACCTTGCACGTGCACGTGCATTATCTACATACATAATCTGCACTTACTTCTCTCATCATCTTCACTTTCAGAATCTCGAGCCCCTTTCTTTCCTAAGAACGGCGCTGCACTGCCCCCTTCAGTGGGAGACTGAGTGTGTGATGAAACTGCAACAGTTTTTGTTTCTGTTGCAGTACATTCTCCCTGTGTGTTGCAAGAAACAGTGGTGGGCAGAATACTTGTCTCAGTGTGCACAACACTTGAAGTGGACACTATCTCCTTTCCAACAGTTGAAGAGGGTTTTAGAGTTGCTGAAGGTGTTACAATTGTTGAATAAGAAGGTGAAGGCTCTTTCCGGCAATGTGGCTTGCCAACATTCTCAAGGCAAGCAGTATCTAAAGACCAAACACATTGCAACTGATTACACCAAAGGAAGCTAGTAACATGTAGGTTCAACTAAAGTGATTTTTCCAGAAATAAATTAACATGTAGTTCACAGTAAACAGCCTAATTTGAGAAAATCCATCTTTGGTATCTACAGTTTTACCAGAAGCATAGATCATCATCAAACTTGTCAAAAAGTAAAAAGGGGGAAGTTTCAAAAACAACTGTGATGCTGCATTGGAAGGGAGTGGGGGGGGGGAGGGGGTTAAAAATATAATTTGTTTTTATCAACTGAGTTGATAACCTAAATTCACCATTGTAAGGAGTGTTTATTAGCTGATGATTAAAGCATTGGCCCTTTGTCAGAGTCAAAAGGTTAATATCCTTCAGCATTTTTTAAGTCTATTCTCACCTAACAACAATAACAGAACTAATTGCAAAATGAAATCTCATAACAGTTGTCAGATATTGTAATCCTACCACATGGTTTGGGATGTGTTGCACCATTAAAACCCATCACGTAACCCTTCATGGCATATCCCATATTTCAATCCCTGAGTCTTTAAACAGCAATTGTAAATAGGTTGTAAAATGATAGTGATGGAAGGGAAGTGATCAAACCAATTCTTCCTTTCCCCTTGTGCAGTGAAACTGAAGGCTTCTGCCTCTTAGCTCTTCTGATATTGATGAAATATAAGGTGTTACTTTTTGTCCTTGACAATTTTTTTAATCTTTCATTTTCTCATGTGTAAAGATACACCAATGAAAATCATTCCTTTGTTTAAGTTAGACATAACTTTCTGGTTCCATAAATCATTGAAAATGAATGTTCAGTTATGAAATCATCTAATCACTGACCCAAGAACCATATCACTTGGTATTGAATTGATTGCTATTAATATCTAGGGATTGCCGCTGATATATTCTGGCAGCATATATCATCAAACATAGATATAGATATATGCAAAAGTTAACATTTCCAATATTGATCACAAGATGTTGTGTTGTTTTCAATCAACAAAAAAGAAAAACTCAAAAAAGAAAAGATAATTGAGTAAAAAAAGACTGGCAATAAAGGAAAACTAAGCCAAGGAATTCAAATAAATGTAAATATTACTGATGCCCAAGTTGATCTTTGATCTTCACATATTAATCGTACAAAGCGCAACTTAATTAATCACTTGACTAGGACTTTCAATGAGGGAACAACATCTTAAAGGAAACCCAATAATAATAAGTTGTAGTCTACCAGACAAGTGAAGACAAGTGAAGACAAGTGTTTGGACAAAAATAAATTGAAAAGGAACCAAGGGATGGTAAGGAATAGAAGTAACCACCCACAATACAAATGACTACCACTAAATTTAGGTTCAGATTTTCAAGAGGCATGAAATATGATTTCCTGTATGTTAGATGTTCATTTTGTGGTTGTGCTGAAGTAGACAAAGACCTTTGTAGAAAAACCGAACTAGTCAGGAATGTTACTGATAATCCCTCTGACCATCGTGATCTGAAAGACATGACAATCTTCTTTGTTGCCCATTTTTGAGAACTGAAAGTCATTTCATGATAACATCCCCACTGGAATAATTTTAAATTGTTACTAACAGCAGTTTTCACTACAAAAATACTCAACTCTCCTCAAGATCTCATTTAGTAATTATCCTTTCAGTCTACCATACAATTCTCATGACATAAACAGCAAATTGATATTTTACTTTATTCTCATCACTTGTCACTTGTGTGATTGATATTGTATTGATATAAAAGGTTTCATTGAGGGCTAGACACTCCAGGCAAATTAACTGGTTGTGAGGATGGCTTTGCCCACTGGGTTTGATCATCTTGAGAAAAGTTTCGCTAATAGAGAAGTTCAGTTCAAAAACTTTAGCCTGCCTGTGAAAACCAGTTGCCCTGCTTCTGAAAATGTTAGTGAAACCCCTGACTGATATTGTAACAATAAATTCTGTCTTTAGTAAGTTACTCATGGGAGTTAAATTGTGCATTAGTATATCAAATGATGAGATCAAGAGGGTTTAAATAATAAAGGCATAGACCTTGGCGATTTGTCATCTCTAGTGGTTCATTCCACAGGAGTTCCTTGTGATTTAACTGAGGTTTCATAAATGGTGACCATTAATGGCTGTCATTATTACACACCTTTATCTTGGCTTAAGTCTGAACTCAAACTCTTGTCTTTCATCCTCAAATGTATTTGAGCCAAAAATGGAATATTAAATTTAACTACAAAAAAATTCTTTATCATTTTACCTCCATCCTGACAAACATGCATTTCAATTTTCAAGAAGCCACCACTTTCTGTTCCATTACAGTGTCCTCCTTTTGTGCTGTTCACCGAGGAAAACTTTCCATTGCATGTTGCTGTTGGTGAAGAAAAAAAGAGTTAGCAAACACTGTGCTGTAAATCTAAGACTGGCAACTCTCTACCCCTAACCTGATAATATTAAAAACCAGGATCTCAAAAGTGTGGGAGATTAAGCCCTCCATTGCTAATAAACAGTTTTTCTTTCTATCTGGATTTTAATAAGTTGATTAATACACACATTTTGATTGGTTCTTACAGTCTCACAATCTTCTAGACAACAGATGCAAAGACAACATCATCATGCATTCACGGCTTTTAGCTAATCTTTATTATGTAAAATATATAATTAGATTCCATGTTTCCATGGATCTTTTCAGTAATAAATGTAGATCATGGAAGACGCCAAAATGTGGTGAGAACATCAGTGACGCACTCAGCTGCACCTAATGTGCCATGTTTTAGTAACCATATTTTGCGTCACCTGTGATTTATAACAGAACAGAAGCACTGCAACATGCAATTGAGTTGTCAATTGGAGCAGGATAGTCTCTTGATTTGGCACAGGCACATGCTTTATATGGGACCCATTCAAATAGCCTTCCTTTCCTGTTCTCTCAACATACTACAGTACTTTGGAAAGTTTTAAAGTCTAGAGTTCGAGATACCCCTGAGGAAAATGCTGTACAAAATAACTATTAATAGAAACATGTCTTCTATTCTTTTCTGTTTCTGTGTTTTAGGCTAATTATTATTTTTCATCTTTTCATTCGTTTATCACTTAAATAATCTTCTCTTTAAGCATTTGAATGTTAGGAAGTCTACTGCTGCTGCAGCAACTTATATGTGTAAGGCCTCTAACCACCATCTGCGGCATTATTTTGTATCTTCACTTTTCAACCACCCGTCATATCCTTTGTTTAAAATTCAAAGTTTTAGGTAATTGATGGAAAGTTTCCAAATCTTCTCAAAAGGTTTGGAAATTTAAACAAAGCCTCTATTGAAAGACCCCTGAAGAGTACAATGAATTGCTGGTGGGGTGTTTTGACTAACAGATATGCAAATTTTTTCAACTTGAGTGACACTTAACAGATGCATTTGAAAACTATTTTTAGTTGAACCGAGACTCAACACTTCCTATTCATGTTTGTGAAAATAACTATAACATGAAAGTTTTACCTTGAGAATGTTAAATCTAATTCCTGAATTGTTTTTTATATTGCATAACCTTCACATTTCTTACTTTCCATGACCAAAAATCCAAAGAAACAACTCTTTAAAACAAGGAAGTGAAACAAAATACTTAATTTTGGACATAGCAATATGTTCTCATTTGAATACACAACTTCCTCAAAGTCTGTAATGGGCTATATTTTGAAAATAGCAAAGCCAAACGCATTTCGAATGGATAATTCTTTTGAAACTACAACTTTAGCTTTAAGCCTATCAAACAATTTACCCTAATAGCTTACAAAGAACATCTACATAAAAAAATATCTGGTCAGGGGTAGATGTATCAACAGTTCAACTGAAATAACACATATATGTGGCTTAAGAGTAAATAATCAAATAAATGTAAGTTGTGTCTATCATCTGAAGCCATATATTTATTTTCTAAAGACTGCCTTTAAAAATTGGTACTGAGTAGTATTTCTGTATACAATTTCAAATACTGTATGAAAAATCCATCCATGCACAATGAGCATCTAAATTTAAAAATATTTTTGACAAATCCTTCATAGAAGCTAACCCTCTAGCATTTCATCAGACTTCTCTGACAATTCACTGGTACCCCTTTAAGTTCCTGGGCTGTGAAGCACACTGTAACAGTAAAGTGTTTTGGCCAAGAACACAGCACAACAACACTGCCAGGTCTAAAAACCTGAGCCTCTTGACCCAGAATACAGTGCACCAACCATTAGAACCACCCATCTCCTACTGATAATCACTATGCACTTGTTTTAAAGATAAAAAATGAATTCAACCTCTCCTCCACCCCAATAAACAATGACATGAACATGAACTCCAACAAACTGGACAACTTTCACTAAGGTTTAACTTTTAAAACAATGATTTTAGTAACATCGACACTTACAGATGAAGAAATAGGATTTTCCTTTCTGAAAAGTAAGAGAATTTTCAGCTGAATGCCGTTGGAATATGACAGTGCGGAACTGAAGTGATGTGGGGTCTTCGCAGCGCATGAGGATGGAATGCTTTGGATCCTGGGTAACATCACAACTGTTGAAGGCAGCACTGTTGTGTACCAGCCAAAGATTCTCATACTTGTTTGTTTTTGTAACTTCCCCCAAAGTTGAATCCATGAGAGTGGCTACATTTGGACACACAAAATTGATTTTTGATTGAGCTTCCACATTGACAACCTTGGGCTTCCCTGAGGGGCAATCATTTTTAAACCTGTATGGAGAGAAATAGCAAACAGATGTAAACACAGTTGTTCCATGGCTGGAGTCAGCCATAAAAAAAAAAAATAGACATCCTACAAAGAGTCCAAGCAATGATCATGTGTACTTGTGTCTTGATAATATTAGTCTCTTTTCCTGTAGTTTTGTAGAAGCTACCCTCAGCTGCATGCAATCATCATTTGTACTAAAGAACACCTAGTTCTTCTCATCACTATAATGATAACAATAATGATAAATATAATCATACATTTATATCGCACATTCTTCTGTGATATACAGTATCTCCCAGATGATTAAATAGATTGACTCCATGCCTGGCAAGGAATGCTACATTTTGTACACCCATCATACAAGCATTTGTGAGGGGAAGGACAATAATCACATGTATATTTAACTGTCATCCTTGCCCTTACAAAATGCCAGCCGTTTCAAGGCTAACATATTCCTCCTCCTTTCCTGCAATCACCTTAATCTCTACCAAGAAAAAAGTGAAGTCTAACTACCTCCAATCAGATCAGTTGCAGCACTGAATGCCTAGAAATGTTTATAAATTTTTAAATACTCATTTTTTCTTCTGTATTTCTTATGATCACCCTTTCCAGATTTTAGCTGATTTGACTGATTACCCTACTACCTGATAAAGCATACAGTGCTTAGCCATGCACATGCTTTCCCCCATGAGAAACAACTTAATCAAAGTGACCCAGTAGGACCTTTTACGCTGGGTTGCAGCTCTAGCTCATGATGCACAAATTTCAACCCCACAGTTTGAAAGCCAAAACCTATAAAATCTATGTAAATTGTAAGTGTCTACTCCCAAATACAGTGCAAGTATATTTTATGAGAACTTCTGATGTGTTCATCCCTACTAACTATTGCTAACTACTTCATCAGAACTTTCAGATAGATATGCATGTGTATACATGCATATAGCACATTTGATCCAAAGCACAATAAACTTCACAATCATTTGAGACAAGTCTATGCCAATATCAACCTTAACATGCATGAGTGACAATTTTTGTAGGTCATCAAGATATATAGTTAATCCATTTTTATGCACAATTGACTGAGAGGGAAATCTGAGAAATTGGATTTGCACATACCGTAAAAAGGAAGTTTAGGAGTAGAGATACGCTTTATAAATGTATTGTTTGTGAAGTGGCTTGGAGTATTCTGCCATGTGATGAACACCCTTTATTCTGTATGTCTGCATGAACTATGTTCTTCCAAACTCAGAGTGACTATATGTACAATTATGAATGTATAAGAATCACATTGTAATAATCAGAACTCTGAAACTTAATCTGTCAATTCTTAACTTTTAAAACGCTATGCCTTCCTTCATTGCTAGCAAGGTTTCGCTTCCCTTAAGGCTCAGTCAAGCCGATCTACACGGATATACCCAAGGACTGATTTAAGAGACCATTTCAATCTAATTAACATGTAGAATTCATGTTTACATCTTCAGGTATATGTTAAAAAACATAGCGGTTTTAAGGAACATGTGCGACTGATGCAGCTCTGAATTGTTTACTTAGACCCTATTCAGCTGTAAATTTTGGTAAACTGTAATTAAAAAACTTCTCGCCAACGCTCGAATGACCTATCTGCCTTAACTTGTCACGGATATTTCTTTACCGTATATTCAAAACGACGAAACTGCGTTAAGTAATATAAATCTTTCTGTCGGCAGTCCTACCGAAAAGGAAGAGTTTTCCGACACGAAGTAATATCAGTAGATACGATAGGAACATTAGACCAAAGTTCGCTTGATTTTAACAACATGGAAGTTTCGGGATGATGGCGGAAAGACGTTTATAATAACTCGTTTCTTTCCGAGAACTCGAATTGCAGTTATAAGGCCGCATAAAATGTGCAAGTTGTTCATGTTATTTGCTAGTTTGGGACTAAATAGGATAGAAGCCGCCAATATCGTCCTGTAGTACACAAAGGCAAAATAAACATCGGCTACGAGTTCAATAGTACAACTCGAAAAGACATCGCTATAAATCGATAGTTTCGACCGTATTTTCAATGCAGAATGAGAGCCTTTGGAAGACCAAAGGTAGATGTTATCAAAAGGCGAAGCTTACCACATGAAGCATGAGTCTACTTTACCTTTAAGGTGCTGAGCATGAGGAAATAATGAAACAGAGATTAGAGAAACGATCGGGTGTCAAATTCCCTCTCACTATATCATACTGAATATACTGCAAGAAATTACAGGTCTGCTGCGCGTTGAAATCTTAACATCTTAAAACATATGAATAGCTATGGGAAACTAACTTTGATATTGCTTTCAGGTTTCGCAATCTACTATCGATTTAGAAAATTAGAAAGAATAAAAGAAGTAACGTTGCTCGTTCATGTAGGAGAGGAATAATGAAAGAGACAGACATGAAACATGCAACGAGGGATTTTCACTTACAGTAGATTTTCAGGATCCCAAATTAAGGACTTGTAAGTTGCACTCCCAAGAATGTAATCGAAGCTCATGAAGAAGATGAGAAGAACACAAAAACTGCCTTTCGACTTCATCGCCAGTCGTTGTTTTCTGTTTAGTTAATCGTCACGTATCCAAGTTGCTCAATCACGTTCTTCACATTTCGAAAAAACGCGTACCTCGTAGAAGAAAACACTTTCGAAAGCCTCGCTTGTTGATGGCAACCGAATTATTTCATAAATATTAAGTTTTGTTTATGATCGCTGAAGACCGGAATATATTATTCCCCCGGAAATATCTTGATGGCACAGACCAATGTGCTGCTCGGGTAATATATTATACGCAAAAAATTTCAGCAGCTGCTTTGTGATTGGTCTCTGGTCGATGGCTGTCCTTCAAACATTTCGAAACAATGTGTGAACACCTTCGATTGAACACGACACCTTTTATTACTCTTCTCCTTTTTCATACCTCAGTGACATAGATTGTCGACGCGCTTAAATAGTTCACATTGCTATCAACCTACGCCACGTAATGTGCCTACAGCTAGTCGAGAGCAGCGCGCGACCGAATTTCCGTCTACGACTACGTGTGTCGCATGTTTGATTAGCTTGCGAGCGAAAGAATTCAACCGATCAACCATCATTGCTGATACGAAAACTCAACGAGAAACGATAATTTTTGCGAAACCCAGAGAGGTAGCGTAATGATTTTTGAGGTCATCGTGTCTCAAAGTACGATTGAGGCGTCGGCTTCCTCTAGCTCTTCTTCTCTATTTCATCGAAAACCGCCAACTCTTCCGAATTCTTTATCTATTAATTCTGGCGAGTGATTGCATTCTGTCTTCAGATACATAATACTGATCGCCCTTACAACTAACAGAACTTAAAACTTAGACACATCGCGAACTATCCAGCATATTTGTATTAGCTTGTTCGTGGCATCCTACTGAGTGAAATTTCTGTATTGTAAAATATCCGCAAAATTTTCGAGAACAATTTCTAATTCTACAGTTAAGCTTTTGACACATCAAAAATACGTCGGGCAAGACACGATTATTATGTAACGCACGTTTTGGGTTGCTTTTTCATGAACGTGACCAAGGTTGTATAATAATCAATATTACTTCAGGCACGACATTGCTGAGAAGAAAGGAAAACTTTATAATTCTTACATCATCTAAAATTTTGTCGGCATTTAGCACGTTCGAGTTTCTTGTTAAAAAAAAAAAAAACGGAGAACACAACTGTAAACATACTACAAAGAAGGAAGTTTACTAAAGACAGACAGACAGAAAGGAAACCGGACAAACCTTCATTTCTGTATTGGATCAAAACATTAAATAAACAGAACAAACACCCACAGAAAGCCAAAGAGTTAGAAAGAATCACTGAGAGTCGGTTATTTGAACTTTTCGCCGATCCAGGAAATATGAGAGTAGTTTCGGCCTGGAAATGAGATTAAACCCAGCAAACAATATAAAGACACAAAAACTCCCTTGGTGACTTATGGGATCATCATAAAGCCACACTGTGGACAAACATACGTCAAGACTTTTCATAAAGGGATTGAAAAGCAAGCAAAAATGGCGGTAATCATTGCCAAAGTAAACTTGAAGTCGACTTTGAAAGTACAAAATAGAAGTGTTTTCAGGTTTTCATCAATTGAGTCCCAAGCTGTGGATCATTTGGATTTGAAAAATTCCTCGATTTGTTGTAATTCCCGGGTTGTGATAACACAGGTTTTTTCGCATACCTAGGTTTATAAGTACGTATTATATTTACGTCAGCGAATTAAAAGTTGATAATGATAGATGAAGTGTGAAATAAAGTTTTATACCCTAAAATATGATTAGAATTACAGAAATAAATATCCTTAAGCAAACAAAAGGTGACAGTTGTTACATTCCTATCATAGAGGATTCTGAGAGTTCACTTCTCTCTCTCTTTTTACAATCGACTCAGTCGATTCTATGTGAAATCGGCGAAGGCTTAGAAAGGATCGGACCACAAGAGACGTTAACCTTTAAAGGAAATTAGTGGCCTTTATTCAAAGTTTCCATGCAGTGGCGCCTACCTTAATCACGGCAGACTGAGGGCAGACTGCCGGTCAGTAAATAAATAGAAGTCCTAACACCTTGATAACGTAACTTTCTGAGGAAGGGCCGCTCGAAATTCACCTTTGAAACTCCTTACGCCTGCCAATTGGCACTATCAACTGCACTGATGAAACCAAATTATCTTGTTATACTCCTCCACAGACGCAGCATCACAATTTCTTTAGAAACCTAACCCCTTTTATTCATTTATCATTACTTTGACTGTGTCGGCCAAGCCTTTGTGAAATATCGGTCGGGGCGCGGGGCTCAAAAAATTTGCCACAACTTTTTATGTTGGCAGTTCATGTTGGTATTCATTTTAATCTACTGCATATTTTCATGTTTGTTTACTAACCGCACATTTTTCATTTTTGTGTAATTAGACATTTTTTAAATATATATACAGTGAGACTGGGTAGAAAAAAAAAGGGCGCGCCAGCGGAGACTCATAACGTCATGGTCGGGGGACGGGGCTCTTAAATTTTGCCACAACTTTTCATGTTGGATTTTGGTATCCATTCTTATCTTCAGCGTCTTCTTTCAATTTTGGTTATTTTTGTTTGTCTATTCTGGCAAAGTTGTTACAAGTCATTAGTTTTGTTCTTTTGCGGAAGCACTTTAAAGTAAGAGAGCACTTAAAAAGCGCTCAAGTTCTGTGTGATATTTTGATTTTCCTTTTATTTTTTAGTTTGTTTTTTTTTTGGCCTTATTTCCTACAGAAAATGCTGTACGTGTGGATTGGGCCAATCGACAGCAATACATAAAAGTACACTCTCACCATGACGTAACTGATGTAAATACCGCGGTAATTTCCAATATCAACTGAAGTCAGATTTTTCTTAGGAGTCATCAAGCCATTCGCGATTAATTAGTAAGACTTAAGGCTACAGTTAAATTTCATGTTTTGGCAAGACAGAAACCGTGGCTGTGTTTACAAAATACTTTGTTGACGTCGAAGAATCCCTAGGAAGAATCGGAAAGATCCAGAACATTTCTCATATCTATTAACGACTTTTTTTCTTTGTCACATACTTAAGACCTCAAAAGCGAGAACAAAGGAAATTTAAGCTTTGACGGATGATTGGAAATCTTACGTCTTTAGCAAAACTTTTGCCTCTTTTCTTTTGTTTTGATTGAGAGGAGCTCAATCACTTGAGATTCACTTCGGAAATTGTTTAAATATCTGCCTGTCCAGAATTCGCTAAGTGTATCACCTGACCTTGTAGATTCATTAACCTGTTTTTTTGTTTCTTTTTCTGTGAACTCCTACAATTTTTCACTGTCAGACTCTGACGTTGGTAATTCTTTGAAAACACTTCAATTTGACTTATATCTGCTTCCACAAAGACCGCAGAAAACAGCAACGTCACCGCCTACCAAAATTGCTGAAGTTGAACGTGCATGAGTGAAAACATCCTCCTTAAACACGAGCATCACAGTCCCTCAAAACCTGATTTTACACACGCCCATATTTTGTGCAGGTCAGTTTTTGCTTTTTTTCCGAAGGCCGCTCGAATCCGATCAATATTTGAAGTGTTCTGAATGTGGCGGTGCATGTTCTAAACTGATGTCATTTCGTTGATATGCATTTGTTAAAGAAAAATTGTGTGCTATCAACTAAAGCAAAGGAAAACTGTCAGAAGTATAACAAGCTGGAATTTCTTCTAAGTCCTTCAGAATTTCCTTTTTCTCTAAGTCAGCCTTTAAGAAGTCAGTTTAATCAGTAAATTTAGTCTTAAAACCTTCTTCTGTAATAAGCTTTACCTTTGGGAAACCTGGAAAATGGAATGTTATATTTTGTAATTTACATTGCATTGTGTCATACTGATATCTCTTCGAAGCTTCATTATTAGAAATGACCCAAAACTTCTCCGAAGGAGCTTCGCAAACTGTTACTGGCTGCCACAGACTGATGAAGAGCACGATGTGCACGGAACCATGGGAAGACGACCGAGGTGATGCTTTCCTCAGACAGTTAGAGGAGGTTATCCGAGACGTTATCCATGACGCTAAAGCCTAACGGCATTCTGCAACCGGCAATCTTCCCCCTTGCCTTACGCGTTTGTATCCTAAAACAGAACATGTTGCAGTGCTATTCAAGGTGCAAAATGTAGTTTACAAATTGTTGTCTTGCATTCTAGAAATTCAGACCTTGACACACCGCAGTTTCTGAGAGGCTAGATGTCTACACTTCACTTACCTTGAAACCAGTCTCACTTGATAACCAACTACAAAAGTCAGTCTAGGTTCGTGAAATTGGAAATTTTTGTTAGCCAACCTTCACTTCTTGTATTGGCTTGTTTTTAAATGAACATGCCTTTTAATATTCAATTCTGAGTTACAAACATGTCAAATGATGATCAACTTCTCTATGCTCATAAGTGAAGACTGAGGCAGACAAGTCTTCTGTGCAGGAACAGCCACAGCTGCCCACTTTGCCGAGTCCAAAACTCTGGAGGATGCATGTGCTCGTTTCCGTAGAGAAACAACTGTTCTCCTCTCAAGTAATCCACCGCCACACTTGCCAGCTAGATAAAGAAAGGAAATCTGCCTTGGATGATCTTCTTGGAGATGTTTTCGTAACTAAAGTTGTTCCTGAGAAGTCAGTGTTTCAGATAGTTAAGTCAGAGTTGGCCAGTTACAAAGTTAAAGAAACCATGCCATTTAACTCTAATCCATTGTCGCGGTGGAAAGCAAATTAGCTCAAATACCCTATTTTGTCAAAGTTGGCCTAAAGATGTGTCCCTGCTATATCACTGGTGAGCGAGAGAGTTTTCGCTTCTGCAGGTGACCTTGTGTCTGCTCAGAGGTCATGCTTGCGTAATGAACATGTAGACAAGTCAATTTTTTTAGAAATGTGAGAGTGCTCTAGATCTAGAAAGAAGAACACCAAAAAAATTGCATTTTTTTTTATTGCATCCTTGTTATAGATTAATAATGTTCCTGTTACTATCGTACAGTGTATCCTCAAATTGAGGGTTTCGGGTTGTATGTTGT